TTGCACAATCCACGGAAGCGCTCCGTCTTCTATTAGCAATGATCTTCCATTCTTCACACCTTCATACACTCTTCACATTAGCTCCTAAACACTGGATGACTTTGAAAGAATTCTTGAAAGAGCAAATATTTTTCTATTTTTTACCTTGAGTTGTTGCTCGGGATTCACATTTTGCAAAGTTCGCAATCCCCCGAGCCACCTGTGCAAGCACATCTGGATGTCCGCATCTAACCATTCCTAACAACGCTTTTATTCCCCCATCCGACCATAGTCTTGCTTGAAGTTTGTCTGCCAAACAAACATGGTTTCAGAAATTGGTCGGTTTCTTGTCTATTAGAGAAAAAACCATGTTGGATGTTATTTTTACCGTTGCCACATAGATTAGCAATAGCTCCAGCAACCATGCGTAAGGTCTGTGGATCCTCTGCATCTGCTGCTGTTAAAGATAGCAAGCTGATTCCACCTTGGTCCACAATCAGTTGTTGACTCACTTCTGCTACCCCAAAAAACAAAAACACACACAAAAAAAAAGCAAAAACTCATGACCAAGAGACCACTAATTACTGTCTGTCTACCCACTGATTCGTAATCAGGAACACTGAAAGTTTACCGTTCATTGCGAGATTAGCAATTGCACCAGCAGCAACTCTTCGGACGGTTTCATCTTCGTAACTTCTGAGAAGCATCAGCAACGATGTAAGACCTCCAGCTTCAACAATCTTCTCCTGATTTGCCTCTGCTTATCAAACCCCACGAAAATAGGTAAAGTATCAGAACTTAGAGCCTCCAAAATTGAACCTCGGAAAATGATGCAACTATGTCTGGGAGTGAGCAAAAGTTACCTTCAGCTGCTAGATTGGCCACAACTTTCACAGCATGAATTCGGATGTTTGCATCATCTGACTCAAGCAATTGCAAGATCTTTTGTAGACCCACTGTTTCAAAGAGGATGGAAAGCTATAATAACACCGCAAAGACAGTTTGTACACGCTCTGGTTCAAACAGGATAAATTTCCATTACCTTGTTCACATAGTGTAGCAAATGGTGCCTTCTGTCCGTTCGCTGATTCTCTTGCTTGGGAATGACGTGATGGTAATGAGTCTGTGGCAGAGTATGAATTCCCCGGGGCACCTCTGTCCAAGCATCTTCTCATCTGGAAGAATTAGACTCAAAAATTAGATAACAAATTCATGAGACTCAAAGGTTGGACGAAAACTATTACCAACATACAGTTATTATCAGGTACAAGAAACGAGTAAATAGATGATATCTGAAAAAGTGTTTCATATTCACGAGATCAACGGAGTTCTAACAGCGCTTGTACTATTCCCCAAGTGTTGCAAAGTCTATTCAATGAAGACAAATGATGGAGACATTTGCTTTACAGCAATTAAAGGAGAGACCTATACACATTCCGAATTAGTAAAATTTGTACCTGGTCAGCTTCGAAAGTAAGCTGCACAAGTTGACTTCGTAATATGGTGACCTCTTCTTCAAGTTTCTTTTTCTGTAGAGCCTCATCCTCCAGCAGTTTTTGTAGTCTTGATATTCCAGCATCTTCGCCTTCCTAAAACGCCAGAGAGATTGGTTAAATAGTATCCAAGATGTCGAATCATTGAGCGGAGGGAGAGATAGAGAGAGAGAGAGAGCAAAAGAGAAGTTGAAGACAGTGTACCCCTGATCTTGTCTTCAGTGATGACTGGCTTTTTAGTTTGTTAACTTCCTCTTCAGCGGCCTTCCTTAACTTTATTTCATTCTCAAGTGATTCTTTTAGCTTAGCGAGTTCACTAGCTGTAACAACCCCATTGACCTGCAAGGAGATATTTACTAGTTAAAGATGCTCACTCCCATCAACTGAAAAGCATATAAGAGTTATGTGGGAAAATACCTCTCCATTGCGTTTACCATTCTCGTAGTTCCGCTGGTTCGATATCAGTTTTTCTTCAAGCTTCTTAACTGACTCCATATATTCCATTTGACACTTTAGTTTTTCCTTCTGTAAATAGAATATTAAATTTTTGTTACCGGATTTCGAAACCAAACACGTATATGCCAAGAAGTGTCTAAATGGATTTTGCATCAACTAACCTCTAAGGCCTCTGCAAAGTTCTTTTCAACTTCTGATATTCTATTTTGTGCTTGTAGATTTATTCTCTCCACATCATCATCAAATGCTTTCAGCTGCCTTTCATTTTCAGCAATCACCTTATCCAGTTGGACCTCAAGTTTCTTGGATAAACTCTTGTAATCGAATTCTTCTTTTATCTTCAACATATTCTCTACCTTCATTGCCTGCCCAAGAATTCAAAGACTTATGGATTTGAGATGTCTCAATAGACTTATAAATTACGGGTTGGGTAAGGTATGTGAAAACCCACCCTTTGGCCAAATAATATAGTACTTGTTGTCTCTCCTCTATGACGCGGAGAGGGACCAATTGTCACAATTAGGGATGTTCTTGCTGTGCCTGAAACGCAAACAACATATATACGTGAATGATTATACAGAAAAGTCAGTTAATTAGGAAATCCGAATTCAAGACACCATGACTTAGCATATGAACAAGAATGTAAACAGATAACTAACCACCAAATGAGTCTCTCAACAAGCGAGTAAGCTTAGAATCACGTAGTGGAACATGGGGGCTGTTTTCGGCTATTGCATTTATGCATTTCCCTAAAGCACTAAGTGAGAGATTAATGGATTTAGCTTCCTCCAGCATGTGCCCTTCGCTGCCTGCAGTGCGAGAGGGCGAAAATGAGCAATCCCATAGGGTGAAGGGAAAACGAAGAAACAAGTAAAACTGTTTTGTACAAGAGCTTTGATAAGCTAGCTCATTTGATGAATGATGATTAGAACTTTATACCAGACTTGTGAACACGTTCAGAGCCAGCAAGATCTACTAGAACAAGCTTGCTTCTTCTGACTAGTGGTTTTGATGGTCTGACAAAGTGAGATGAGCTCTCCGTTTCATTTGAGACTAAATCCTCGTTTTCCACCACCGACCTCTTGACATGCACCTGAACTATTGATAATGCATCATCAACTCAAAATAACAATAGAGATGAACGAAAAGGTTCAATATAACGCCTAGGAAGTATCAGAGAAGGCTAAAATGAGGTCTCGATTACCATGAGAATTGCATGACTTCGAGAAGACTCAGTATTCAATTTTGTGTTGGCTGCAACTCTATGTGTTTCCCCAAGTTGAAGAAGCTCGAGGAAATTTTGTTGGTTTCTGATCTCTACATGGGTTGCCCCTGGCAAGGAGACATCTCCAGTTTTGGGGTCTTCGACAATTGCAATATTGTCATTAGTTGGGTCGAGGAGATCTTGGATGGTCTCCATATAAAGCTGGACAAAAGAATCAAAATAGAATAAATAAAGGAATGCAAAGTGGTTACAATCAATAGTTGAGAAATGAAAGATACCTGTAAATATGAGACAGAGACAGAATCAGTCTCTAGAGAAGTGCCTCCAATGATATCTTCCATTGATCGAACCATGATACCACGAGCAGCAGTATCTTCATCTCCTAATCTTCCGAGGGTAAAAGTCTTTCCGGTACCCGTCTGACCATAAGCCATCACAGTTCCATTGTAACCTTCAAGAACACTCTACAAGCATAAAGTAGCCCACTGTGAAGATGAATAAATTACATTCTCAAGGAGCATCCAAGAAGAGTAGTGAAACGAGAAACAAAAAATGTCAGAAGAGACACGCATAGAGACCTCTACAACCGGCTTGGCAACCACTTGGTAGACTCGCTTCTGAGAAGCAGCTTCGGTGAGAACCTCATCAAACTCATAAGTCTCCGTATCCCAATTGTTTTTCCTGAGTTTCAACCTTTTGAGCTGACACAAAAAAAAAAAAAAAAAAAAAAAAAACAGGAATTAAAATCGACCTGAGATTGATTTTAAACCCTCACTGAGTAAACAATAGGAATTGGGGACAACCTCAGGCTGCAACTCAACGCAATCAGCAAAATCAGCATCTGCCACCGACTCATCTGCATTTCGAGGTCGTAATCTAACAGCCACTCGAACTCTCCCAGGCACTGCTAAAGAAAACCACAATTAATTCTACATCTAATCGGGAAAACGAAGCAATCATCTCCTAAAAATAAACAAAAAAGCAATCAAACGGAAGCAAAGTTGGTTTCACTAACAAAAATGAGAGCTCAATAGTGGGAGTAAGAAAATCGATTTCAAAACCGCATCTGAGAAAGTTATAAATCAGTGATAATAACGGACCTCCATTGTCTCCGGCGGAAGCTCCTCCCAGAGAAGCAGAAGAGTTGCGACGGGGAGCAGGCGCGGACGAAGGAATCCTGGATTTGAAAGAAGACGATCTGAGATTGGAGGAATTAGCTCCAGAGATCGGTCTCATGGATCCTCTAACCGCACCATTTCTCGAAGTCGCCATAGCCATATACAAGTCTTCTCTACCTCCAGAGTTGTCGAGACGGCGGTTTATGCAATCACAAGAAATAAAAATTCAAAAGAAGAAGAGAAATAGGAAATGAGACAACACGAGACGAGGGCTTTTTGTTTTTCTTTCTCCATTTCAATTTTTGGGGCTTTTCTCTCTTTTTTTACCATTTTTATTTTTTTTAAAAACAAAAACAGTAGTATGAAATTGGAATGGAGGAGGAGGATGGCGGGTCCCACACTCGTTCGTATTTTGAATGAAGACAGAGACAGTCGTTGGGTTAAATGGGTCCCACTGTGTCCCAATAAAAATGAGTGAGTGTATACCTGTTTAATTGCGCCGAACGGTTCGGCTTAGTGATCTGCCCAAAAGACTGAATTACCCTGGAAGTGGTTCGTTTCAACTGGATCCGGCTCCGGTTTACCAGAAGCCCTTTTATATGATTTGGCAGGCCTCGATGAATTTTTGATGGATCTACTTAAGGACGCTTCGATAATTTCATTACAAGACTCCCCCCTTTTTTTTTTTGCCAACCAATACAAGACTCCCCTAATCGCCTTTTTTTTTTGCTTATGGTCTTTTTGAATTTTGTTTATGATCTTTTTGAATACAAATTCAAAACATATAAAAAATAAATAAACTGAGCGTTGGACATCTGAAACAAACGAAGAGAACAATAGGGCTTGGTTCGGTTCTGTTCTGCGACATCTGACTTAACCAGCAAGTGGATTGGCGTGGATCGTCACACGGTTCAGCCTTATCTCAGCAAGCGGCCTATCTCCCGGACCTGTTTGAGTCTGCAATAACTCACAAAATGAGTTTTTTGTTTCTTTTAAACAAAAAATTACAAAAATCCAGATCAATAAATATTGCTTCAGGCTTCAACTCAACAATCACTCAAAACAATTAATTGTTCTTTAACACTCGATTCAGGCTTCACTTACAACAGTCAACAGTAGAGAAGAAAACATAATAATCTGATCTATACTTGGAGATGAGGTGATCGATCTATGGGGGAAAAGAGGGTAAAAAAGGTTGGTTTACCTTTTCCATAATGTCAAGCACTTCGAAGCCATGAATGACTTTGCCAAAGATGGTGTATAATCCATTGAGATGAGGTTGTTTTGCATAGGTGATGAAGAACTGGCTTCCATTTGTATTTGGGCCACTGTTTGCCATTGAGAGCATCCCTCTTGCATTGTGCTGCATAAGAGCGAATAGAATTTCATTAAGAAAGATACAGGGTATGGTTAGAGATAGCTATGGCCATCCGCAGCAGAATCATATCCGTCTAGTTCCGTGAAAATCAATGGCTCCCAAGTGGATTTCACTAGCGGCTATTATGACTAGTTGACCAGAACAGATTGATACCTTTACCTATGCAGTCAAGAGGAGGATATACTCAGCTACTCTAATGGAATTCTTACCTCATACGTTTTCTAAGTCTTATGAGTTAATAGAATCCGATAGTTTATGCCGAGCTAACATGAATTATCAAGACACTGAGAAAGAGATATCAACAAGCCATGACACAGCATATATGATCACCCCTTTTGCAGAAGACGAATAAAACTGAAATCAGCTCAATATATACCTTAAGGGACTCGCGAATCTCATCATTGAATTTCTTTCCCCAGATGCTAGTTCCTCCTTTCCCGGATCCACTTGGGTCTCCTCCTTGAATCATGAACCCTTTGATATTTCTATGAAATATAGTACCATCATAGTAGCCACTAGCACATAGAGCCAAAAAGTTCTGCAACAACAACAAACAAAAAAAAAAAGAATATTAAAGCTACTAGGTTAAGCTCATCAATGTCAAGAGCCAATGGTTACGCATAGAAAAATATGTTGAACCTAATGGCGGACAACACAAACTCAGCTGGAGCATACACCAAGTTTTTAGGGAAAAATTTTATCTCCCCAGTCATAAAATTCAAACAACCCTAGTTTTGGATTTTAAAAAGAAAAAGACACAAAATCAAGAGATAGAGCAGAGAAAATCATCAATCCCAGAAGAGATAATTGCTAATTAAACAATCCAGGACTAGAAAGTCAGTCCGAAGTTTTTGTAATTTGACTCAGCGTTGGATCAAAGCGACTGATTTTGTAAAGAAGAAAATCTAAGAAAAGAAGTCGAATAGAAACCGAGAAAGCATAAAGAAGTAACCTCAGCACTCTTGGGAACCTCGTCACAGAAGATCTCGCACTTGATATCACCCAGATTCGTGTGCAATGTTACTGACTGCGCGCAAAAGACCAAGACGGAGAATAAAAAAGCAGGAAAGTAAACATACAAAAAATACCCAAAAACTAAATAGAATCAACGCCTTACCATTGATGCGACGATGCTTGGAAACGCCAAATTCGAAACTACCGGAGCTTTCTTGTTCCTCGCTTCGATGCCTTTTTGGCGCTTTTGGTTTTGCTCGTTCGTTCGAGATTTTTCTGCACTGGCTTGCTTTCGTCTCTTTAAATTGAAGTACAGTATTGGGCATTCTATGGGCCACGTTTCGTGGGTCCATTAAGAAAAATAATAAACGGCGTCGTTTTGTATTAATAAGCTTTCAAACAATACGTCAAGGATATCGACTGCTCCAATTCTCATAATCAGAATCCATGGCGACCGACGCGCCCTCTTCCGCCGCCGCCGCCACCGCCACCGTCACCGGCACTGCCGCCAGTGAGATTGTTAACGCAGAAATTAAACTGCCTCGATCGATATTTGACTTGACGGCGGAGTTTTTTGACTCGTGTCGGTTGTTGAATCCTTCGGTCCGGTTAGGACCTGTGGTTTCACCCGCTCTCGATCCGGATAACAGAGACGAGGCGGAGGAGAGGAGTTCCAACGACGGTGTAATTTTGGATAGATGGACGTGTAATACTTGTAAAATTGAGTTCGTGTCACTTCATGATCAACGCTCGCACTTCAAGTCGGATATTCATCGCCTTAACGTAAATTTCCCTAATCTTATCAGTTTCCTCCGCTTGTAATCATGCTGATGTTTGACAAACAATATGTCGTAGAGAGTTACTTAATTCATCAATTCTCTAAGTGAAAGGTAATTGTTTAATAATTACTCGATTTGATTTTCTGGGTGTGATGGTAGATCAAGCTGAGCCTTGCTGGAAAGGCTATTTTGAAAGAAGAAGATGTTGATGAGTTGACATCTGAGTCGGTCCAAGACTATGATGTGTCTAGTATATCAGGATCAGAGGACGAAGCTGAGGCGGCAAGACCCTTATTCCAGGTTGATGCTCAAAAGGGTATTGATAAAAAGAAGCTATTTATTCGTCTTCAAAGTGGTGAGATAGTTTCTATCTGGCGAAGCTTAATCATGGACGAGGCTGAAAGGTTTTCTTACGGAAATGACAGAGGATTTTCTGCTGATGATTGTGGGGGCTTGGGCGAGAATGAAGTGACTGAGAGGTTGAGAAATTTGGTTCGAGAAAATACGGTTGACAGTCAAATGCGTGTCGTGTTGCTTGCCAGTGGTGGGCACTTTGCCGGTAGTGTCTTTAATGGAAAGTCGGTTGTGGCTCATAAGACATTCCACAGGTATGTCTCTTCCCATTGTTTGATTCTTTTTTAGCTCAGAATCTTGTTTCTGTATCTACTTATGATAAGTGATGTGCACATTTAAACCCATCAACTCTGAGAAATTATTATTAGTAATAGTATCATCTCTTTGAAACATTTAGCGTCTCTGAATCTTGTGCAAATGGGTTTTCCCTAACGTCTTCTTCTCCTTTAATTCCCTTTCCCATGTATAGATACGTTGTAAGAGCCAAGGCTGGCAAAAAGCAGTCCACAAAAGATGGAAGCGGGAGAAGTATACACTCTGCCGGAGCCTCACTTCGCCGTTATAATGAACTTGCTTTGAAAAAGGTTCGTCTCTGAACATGTTGTCATTATCTGCTGCTACTCCCTTCGTCTTTCAGCCAGGGATTACAAAAGATCTTATGTTTTTTGATTGACGATATTTTTAAGCTCCTTTTGCTGCTGATTCTATAATAGGGACAAAAGTGCTATAGGGACGATCTGTTACTTGTCTCAACTCGCTCCTTTTACTATTTTCTCTTGACATTGGTATTCAGTTTATGATTGTCCTAAAACCCGATATCTCAGACTAGATGGTTCGTTTCCCTTAAGTGAGGAAACATGAAAAGAATAGAAAGCCTCATATAGAATATCTGCGGCCCTGCCCATTTTAAAGGCAATTCTGGACTCTGAAGTGTGGTATGTAGTTTTGAAAACATCATTTTGGTCTCCTAAACGGGTGGCAACGTTGGCCGTCTTCATGATGGTTTGTCACCCGGGGTCGGGATCATAGGAAGGAAAACGCTAAAACCTTTGGTCACATATATGCTTACCCTCTATTAGAAGTACAGATTGGGTTGATGTGCAACTCTAATCCTCCTTTTTCGACTTTGTTAGGATATTCAAGAGCTACTTGCTAGCTGGAAGCCTTATTTTGATGGCGCTTCTTGTGTTTTTGTCCATGCTCCCTCAAGCAGTAGGCAATTGCTTTTCAATGGAGGCAAACCATATTTTAGCAGCCAAAACTGCGCTGTACGAAACGTTCCATTTACTATCCGGCGGCCAACCTTCAAAGAATCACAGCGTATATATAATCAGTTAAATCAGGTTGTATATTTAACTGAGGAGATTTTTGTAAATCCACCAGAGGAAGCCAAAGCTACTACTGTGGTGCAGACCCATAGTGAGGGTTCTGGTGAAATCTTAAGACAGGAAGAGCCTGATGAAACTTCTTCTGCCAGCATAATTTTAGGTGAACCAAGTCTTATAGAAGCGGATGCCGGGGTTGGTGTTACTGGTTCGTCAACTCCATTACACGAAGCTGCTAAATCTGGTGATTGTGAGAGAGTTCTGGAGTTGTTGGAGGAGGGTATGGATCCTTGTGCTAGGGATGAAAGAGGCCGAACACCGTACATGGTTGCGAATGAGAAGGAAGCGAGAAACACATTCAGACGGTTTATGGCGTCCAACCTTGAAAAATGGAATTGGCATGATGCTAAAGTACCCAGCCCGCTGACCAAAGAGATGGAGGAATCTCAAGCTGCCAAGCAGGTACGTTGCATTGATTTGTTCTTTGGTAGACTTGGGAAGTTTGGTAAGGATTCCGCATCAGGCAAACATAGGTCTAGAGCAGAAGTCATTTCCTTGTGCATTGGTTTTGTGGTTGTGTTTTGCTAAGGTCTCATGTCCTCCAAAATACATTCATTGATATGGCGTAGTATAAAAGTTATGCATCCATTGTCGCATGATTTTGTATATGATGATGCGTCAAAGACATTCATATGGGATTCCGAATCCATCATCCGACTAAGTTGTGATTGTTCAGGCAGAGAAAGACGCCAAGAAGAAAGCAAGAGCAAAAGAAATGAAGAAACTACGCAAAGCCCGAGAAAAGAAGGCTCAAGTAAAATACTTTTAATCAGTGTCTTATTCAGGACAAACCGAGACAGTTTAACTTGTACCTAACACTCCTTGTGTTTGCAGGCGGAAGCTGCGCAGGCTGAGAAGGAGAAACCGATCTCTAAAGTGGTGAGTTTCACAAACTCAGTGTGTATAGTGTAGTATAGTATCTGATATCTAAGGAGAAGTTACTTCAACATTTCTCTTTGTCTGAAACTTGTAATAGGAGCAAGTGAGGAGAGCAATGGCGGCCGAGAGGGAAAAGAGAGCAGCGGCTGCAGAAAGACGGATGGCATCACTTAACACTGACCCACGTGTAGATTAGTGGGTTCACATGACCCACCGGTTAAATTTATATATACTCTCGCAACGAGGAGTATGAGAGAATTATGCCCTTGATCTTGAAGCCAAAGGCATGTATGTGCCGTATTATTAGCAAAAACAGACTACTTTGTTGTCATAATTTTTAGTGCTTTTTTTGTTATCATAAGTTTTTAGTGCTTTTTTGATATTTCATGTCACTGCTGAGTCTATTTATATTTGGATTACAATAATAAATAAATAAATAGTTCTTTTTATGTAACAATGAGATAGTCACTAACATTTGCTATCGTGTATATCCGGATTACAAAAAGAACTATATTTCTTCTTGTATAGAATGAGATAGTCGCAAACAGTACAACCTTTTATTATATTAATAATATTAAGATGTACTAATAATAATCAATGGTCAGAGGAGAGGGCTAAGTGAAGGGCATGCTCTGCTTCCTTCAGCAACAGTCTTGTGAGTTGTTTCTGCCCTCTACGGTAAACCACACTTGACCACTTGTTTCTGCTCATCATCCTTTTCCCACTCTCCAGCTCCCTAGATCTCATATTTCAACCTAAATTAGATATGTCCAGAGAGATTTGTGTACCTTTGATATTATATATGTTTAGATATTTTGCATGCCTACTTCTCTGATAATATCAACATCGTACCTTGGCTGTTCATCATGGTTCTCCAAGACGCATGCCTCCTCAAGGAGCCAAGCATCTCCTTCTTCACTGCCGGAATTCTCTTCCAGCTTCATCATCCTGTCAGGAAAAATATATATTAGTTAACTTTTGATATCATGTCACTGGTAACGAATTCAATTTGCTTACTTTGCATTAAGCAGATCCACAAGTAACTGCAAAGCCCCAGAATCCCCACATGCTTCCCATACCGCCATCCTGACCTCAGTTTCACGAGGTTGCTCGTCTGGTCTTGACTCTACAAGCTTTCACCAGGGAAAAAAAAATATATTCTTAATTACAGGCGATAACGCGTAAGTCAAGTGGAAGGCATACTGAGGATATTATCTGATCCCAACTCGCTACTTTCAGCAGAAAAAAAGGGCGAGTTATCATACCTCTTCAAGCATAGCTGAGACCTTGTAAATCTCATCTTCTTGCATGGCAATGGTCCTCAAGCCAGTCATAAAATCTTCTGGGAAAACTAATTTTTTCATATACGAGGGCATCTTTCGCTGTCCAGACCAACTGAAATTACAGGACCTGACGGTTTCCTTCTCCTCGCTTTCTCTGACTTTTGATGTGCTTTGTGGGAAAAACCCATGATCCAGAAGAGATTTTGGCAAGAGACACCGGAGTTGAGCTTTCTGCAGTGACATTTTTCAGAGTTCAACAGTTGCATATTAAATCAAAATCAGAGGGGATCAAAATTTTGGGTGTAAGATAGTGTGCCAAAACTTGTACTGCTAACCTGGGCTTCGAGAAGCTGTCCCTTGGAGTCAGAAAAAGGGATACTCGGAATCGCCTCGACAGGATAATGTACCTGAATAATACCCAGTATTATTCCTAACAACAAAACTAAGATGAAAATTGAGGAGCATTGAAACATCCTCAAGACTCTAATACAACACTGGTTACCATGAAAGGGGAACTATTACCATGAGATAATCATCTGGATTGTTCTCTATCACAAATCCATACAGGTAAAGAAGCTCCTACATGAAGCAAGAAGGCACACCACTCAAACGCAAAAACCTATATCCTTATACAAGATATTCAAGCAAACAAAAAGGCATCTTTGACTGGAAAAATTCAAAATGATTTCCATTGAAGCTGCCAGGAACTGCAAAATGTCTTACCTCATTACCTTTATTACCATAACTGATCGAAATCTCCTTGCCTGGGATACGATTTTGTGTAACTGTTCAAATTACAGAATTGTGCCACTTAGTTTTCCACATACAGATCAAAAAGAACAGAGGAAAAGGAATGTTCGATATGGTTTAATAGATATATGTAAGAAATGAGAGGTAACGCAAAAGAAATATTGGCCAACCGGAGAGAAGGTACATGGAGAAAGGAACTCCAGATACTGATCCGGTCCCATCAACTTCCCAAGTCGCCACAGGCTTCAAATCTATACGGGCATAAATAACCATAGTACAATATATCACATCACACCTGGATATACTCATTAACCCTATAAACATTATGGCACAGAGAGAAACTGAGAATAAAGTCAATTTTTTTAATTGAAGAACAAATTAGCATACCATGATTGCAAAAGTCAATGCCAGGAACAAGCCCCTCAACCCACACAGTATCGCCGGGTCCTACAGACGTCGGGCCAGAGACTGGAGCCTGAATATCTAGCCATTAAAAAAAAATGACGGAACTCGTGAAGTTTAAGCTATAGGCTAGGAAGGATTATATATATATATATATAAAACAATGCATTTGACATAGAACTCAGCAAACCGATATTCGTTTCAGTTGGATGACTTGTTGATGGGCATCCCCCAACATCTTCCTGGTTTTGTGGAAACACAAAAGAATGCGGAAGAGGTATGTTCAAGGCACGACTCCAGAATACAGAATTTGCCCTGGCGTAATGGAAAAGGTCTCAAGATCACTCAGCAGCCCTTTACAACACACAAAACTCGGGTTCTACGAACAAGCACTACTAGGCAACATACCAGAGGAAGTGTTCAAATGAGACCTCGCTGCACAAGATGTGAAAACAATATATGATTGGCTCACCATCAATGAAAACAAAGTTATCTAAAGTAGCGTAAATATGTTAGGTCCGTTAACCTTTCGGAATCGCCATCCAAAACAAGAAGCTTTTTCACCAGGACCTCCACCTTCTCATGGTAAAGCGACTGCAACTTCTTCTTCTGAGAAGACAGTACATCAAACGAGAATGAATTCACTATGGCCATCTTCCAAAATTCTTGGTTTAATAAATGAAAAAAAAAGAGAAGAACCTTTGGAACAAATGTCAAAGAATTACCTGTAACTCGGTAGCGTGATATAAGTTTGTCCCTTTCAGCTCAAGGAACTCATCATCGGAAAACCAAAGAGGATTGCCAAATCGAGTGGGGAGCATATCAAGATACCTACCACATCATGAACTTACGCTTAGTCTATAATAGATTAAGCTAAATCTCTTCTAAGGGATACAAACTTACGGCTTCCAAGAAGAATTTTTACGAAGACGCTCCAAGGTGAGGAACAAAATCATCAGAAACCGGTCATCTACTTGCCCTTGTTCGAACATTTTCTGACACTCTGGACCCAGGAGAGGGTCCTGAAGAACTCTCATAGGAGTAATCGCCAAATCAAGCGGAACAGCAAGCAAAACATCTGAAGTTTTTCCACGTACAGTATTATTATTATTATTATTTTTTTGTTTTCCCCGCAAAAACAATCTATCATAAGTTTTCGGCACACAGGAATTCTCGATTCGGTAGAAGCAAATAAGAAGCTATTATATTTTACCATCGCAAGTATCAGCGGAGCTGGAGGCGAAAATGCCAAATCCTTTTCGGGAATCGGAATAGTTGATGCTGCAGCCTCGTAATTCAGCTCCATTCACCTGGAAGTAAAATCAGAAATCCATCGAACAAAGATCGAAACCCATTATAAAGGTCGGACCCAACCTGAAGCCAATCTAGGAATCTTTCGAGTTTAGCTTTTTCTTCGGAATTCGCCATATCATAAGATCAATCCGCCGGCGAAGATCTAAACGCCGGAGACGGGTTTAAGCCGGGAGAGGTGAAACGGAGCTGAAGGTTTACGATCTTGCAGCTAATAACTAACCTAAAACGATGTCGTTGAGACGCAACCAATGAATGTTAATGATCTCTAGTCTTCTACTATAAGTTGATCGGTTAACTTATTGAACCGAATTAGAACGTCAGACCGAATGGGGAAACCAAACTTGAAAAGTGAGATTACATAGTTTAGAATCTAAACCGAATAAACTGAACTAAACCAAAATTTGGATGAATAAAAACGAAGACCACAAATCTCGGTTCAAGCCGAAAACCAAACATTCATGAAGAACCGGCGGTAAGTCTCTCTCGTTAAACTCTTCCATACGCCAAGAAGTTTTGCAAAAGCTTTGAGATTGACAGCGAGAGCAAGAGAGAGTGGGGGAGAAGACAAGGACGAAGAAGCAGCAACAATGGCGGCTGATTTGCCGGAGGCAACAGTACAGAACATTCTGGACCAAGAGTCTCTTAAATGGGTCTTCGTCGGAGGGAAAGGAGGTGTCGGGAAGACGACATGCAGTTCTATTCTCGCAATTTGTCTCGCCAGGGTTCGATCCTCCGTTCTCATCATCTCCACCGACCCGGCTCACAACCTTAGTGATGCGTTTCAGCAACGCTTCACTAAATCCCCCACTTTGGTTCAAGGGTTCTCCAATCTCTTTGCCATGGTATATTGCTTTCTCCCCCGATCTCGTTTCCTAGATCATCGTCGGTGGGGCTCTATGGGGGGAATTTAGTACTTTCTTACCGGGATTTTATCTTATCATTGTATTAGGGTTCTCTGACTCAAATTTCATTCTCAATTTACGCCTTCTTAGCTGAATTCGTTTGGATCGTTCTTGATGTGGAAATCAGTAATCTAGATTTAGTGCTTGCATAATACTCAGGGATGAATTTGACGTTTCTGGTATCGCTTCTTTTGGTCTGAAGAAGTTTCTAAGGGAAATTATGAATTTTGGCCGTGATGGCTAAAATTCTTTGTTGGTTTGTCAAATTCAATGTCAATATTCGAACAGTTTTTCTAAAATTGTTGTTCTGTCATTTTTCATTTTTTTTACATAGAAGACAAGAAATCTGTTGTGGATCTTATAGAGTGGCTTGATGATGAGTTTATTGCTAATCTTCTAAGCTTGAAGCTCTTAGGCGTGTTTATATCAGCAAATGCTTCTTGGTATACGATTCGCATTCCTTCACCTCTTGATAGTGAATCTTGTTTGCTTCTCTCAGGAGGTGGATCCTACTGTTGAAACCGATGACATGGCTGGTCCAGAAGGGATGGATAGTTTATTCTCTGATTTGGCAAATGCGATTCCTGGAATCGATGAGGCAATGAGTTTTGCTGAGATGTTGAAGTAAGTTTTACACTCCATACTGTATACTTTCTCTAACAATTTTCTGGCATCAACTTTGTGATATCGAACTCATGGTTTGACATGCTCATGTTGCCTTAGGTTGGTGCAAACAATGGATTATGCAACTATTGTGTTTGACACTGCCCCAACTGGGCACACTCTCCGCCTGTTACAGTTTCCGGCCACACTAGAAAAGGGACTTTCGAAATTGATGTCACTGAAGAGTAGATTTGGTGGCTTGATGAATCAGGCATGTCTTTAAGCTTGTGGAACTCAATATGCTTGGCAATTGATAATTGCTCTTTTGGGGGGATCTTCTTTGGCTGATTTCTCAAGGAACTGGTTGGTTATATTGCAGATGAGCCGTATGTTTGGCATAGAGGATGAGTTTGGGGAGGATGCTCTGCTGGGAAGACTCGAGGGCTTGAAAGATGTGATTGAACAAGTAAACCGGCAATTTAAAGACCCGGTAACATTTTCTCAATTGGTTCTTTGCTTCTTTCTTTGTCAGTACTCATGACAGTTTCCCAATTATGTTACTGTACAATTTCTATGCCTGTAACATTTTTTCGCATGTGTGTCACTGATCTGTAGGATTGTATTTGACAGCTATTTGATAAACGCAGGATATGACAACGTTCGTTTGTGTCTGCATCCCTGAGTTCCTGTCTCTCTATGAAACAGAGAGATTAGTTCAGGAACTCGCAAAGTTTGAGATCGACACGCATAACATTATCATCAACCAAGTACTATACGACGACGAAGGTGGCTACTTTTTGCAGATAATTTTCCACTCGTGCCTACCTTGTCGCTTCAAACTTGGTTTATGTACAAATTTAACGACTATTCTCACTTGCCTCTTCTATAGATGTGGAATCTAAGTTGCTTAGAGCAAGGATGCGGATGCAGCAGAAGTATCTTGATCAGTTTTATATGCTATATGATGACTTCAATATCACAAAACTTCCTCTGCTTCCAGAAGAGGTAAGAAGAAATGACATCCATCAGAGACGAGAGGGAACATATTGTAATTGAATCGATCCGAAAACCAAAACGAAACCAAAGACTCATACTCTGGAGATATAAATTACATCCTACGAATTAAACTTGTTGTGGATGTTTGAATCACAGGTCACAGGGGTTGAAGCCTTAAAGGCGTTCTCGCATAAGTTCTTGACACCGTACCATCCCATCACAAGCAGAGGCAATGTAGAAGAGCTGGAGCGGAAAGTACACACATTGCGTTTGCAGCTGAAAACAGCTGAAGAAGAACTCGAACGGATCAAGAGTGGATAAGGCTTTGTTCATCCCTTTAATCTTAAGTTTCTTTCCCCGACCAGATAGATTCTCCGAACTCACTTGCTGCGTCTTCTGGATCTGGGTTTTTATTGAGTTTCTTCCTGTTTCTGCTTTGGGCAATTTATATTTATATTTATAGGTGGAAAATTACAAGTTTTTTTTTGGTGTGTACTCAAACGTCTTTTTCTCTATAGCTCATCATCTGGCAGAAACTCTTTATAGGACAGGGGATCATCAAACAGAATAATCTTTTGCGTTCTCTTCTTTTATTCTGTTATATATGCAGTGTGTTTTTTTTTTTTAAACTATACTATACATATAGATTTGATGTCGCAATATACAAAAAAAAAAAAAAAACTAAACTGTGAAAATCAATTCATACGTTTATTCAAAAGATTGATCGACTCATCATGGAGGAAGAAACTTAAATAGATTAGAATATAAAATAATTGCCAAACGATCAACAAGATTAATCAGTTTATAAGAAGAACACCACAAATCATGAATTATAGATTCTTATATACCCTGTTAACCTATAAAACTAAAAAAATAAAGGAAAAAATAAAGAAAAAAAAATTATCTACCCTAGACATATAATGTGTAAAGTTAAATCATTTTATAAACCCTTCATCCATCCAATTTTCTTCAACAAAAAATGTTATATATATAAAACAAAAACACCCCTGCTTGATTATTTATTTGTATATATATCAAATGGTTAGATTCTCTTGTATGGCTATGAACGATCCGACAATGTTACCTCCGACGTCAGGGAACGCCTCACTCCCGGGAAGTGGTCGGACTTTACCTTTCCGATCGACTTCCACTGGATACTTTAACAGATGTCCCCTCATGTCTGAGACTTCTTCAGCTGCAAACTGTTTCCAGTTTCTCTCGCCCATTGTTCTCACTTTCCTTACACATTCTATACTCTCCGGTTGCGTGAAACAGTCATCTAATGTCGCCATATGCTCTGCCCAAAGCGACATTCTGTATCCATAGATCTGCATAGCAACAAGATAATGATCCAAAAACTCTAGAACCGGAATGTGAACTCGTAATTCCTATGTGTGTTATCGGGATGTACCTGACCCCTAGGACCAGAGTGTTTCCTTGCCCATGTATGTTGAGGCTGGTAAGCTCCCATCGCAATCTCTGTATCTCTTGTGCCTTCCATTGATCGTTGGTTTATGTTTGCCGATCCAATTACTACGTATTCATCATCTACTACCATCCCTTTCGAGTGAACATAGATCATAAATCTTCTGCTTTTCCGACTCAATGCCTGCAACACCATCAGGGAATCATCGTTTTTTTCAACAACATGAGCAAGTTAAGCAGAAGGCTGTCTCGGAATTTTAGTTACCTGGGGAGTGTTTGCGTTACTTGGACTTCCAGTTCCCGAGTTATCGATTCCATCCACCATTTCTCTGTTGCCAAGACAGAAGAAATTGAGATAATCTTGTGGGGAGAATGCTCCCTCAAGCCCGGTCTCCACTAACGCCTTGTAGATAGTCTCATACATCATCTGCATTGTCTTGTGCTGCACCGATGATAACACTGGCATTCAGTTTCAATAACCTCTAACTATGGATCCCCCCTCATGTGTTAAAGATATATAACATAAGAAAATTTCTGATTTGAGATATGTAAGGCATATTTTGGCTTAGACACCCACGCAATAAGCATTACTCAGAGATACCTGCCAATATAGAATCCTCTGGGTAGCAGCACCGGTTGGAACACCTTCTGGCCACATTGGAATGACAATATATGCAGCAAAGCGTTCATTTGCCTTAATCTTTTCAGCTATCTTCAACGCGATTTCCATAGGAATCAAATTATTAGCACCTACACAACAACATTGTATAGCAATGTTGAGAGCCAACGCAACTTCAGGAAGCAAAAAAAACACTCTAATATCATCAAGAAAAATCAGAGACTTGCACAAATAATAAAGTGACCTAAAGCTTAGGTTTCTTATATTCTTGAAATAAAGAAGCAGAGACATAGAACCAAACCTATGTCCTTGTGCGCATTCCAGTTGTAGGAAGATCCAATGAAATACTGATTCTCAATATATATGAAGTGTTGGGCTGCACGGATGGCCTTGACATACGCAGTGTGTATGCTCATATCAATGAGCACGTTCTTCCCACACACCAAGTTCTATATCCAAAAACAAAAACTTTCCACGGATTAATTTTTTGAAATATTTAGACATCCAAATATATTGATAGCTAAAGATTGCATTGATTTTTCAAGTCACCTTGCATGTAGCATCTTTTGGATCCTTTGGGAAACCTTTCACAGAGTTTGAATCGATTGAACGAAAAATCTGAATCAAACCAGAAAAACATCAGCTTAGCCTGCGCAATATGAACCACGACTATATTCCCACCATACAGAAATAAATTTCCTGGACAATTTATTTTGCCCAAATTTCAAAATTTGCATGATATATATTATAACATGACATATTTCATCGACTCTGCAGGATAGTCTCATTTCATATTAATGGCTAGAGATAAAGAGAAGAAACATGTATAGGGAAATTAATGTTAGACGATATGTTGCTAAATGAGTCTAGTCGCTAATTAGCATAAGTTTAATCAAGATAGCAGGCACATACAAGGAAAAACTGAATACTGGTTGGTTTCAACTTAATGCTAAAGTTCATCAACTCTTTATCAGCAACTCCCATGCAATGCTAAAGTCTGACACAAGATCTAAATCCTAGTTTCAAAAATACTCAGCTTCTCAGGTCTTCTTCTAGACAGTAACCCGTTAAGATATTCTTACCTGAACATGCCAAGCCTCAGGATCGTTCTCACTTACAGTAGGAGTATCAGAAACTCCTAATATATCTGGAATCCTATCGATCCTTAGCAACGCATCGTCATAGGAAGTCTTAAACTTCTTGATCCCGCTAGGCTTCGCAGCCTTCAACCATCTCTCCTCGAAGTTGGTCAGCACATCATACGCAGCAGGGCCATCGATCTTACTGTGTAAGTCATGCCACGGCTCTCTTGGACATCCGGAAAGGTTTCCCTGATGAAATTATAGCATTTTAAACTCCACCCAAAAAGAACGGATTTCGCTCCTAGCCACCGTTCAAGGTAATCACTTACTCAGTAATTGCCAAGAAAGCTACACAAGAAGATATAAAGAGACTGTACCGTAAAAGTGGGGTTGTGAAAATCATCTTTATGAACTGTCTGTAGTGTCCTGAACAAGGGATGTTGAGGAGTGTCATATCGGCCATCACACAGATCAAGCCCACCGACAAAAGCTACAATTTTCCTTCTGTTAGCACCAGCATCGGCATCCACTATTACGTTTTTTTGGTGATGTGTATAGATTGTCCCAACTTCCTGATGGACGGAATATTGATTAGAAGCTGGAAACCACACAAAAGAAAAAAAAGGGAAAAGAAAGTGATACTCTACCCTCTGCTTGACCCAACTATGTCGCTTTCCAGCATTACGGGGGCAGAGCAGGACTTGAACAGAGGAGTGCTTGAAAAAACGGCGTGTCTCCTCATCATGGGTTGCCATAACGCCATCCTGTACCAAGTTGAGAAGAAGATAAAACTAATGAAGTAGTAGTTACTACATGAAATAAGCTTTTCCGATGTATAAATACTTAATTTATAAACTCATCTGACTTAATGATTTACAAGGGAATTTGATAGTGTAAAAAGAAGGAAGAAATGTCATGAACCAGGGATATCTAATAAAAAAAACTCTACATATGTTCAAAAATCTACACACTAAATACGAAATCTTACAATCAGAAAAATAAAGAAAAAGAAATGGTAGCCAAGGGCGTGTTGTAACGTACTGTTTTATAACCCAAGATGCTACGCGAAGTTGGGTCATCCCAAACCAAAAGCAGGACTCTCACGCCTTCTTGGGACTTTGATCTTAGGAGCTCACCAAGAGTACATTCTGATGCGGGGCCAAATTTATCCCGAACCAGCCTAACTTTGTGCCACACAGACCAACCCGTGATATAAATTAAACGCCTGGCCTGGCGTATGGCATCAAACATATCATGCCAACACTTGCCATGTTCGTAAGACATCCCATTGTCCAGTCTTATACCCGGGAGCATCTCTTCAGGGACATGTGCGTCTTGGTACAATGTCACAGTCCCGCCTTTTCTAAGCGGAAAATATGTTCCAGGTACCCCCATGTAATCAGGACCTGCCCCAACTCCATGATGATAAACACTAAGTTGTTCCATAGGAGTATACTGGATGGACAATGATAAATTAGCCCCTGGTTTACAAGGCTTCCCACTGCTGCTTAGAATCGGATAAGTTCCTTGGACTTTGGCACCAGAGTATATCTGTTCGACCGGGATGGTAACCAATCCAATGAGCTGAGAACCCACGACATCACTGTCTTTAACGACAAAATGAACTTCTGCAGCATGGTGAGCGACAGGAACATAAAAATGTTGCATCCAAACAGGATTCTCGCTGTTGCTCATGACGTAAGTTCTTCCAATGACAGCACCAGCGACAGAGACGGAAACGTAAGGATCACTGGTGATTTTCCTGCTAAGCTGGCCGTCGATTTTGCCAGGCAATCTGCCAAACATATCACCCAGAGTCTTGTGGAACATATCCATGTTAGGGAGATTTCTGGCATGATAGATCCAGATGTCCAAATTGCCATGCAGCAACAGGACCTTCAAGGAGGATTTACCAAAGAGCGTCATCTGCAAGTGGGGACTATGCGGGGAATCAGTAGGAGTATAGGCAGAAGCAGAGGAATCGACTCGGTCCAAGGTCGGGAGGTGAGAGTTGCTTGGAAAAGAGCTGTTAGGGTAACCATACAAATCACCAGGAGGACGGCTTGGCCAGGAGTTGGAAGGAACGGAGGGGTTATCGGAAATGTGGAGACCGCCTAGAAGTTGGTCGACGGGAGGATAAGAAGTGAGGCAGTCTTGCCTACGAAAGGCTTGAGGAGTTTGTGGAGGAGGATCATATTCATGGGGTTTAGTTTCAGGAGGCGGGTATTGCTCTTGATGATATGTATAGGGAGCATTGTAGTTACCTTGCGGAGGAGGATGAGCAGGATGATAAGGGTAAGGAGAAGGTTGGTAGTCGAAAGAATGGCGGTGATATTCAGAGGAGGACGATGATTGGGGCTTGTGGTGGGAGTAGTCCAATGGGCCCGAATGATGAAGCGGGGGAGTTGCATACGGAGGTGGTGGGTAAGGATAATAAGGTGCTGGTGGTGCTGCTGCTTGGTACGCCTCCGAACTCGTACCGGGAGGTCTATACGGAGGAGGACCACCTCCTCCTGTGTACTGACCGTATGGGTATGGGTACTGATGACCGTAAGGGTATGGATAACGTGATCCACCACCATAATTCTCCATTTATTTTCCTGACCAACAAAAAGTAAAGATCAATCACTCATCAACAACCAGCAGGCAAAAGGATCATTCCCAAGGTGGTTCCGTTTATTTGGGGACAGCTAGCGATCAAATTGCATATAGGAAACGAGAATCTGAGTATGATTTGTCATTCTTCGATTGATTATGACGAACAGATTCCGACAATGAAGCTGACGAAACTCACCTGGAGAAATGGTGGGATCTAATCGGCGAGGAAACGCTTTTCTTTTTTTCTTTTTTTTCCTTCTCTGCGTCGAACTCCTCACGACGTTGATGCAGAAGAAACTGGCTATTCCAGGTTCCCGATTCCAATGTCTTGTCCTTTTCCGACGAAGAGACCTAATATAGCCGGTTGCATATTTCCCCTTAATGCCACGTGTATTCTTCTTTTTGGTTCTATCACCACAAAAAGAAAATATTTTTTCTTCTATGTGTGTTTCTTGAGACCCCAGTGTCGTCTATATATAGTTAGATTTTTTTTTTCCCATCTGATCACATCCTGAAATTATACCATTCGACAAAATTCTTCCGACAAAATATATTCTACGTTTCCAAATTGAAGTGCCAATTTATGTATGCATTTATACAAGAAGATATAGATGTCTGCATTCAAAGTTAATTCGAACAAATTCACATTTCACACATACTGTGTATTGACATTTATTTGTTTTCGAAATCTTACAAAGTCACGGTAAGCTTTTGTTCATCAAGTTTCTAGAAATCAGAGAAAGAGTTTCATATAATTTGTATGTTTCTTTGGTATAGTAAATATATGGGGGCGAAAGTTCACTAGACCCAGGTCAACGCGATTGGGCTTCTGACCTTATACTGGTCACATATCCAAACCAAAGCTCCAAAGGAGGAAGTAGAAGATGAATTTGTGGAAGCTTCTGCAACAAACGACACCGTATAACTCAACTTCTCCCGAACCTTGTCGAACTTTAGAACTTTGGGCTCCACCCTCACCTTGACACCTTTTGGTTCCTCAATGTGAGCGATATACTCACAAGCCCGTGACCCAACGTTCGTCACAGTCCTCTTATATCTCAACCTCGCGCCTTTCACGACGTTCACCGCGAACGACGGGTAGTTCAAATCACCGGGACTAGTTGCAGCTGGACACGTGTAATCGGTGCCGGAGAACAAGAGTATTCTCTCTCTCGTGTAATTTAAGTTGCACAAGTAGTTAAGGTAATCGACGGTTGACAGGTCGTATACCAGCCCCGGATCTGCCGCTCGCGTTGGATCCACGTGTCCCGCTCCAAACTCAAACGCTGTAGCCGCCGATCTGTCTCTCGCGCCCATATCTCCGATCGGCTGGTTCCTGTTGTCGCTGGTACTCGCTGTCGTCATGAGCGCCGATCTGATCATCGCCGGTGACCAATCAGCGTGAACGGATTTGATCAGAGCGGCGATCCCGCTGACGTGCGGACAAGCCATGGATGTCCCAGAGAGAATATTGAATTTGACGCGTCTCGGGTCGGAGCTGAGGAGGCTAGGGCTCGAGAACGGCGACCAACCGGCTAGGATGTTCAATCCGGGAGCCGTAATGTCCGGTTTAACGATTTCCGGTCCGGCGACGCTAGGTCCCCTGGATGAGAACGCGGCGACGATCGGGGCGGTTGCACCGTAAGTGGTTCCTCTGAATCGAATAGATGCGACGGTGGCGTTGGGTCCACCGGCGAGATACTGGAGCAAGATTTTTCCGTCGGAAAAGCCGATGGAAACCGCCGGTAAAACGTGAGGATCAGCTAGAAGCTCCTCTCCTTCGGTCTCTCTGCTCACAAGAAGCATCGCAACTCCGCCGTTCCGTTTGACCTCTTCTCCCTTGGCCGTTCTGCCGCCGGCTCCTCTCAAGCAAATGACGATCTTACCCTCGACGAGTTCTCTCTTGAGCGAGTTCCCAACGCAGAACGCGGCTCCGCCTCCTGGTGATCCGGCCGTTGTGTTGAACACTAGAGACAGGTTCTTGAGGGTTTTCCCTTTGTGCAAGGACGATCCAACCAACCTTTTACCGGTGCCGATCCGGACGATCGCCGGGAACGTCCTGTCGGTGTAACTAGCAGCAACGGTCATCACCCAGGGAGCTCCATTACTCAATGTGGATCTAGAAGGACCCGAGTTACCCGCGGAGCAAGAGACGAAAATGTTCTTCTGCATCGCTCCAAACCCAGCGATGGCGACCGGGTCGACGTAAAAGGGGCGAGAAGAACCACCAAGCGAGAGAGAGATCACATCCACACCGTCTCGGATGGCTCGGTCCACGGCTGCCAATACATCGGTGTTGGCGCATCCTAAGGTCCAACAAGCTTTGTAAGCAGCGATCCTCGAACTAAACCTCATCCCGGATGCGAATGCGCCTCTCGCTTGCCCGTAAAAACTTGCTTTCCGGACCATGCCTCCCGCTGCCGTCGATGCTGTATGCGTCCCGTGTCCTTGTGCGTCTCGTGCCGACCTTTGTTAATATATATACGTTGGGAATCAAATACATGAAGATATTTTATGCATGTTCTCGAAATTAACAGGAGTCATAATATGTAATAATCAAAATTTCTTTCAACCATCTAACCTGAAATCAGTGGTTTCGTTGATTTTTCCTACGATGGATTCGTAGCCTTTGTAATACGCGGCAGCTCCAATAATCTTCTTGTTACACGACGAAGAAGAGAAGTTTGTGCCTTCATCGCACGAGCCTCTCCATCTTGACGGGACCGGAGGCATGTGCGTGTCTCGGAAGCTCACATGCTCCGGCGATATTCCTGTGTCCACTAGGCCAATTATAACGTCCGAAGCTACACTCGTCTCGTTCCAAAGTCCGATCCCATACTCGAGTCCAAGAAATTCATGAGAGTGTGTTGTGTGTAGAGATAAGAGCTCGTCTGGATACGCCGATATAAACCCTTCTGTGCTCTTCACTCTCTCGAGCTGGTCGTCGGTCAGAGTCGCCGAGAAACCGGACATGGCATTTTCGTATATATAGTGAACCTCGGGGAGAGAAAAATCATCGTCGCCAAGATTCTCTGTTTGGAATGAATTCAAAAGTGAAGTTACGATCTGTTTTGTATTGGTTTTGACAGTGTGGATCACGTATGTTTTTTTAAGGGATGAAGCATTTGATGTGAATAAGATTAAAAAGAAGAGGAAAAAGACCAATGATCTGATGAACATCATGGGACTGTTGTCGTTAAAAGGATACAAGGGCATTAAAGAATTTGATGTATCTATCTATGATTCTTAACGACTCGACGTCTCTATGTGTATATAACACATAAGGATATGTGTGACGTGTGAATACTGTGAGCTGTGAGCTGAGAAAAATGTGACTCGAAGAGCATTATATTAAAATAAATAAAAAAATTAAAAAAAAAAGGTAAAATGAAATACGTGATGTTTATATGTAACTGTCGCTATTTGTGGTTTTTGTGCGTGTCCGTCTGTTACTTAATGTTGCTTTACGAGTCGTGGGTTCATTTATAATTTACCAATAAAAGCAAACAAATACTACAAGTTTTGATTAATATCACTTTCCAAGACTTGGGATCACACAGTAATAAAATATTTGCCTAACAGGATGGAGCGTGAGGAATAAGTTTAGCTGCCTTCGATGCGTAATCCGTAAAATACTTGGTTGATTCCACATCTTTTCACACATCATTATGTTTTTTTTTTTTTTTTGTGTGTGCAGAATTGTGAGTTATGTTCAGTCATTTTTCAATTGTGCAAAATCGATGAAAAGATAAAAGAAATGCTGAAAGATAAAATATCATAATTAGGTTGAGATATATACTCATTTAATTAAAAATTGAATCCCATAACACAAAGTTTCTCAGATTTTATGATCTACGATTTTACAGCTTGAGCAATCCAAATTTTAGTAAATTTGAACGGTTAAATAGAACAGTCGATGGAATGACTTATACTCTTAAAAAGAAAAACAAGTCTTCAAAGTTAGTAGACCCATCGCGTAATCGTGATTCCTAATGCCACAGTGTGATGATTCCACTAAGTCATTTGCTTTACGAAACACAGTTCCACTACTTATCTCGGATGGATAAATACATAGCTAGTATAACCAGAAATTGTTGTCTAATAATGATAATAATAATATCGTATGACAAGTCGAAATTCTTATAATATTTGCTTAATACAAGTAGAAGAATATAATTCGTGTAACGTAAATCCAAATAACATGAAATAAACTATCAGCTGTTTTCGAATTTAGGTTGTAAACATATATATAAATAGAGAAGAAAAGAAAACGGGTAGTGGTTTTGATATTTGAAATAGGACGTGGGGATGCAGCTTCCACCACCGCCGGTAGGTGACATTAAATGAGGGACAGTTCGATAATAATTGGGGCGTGACTTAATATTACTCATCTTTATAAGTTTTATGATTCTAAACATTGCTTGTTGCCTTGTTCCCATTTTACTCACCCTCTCTCTCTCTTAGAGAATCCCTCTTGTCTTAGCTTTGAAGCCAAGTTGGAACACGTAAGCCACGACTAACGTTGTTTCTTTAGTAGTTTCTACACTCTTATAAACGTCATAGATATTCCTCGATCGTATCTTCCCATTAAATTCAATACATTAAAGAAAGGATACATTATTTTTATATTCGTATATGATATATAAATAATGATATATGACACACCAAATAACTTGTTTATATTCGTATTGGCTCTTGACCAGACCTTGATGTACGTCCACCAAGGTCTATACTGTACATTTGGATAATTAATATATCAATTTTCTTTTTTTTTTGGATTATGCTTTTCATATTTTTTACAAGACATGAAATGATCTTTTTTTTTTTTAACAACCATCTTTAATTATTAATATGAATTTCAAATTACATAAAAACAACAACATAAACATACAAGACATGAAGATGCCAAAAAAAAGAACATACAAGACATGAAATGTATATTCTGTAAATATAGATATATAGAAGTTAGACTTTTATAAACAAAGCTCGATTAGCTCAGATGGTAAAGCTTTTATTCTTGTGGTCATGGGTTCCCCACGGTGGGCACAGATATTCATCCTTTTCTTATATTTTATGAAGCTAAATGGGCTACATATTCTCCATATTTTAAGCCCAATTGGGATGAGCCCATGACCGTGGCGGGTGATGAGTCCTTCCTTTATATAGGTGCAAGCGAATCCACTCCATAAAACGATATGAAATTAAGAAATTGCCATTGCCCTTCCCCTTTCTCCTTGTCCTTCTTCTTCTTCTTCTTCCCGCTTTGTGGTTTCGTCTGTACAGTGTCGTCTTCCGCTTATTAATTACGGGAATTGAATGGGTGTGGGAGGGAAGTTCTGGGATTTGCTGAAACCTTATGCTCGACAACAAGGGTTTCATTATCTCAGAGATAAACGTGTTGCTGTTGATCTTTCCTCTTGGATCGTTCAGCATGAGACTGCCGTTAAGGGTTTTGTCCTTAAACCTCACCTCAGACTCACTTTCTTCCGAACAATCAACCTCTTCGCCAAGGTTCCCATTTTTTGTCCTTGAATTGTTACCTCTCTTGTCCTCCTTGTTAAACTTCAATTGAATCGTTTCCTAGTCTTTTTGCCTTCCTTGTCTCTTTATGGGAGTATGGGTTTTTTCGAATTTTCGGTTTCGCATATCTTTTGGTTTTTTTTTTCTGTCGAAACAATCATAATACGGTTTAGGGTTTTGCAGTTTGGAGCGTATCCCGTTTTTGTGGTTGATGGAACACCTTCACCCTTGAAATCTCAGGCGAGAATCTCCCGGTTTTTCCAATCTTCTGGAATTGATACTTCGAGTCTGCCTGCAATCAAAGAAGGTGTCTCGGTTGAGAGAAACAAGCTGTTTTGTGAATGGGTTAGGGAATGCGTGGTAAGTCTTGAAGCTTTAGATGCTAATTTTGCTTATCTTCTTATGTGTTTCTTTTTTTTTTTTCAAACTCTGTAGGAGCTGCTCGAATTGCTCGGTATCCCGGTTGTGAAAGCAAAAGGTGAGGCTGAAGCTCTCTGTGCACAACTGAATAGTCAAGGTTATGTGGATGCTTGCATTACTCCTGATAGTGATGCTTTCCTATTTGGTGCTAAGTGTGTCATCAAAGGCATTAAGCCTAATTCAAGAGTAGGTCTTCTCTTCCGTTACTCAATATTATTCTGACCCGCTAATCGCCTTTTTTGGTTTACCGATGATATCTCATTGTGTGTAGGAGCCATTTGAGTGCTACCATATTTCAGATATTGAAGCTGGCCTTGGTCTGAAGCGGAAACACTTGCTAGCCATGTCTCTATTGGTTGGAAATGACTATGATTCAGGTGGTGTTCTTGGGATTGGTGTGGATAAAGCACTTCGTATTGTCCGTGTGTTCTCCGAAGACGAGATACTCGAAAGGTATATACCATAAGCTTATTATCTCTACTTTTCTTTGTGACTGGTCATTTCTTGAACGTGTTGAGATATTATTTCATGTAGCCTACATGACATTGGAAAAGGGATGAAACCTGCATTCAATGATGGAATCAAATCATTGAATGATGGTGAAGAATCCTGCTCCGAGATGAAAAGAAGATTTCCTCATTGTTCTCGTTGTGGACACCCGGGCAGCAAGAGAACTCATTTCAAATCCTCTTGTGAGCATTGCAGTATCGATAGTGGTTGCATTATGAAACCATTAGAGTTTAGATGTGAGTGCTCTTTTTGTTCCAAGGATCGAGATTTGAAGGAACAGAAGAAAACCGAGAATTGGTGGATTAAAGTCTGCGATAAAATTACTCGAGGGCCAGAATTCCCAAACAGAAAGATTATTGAACTGTATCTATCCGATAGCTTCACAGGTATGAAATGACAAAACAACTTTCATGTCTGCATTATATGATTCTTGTTCTGAATCCTAATCTTTATGTACCCCTGAAGCAGAAGAGGGATTTTCAATGTCTTGGGGAACTCCTGATACCGAAATGCTAGTGGATTTCATGGTTTTCAAACTGCATTGGGATCCGTCTTATGTTAGGAAAATGTTGCTTCCGATGTTGTCGACCATATATCTAAGAGAGAGGGCAGAAAACAACGCGGGAAATCCATTGTTATATGAACAATACGAATTTCACTCAATCAAGTGCATAAATACTAGATATGGGCATCAGTCCTTTGTGGTAAGATGGAGAAAACCCATATCTACAAGTGGTTTTACTCAGGGAGAGGCAGAAAAATCGATTGTTGTATGGGAAGACGAGCTAGTCGAAGACGAGGAGTCTGTTGATCCCTTAGATGGGTTAAATGAACCACAAGTGCAAGATGATAATGGTGACTGCTTCTTGCTAACTGATGAATGCATAGGACTTGTTCAGTCTGCTTTTCCTGATGAGACAGAGCACTTCCTGCAAGAGAAGGTAAGGTATATGGGTTTTGTCCTTTTTGTTTCCCTTTTGAAACTGTTGGTTAATTTTTTTTGTTAAAATGTCAGAAAATGCGAGAGTCGAAAAATAAGAATGTTTCTAAAGAAGCATCATCATCAAGAACAACAACAATGGGTGTACAAAGAAGTATTACCGATTTCTACCGTTCAACGAAAACAGCAGTAGACACTGGGGGAACTCAAATAGCTTCTATCTCTGCTGAAAAGAAGAGACAAGCAACTTCTACTAGTAGTAGCTTTTCAAAGTCTGTAAGGCGTCGTCTTTTGTTTGGATAGAACATTCTTGATTGGAAACTATCTTTTCGATCTTTTCTCCATCTGTGACTTACTGATCTTTTTATTAACGGTTTATAAAATAAAAAAAATGGTGCTGCCCAGGATCGAACTGGAGACCTTTTGCGTGTAAGGCAAACGTGATAACCACTACACCACAGCACCTTATGAACTTAGAGTATCAATAGTTTTACTTAGAATGTTTTCGCAGAACAATAAGCTCGTTAACGTAATGGGGGAAAAACGGCGCTTTTGAACAAGAAACAAACAGAGAGCAGAAGGTTTGGTCTTATCGGGAGCAAAAAGGATGAGTGTGGTAATAACATCAACCATCAATTCCAAATCTCTCTCGCCGACTCGACCGTTTCCGTCATGTATAAACAATTCTCCCTCACTGTTTTTAATCTCGGCCTCTTTCTCACGGCGGAGCTCAAATATCTTCCTGACGAAGGTGTCCTGTGCCAAGAGCCCAGATGACTACCACGCAACCCTCAAATCTCTCAATTCACGAGGCCGGTTTCCCAGAAAATCACTTGGACAGGTTCTCTCTCTCTTTCTCCGCAGCACTCATAGACACATACATTTCTCTTTGAGGTTCCTGCGCTTTGTACAGTTTAACTTAATTGAGACAAATGATCGAACACCATGTGTGCCCATGTTTTTTTTAGCTAAGTAGAATGATTGAAACCTTGTTTGTGTCATGTCACAGCATTACATGCTGAATTCGGATATCAACGATCAGCTAGCGGCTGCGGCTAATGTGAAAGAAGGAGACTTCGTGTTAGAGATTGGTCCTGGGACTGGCTCTTTGACCAATGTTCTTCTCAATTTAGGTGCTACAGTTCTTGCCATCGACAAGGTTCTCACGCCATTCATTGACTGCTTGTTTATTTTGCAGCTCGAAATGTTGATACTGATTTTTTTGCAACCAAATCTTTAGGATCCTCATATGGTGGATTTGGTGAGAGAAAGATTCGCAGGTTCCGACAAGTTCAAGGTACCCAACAACTTGTGTGGTTTCTCTCCCTGATGCTTTGTGGTTTTTCTGAAAAGGATTGTTAGAGTGATTTCCTGATCAGATGTGAACATTTGCAGGTTTTGCAAGAGGATTTTGTCAAGTGTCACATCCGTTCTCACATGCTCTCCATTTTAGAGAGTAGAAGGTTATCAGATCCAGATTTTGCTCTGGCAAAGGTCACAACACGTTTCTTCTTTTGGGTCACTTGGCTCTAACTCAGCACCCCGAACCACATATATCTTAACGTTGATTGTTTTGTTTACTCAATGGTATTTGTATATATTATTAATGCAGGTTGTTTCCAACTTACCTTTTAATATAAGTACTGATGTTGTCAAGCTTCTACTTCCTATGGGTGACATCTTCTCACACGTTGTGCTCTTACTCCAGGTAAAGCAAAATTTGCTCTCCTCGTGTTCAAAGGATCATCTCAAATACTATATGTACATCAAGTGTGACAATTTTATTTATGCTAAATCTTAGGATGAGGCAGCTTTGCGCTTGGTTGAGCCAGCACTACGAACATCTGAATACCGACCCATCAACATTTTGGTCAACTTCTATTCAGGTACTTGTTCCATTATCGCCATTTTTTTAACTCTTCATCTGTTTGCAAATCTTGTGATTGCTAATGTGGTTCTTTTGCTGAATCTCTGTGCAACTTTCCTTTGTTTCAAGAACCGGAGTACAATTTCAGAGTTCCTAGGGAAAACTTCTTCCCTCAGCCCAAGGTATATTAACAGTTTTGATTCTCTAAACTTCTGCATCACAAGAAAAATTAATCGCTACCAAATACATATATGGCCACTCATCGTCTTGTGCTCCTTGCAGGTTGACGCTGCTGTTGTAACATTCAAACTGAAGCATCCGAGGGACTATCCCGATGTTTCGTCCACCAAAAGTTTCTTCTCTTTGGTAGCTAAAACTCTCTTCAGCCTGCTTCTTTAGACTTTTAACAACAAAACATCTGAATCCATCCCACAACAGGTGAATTCTGCGTTCAATGGGAAGAGAAAAATGTTACGAAAGTCTCTCCAGCACATATCATCATCTCCTGAGATCGAAAAAGCTCTTGGAGTTGCAGGTCTTCCAGTCACTGTGAGTAATCTCTTTGATGACTTATAAGGGTCTTAGGGTGCGGTTTGCACGAATCTCATATCTTCTTAAAATGAGCTTGTTAGGGAAGTTGTCTCTATGTTTGGAAATTATTAGTCAATTGATACTCAAAACCTTGACTCATAACTATCTTTTTTTTTTGTCCTACGATGTCGTAGTCAAGGCCTGAAGAGCTAACCCTGGGTGACTTTGTCAAGCTGCATAATGTAATCGCCAGAGAATAGGACCAACGAGAAGGACTATATATATATATATATATAAAGTATACATGTTTTGTCAGCTTTCCACAAAGTCACTTGAAATCAAAACAGCATGAGGAGGCTGCCACTCGATGCAGATTAAGCTGTCGATGCAGATGACACTATATACTCCAGAAAGAAGAATGTGAGCAGTCTCCATATAATCAGGAAACAGGAAGCAAGTAGAGTACATACCCAATCTTGTTCTTGTAGAATTATGTCTTTGATAATCTTTGATTCTTTGTAATGCAAAGTGTTAGATTTGTAATCCCAAAAACGACAAATGTCTTTTTACAATCAGAAAAATTTAACCTTCACCGGAGAATTAAGTCTACAATTTACAGTGAGATCATCATCATCCATGAAATTGGTAGATAAGATCCAAAGCTCTCAACTTGGAGGCATGTGGGTCGAAATCAAACCCGTACTCATGGCCACTCCTCGCTTCCGTCGTCGAAGTCTCCACCACGGCCGACGACGGTGACAGTGGCCGTTTGGCTCTCTTGTTCCTGATGAAACACTCTCTCATCTTCTCCTCAACCTTCTCCACCGCCGAATCTCTCTCCTCAGCCTCGCCGTTCTCTTCTTCCTCCCCTAATTGCATCGGCTCGACGGAGGAGAGACTATTCTCCGCTTCCGCCGATGGAATGGTGGATAGGAAAGCGGAGAGGCGGTGGTTGGCTATGCGGAGAGAGGAGGAGATTTGGAGGAGCTGGTTTTGTTCCATGGCGGTTCCGATTTGCTGCGCCATGAGAGTTGCTTTCTCCAGCGATGATATCAGCTCAGCTAATTGCTCTGTATTTCCCATGATCTCTCTCTCCAGATATTTTGTGTTTTAGATTCTGTACGACGATATTACAGTCGCAACGAGTAGCCAAGTTTGGTCCGAGGAAGAGACTGATGACATATATATAGACGATATCTGTGTATACTACTTTCAGTTTTGGGCCTTCTATTGGAAATGGGCTATAATGCCTCAGTAAGACTACTCGCTAGGTTTGTCATTTTTGTTTTTTTTTAAAATAAAATAAATAAAGAGGGTCTTCGATTTGTTTTTCAATTCAAGACGCACAAACCCACTTATACTATTTCAAACCCAATTTACCAATCCATGGTTGTACAAACCTGGATGATTATTTGTAGGGTTTTTTTGCTGTATCTTTTCAAAAAATGATGTGAGAAAAAACCTACAACCTCTAAAACTCTTAAATAATTGCTTTAAGAAAAATAAAACAAAACTAAACATGTTTAAAAAGTGTAATATTTTTTTTTGGTTAAATAGTTAATCATTTTCTACAGTCCAAACCAATCACTCCATTATAATAGATGAAGTGTCATTTGTGTTTGTGTGTGACTGTGTGTGAGAGTAAAGAAAGAGAGAGTATATTTTGCATTTAATGATCTCAAAATAATGATGAGTTGTGAAAAGACAGACACATGGCCAAATTAAATTAAAATTAATGTTCCAATAACATATAAATCAAAGAGCATATAATGCATTCCCTTCTTATCCACAAAACCTAGTCCTGTTTTTGCGATCCAAGAGTTTATCTACCAATATAATTCTGAATACACATAATATCCTGGTTATTAACATACCATTAATTTAATGTAATTTACTAATCACAGTTTTTTTAAAAAAATTTGGTCAATAATACGACGAGAATAACGAATCATTGTCACGTGAAGCAACATTTTCAAATAATTTAATTGTTATGTTTGTATGCCAGCCAAAAATTGCAACGTAATTCAATTAATGTATTTCTTAAATTAAATAGATCAACTGGACGTAATTAAGTGGGCCATAAGCCATAGCTCACGCGACTCACACATGCTAAGTCTGGTAGTTTTGTAAAATCAGTAAAGTAGAAGCACATTATTGTAATTGACAGTTCTTATATTCAAATTATCCACGACACGTGGCATAGTAGCCGGTAAAACTGCTGTGACTTGAGCTTTTACCAGATCGGATGGTCCTACAATAAGACACGTCAACTGTGTGTAGTAACGTTATAAAACAGAACGAAATCTAACGGTCAGATCGAATTTGCTAAGATGAATCACAGCCGTCGGAAAGCTACTGCTTTTAAATTAAGGGCGTAGGAGAGAAACTCGTAGGGCTTTTCTTGGGAGGGGAATCTCTGTGATACTGTAGCTTTTTATTTTTTTTTGTTTTCATAATTTTATATTATTTGTCAACTGTTTCAAGAAAGTAGTAAGCTAAATAAAGAAATACGTATCTTTAAAAATATATTATAGAATCAGATTTGATCGAAGTTGTCTTTAGTTTGTACTCTGTGCTGCTAACTACATATGTCCCTTTTATCTCTCTTTATTTCTCTCTCTCTCTAGATCCTGATGTGATTTGAATTTTTTCAAATAATTTAATCTGAGCAAGAGAGAAAAATAACAAAGGAAGAGGAGCAGGTGTTTGTTTTTTATCGTTTGGAGTTTGAGGAAGAGAAGTCAGCAGTTTGTCTAAATATTTCTTTGTATTCTTGCAAGATTTCAACAGCTCCCTTTAGTTTCTGCATTACACTACAAAAAATGGTGTATGGGTAAGTGAGTCTTGGGATTATTCATCCATATTATGTTCTCATGTCTTAACTTTTTTGTAATGTCGTCTGGCATAAATGCTTTATCATTGAAGGTTTATTAATTTAAATCTCACGGTAATTTTTCTACTTCATTCTGATTCAAATCATAGAAAAAGTTGTAATTTTTGATTGATTCTGCTGTCTACTTCTCATTCTTCAGCTTTTTTCTTCTGCTTTCTGGGTATAAGAAAAAGCTTGAATAGCTTTAATTTTTTTTGTGTCTTTTTGATTTTCGTACAAAAGATGAGAATTTTTTTAAGATTCTGAATCGTAAAGGTTTGTTCTTTGCGATTGATGTTTGCATTCACATGGGAAAAAAAAGCTAAAGTTGTGATCTTAAACTTATAACTGGTTGTTAATTGCTTCATCGTCGATAGAAACAAGTTTGTGATTTCCCCTCTGTTTTCTGTGATTCTTTTTTCCAACTCAGAAGATCAAATTTCCCCTATATCTCATTCTGGTCTTCTCTTTTATATTAGATTCATAATCACAAGTTTATTTTTGTGTTTTTTCTCAGTGACTCGCTCAAAGATCATATTGCATAAATCTATAAATTCTGCTTAACTTCTACTTGTATACTTACAGAATCTCTCTAAATTTCACAAATCAAGTTTTGGCTGGCTGCATAACTTTCACAGTTACAAAATCTTCCTTTAGATCATCCTTAAAGATTACTTCTTAATTTTTGCCTTAGATCTCAGTCTCTAACTTCCCTACATTGGTGCTTACAAGTTACAAGTTGTGTCCACTGAATAGAAAGACAGAGACTTCCCATTGACTTCTCTTTAGAGAAAAGTCTGCAAGTTAACTTTGATCCTCAGCCACATTTTTCCTTTCTGTTACTATCAACAACCTTGAATCACTCTGATCACAAAAATTGCAGCTTATGCTTCCTCTTTTTAAGGAAATTTTCTCCAATCACAAAACTAACCGTTGCGAGTATTGAAAAGTTTTGCATTGACAATGATGGTTCATAAAGAATGAGTCTATGTTTCATGACTGTGAATGAGTTTGTAATGTGTTTTTCATATTGATATATTAGGGAGAAGCATTTAATGAATACGCATCTAGAAACCACTCGAAATGATATGTCGTGGGGAAACTTCTTTCTTTTCTTAAGCAGTGGCTTGTGTGTATCAGTTAGATGTTGTTTTCATGTAAACTAATATTTTTTGTCTTCTTTCCTGTGTTCCATAAGTTTTGATCTTTCTTAATCTCCAATTGCAGTAATTCAGATTCGTGATCTGAAATTTGTCAGTGAGGAACTCAGAGAACTGGGGAAAATTGGATCATTTTCTACAAGTGAAGTTAAAGGAATAAGGAGACAGTGTAAGCTTTTGGCTTTTCTTTATGTTTCTCTCACTGAACATTGTATTAATCAAAGTTTTGATTTTTCTCTTCATCTTCCAATTGCAGTTGGACTCGATCAATGATCACTGATCGATCTGAATATATGGCTGCAGTTCAATTTCAGATGAGGTAAAGTTGTCCTTTTTTTCTCCATAAACGAGGAAAAACATGGCTCAGACATGTATAAGGTTGTAAAGTTTTTTTTATTTATTTTGTGTTTCCTCTTCAGGTTCCATTAGCACTTAATCAAACACAGATCGAGCGGAGAGAATGAATGTTCAAATAGCCTAAGAAGCTGTGATGGGAACAATGGCAGAATTGGGAACCATGGGAAAGTTTGGAGCCATGGCAGAAGAGCAGCAAGGTAACCAGATGGTAATGGATAAACAATCAGCAGAAGAATGGCTATCGCGAGTCCAGTCGCTAATACCATCCGTCCTCAGCAAGGCCAAAACGGTTAAGAATTTTACAGGACGATGGAAGACGATAATCTCAAAGATTGATCAGATCCCAGGTTGTTTATCTGACCTCTCAAGCCACCCTTGTTTTTCCAAGAACAAGCTCTGCAACGAGCAGTTACAATCTGTGGCTAAGACGCTTAATGAAGTGAAAGAGCTTGCAGAGTTGTGTTCAACTGACAAGTACGAAGGGAAGCTGCGTATGCAGAGCAATCTCGATGCTTTATCCGGAAAACTGGATTTGAATCTTAGAGACTGTATGGTTTTGATCAAGACCGGCGTTCTCGGCGAGGCTACATTACCTCTATATATCTCAAGTTCGTTGGAAACACCCAAAATTTCCAGTCTAAAAGAAATTCTTGCGAGGCTTCAGATCGGTCACTTGGAATCAAAACACAGTGCTCTCGAAAACCTCCTTCGTGCAATGCAAGAGGATGAAGAGATGGTTATGCCTTTGATCGGAAGAGCCAACGTAGCAGCTTTAGTTCAACTGTTAACAGCAACTTCTTCGACGAGAATCAGAGAAAAAGCAGTGAATCTTGTCAGTATAATAGCAGAATCAGGACACTGCGACGAATGGCTTATCTCCGAAGGTGTGTTGCCTCCTCTAGTGAGGCTAATCGAATCAGGGAGTCTGGAAAGCAAAGAAAAAGCTGCGATTGCGGTCCAGAGACTGTCGATGACAGAGGAAAACGCACGGGAAATCGCAGGACAGGGCGGAATCACGCCGCTTATCCATCTCTGTAAAACAGGGGATTCTGTGTCACAAGCTGCGTCTGCAGCTGCTCTGAAGAACATTTCAGCAGTTTCAGAGCTGAGACAGTTACTTGCGGAAGAAGGAATGGTTAGAGCCTCGATCGATATTCTGAACCACGGGATATTGTTAGGATCAAGAGAACACATGGCCGAGTGTTTGCAGAATCTCACTGCAGCGAGCGAAGCTCTACGCGAAGCCATTGTTTCAGAAGGCGGAGTCCCGAGTCTCTTGGCTTATCTCGACGGTCCGTTGCCGCAAGAACCGGCGGTAACGGCGCTGAGAAATCTAATTCCGTCGGTGAATCCAGAGATATGGGTCGCTCTCAATTTGCTTCCACGATTAGCCCAGGTGCTCAAGTCAGGATCTTTAGGCGCGCAAGAAGCAGCAGCATCGGCGATTTGCCGTTTCGCATGCTCGCCGGAGACGAAGAGGCTAGTGGGAGAATCCGGGTGCGTTCCGGTGATCGTGAAGCTTCTGGAATCGAAATCCAACGGATGTCGAGAAGCGGCAGCTCAAGCGATCGCCGGACTAGTGACGGAGGGGAAAATTCGGCGGGAATTAAGGGAAGACGGGAAGAGCGTGACGAACCTAGTGACATTGCTTGATTCGAACCCTGGAAACACGGCGAAGAAGTACGCCGTGGCGGGGCTTTTGGGATTGTCGGGGAGCGAGAAGAGTAAGAAAGTGATGGTTTCGTACGGAGCAATTGGGTATCTGAAGAAACTGTCGGAAATGGAAGTAATCGGCGCCGACAAGCTTCTCGAGAAGCTTGAAAGAGGAAAACTGAGAAGCTTCTTCCATCGGTAAACGATGAAGAAGATAGTACCTAATTACTATTATCCAAGTCGTTACTTATCTGATGTAATGTATAAGAATGGTCTTTAAACTTTATCAGAAAGCCCATTGGATAGTTTCTCTTAAGCTGATAAATATTGGGCGTTTTAGCATAAGAAAGCCCAATTTGTTTATTTATTTCTTTAACACTAATATATTTGATAAAAAAACTCTGTTCAGCCTATTCGATTTTTGTGATCGAGATGGATTAGAGAGATGGCAATGGTCAACGTGATCAACGGTGAGAAATAGATCATATCCTGTGACGGCTTCACTGTTTCATTTTATTTACAGAAGGATTATTATAGACACTTATGTTCTGTAGTTCTTGTTCGAGTCTCGCCATATATAACTCTGTTTTCTTCATATTCGATTCGGATCTGTACGAGAATCTTCGTAAAGGTAGATATTTACTTGGATCTCAAAATTCTCTCCTCTTTCGTTTGTCTTGTGCATTTTTGTTTCTATATTTATGAATCTGTGTTTGTATGGTAATTAATTTGGGTGACGTGTTGTGCTACTTTTCCCGGTCGAATTTTCTTGGGGCTTTTACTTAGACTTTATTTCTCTGAAAATTTCTATATCAAAAGTATGAATCTTTGCTCGACCTGATGAGATTTTGTTGTGAAATTGGGTTTAGTGATTTTTTCTTGGATTCTTGTATTTTTTTCTTTTGGATTCCTTTAACCTAGAACCAAATTTGGTGGAAAAAAGGTTGTTGGTGAACTTGGAAGATGAGTACACTTGAGACCACGAGAGCTGAGCTTGGTTTGGTAGTTGTGTATTTGAATAAAGCGGAGGCGAGAGACAAGATTTGTCGAGCTATTCAGTACGGTTCCAAGTTCTTGAGTGATGGACAACCTGGCACTGCTCAAAATGTTGACAAGTCCACCAGCTTGGCTAGAAAAGTTTTCCGTCTCTTCAAGGTTGGTTGGTTGGTTTTCTTCATCTTTTAATCCAATTTCAGATCACAGTTTACTTTCACTTGCAAATTGCAATAATAAGCTCTGAATGGTGTTCTTCTTGTGGTGCAGTTTGTGAATGATCTTCATGCTCTCATTAGCCCTGTTCCCAAAGGGACTCCACTCCCGCTTGTTCTGCTGGGAAAGGTAATGTTGTTGCTTGGTTTTAGAGCCTTGTTTCTTTTCCACAAAATTGATTGATATTCATGTTCTGATCTTGGCAGTCCAAAAACGCGTTGCTGTCTACGTTCTTGTTCCTCGATCAAATAGTGTGGCTTGGCAGGACTGGGATTTACAAGGTGAGGGGAAGTCTGCATAACAAGAGACTTATTTTTTCTTCTCGGGTTAAACTGTTTGCGTTCTGCAAATCTGCTGCTCTAGGACAAAGAACGCGCTGAGCTTCTTGGACGTCTATCCCTCTTCTGTTGGATGGGTTCTTCCGTCTGCACATCCTTGGTCGAGGTTTGTTCACTGTGCCATTGAATTGTTTTGTTATGTCTTGGTGTGTAATGGCTAGTCACTTTCTTCGATGTCAATGTTTAGATTGGGGAGCTTGGTAGGCTCTCAGCATCAATTAAGAAGTTAGAAAAAGAGATGGGGAGCAAGGATAAACACCAAGTAAGCTTTTCCTTTAGCCATGGTTCTTCTTTATGCACTAGTGTAGAAAGAAACTTGGGTGATATAACATATTATTTTTTTATTTTTTTTGGCAGAACGAGCAATACCGTGCTAAACTAGAGAAATCAAAGGAGAGGTCATTAGCTCTGATCAAAGCAGGGATGGATGTGGTTGTTGCTTTCGGATTGCTTCAGTTGGCTCCAAAGAAAGTCACTCCCCGAGTCACAGGCGCCTTTGGATTCGCCTCCTCACTTATCTCTTGTTATCAGGTCATTTCCTTATCTTTTCAACAAAACATTTTGCGTTGTGGACAGAATTCAATGACTAAAGCCATCCATCTCTCTCGCTCGTGCAGTTATTGCCATCGCATCCAAAACCTAAGACGGTCTGAGAAAAGTAGTTTCCTGTACGGACGGATATGTTCCATAGTTTGGTATTATTGTGACTGTTGTCTTAATACTTTTGTTTAGATGTCGTCATAATACTTTTGTTTAGATTCTGTGATATAGCAGTATAATGGTAAACGTTTGTCTCTCGGTTTAGGAAAAAAAGAAAAACAGAGTATTATTATTACTATTATTGCGAGGTGTAAAGGTGTTATTGTTCAAACCTTGAGCAATGCTACAATGTCAACGACGCAAAGAAATGGGTAGAGAAGCTCTAAGCTCAAAGTAGAGCACACTAAATATAAATAAATATTCTCACGGTTTTGTACTGTAGTTTACTTTGAGAAACAGAGCCTTGGACAATAAACAGAAAAAAAAAAAGTAACTCTAATCTAATAATACTCCCCTCAACTAAGAAAATCCTACGATGGATGGATTGTAAAGCATCATCATCATCAATTTATGGAGCTTACAAAAACGTACTGAAATCTGTGTTAAATTGACAAACCAAGGTTTCCTTTTTCGTCAATGATTGTTTAAACGATTCGTCGAAGTTTGAAAGCCATCGTTGCAATTCTGCGTTCGTCTCCGGTTTCAATCCGATAATCAGCTTATTCTTCTTCTTCTTGTTCTTCCTCGTTCCTCTTATTTGCTTTCGATGAGATTTCTCGGTTTGCTTCATTTTACGGCTCGCAGCGGATAACGCCTCAGACAACGACGACAGATCGATTGTCTTCTCCTTGAAAGCATCTATGGCGTCGATCGCATGCTTCAGAGAGCTGAGATTGAGAGGAGAATGACAACCATCGTCGTCGTTGCTCCGCCGTCTGACCGTGAGGGCTCCTTTAGTTCCCGGGTTCATCAAGGAGGTTCACGGCGGACTTTGAAAACAGGGGTTTATACACTTTGTAGGAAATATATATATATATATATATATATATATATATATATATATATATATAGTAAACTAATTCGAGCATAAATGGGCCTTTCTGATGGCCCATTTGCCAAAAGCGTTAAAATACAGGACGCTTATTCAAACACGATGGGGTTGTGTTTTAGTGCCAATTGTTGGAGAGACAAGGAAACAAAAAAAAAGGGAGGTCAGAAGTTGGAGACATCAGTGCGATCAAAGAAAAGAGCAGATGGGTGTCCATTAGGGACCAAAGCAAGTCTCACAGGACTCGCAGCACCTTCTTCAACGCTCAAAATCCCAGTGTTGAAGTTGATTTCAGTGTTAACGAAACCAGGACAAACACAATTGATGATGAATGATTTCTTCTGCTTGCCCAAAACTCGTGTCAATGCTATCACTGCAGCTTTTGATAGTATGTATCCAGACATTACTGTTGGCCAACCTTTGACTTGTAATGAACCTTCTCTGTAATCCTTGAGGTACTCATTGATCACTTGATCTATTTTCTCTTCCGTTAGGTTCTCAGCATCACTCAGCACTCCTTTTGCCCATTCATTTGACACATTCTGTGTAGTAGTAATGTAAATACACATTTACATAAAAGTTAAATTCAATTTGACAAGAAAATCAAGATCGTACCTCTAACTTTCCCATGGTGGAAGCAATGCTGACGATTCTTGGGGAATGAGATGATTCAAGGAGAGGAATCATGGCCTGGCACATTCGCTTTACCCCGTAGTAGTTTGTCTTAATACACTCCTCCACTATCTCATATGTATCGCTCATTATCTTTGAAATATCGGTGGGTGCACCAGCCTGTACTAGTAGTCATTTGTTTTTATGGGTAAGCCTTAATTACCTCTCAAAGCAAAAATCTCAAATCGCAAGGGAAGTTTAGATATTACTGTACCTCGGCAATTTGAGCTTTGAGAACATCGACATTCACATTTGCCCCTCCAACTCCGGCATTATTAACCTGGAGAGACATACACCAAACCAGAAAAATCAGAAGACTAAAAAAAGTGGGAAGAGTATTTATTATACATATATATATATATAGTTGCTGCTAAACAGGATCATTTCCTACTTAAACATTTATCTGTGTCACTGATTTAGATCCGATAGCGAAATCAAATGCAGCCAATATCACCAGATGTAAGCCAGATTAGATCGATGGAATACTAGATTCAAGAAACACAAATTTTACCAGGATATCGAGTTTCCCGAAGTGGGTCTTTATAAAACCAGCAAGAGAAGCGATGCTGTCTGGATTGGAGACATCAAGTTGGTGAAAGGCGAGGGCTTGATCAGAAAAACCATTCTCTGCCTTGAGCTTTTCGACAGCTTCAAGACCCTTCTTCTCATCTCTCGCTGTTAGTATCACAGTTATCCCATTATTAGCAAGTTGCCTGCAGATCTCAAACCCAATCCCTTTGTTCGAGCCAGTGACTACTGCAACTCTGGACACAGTCAGAGGAAACAAACGCTCAATTCAAAGTTATTTTGAAGGTTATTCATCAGATTTTCAAGCCGAGGTTAGAGAGAGGATGCACAAACCTTGACTCTGCCATTGAATTAGATGAAATGACAGAAAAGTCAACGGAGCTATCGTCTTGTAATGGTTCTAATTTCAATTAAAAATATATTTCAATTTATATTAAAGAAGGACATGGAGGGGCCTTAAAAACACAAAGGCGAATTGGGGAGGTATTCTATTGGGATGGAATGATGGCCGATATCCGGCAGTACGTGGCACGCTGTCAGGTTTGCCAACAACAGAAATACTCTACACTCGCGCCAGGAGGGCTGCTCCAACCCTTGCCCATTCCCGCGGCTGTGTGGGAGGATGTGTCAATGGACTTTGTGGAGGGCCTGCCTAAGTCGGAAGGGTACAACTCAGTGCTGGTGGTGGTTGACAGATTAACGAAATATGCTCACTTCATTCGGTTAAAACATCCATTCACGGCGGTGGAGGTAGTGATGGTATTTATCCAGGAAGTGATCAAATTGCACGGGTTCCCGCGTTCCATCGTGTCGGACAGGGACAAAGTGTTTACCAGCAATTTTTGGAAGGAGCTATTTCGCCTATCGGGTACCAACTTGTGTTTCAGCACTGCTTATCATCCCCAGTCGGATGGGCAGACTGAGGTCACCAACAGAGGGCTGGAGACATACTTGCGTTGTTTCGCCGGGGACAAGCCTCGAACGTGGTCTCGTTTCTTACCCTGGGCAGAACTGAGTTACAACTCCTCCTACCATTCGGCGATACAAATGTCACCTTTTACGGCTACCTATGGAAGGGACCCCCCAGTGTTGATTCGATATGAGACGGGGTCTACATCTAACGCCAGTTTGGAGGAGCAATTGCGGGAGAGAGATGACACGCTGGTCTTGTTGAAGGAGCGTTTGCACAAGGCTCAGCAGCTGATGAAACGTCGGGCTGATGAGCACCGCAGGGACGTAGAATTTGAAGTTGGCGACGAGGTATTCCTGAAAATGCGTCCTTACCGACGTTAGTCTCTGGCTAGGCGTCCGAACGAGAAACTCGCAGCTCGGTTTTACGGTCCTTTTCCTGTGGAAGCTCGGGTGGGGAAGGTGGCTTATCGCCTGCAGTTGCCACCTGAGGGCCAGGATACATCCGACTTTCCATGTTTCGCAGCTTAAGAAAGCTGTCGGGTGCTCACTCACACCAGTGGACATCCCACCTCAGTTGACAGCAGAGGGAATCCTGGAAGCTGAACCAGAAGCTGTGTTGGAGTTCCGTACCAACGAGGGAACACGTCAGGATGAAGTTTTGATTAAGTGGAAGGGGTTACCAGAGTATGAGTGTTCCTGGGAATGGGTCAGCACAATGAGGAGACAGTTTCCCCACTTCGACCTTGAGGACAAGGTCAATTTCAAAGGGGGAAGTATTGTTAGCAGTAAGGCCCAGAAACCACCTATTCTCTACCAGTATGCGAGGAGAAACAAGGCCCAAGTGAGAAATGAGTAAGCATGAAAGGTGATATCCACTACAGGTCGTGAGGCGGTGGCATTGACTTGGGTGTTTACTACTATAGTTAAGGAATAACCACGGTTAGAGGGAATCTAAGCTGTTGCAACGGATCACGTGAGGCGTAGTGACGTGTAAGGAGACTCTCGGGGTAGTAATATTAATATGGTTAGATTTCACTAAGTATGTATCAAGGATATTGATCAGAGCTGTAGGGGAGGAGAGAGACTCCATTATCATTCTCTCGAGTCCTGTAACTTCTTTGATCATTCCGTAATAAAGAACTTATCTAGTATTCTAGAGTTATTCAAGTAAATCGTAACAAGACATTTCTTCTATATTTTCTATTTCTTTTGTCGACCATTCCATTTAAAACCCAACAAGGATAAAAATTACAACAGATTGAAGTCCAACCCATATTAACAAAATAAGCCCACAATCGTTAAACCCAAATACTCTAGCGAAAGAATATGACCCATGTGAGATAAGTAGATAACAATTACCACACACGTGTAAGAGTTGTTGTTACACATGGAAAATCTTCCTTGTTTTCCCCATGGAAGTGTTGAATTAGGTAGGGTTGTTCCGAGGCCAACAGAGACTTAACCCAAATGGGCGATATGTACTCTAACGTAAGAATATGACGGATCGGTTAAAAGGGACGTATCATCTTCCATGAAAGTAACTACCATCAAAAAAAAAAAAATGTACACGACAAGAAGAAGCTGAAAGCTGTTCTTGTTTTTGCCAGAATGAAAAAAACGGCATCAGATCGTGAGTGCACCTCCTCCTCCTTCCATTATCGGGTTCTCGTCAGATGCATCCGACGGTTGAGGTTTAGGCTTAGTCGTCGTCCTCGAAAAACCGTAGCCCAGAGAGCTTCCGCTTGCTTCACATAGCTGCCGTATACCATTTATACCAATACAATTTTTTCAGACCAAACCAAAAATCTGATTATAAAAAGAAACGATGAGAATGATCGAAAATGAAACGCACCTCCGTTAGTTCAGACAGGTGACGGGTTCTGAATTCGTTGATCGTGTTTGCGATTTCTGATGTCGGTAATTTCGCCTGAGAAGGTTTTTTAACCACAAAAAAATGAACATACGCTATGTTTAAGATTATTTTCAAAGACAAGAGATCATCATCATGTCTTACCTGAGCAAGAACAGCAGCTGCCAACTGCAGACTTGGCTCCAGAGTCTCCGGGACAACCTACAAGTTTTCGTGATCATGATGTATTAGTGTACGATCAAGAAAGCATATGTCTTATTTAGTGGAAAGTGAAAGGGTTTGTGAATATTACAGCAGTAGCACCGGCTTTTTCTAGATTAAGACCATGAACAACGTCGTGTGCACGGACAAAGGTTTTGACATTGGGGTAATACTTGCTCAGAGCCCATACACATCTGTAGTTTGCTCCTGGTGCGTCTAAGGCAACCACAGCAGCACATGCTCTCTCAGCTCCAATTTTGTGGAGAACCTATTTGTTTGCACAAGTAAAGTAATATTTTTAAATGCTGGTACAGTCTGTAATTGTATCGTGCGTCTTTTATTTTCTTTTTCTTTTGTGTACCTCTCTACTACCAGCGTCTCCAAAATAAACCGGGAGATCCAAGGAACGCGCGATAGTCACTCTCTCACTGCAAATAATATATGAGGTTTTCAGGTAAGCAAAGAATGCGTGTAAGAGATATGGAATTTTAAATCAGAGAAGTTAAAACGTGATCTCAATGTATGTGGTTGTAACTGAAAAAGCCCACATTTTCGGTTTATCAGGAGAACAAGATGATATCTGAAACCTACTTTCTCCCACAAATTGATACAGGAAATGAAACTGTTACCTGCTGACATCGAGGGCAACGAATGGGATAAGTCTTTCTGAGAGAAGCTGGGCAATTATCTGAAAGTAACAAATAAAAAATGGCGAAGAAGTTAGAAACTCCGACTGTCTACACTGATGTTCTCGTCTAAAACGCATAAACTGAAGAAGTTCAGATAATGTATAAACCTGACCAACTCGTCCAAATCCGCAAATAATTATGTGATCCTGCAAATCATCCGTCTGCAAAAATAAAAAAAATCAGCCAAGAAAAAGAGGGATTAGACACCAGAAAGCCTTGCAATGAATTCTGGATCAAAGGATGTGTTAGCTTCAGAACGACACTTAAATCAAGTGGTACTATTATTGATGGATGATTGACTTATGGAGTTAAAATCCTATACACAAAATCATCATGATTCCTACCTCACTTTCAACCGGCAATAAACTTCTAACATCATGCAGCTCAAATCGGGATGCAACTAACTGGCCACCAGCAGCTAACCAAGGTGTTATAGCCATTGAGATTCCCACGACAAGAAACAGCAACGAAGATAACTGAGGAGACATTATACCCTGGAAGAACAACCGATTAGTGCGCTAGGGAAAAGACCGTTGAAATAACTATATGTTTTGAAGACGCATCGCTGCTTATATACCAATTGGTTAAAAGAAAAAGACGTCATGTCGATAACAAACCTGATTGACAGCTTCTCCGAAAGCAACAAATGCAAACTCTCCACCTGGAGCCAGAAGAAGACCAGCTCTAATTGCAGATATGATTGAAATGCCGAACAATTTGGCCATGATCACGAGTAATATAGTCTTGCCCACTATCAAGAGTCCTAACGTTCCCACTACGATAGGGAAGTTAGAGAGAAGAAGTTTGGGATCTATAGACATGCCAACCTAAAATGAGTGGAACTCTTCTTGTTAGTTTTGTGCATGTGATTAGTGATTACACATGTTTACAGTTGAAAGAAACATCAGAATCTTAAGAGAACATAAAATATATTTTCTGTTCCCATCAACAATGTTTTTTTATCCTTTTCAGAAATGATAAAGTTGTTTCAAAACTCATAAATTACCGTCATGAAGAAGAGTCCTAGAAGAAGGCCACGATATGGAGCAATATCTGATTCTACTTGCAACGAAAATTCTGTTTCCGCAAGGAGTAAACCAGCCAGAAACGCTCCTAATGCCATGGAAAGTCCAGCCTAATTTATATAAACGAGAAAATTTAGCAGAAAAGAAACAAAGGCATGGCAGAATATATGGAAATGGCCAAATAGCAACAAGATCATTGTCATACGACTCATACCCTAGCTGTCAGTAAACTAGTCCCAAGAATAACAAGAAGTGTGTTGGCAGAGAATATCTCGGCGTTTCGATTTTCTGCAACTTGCTTGTAGATTGGTCGAAGAAGCTGTGTGCCACAAGAGTGTCATCAATGCCTTAGATTATAACACAATATTAGTACCCGAAGCACCAGTAAAATTTCATGATAAGGTCCTGAAAACAAGCTTCTTCCTTTTGTAGCAAATCTAAAACATTTCACCTTACAACTTTGGACTTAACTTATTTTAAAATCTGGCGTCTCAAAAGTTAAGGTATCTGAGACTTACAAGACGGCCACCAGCAATTATGGCAGTAATAGCAACAGCTGCTTTGACTGCAGCAAGTCCAAGAGCTTCAGCAATGGCTTGAAACCCAATCTGAGAAGAACAGTTAGAAACTTATCAATTTCCTACTAGTGATACTTCCTCGACACCCTTGAGTATATACTAGCATTTACCACCACTATTAGCAAAAGATAACCACAACGTTTCTTCTTAAGAGAGCAGCAAATAACTCATCAAACCTCTTACTTAGATAATTGCCAACACATGGCATTGAACACAAAAGCAAACCGTACTCAAGAAGAAAAAAGGAACCCTAGAGATGAGCTTACCCCTCCTTTCGATGAATTAGGTGAAATAAGTGGAATGAGAATCAGTAAAACAACTACAGCTAGATCCTGTAAAGAAAATAACAAAATGATGAGAAATTCCCAGCATAGTTGTATTTATATACGTGAAGAATGAAATCTGTTCTTAACCGACCTGAAAAAGCAAGACGGAAAATGTAGCCCGTCCATGTCTAGATGTACTCTCACCCCGTTCTTGTAGAACCTGAAAGCCAAATAGATTGTTTCCGTTCAACCAATTGGTAGCTTGATTGCATATAAAACTAAATGAAAGGACTGTTACCGAATTCCTTTATATAAGATCTCTATCTGAATACAGCCAAAAAATGTTACCTGAAGGACAACAGCAGTTGAGGACAGTGCCAAGCCATTTCCGATAACTATTGCCGCTGGACCAGCCTGACCAGCAACATAATGGGCAATCAATCCAACTACTGCAGCGGTCACCAGAACCTAGATTACAATAATAGAATTGTAGATTAGAGGACTTGGAAACAGAAACATCAAGCAGGCACGTACTGTGGTTGATCTTCAAGTAATCAAATCACCTGAGCGGAGCCTAATCCAAAAACATACTTCTTCATGGAACTCAGTCTTTCCACAGATAGCTGTCAAATCAAATAAAAACAAAAATTTGGCTCTTCTACCAAACACAATTCAAAAGAAAAAGCACAGCATACACGTATATCATACAGTACCTCAAGACCAATGTTGAAAAGCAAGAACACAACTCCGAATTCTGCGATGGCCTTGGTGGCGTGCACATTACGGATTATCGAAAGACCATAAGGACCAATCAGTATTCCAGCTGCTAAATACCCAAGAACAGGGCTGCCTATACATTGCAGCACATGAATCTCTATGCAACATGGGAATCGTAGGAGTTTGAGAAAAGGGGAAACAAGGAAAATAAAATAGAATCCTAATTACCTCCAGGAATTTTTTGAAATAGAGGAACAAATATGACGCTTGCAAGCAGTAACCACAAAAAATCTAAAAGGGAAGCTTCTTCCTCATTGACCTAATAATTGCAGAAGATTCAGCCTGCAAACTACATTCCATACAATTTGCTAGTGAATTGGAAAAAGAACAAGAACAATCATTGATACCTCCTGGTGAGGAAGCATCTCAAGCAGTTTCTTAATTCTCTTGGGAAGTTTCTGCACTTGCCGGATCAACGGCTTCTTACTGGAAGACACATCTCCCGTAGTAGTGCTGATAGCATCTGGCTGTTGATGCAGCTGATTGTTTCCTCCTACTCCATTGGAGTATAGTGTCAGTCTGGAACGAACAAGAAGCTCATAGTCAACAAAAAGACTATATTCACGACAATAAAATGATCCTTCAAAAAGTGATGAAATGAAGAGTAAATTTTGAAACTAACCCTGCTCCGAGAAGTGCAAACCCAAGAATTAGTTTGGGCCATTGCTGTTTGACAGAATCAACCAGACTCGCAAACACTGTCGTGGACCCATCTGGATTGGAAGAGAAGAATGATGCAGAAAAGAAACGAGAGGATTTATTAAACGATGCCTTGGGAGAATTAAGCGAAGAACCCTCTTTTGACAGATCTTTCTGTGTTTCCTGTTTTTTCGTCTGAATAGCAATCTTTGACTTGTCAGAATCTGTTTCAACGACTTCAGAAGACTCTACACTTGGCTTTCCATTCTCATGATCCCTTGAATCATAAGGCTGAGTTAGCTTTTGAGCCTTCTGACCAACTTTATCAGGTTCATGATCAGCTGTGTTCTGTACCGCTGATACATTTTTATCTATTGGTGATTCCCTTTCAACCTGAAGGCTAAGATCTTCAATATTGCTTGAGAGTACCACCTCATCCTCGAGGGGAGTTTGTTCATCCTCGAGAGGAGTTTCTTCTGGGGTCTGCGAGATGGATAGAGACTTCTCTGCTCTCTGCAAAGCAATCTCTGCATCATTAACGCGTTGCGTAGCCTCAAGCTCAAATGCGACAGCTTGTTCAGCCAATTTCATGATATTTGCGACATCCTCCTCGGCTTTCAAGGCCCTGATCTGTATTGTCTCAGCAAACTCATTAAACTTGTCCACTTCCTTCTGCAGCTCATCTTTTTTGCGCTGCAAGCAACTCAGTTGGGCCTCACAATTTGCTAAATTCACTTGGCATACCTTTATGTCATCCTTAGCAGCTAAAAGTGCTTCTTCTTTATCTTCAACATCGTCTCTTTTCTCAGTCTCTTCAGACGCCTCTGGAATAGCATTCCCTCCACCTACTTCAAGTGATTCCACTAAAACCCTAAGCCTTGCTTCAGCCAGAGATAACGCCATCGTAGCCTTTTGAACAGCTTCTTTGGCCACAGATTCCTCATCAACTGTATCTCGCATAATATCAAGGGTTTTGTTGACCTCATCCCAAACACTAGCCGCTTCATCCTTGAGTGCTATCGCAGTTTCTGATATCCTCTGAGCCTTTTCCTCAAACATGGTACTATTGAGCCTAGCAACTTCCAATTCTTTGATAGCCTTGTGTAGTAAATCCTTGAGTTCCTCCAAACAATCATTTTCGTTTCCTTCCGCTCTCACATCTTTTTCTTCTTTCAAGATTGTAGCTTGGACTTCATCATTACTTTCTGAAAACCCCGCATCAACACGAACAAGAGAATCATTACCTTGACAATGTGACCTAAATCCAAAGGGGATCTGTGTAGAATGTCCAGCTATTGATTTTCTAGGATGCAAATGGCTATAAATTTTTCCAGAATTGAAGGTCAACGTAGCACTTTGCGTAACATTCCTCCTCAATCGAGTACCCAAGTGGAGCAATTTAGAATAAGTCTTGTGATCCCAGAATCTACTGCTGACTGTAGCTTTGGGACACAGTTTCGCATTGATCAACCGATTTGGGAAGCAGTAACTCGCACCATTCCCACCATGAAGTAAAATCGGCCGCTGAACACTACAAGCAGATTCCATGTCGAATCAATCTAGAGTAGCCTTACTTTATCCCTCAAACCTTCACACCTGTGGAGCAAATCGAAGTTCCACGGTTGTAACGAAAATCACATTCGGACTTGAAACGAAAATAAAAATTCGGCTCAGAAGTCCGTATATGAAATGAAAGAATTCGAAAAAATCACGAAGCACAGCTTCACAAGCACAGAGAGAGAGAGAGACTAACCGATCATGGAAAATGGGTGTGACGGAGTAAAGAAGAGTGGCGGAAATAGAGCTTAGCGGAGCCGAAGACTGATCGAAATGGCTCGTCTGATAAATTCTTCAGTTCCGTTTCAAAAGGTTTTTCCCGTATCGAAAATCGAATGAGAAATGAGGAAGAGAGTCCCAACTCCCAACAAAAGAGAAAAACAAAAAAAAAACGAAGGAAAAAAAAACTGCAAAATAAGCCACCAACCTTTCATGGCAATCAAAAGGGGTTTTTGCAAGAAAACCCTCAAACTATACAGACCTCCGACTTTCAAAATGACGTAAGGGACCCATAAGTTGTAAAATATTAATTTCCAACCCTTACTGATTACTCAATTGATTTAACCAGTAAATACGAGTTACATTACTTTATGAGCCCTTGAGTTGACTAATTTATTACCTTCGTCTTTTTTTTTTTCGTTTTTTTACCTTTTTTTTATGTTGTAACGATCCATCTACATATTATTTATTTATTTTCATAAGCTTACAGTGGATTAAATGTAACCGAGTTCAGTCAAATGATAAAGCAAAAAACTAAGTAGTTAGGGGATAAAGATTTAAGTGATTATGACTCTTGTGCCAATAAAGAATATATAATCGTAAGGCTTTGCAAATGAATATTTGATAGTAGGTGGTGGGGGTCTTTTGGTATGTCACAATGATAGATACACTTGATAGATGGCTCTTGGAAATTTTATTGAAGTTGAGAAATGGTGCCCATAACAGTTAGCTTTCAAAATAATAAAACCTGATAATTAAGGATTACAGAAACAACGTGTTGCACAATCAAGCCTCTCTCCCTACCTCTATCACCACCTATAAAGGCATTGACAGAGAGATCCGGAACACAATCACTGCGACCCTTTGGCTTAGATGACAATCATGGTATCGCTGCCGTTGATTTTTTTCATGCATTTTGCCGTAAATTGAAGTAAAATTCAATTTTCTTGTTTTGACTTTATCGTTTGTGTATATTTCACCCAAACGAGTTATATGTACTCTAACGTAAGAATATGACGGATCTGTCTTGCCAGAATGAAGAAATGTACACGACAAGAAGAAGCTGAAAGCTGTTCTTGTTTTTGCCAGAATGAAAAAAACGGCATCAGATCGTGAGTGCACCTCCTCCTCCTTCCATTATCGGGTTCTCGTCAGATGCATCCGACGGTTGAGGTTTAGGCTTAGTCGTCGTCCTCGAAAAACCGTAGCCCAGAGAGCTTCCGCTTGCTTCACATAGCTGCCGTATACCATTTATACCAATACAAATTAATCAGACCAAACCAAAAAGCTGATTATAAAAAGAAACGATGAACTTGATCGAAAATGAAACGCACCTCCGTTAGTTCAGACAGGTGACGGGTTCTGAATTCGTTGATCGTGTTTGCGATTTCTGATGTCGGTAATTTCGCCTGAGAAGGTTTTTTAACCACAAAAAAATGAACATACGCTATGTTTAAGATTATTTCCAAAGACAAGAGATCATCATCATGGTCTTACCTGAGCAAGAACAGCAGCTGCCAACTGCAGACTTGGCTCCAGAGTCTCCGGGACAACCTACACGTTTTCGTTATCATGATGTATTAGTGTACGATCAAGAAAGCATATGTCTTATCTAGTGGAAAGTGAAAGGGTTTGTAAACATTACAGCAGTAGCACCGGCTTTTTCTAGATTAAGACCATGAACAACGTCGTGTGCACGGACAAAGGTTTTTACATTAGGGTAGTACTTGCTTAAAGCCCAGACACATCTGTAGTTTGCTCCCGGTGCGTCTAACGCAACCACAGCAGCACATGCTCTCTCAGCTCCTATTTTGTGGAGAACCTGTTAGCTTGCACAAGTAAAGTAATGTTCAGATGCTGGTATAATCTGTAATTGTCTCGTGCGTCTTTTATTTCCTTTTTCTTTTGTGTACCTCTCTACTACCAGCGTCTCCAAAATAAACAGGAAGATCCATGGAACGCCCGATCGTCACTCTATCACTGCAAATAAAATATGACGTTTTCAGGTAAGCAAAGAATGCGAGGAAGAGGTAAGTGAAACTGGCTGGCGCAATACGAAACAGTCTCAAAACAAATATTTTGAAGCGGAGACGTTGAAATGTTATCTCAGTGTGTGTGTAAGTTACTGATAGTGATCACACTTTCGGTTTAATATGAGAACAAGCTATCTGAAAACCAGTTTAGCCCAATTTGATAGCCTATTCCGCAAATTATGTTACCTGCTGACATCGAGGGCAACGAATGGGATAAGTCTTTCTGAAAGAAGCTGAGCAATTATCTGGAAGTAATAAATAAAATATCGTGAAGAAGTCAGAAACTCTGAGACATCCCGTGAAGCAGACTATTGACAGAGGTTCTCATGTGAAATCATAAACTGAAGAAGTTCAGATAATGTATAAACCTGACCAACTCGTCCAAATCCGCAAATAATTATGTGATCCTGCAAATCATCCGTCTGCAAAAAAAAAAAAAAAAAAATCAGCCAAGAAAAAGAGGGATTAGACACCAGAAAGCCTTGTAATGAATTCCTGAATCAAAGGATGTGTTAGCTTCAGAACGACACTTAAATCAAGTGGTACCATTATTGATGGAAGATTGACTTACAGACTTAAAATCGTATACATAAAATCATCATGATTCCTACCTCACTTTCAACCGGCAATAAACTTCTAACATCATGCAACTCAAATCGGGATGCAATTAACTGGCCACCAACAGCTAACCAAGGTGTGATAGCCATTGAGATTCCCACGACAAGAAACAGCAACGAAGATAACTGAGGAGACATTATACCCTGGAAGAACAACCGATTAGGGCGCTAGGGAAAAGACAGTTGAAATAAATATCTGTTTTGAAGAAGCATTGCTGCTTATACATCATGTCGATAACAAACCTGATTGACAGCTTCTCCGAAAGCAACAAATGCAAACTCTCCGCCTGGAGCCAGAAGAAGACCGACTCTAATTGCAGATATGATTGAAATCCCGAACAATTTTCCCATGATCACGAGTAATATAGTCTTGCCCACTATCAAGAGTCCCAAAGTTCCCATTACGACAGGGAAGTTAGATAGAAGAAGTTTCGGATCAATAGACATGCCAACCTGAAATGTGTGGTACTCTTTTTGTCAGTTGAAAGAAACATCAGAATCTTACGACAACACCAAAAAAATATCTTTGCTGTTTCCATTAACACTGTATAATATAAATAAAGTTGTTTCAGAACTAATAAATTACCGTCATAAAGAAAAGTCCCAGCAGAAGACCACGATATGGAGCAATATCTGATTCTACTTGCAAGGAAAATTCTGTCTCCGCAAGGAGTAAACCAGCTAAAAATGCTCCTAATGCCATGGAAAGTCCAGCCTATTTTACAGAACCGAAAAATTTAGCAGGAGAGAAAAATTGGCATGGCAGAATATATGGAAAAACGCCCAAATACCAACAAGTTCAAGGTCATACCCTAGCTGTCAGTAAACTAGTCCCAAGAATAACGAGAAGTGTATTGGCAGAAAATATCTCGGCGTTTCGATTTTCAGCAATTTGCTTGTAGATTGGTCGAAGGAGCTGTGTGCCACAAGAATGTCATCAATGCCTTAGATTATAACTCCAGTGAAACATATGATTTGTACCCGAAGCAGCAGTGAAAGCACAACAAACATTCAGGAAAACTTGCCTCTTCCTTTTGTAGCAAATCTAAAACACCTCACCTTACAAATTTGGTAAAACTTATTTTGACATTAAAAGTTACAGTATCTGAGACTTACAAGACGGCCACCAGCAATTATGGCAGTAATAGCAACTGCTGCTTTGACTGCAGCAAGTCCAAGAGCTTCAGCAATGGCTTGAAATCCAATCTGAGAAAAACAGTTAGAAACTTAGCATTATCCTTACATTGATACTAACATTTACGACAACGTTTCTTCTTAAGATAACCACAACGTTTCTTCTTAAGAGAGCAAATAAATAATCAAACCTTTTACTTAAGATAATTGCCAACACATGGCATTGTAAATAAAGGTACCCTTGAGGCGAGCTTACCCCTCCTTTTGAAGAATTAGGTGAAATAAGTGGGATGAGAATCAGTAAAACAACGACCGCTAGATCCTGTGAAAATAATTAACAAAATGATGAGAAATTCCCAGCACAGTTATATTTATATACGTGAAGAACGAACTCTGTTCTTAACCGACCTGAAAAAGCAAGACGGAAAATGTAGCCCGCCCATGTCTAGATGTACTCTCACCCCGTTCTTGTAGAACCTGAAAGCCAAATAGATTGTTTCCGTTCAACCAATTGGTAGCTTGATTGCATATAAAACCAAATGAAAAGACTGTTACCGAATTCCTTTATAAAAGATCTATATCTGAATACAGCCAAAAATGTTACCTGAAGGACAACAGCAGTTGAGGACAGTGCCAAGCCATTTCCGATAACTATTGCCGCTGGACCAGCCTGACCAGCAACATAATGGGCAATCAATCCAACTACTGCAGCTGTCACTAGAACCTAGATTACAATAATAAAATTGTAGATTAGAGAACTTGGAAACAGAAACATCAAGCAGGCACGTACTGTGGTTGATCTTCAAGTAATCAAATCACCTGAGCGGAGCCTAATCCAAAGACATACTTCTTCATGGAACTCAGTCTTTCAACAGATAGCTGTCAAATAAAATAAAACAAAAATTTGGCTCTTCTACCAAAAAAGTTCAAAAGCAAAAGCACAGCGTACACATATATCATACAGTACCTCAAGACCAATGTTGAAAAGCAAGAATACAACTCCGAATTCTGCGATGGCCTTGGTGGCGTGCACATTACGGATTATCGAAAGACCATAAGGACCAATCAGAATTCCAGCTGCTAAATACCCAAGAACAGGGCTGCCTATACATTGCAGCACATGAATCTCTATGCAACATGGACATCGTAGGAGTTTGAGAAAAGGGGAAACAAGGAAAATAAAAGAGAATCCTACTTACCTCCAGGAATTTTTTGAAATAGAGGAACAAATATGACGCTTGCAAGCAGTAACCACAAAAAATCTAAAAGGGAAGCTTCTTCTTCATTGACCTAATAATTGCAGAAGATTCAGCCTGCAAACTACATTCCATACCATTTACTTGGGACTTTGAAAAAGAACAAGACAAATCATTGATACCTCCTGGTGAGGGAGCATCTCAAGCAGTTTCTTAATTCTCTTGGGAAGTTTCTGCACTTGCCGGATCAACGGCTTCTTACTGGAAGACACATCTCCTGTAGTAGTGCTGATAGCATCTGGTTGTTGAAGCAGCTGATTGTTCCCCCCTACTCCATTGGAGTATAATGTCAGTCTGGAACAAACAAGAAGCTCATAATCAACAAAGAGACTGAATTCACGTACAATAAAATGATCTTTCAACAAGTGATGAAACCTAGTGTAAATTTTGAAACTGACCCTGCTCCGAGAAGCGCAAACCCAAGAACTAGCTTGGGCCATTGCTGTTTGACAGAACCAACCAGACTCGCAAACACTGTCGTGCTCCCATCTGGACTGGAAGAGAAGAAAGATGCAGAAAAGAAACGAGAGGATTTATTAAACGATGCCTTGGGAGAATTAAGAGAAGAACCCTCTTTTGACAGATCTTTCTGTGTTTCCTGTTTTTTCATCTGAACAGCAATCTTTGACTTTTCAGAATCTGGTTCAACCACTTTAGAAGACTCTACACTAGGCTTTCCATTCTCATGATCGCTTGAATCATAAGGCTGAGATAGCTTTTGAGACTTCTGACCAACTTTATCAGGCACATGATCAGCTATGTTCTGTACCGCTGATACATTTTCATCTACAGGTGATTCTCTTTCAGCCTGATGGCTTTCATCTTCAACATCTTCATCCTCGAGGGGAGTTTGTTCATCCTCGAGAGGAGTTTCTTCTGGGGTCTGCGAGATGGATAGAGACTTCTCTGCTCTCTGCAAAGCAATCTCTGCATCATTAACGCGTTGCGTAGCCTCAAGCTCAAATGCGACAGCTTGTTCAGCCAACTTCATGATATTTGCGACATCCTCCTCGGATTTCAAGGCCCTGATCTGTATTGTCTCAGCAAACTCATTCAACTTGTCGACTTCCTTCTGCAGCTCGTCTTTTTTGCTCTGCAGACAGCTCAGTTGGGCCTCACAATTTGCTAAATCCACTTGGCATTCTTTGATGTCATCCTTAGCAGCAGCTAAAAGGGCTTCTTCTTTATCTTCAACATCAAGAGTTTTCACCAATAAATCTTCAGAGGCCTCTGGAATACCATTCTCTCCACCAGCTTCAAGTGACTCCACTACAAGCCGAAGCCTTGCTTCAGCCAGAGACAGCGCCATTGTAGCCTTTTGAACAGCTTCTTTAGCCACAGATTCTTCATCAACCGTATCGCGAATCACATCAAGGGTTTTGTTGACCTCATTCCAAGCACTGGTTGCTTCATCCTTGAGTGCGATCGCAGTCTCCGATATCCTCTGAGCCTTTTCCTCGAACATGGTACTGTTGAGCCTAGCAACTTCCAATTCTTTGATTGCCTTGTGCAGCAACTCCCTGAGTTCCTCCAGACTATCAGTTCCGTTTTCTTCCGCTCTCACGTCTTTTTCTTTTTCCGAAATTGCGGTTTCACTTTCCGAGAATCCCCCATTGGGATCATTAATTTCAGCATTACCTAGACAATGTGACCTAAATCCAAACGGGGTACATTTAGAATTTCTAGGACTGTAGAATCTTCCAGTGAAAGCCAAGGTACCATCACTATGTGTTACGTTCCTCCTGAATCTGCTACCCAAGTGCACTCTAGAATAAGCCTTGTGATTGGAAAATAGTTTCGCGCTCATCAACCGATTTGGCAAGCAGTAACTCGCACCAGGAAACATACTCGGCCGATGAATACCACACGCAGATTCCATGTTGAATTAGACTACTTTGTTCTTAGAGAACACCTGTGAAGCAGCTCGAAGCTACACGATTTTAGGAGCCTCAGAAAGGATTTGAAACGAAAACCAAAACCCGGAGAATGATTTGGATGAAATGTATAACAGCATCAAGTGCCCATCAGAAACGCGAGAGAGAAAGAGACTGACCAATCATGGAAAAAACGGTGGGAATAGAGTTCAGCGAGCTCAAGAGTAATCCAAGTGAGAGTGGCTCGTTTCGTACAGATTTTTTCTTTTTTCTTTTTCTTCAAATTCTCCGGTCAAAGTTTCTCTCTCCTCTGTTTGAGTTTCTCGCCTCCGCCAACCAGACAAGGTAAGGTTTATTTTCCCGTTTCTGATAAAATTTACGAAAACACCCTCTCATATCATACGTAATGAATCTTGTATGATTCATATCATCCGATAACCAGTTGGTTTGATTCGGTACGTAATTGTTTTTCGAACCGAACAGATATTCTAAAGCATATATTCTTTCACTTCGAAAGTTCTTTACAAAATTGCATCCCAACCAAACCATATATATATTTGGCAATAAAATGACAAGATACAGATTCATGAACTATGATTATTACATATTAGGAAATAAAAATGAATTCTTAAAATCAAGATTACAAAATGAATTCGCAAGAGTGAAATGCGAACCTCCATCACCATCAGCAAGCATGTCGTAATTAATCAAACAGTGGAAAATCAATTTTTTTTTGTTTTGTTTTCTTCGTGTGTTATAATAAGTAGAAAAAGTGAAATGTGTAACGAACAAATCCAAAAAAAAAAAAAAAGTGTCTTCATATGGAAACAACTCGTTACAAATGAAATCAAATTATATCGCCGCAACATTCATTCAATTCAACCATGCACTCACAACTCAGCGAAGAGACATTTCAAGACTGTGAAACGCCGTTCTCCTCCTTGGGCTCGACGGCGATGTCTTCGGTGGGCTCCGGCGGAAGAGTGTTGCCTGAGGCGGTGCGACGGTGGTTGGCGGCTTGGAGGACGTGAGCGTAGTTGCCTTTCTCGAGGAAGAGTTGGTTAAAGTGATGCCGGCAATAGAGGACGCCGTCTAGGGAGGCGTACGAGGAGTGAGTCAGCGTGCAGCCACCGTGAGCGCACCGGAAACATGTCTTGTGGAAGCATTCTCCTTCCATTTGCACCTGTCGTTATGTTTATACACCAAGGAAACCACACGTAAATCAACCGAACCGGATTGAACCAATCAATTCTTCCAGAATTTGCAAAAGCAAAAAACTGACTGACCTTTTCAAGAGGGTAAACAGTTTTCTCACAAGCTGCACATTTGTCTTGTGTTCCACAGAAGATGGAAGATATCTTGCTCGGAGTCTTAGTCTGTACGTAATGTTGATATACATCATCAATACAATCAAATACACACAAATCCTATTCATTTGGCCAATCACTCACTACATAATGAAATTTTAAAAAAAAATGTTTCGCTGATCTTGTATATATAGAACGAGCTAGCGAGATATGGAGAGAAATCAATGATGAACGTACCAGCTCTGGCTTCTCAGTTTTTCCTGAGAAAAGAAAGGAACTTGTTTCAATCATGATGATTCTCATGAAAAAAATGCGCAGAAATATTAGAATATTAACCTGGTTGAAAATTTTTGCTGAAATTGCCAGATTCCTTGAAGAGTTGCTCAAAATGAGTCTTGCAGTACAAGACTCCGTCCATGGAGGAATAGTTGCTCATCTGTCCATCAACAGTTTCCATACATAAATATTGTTTCCGTAAATGTACGGTAAATAATTATTGATATAACATGACATCATGTATGGCAATATATATACATGGCATAATCATGCATGAAAGATCTAACAAGAGATCTTTTACGTAAGTTTAACAATATGCAACACATTACCACAAGGGTTCCATTGCAATGGGTGCATCTGAAGCAAGACTTGTGGTAAGGCATTCCTTCAATGGACAACATATCCACCACATAGACTGTCTTATCGCAAGCATTGCATTTGTCGAGAGTTCCTGTGAAAGACATTTTTTTCTTTTCTCTTTTTCTTGTTTTTTTTTTTTTCCTTTTTTGTGTGGTTGTTTCCTTCTTCAAGATCCTAAATGAATCAGATTTTTTTTTCTTTCTTTTATCAGATCAAGAGATCATCTGAGGAAGTAATTAAAGAAGGAAACCCACAAAAAGAGATTAAGGATTTTTTTTTTTTTTGTTTACCTCAGACAAAGGAGGAACCAGCGAAATTTCTGTCTTCTTTTATACGAAACTTTGTTGCAATTGTGAGGTTGTAACGGAGGAAGATTTTCTTTTTCTTTCTCTCTCTCTCTCTCCCTCTCTCTCTCTCCCTCTCTCTCTCTCTTTGTTTTTGCAAAATAAACGAGATAAAATTGGGTGGCAAAGTGATGATTGGAGTTGAGCAAAAGAAGGGTTTGTGGTTTCTGACAATTTCAATCCATTAAGGATGTTACTTTAAGCCAACTGTCTCTGAGGTGGTGCAACCCATGTCAGATGTTTCAAAAACCTGCAAATGAATATAACAACCTAACGTTATTCACATATAATAGTCTCTCTTGTCAATTAAATATGATTTTGACACATTTTTGTATGCGTATATATCAAGATACCCGGCTGTAAATAGAAGCAATTATTCTACAAAAAAAAGGGATCAACAAGAAAGTGAAGCACCACTAAGTCGATTTCTTCTTTTGCAATATATAATATAGATAGTAGAATTATATTGTAGTAACATACAATATCTGAATAGAAAAATATGTAAAATAAAGTAGTCTTATAACACAACTTGTTGGCACAAGATGAGATCTGATATTGTCTTTCCGTGTCGATCAATCCTCCTGGAACAGTTGACTCCACCATCTAATATGTTCCGTACGACAACATTCAAAGCATGAATGCCTTTAACATCATATATCTCTACTGACACATTTTCATCCATTGGTTTTGCATCGTTTTCAAGAAACGAAGAGGTTGATAACAGAACTGACATCACATTTTTAACCCATTGAGGAGTAATGACGAGTTTCAGGCGCTCGATATCTGGAGGATAATGTGGGATTACTGAGAAGTTTATGTCGTTTCCTTTATCACCAGCCCGGCTATGAGCAACAGAGTAGAGCGGGATCTTTTGGCCAGATGGAGCAGGAGAGTGATCAAGTCCAGATGAACCCGTCCATTGATCGCCTCTCAATCTAACGTTATTCTGATTATCCTTAGGGATCTACACATGGAAGCAATACCAAGCTATTAGTTGGTTTAGTTAGAAGTACACATGTTTGCTAATTTGTTTTTATTTTTGTATACACACACAGACTCGTCCATACACTAGATTGATTTACCAAGGGATTTGAATTCGGGTCATGTTTATTTCCATTATCTATTGGTCATCACAACTAGTACTTTAGTAAGTTCTTTCTCACTAACCTTGCAGAGTTCCTCTTGCGCAACTCGAAAACGATGTTTAGGGGTCTCTGACTCTGATGCCTTGTTGTGCTGAAGTCCAGTTTTCCACATTACAGATTCACGGCTTACCTGGATAAACCCAACATATAACATCAGAAGCCGTGAAATTGTCTGATCCAAGGCTCTATTAGTTTAAAAATTCATGATGGGGATAACATACCAAACGCTTTTCAAGAACAATCTCCATCTTGTGTCCGGTACTGCATATTATTACAAGCAGTCAAGTCAAACCAAAAAAACCATCACGAATCTCATATGCTCTCTTTTAAGTTAAATAACTAGTTTCAATACATTGAGATCGATTGCCAATATAAAGATTGCATAATTATTTGTCAAGTCCCTAGGCATAAGATGTCTCAAATCAACAGGAACTGGTACTAGTGCAATTCTACAATAAGCATTGGATTGAGATATTGCTCTAATCTTGAGCAAAAATCAAAGTGAAGGAATTACCTTACTCCACCACCACCAGCTGGTCCGTTTGTATATAAAGCAGTAAACTCTTTCGTTAACTGGACCGCATGTTCCTTCAGTTTGAACAGACCATCCATGCGTAATCTATTATCTCCACTTGACTGCCAAGATGATTCAGCGCCGTTGCTTGTTGCCTTCAAGCTATCAAGCCCAATCACATAAGAAAGAATACAATGGTTAACACCAGGAATGGTTTCTTCCATCCAAGATCGAACCTGACAGGAAAAGAAAAAAAAAAACACAATAAAAATACGTACACACTTGTTAAGAAATGAAACTGCAATTCCCGGCACTACAAAGAGTCCTTTCAAATGAAACAAACTCATATAGGGTCAAATAATGCAACTACATCATAGAAATTTTAATCATAGGCACACCAAAAACTCTGAAGCTTTAGCACGTTGATTAGATCCATGTCCTCCATAAGATATTTCTCCCCATCCTTTCCAACCACACTCCTGCAAAGAAAGTACGAAATTATAGAACCAAACCTAGGTTGCTCTTCAGTGAAACAAATCTATGCTACCAGCATGTTTCTATGGATAAACAACCTTTGGAATCAACCGCAGGAGTTTCTCAGGCACAGCAGTGTTAGCGGATGGTTTTGCTCCACTGCATTGTACTTTGCACTCTGACAGGGGAAGGAAACAAACGTCTCGAATATCAATTACCTGCCAAGAAGGTTTGTAAATCGACTGTTTCGTTGTTGTTAAATATATTTCTTCTAGATTTTGTTCTTCTAACTTACCACATCAGGTGTAATGTAGGCACTAGGATCAGCAATTTCATATAGAAGTTGCTCAGCGCAAGTACATGTATCTAAAATTCCACCACTGCCTTCAGCCTTTAATACACATACTTTCCCGTCATAGCCAATTTCTGCATAAGGAAGTGACAAATCCTGGAGGAGAGGGAAAGCCATGTCTCTAAACTGGTCACCTAGAGAATATTGAAGAACGAAATGACCATACCGATAATAAAAAGAAGAGCAGCCCATTAACTCTTCCCTGCGCCAGTAAGTGTTGAAACGCACCTGGATGCATGAAGTATCCACCAGTGAGCTGACAACCGCATTCCAGAAGGTGGCCCGCAAGAGTTCCCTGAGCTAGCAGCTCCAAGTCGTTCCAATTCCAACCTAGTTCATAGACCTAACCATGCAGCAAGGAACTGATCAGATTTAATCAGAAACAGAAAAGACTGTTGAATCTAATTCAAGCCAAAGGGGGGAAGGAGCGATGAATATATATGATAACAAAACTGAACTGACATGCAAGATATTAGATAACTGGAAAGATAACAAGTCCTCACCATTGGTGCTAAAAATAAGGCAGCATCAGCTACTCTTGAAGTAATGATCACGTCTGGTCGGTAGTTCTCCAGGCATTCAACAATAGGAGCTGCTCCAAGATAAGTGCTAGTACCCTTCAACAAGAAGAATACACAGACATATGACTAGGAGGAGCTGAATAAAATTTGAAGTTCAAATTCTTAACTCTCGTAACATAACCATGTGTACATATATCTTTTGTAATATGTCAAAATAATTGTAAGCAGATGATAGTATCCCATTGACGCAGACGATCAGGAGTTAGAGAACCAGAAACCTACCCCCTCAGAGGAATATTGACCGCCAAAAGATAATCCAGAGCCTAAGTAAGATAGAAAGACAAGGGTTAGACTAGCCAGGAGTGGAAAGTATAAATGATCCATTAAGGTTGCTAGGTAGCTAGTACCAGTTTCAGCATGCACCTCATGAGCCACAGCCACGGAAATTGTGATCCCTAATTCACTGGCAACCTCAAGAACTTTCTTCTGAGCACCAGAGGGATCAACTACACGACAGTGAATTTCATTTCAGAATGGAAAAAGAAGAATAGATTCGAAGGGATGTCTTACTTGCACCCATGTTGGTGATTATACAAGTGCCTTTCTCCACAGCCAAAGGTAGTAACAAATGCATCCACTCTGAAACTGGAAAAAGAGCAGAAAAAGAATGATGATTCTTATCCAAAAAAGAAAAGAAAAGAAAGAGTACATTCTTAATTCTGTTTAGACAACATCCAAACTAGTCAAAGGAAAGAAGATACCACGAGGGTCGTAGCCGTCACCGCCAGAAGCCATAGAGAGCCAGCGATCAGCCAATGTTCGTTCGGCTAAGCACTCAAGGACTATATAGTTTATCTCTTCAACTCGCTCAAGCAGTTTGAGAGCTGCCAATGGCCTATCGCCGCCGAATCCAGCGCCACATCCCACGTAAACCTTCTCCTTTCGCCTCTTCGGATTCTCTCTCTGAAATTCAATGCAAAAAAATCATTCACGTCCGGGAGAAAATGGATGAAACAAAATTTGAGGTTTCTTACCAACTTTATCACACAATCACAGAGATTCTGTTTGCCGTCCATGAAAGCAGAATCCCCTACAAAAATTAAGGATTTTGAAGTCGATCACCGATTAGTTTAAGCTGAGGTCGAGTTTGAATTTTAGAGAGAAGAAAGCGAGTTTATGCTTTCTTTCTTTTTTTTTTTAACAAGAGTGAGTGTGAGACGCTTCCTTGAGATTATGCTTATCCCATTTGATTCAAGTGACTTTTATTTTCCGAGTAAACTTTTGAAACTATAGGTATCTTCCCTTCAATTTATTTGTCACTGCGAGAGAGACCGAGACTGGAGTCGGAAAATTCCCATCGATCCAATGGAGGAAGGATTCCCCAGCGATTGGGGAGAGATAGTTTCGGAGAAGGTTGTATCGGCTTATATCTCTCTTCCCAAGAAGGGCAAACCTCAGGGACGTGAAGTCACCGTCTTATCCGCTTTCCTCTTCTCTTCTCCTTCCCAAGGTCTCTTATTTCTCTTCTTAGAATACTTTTTTTTTTTTCTTTTGGTTTCCTTCTTTCGATTCTGAGCAATTAGGGTTTGTGTGACACCAGAGCCGCTAGTCATAGCGTTAGGGACGGGGACCAAGTGTGTTAGCCGGTCGCTGTTGAGTCCCCGTGGGGACATTGTCAACGATTCTCATGCCGAAGTTGTCGCCAGAAGAGCTCTCTTGAGGTTCGTTTATGTCTCAAGCTTTTTGCTGCTTTTTTTACCTTGTTGCGCATTCTCTTAATGTAAATCTCGCCAGGTTCTTCTATTCCGAGATTCAGCGGATGCAAGGGACTTGGGATAAGAGAACATGTTGTAATGAAGCCAAGCGTCAGAGGAATGATAGCCAAACACTAGAGTTAGAGTTAGACCCAAGCTGCCCTGGAGTTGTGAAATACAAGCTCAAGCCGGGCTGCCACTTGCATATGTACATTTCTCAGTTACCATGTAATCATCTTCAATTTCTTTGTTTTCTTCCTTTTGATTTCTCGCTTTCGTTTCAAGAATGTTGGCATTGACGTGTTTGTCGTATGTAGGTGGTTATGCTTCTACTAGTTCACCCTTGTATGCACTGAAAAAGATTCCATCAACACAGGTAGATGATGAGTCATTGTTGGATAAAGGTTCTCACATTTGCTCCTCGGGCCCTTCTGATGTTCCAGAGATAGGTATTAGCAACAAATGTATTCATGTCTCCTCCCTCATACTTGCAACAATGTTCTCTACCTTCCTGTGATCTAGTATATGGATGGTATCTGTTTAATAGGATGTGCAAATGCCTCCGTTTCAGGTAATGCCTCCTCACGAGTAACAGACATGGTACAAAGAAAGCCTGGTCGCGGTGAAACAACACTCTCTGTCAGCTGTTCGGATAAGATAGCTCGATGGAATGTTCTTGGAGTTCAAGGTTTCTTCTCTAATCTGCTAATGTTTCTGCAAGCCGTTCTAAACTTTTAATTGCATCTTGCAGATATGTCAAATAAAATTTGTTCCTGTGGGTATCTTATGAGAATCTTCCTCCTTGTGTGTTTTTACTTCAGGGGCATTGCTTTCCCAAGTCCTTCAGCCTGTGTATATTTCTACCATCACCGCTGGACAATCTCTGCACTGTCCTGACAATTTTTCTTTGGCTGATCACTTGCGAAGATCTTTGTATGAGAGGATCCTACCTTTATCGGATGAGCTACTTCCTTCCTTCCGTTTGAACGAGGTTCATTAGCTGCTTTTATTACCAACGTATCATGTAAATATCAGACATTGTTCTAATTCCTTTCCAGCCACTGTTTTTCGTAGCTCCAGTACCACCTTCAGAATTCCAGCATTCAGAAACTGCTCAAGCTACCTTAACATGCGGGTTAGTTTTCAATGCTCTTAACTCTTCGTCCTTTTCATTGTTTCTTACAATGTGACGATTTATTTGTTGTCTCTTAGCTATTCCTTGTGTTGGAACCGCTCCGGCTTACACGAAGTAATTCTTGGAACAACCGGTAGAAAGCAAGGCACCTCAGCGAGAGGAGCTCTGTATCCGTCTACTCAATCATCTATATGCAAGTAAGGGGGGAGCTTTGCTATCCAAGCATGACATTACTTTTTTCTATTTATGATTAGGCTGTGATATCATTTTCATATCTTTTACTAGACAGCGGTTACTGGAGCTATTCTTGAAAGAAACTTATGGGCACAACAGTGAATCTACTAAGTCAATAGGATCTTACCGAGAACTGAAGGTGCGTGTGATGCTGCTTCTTTTCTGCTGCTTCATTCTAGGTTAACATACTTTCGCTGGCACTTAAAGTGTATGAATCTCTTGACGAGTGTTTGACTTTAACATGCATGCGGCAAGATTGTGATATTGTATTCTGAGAAGATTTCCGTTTTTTTTTTTTTTGTTTTAATTCTATGCAGGACAAAGCTACAGAATATTCTTCGATGTCAAAGATTTTTAAAGGAAAGTATTCATTCAACAATTGGCTAACAAAACCCTTGAATTACGAGGATTTTCTGATAAATTAGTCGTGAGGTATGCCCTCCTATTCGCTCTCTCTATCAACTTACTTTCTTTGCATTGCATCATTAGTTCATTATCGTCAACAATTTGCCGGATTTTGACATCTTTGTTTAGGGAAGAAAAATAATTAACTGAGTATTGCGTTCCAAAAAAAAAAAAAGAAGAAAAAAGAGGTGATACCTTGAATCACAGAAAATACAAAGAGCGAAGAAGTAAAGCAGAAAATAAACCAAGAAAATGAAAGCAGAAATTATGAATTTGACAGAAACGAATTGTAGATGCAGTAAGTTCCATTTTAGAGATTGACTCGTCCTTTGATGATGTCGAGGCTCATCTCGCTAGGATCTGTTGCTTGCAATTCAACCTGAATCCCATCCAATTCCCTCTTGAATCTGTCCTTTGAGCTTGCATACAACATCTTACTCCGCACTCTTGATGTATCAGGTGACCTGAAGAAGCAAGGCGATGTCTCAATTATATAAGAAAACTACATTTCAAAACAAGGGGCAAGAAGTTGTACCATGCGATGAAAAAGATCTTGCTCTTCTGGCAGTTCTCAGGAGTGGTGAAATCGAAGTCATAGACAGCATATCGGCACTCGTTCTCAGGCATACATTTGGTGAAGTCGTCGTAAGTTTCTTCTGGATTCCCAACCATGTCTATCATAACTTGCTGAGCCTTCTCATCAATTTTGAACACAATAAACCTATAGTTCCTCTTTGCTTTTAACTCCAAGAACTTGAGCTTGCACTCATCGCTTACGTGCATCCCAGACGCTGAATTCGCCTGCACAACACACACACACATATAACTTATATGATCACAAACACATAACATCATCGGCATTAGCAGATTGATAAAATGAAATGAAGGAACTTACCATGTTCTCTGCTTGAAATTCGGGATTGATGATTGGAAACTAGGAGAAGGCACAAGGGGGTTTTAGAGGGTGGGAAGAAGTAAGGTGGGTTGGGTCATTAGGCTGGTCACGTCTTTAAACGAAGAAGACTTTGATGCTGTCACGTTGTGCCCATATTTACTTCATTAGATTTTATTATTAGAGGGAGTCATATATTTTATTCACGCATAGACAAGTATCTATGTGTGTATGTAAGCACATGTGGTGAAGTTTGTTCCGGACATTATTGAGAAGTTGAGGTTTCATGATGTACATGTTTGTCTTTGATTTTTTTTTTTTCAAATAATTTTTCTGACTTGTTCTTTCCTCTCAGGATTGGTCGTAGTGTGGACCTTTGCTACTCCTGTTAGAATTTAGCGGGAACAAGAATTTACCTTCACAGAAAATACGAGTTGGTCATTTTTCTTAACATGGGTTTATCACTGATATTATGACTATCCAAATAATGTTGAAGCAAACTACTCATTGAATCGATAACAAAAAGAGAAAGCATAGGATTGTCTCATTCAAAAAATGCAACGACCAAAACATTATTTCTAATAAATTTTGGTTTACTGGTGAGGCATATAGAGTAAGCAACGAACTGAGCCCAACAAAAGCCCATGTATCAGTAGATAAAGGCCTATAACTGAAACATGACTACGGCGAAATCCAACGGGAAACATCTCTGTTCTTTTTTTCTTTTCTTTTTTCTATAAAAAGAGAGAAAGAGAGGCCACTGGCCTTTATATTCCAGGTGATGCTTTTCTTATTTTCCCCTTAAAAAAATAATTGAATTGATTTGTGTGTAAAATTGTGGCCGCTAGATTCTCTGCTGGCTACTGCCTTCTCCAACCATAATATTATTATTCATCGACTTTCTCGGTATATTATTTGACTGGATTCTGTTTACATGCCTCACTGTCACTATCCGGTTGAATCACCAGAATGGGTAGCGACTCGACAAGGTACGACTTGACTCATAGAAATGATGAGAAAAAGATTCATCTTTAATTTGATCTCTCTCTCTCTCTCTCTCTCTCTCTCTCTCTCAGAAGTTTATCCTTGTTCCCAGGCATTACCGTTGTTGTTGACGAAGAAGAGACAATTCCTTATGGGAGGTCAAGGCTCTAAGATTGCTACATGTTGCAGGAATTCGTCATCACACAAATTTGCTCTTCTTGAAGCTCCACATGTTGGTGAAGTCTCTCTTTGGCTCTCTTGTTAGCTCTTTTTTTTTTTTTTTTTTTTTATCGTGGCTGTTTTCTTAATCCCTTTTTTTGTTTGTTTGTTTTGTTATCTTGAAATTACAGATAACGAAGAGAATAGTGAGGTAACAGATGTGCTGCCTTTTCGTGAATACACACTAGAACAGCTTAAGATCGCCACCTCTGGTTTCGCTTTGGACAATGTTGTATCTGAAGACGGAGCAACAGCTCCAAATGTTGTCTATAAAGGAAAACTGGAGAATCATCAGAAGATTGCTATCAAGCGCTTTTCTCGAATGGCCTGGCCTGATCCATCCCAATTCCTGGTATGATATGCATGTTTCAGTTTTATCTAATAATAATGCCATTTCTCGCTTCTCTTTTAACTTTGGATATTTCCGTCTCCAGGAAGAAGCAAGATTGGTTGGTCAGTTACGCAGCAAAAGAATGGCCAATTTACTTGGTTGTTGCTGTGAAGGCGGCGAGAGACTACTTGTGGCTGAGTTTATGCCTAATCAGACGCTAGCCAGACATATTTTCCACTGTACACAAGCCTTTGATAAAATTTAGATGCTGTCTTAGTATTTGCTTAACACATTTTCTGTAACAGGGGAAACACAACCGACGAGATGGGCTATGCGACTACGGGTTGTTTTATACCTTTCAGAAGCTCTTGAATATTCTATTAACAAAGGACGCACTCTGTATCATGATCTCAATGCTTACAGAGTTTTATTTGATGAGGTAATTCCGTAAACTAAGCTTTTCTCGGATCAAACAAATGTCGTGTTTTTATGCTTTACGCCTTTCATTCAAGCGTTTAACGATCTTCTTTTTAAGGAATGCAATCCAAGACTTTCAACATTTGGATTAATGAAGAACAGTCGGGATGGGAAAAGTTACACCACAAACCCTGCTTTTACCCCTCCCGAGTACCTAGGAACTGGTAAAAATTGTTGTTCCAAGTCCCTGTATGGCGCGCATATTTATTCCAACGAGATTGATAAGATATTGAGATCAAGTGTGTGTGTTGTTACAGGGAGAATTACAGCGGAGTGTGTGATTTACAGCTTTGGCACTCTTCTGCTTGATCTTCTCACTGGAAAGCATATTCCCCCTAGCCATGTATAAAGTGTCCATGGTAACTACTATAATTGTGTTTCTCGGAATCCTCTTTACTAATTAGCTCAGCCTTTTCTTGTGTGTTTAGGCACTTGATTTGATTCGAGACGGAAATCTTGAGCGTCTAACCGATTCCTGCTTGGAGGGACAATTTTCTGACACTGATGTCACCGAGCTAGTACGCCTGGCATCTCGTTGTCTCCAGTATGATGCTCGTGAGCGACCAAACATAAAATCTTTGGTCCCTGCACTGATATCTCTCCAGAAAGACACAGATGTTCCGTCACATGTTCTAATGGGTCTGCCTCAGAGTGGTACTTTTGTGTCACCTCTGTCTCCTTTAGGCGAGGCTTGTTTGAGAAAAGACCTGAACGCTATGCTTGAGATGTTGGATAAAATTGGATACAAAGATGATGAAGACGTAAGTCGACAGGTTTTTCGGTTATATCAACTGTCAAATCACTTAGAAGTTACAACCCTTACCGTTCCCATCCCATGAGGGCCTCTTCATGGTTTTTATGTGACATGTTTAAATGCAGCTTTCGTTTCTATGGACGGAGCAGATGCAAGAGGCCGTAGACTGGAAGAAAAAAGGCGATATTGCGTTTAGACGGAAAGACTTTAGTGAAGCCATTGACTGTTACACGCAGGTCGGTCTGTGGTTCTTTCGCACTTGAATCTGTAACATGACCTTCCTCTTGAGTTGACAGTGTCCCTGTATATAAATGTTGGCCCTAGTTTCTTGATTTGGGAATGATCTCTGCAACAGTCTTCGTGCGGCGAAGTCTATGTTACTTAATGAGTAAGATGGGGAAAGAAGCCTTAGATGATGCAATGAAGGCTCAAAGGCATTTCACCAGTGTGGTACGTTGCATTGTATCTCCAGTCTGCTGCTCTTGCTGTCCTTGGAATGGAGAAGGAATCCCATATCGCACTTATTGAAGGGTCCAACCTTGAAGCCAGAAAGATTTCAGCTTCCACACAGAACTAAAGACTTGTTTTTTTTTTTTTTTGGGGTTTTGGTATAAGATGAAGAAGCGTTGATTTCTGAAGGAATTGAAGGGAAACAAGCTAAAGGTAATCTAGTGTGTAAATTAATACATAAGAGCGTTTAGAAGTTAAACATTGTACTAATTAACGTAGAAGCTACTACATTGTTTCAGTTCAGTTGATACATAAGAGAATGGGATGTACGGACAGCAAAGTGAATATAAAACAAACTCCATTAAGAAACCATATTTATAATGTGTTGTCAACCTCTGCCTCAGCTTGTATAATTGGGTGAGAGCCTCTGTAATCTTCCTTTGACATTCCAGAGTAAACAGCTTCTGTGCCTCCATAGGTTACGAAGTTCCAGCCAAACGCCGACCCTCCGACCACCTTGTCGGCATCTCCGTCAGAGTTGTGCTTGTCGGTTTGGACAGAGATTGGCTTAGATGATCTCAGTTCAGTACTAGTACTCTGAGGTGTTTGATTGATGGCCTTTCCGTTGGACAAGGACTCGCTCTTAGTTGTTTTCTCACGTTTGGGTGCTCCTCCAATCATCTCTTGGTACAATTCAAGGATAAGCTTCATCTCTGCAAACATCATAATATTTCAACTCGTAAAAGTTGGGACTTCATGTTAAGCAGCTAAAGTGAATAACAGAAGAAATGAGTGTAAGAGCTCACTCTCTTGGATATCGATTGCTGCCTTAGAGTTCCTGAAGTCTGGAGTTCGTAGTACCTGTAAGTAACAGATAGAAAGTAAACTGAATTTCCATCACAGGACCTCGAATTTCCCTCCCGAATGCATCTAAATTAGTAGTACCTCGAGAACTTGAGGACGAAGATCTTTGACAAGGAGACGCAACTTGTAGTAGTTGGAGTTGTCGATCTGAACATTCCCTTCCAAGGCTCGCTTTCTGCCCCTAGACGACGGATCGGTGGTTGCTATCAACGGAGGCGGAGGCACCTGAGCTCCTGAATGTGGCTGAGCCGCCGCTCCAGGAGTAAGCGATGGCGAGCTATCCAAGTCCACCGCGAGCGAAGGTAACTCAGCTGCGACCATCGGCGGCGAAGATCTCTGATCTGCGGTTGGAGGAAGCGAAAGATCTTGTGCTGAAAGAGATGAGGTAGCAGAAGGAGGAGGTTCAGCGATTTGAGCTGCCGTCGAGGTCGAGGTCGAGGTCGAGGTCGATTTCTCCATTTTCAAAGGTATTTTCAACCGCCCAAAGAGATCTCCATCAACGCACCTTCAGACGAACCGACACAAGCACGGGGACGTAGCAGAAGGAATCTTAAAAACGACGACGTTCTAATCTGGTTGGGCCTATCTATATTTGATGGCCTTATTATATGGGCCTTGTGAGGTTGAAATGAAATTTCTTCTTCTTTGTTATCTGGAAACACCCAAATTGGTCGGTCTTGTGAACCATTTCCGTATCTCTCTCTTCTGGGCGTCCCGAGATGAATCCCCAAGTCGACAAGGTCGTGAGAAGAACGACTATGGTGGCCACTGCTGTTGCGTCCTACTTCCTCCTAACCGCTGATTACGGCCCCGAGCCAAACGCTCTTGATCCTGTGAGTTCCGATCCTTTTCTCTCGGAATATGTTTTGTTAATCTCGGAAGTTTCTGTATAATGATCGCTCGTTTCCGTTTGATTCTGTCATCGTTGTTGGCCTTTAGGCGCGCGGATATCATCGTTCCGATTTTTAGAGGATGTTGTAGATTACCGAATCGCAGATAATTGCTGATTAGGTTTTATGGAGCTTACAACAATCAGTAGGTTGGAATTGCTATTGGTTTAGATCTCTTGATAGTCGCTAGTAGCTAGGGTTGGAACGCGGATGAGATCTGAGATTGAGTGTTCCAAAAAAAATAAAGCACATCTCTCTAGGAAACGGTTTCTGATCATCTTTAACAGAATTCTTGTCATTTTGAGTCTGGTTTTATCTTTTCTTACCGAGATTACATTTGCGCATTTGCAGATCAAACAGAGGATAATATCAGTGCAAGACTCTGTGAAAGAGTTCATCTTTCCATCAAAGAACAAGTAACAGCACTTGAACCAGTACTGTAGACGATAGAAAGTAAGATGTAGCTGAATATGTTTGAGCACTTTTTAACTTTGTTCATCGTCTCCTTTTATATGTGGCTTGTAGAGAGGCTACTGCTGTACTTTGTATAGTGTCTCCACTTTACTCTTTTAGACTGAGATATGTTCTTAAGAACAAGTCAGTTCATTTGAACCTACCTATATAGCTCAGTTCGAAGAACCCAATCAGTTAGTTTATGAAAGCTGGATTTATGCTGGTTCCATACGAAGAATTGAGTTTTGTCGAGTTCTCCCATGACAAACTACAATCTTATTAAAAAAAATGTTCGCCAAGTGATTGGTGATCATGAGCAAAAAGAAAAAAGAAATACTACATTGATCACGGCAGAAATAAAAAATATTCTTAGCATGCTTAAAAGCGGAAACAAAAGTCTACTACCTAACAGTAATACTACACTGACACATGGACCACCGTCCGAGTAGAGGTTACCCGCATCTCTGACGACGATTTTTAAAAATAAACCAACACTGGAATAACATATAACAAAGTAACAACATATATAGGGAAAAGCGGCTCCGCCGAATAGGCACACTCATTGACCATAAGCGGGTCTCGTGTTACCATAAACGCACAAACAAGCGTTTGCGTTTTGCGTTTGCGTTCGGCGATCCTAGCTAATACGGCTTCTGCATGTACATGAACATATCCTGTAGCGGAAACATCTGATTACTCCCTCCTCCAAACGCGTTATCCACGGTGGCATCCATGTAGTTATACCCAAAATCAAGGGTATTATTGCCATTAGTCGCAGCCGACCAATCCTTCCACTTGGGCTCGCTCTGCACCTCGCTCGTGAACTCCGGCGACACCACATGCTCCGAGCAACTCGACTCCGTCGTATGCAGCTTCGGCACCGAATCCGACGTGTCAAAATACACGAATTCATTTGCCGTCTGCTGCGGCGGCGGAGGCATGCCCATCTCCGTCAACCTCGGCTTCTCCTCCACGGCTTCGTCTGTGACTCCGCCGCCGTGAACCTCTGGAGGAGGTGGTCCTCGCCTCTCGAGAGCTCCTTTTTTGTTGTAAATCCGGCAAAGAACCCAGTCATCCAGCTGGCAAAATCAACACCACCGTCGGATTAAATTTAAACCACAACTAGAAAACACAAGAGCGAGAGAAGATGATCCATCTTAGAAATCAGTTAAATACCCTGAGACTGTTCTTCTTCTTGCGAACCGACCGGTCAACGTCGGCGAGACGGTACTCGTGCATAATCCAATTGGTTTTCTCTCCCTTTGGAGCTTTGCCGGCGTAGAAAACCAGAGCTTTCTTAATCCCGACCGGTTTAGGAACTCCGATCGGTTTATCAGCTCCAGTCGCTTTCCAGTAACCTGACCCAGCAGACCGGTTAGGACGCGAACCGTTGGGATATTTTCTGTCTCTGGGAGAAAAGAAATACCATTCCTTCTCACCATACAAGGCTAAACCTGCAAAATTTTACGAAATTGAATTAGCCAAATAAAAAAGAAGAAATCATCATCGCAGATTTAAATTAAAAAAAAATCGACAAAGACTAAGAGAAATTTAATTACCGGGAAGCTCCCAGGGATCGTATTTATAGAGATCGATCTCAGCGATGATAGGGACGGAGATGGACTGCGAGGCACATTTGCGGCAGAGATAGTGCATGACGAGCTCTTCATCGGTAGGGTGAAATCGGAATCCTGGAGGCAACTGTAATTCTGACATTTTTTACCCTCTCTCTCTCTCTCTCTGATCCTAAATTCACCACCTTACTATAGATGGTGATGAGATTATTGAGGGTTGTTGGATGCTTGGATTGATCCCTATCCTAAGTCCTATACCTCTGAAACTTGGGGAAACTTGGAAAGAAGGAGAGAAAAGTCAAATATATAAGGAGAGGGGGAAGGACACGTGTCTGAATCTGGTACTAGTAAGAACAAGAGCTTCTAGAACACACGTGGGTGGATGACGCTGCTGGGACACGTTTCGAGAGGAGAAGTCTGTTGCTGACGTGGCGATGAGGTGATGTTGTCACTGCTTACGTCTGTCGTCTTGAGGGTCCACTCACTTGCCTCTAAAATCCAAATCCGACCGGTCCGATACGACCGAACCGTGGGGTCTATCTTATGGATTCTTCGTTTCCGGTCGGTGGATTTTTGGTCCCACTTCCCTCCGTAACTTTTCTTTTTTTCTTGTCTTTTTGCTAAAGGTTCGTATCATCCTCCTCTTCATATCAGAGCCGACGATCAGCTTCATCTGTTAAATAAAGTTTTTGTATTTTCTTTACTAGCCGGCTCCATTTCACGGTTCCTTTTTTGTTTTCTTCAAATTGTTTTAGTCTATCATCTTATAGTAGTAGTCTCGTGCCTTTATGTGCACAACACTATAACCCGATTGAGCAATAGAGTTATTTTCCTCGGCAAGATAAAAATGTGAATTTACTACATCGTATAAATAATTATAGATCTCATCATACACCAATTACATTCCAAGGAAATGGAGTTTGTCTAATAAAAAAAAGTAACATCATTCTTTTATTACCAAATGGTTATGGGTGTCCCAATATCTTTCTTCTTTTATTCGCGGAGCCCTACTCGTACGTTACTAACTTACGGTGGCTCATTCAGAGCTTCGACGTCACCGAGGGTTTAGGAGGTCTAGCCTCTCTTAACAAGGCCTCTTGCGTTAAAGATACAACCAGCTGTTTCACATATTAATTCACAAAAAAACAGTAACTACATAATTCTTTCTTTCCCAAAAGAATCTTAACTATATCGAGTTTTAAGCAGTCAGCAATTTGAGATTCGATGCTTTGTAAAAGATGTGCCAACTTTTATGATGTATCCTCGGATTCATGTCTAAAGACGCACAAAAAAGTAGAGAGTACCTCTCCTTTTCTGTTGAACATTTGACCACTGACAAAGCCACGGGTCATGTGCGCGGTTGGACTGACAATCTGCACAAGAGGCATCGTTGTAAGTAAGTGAATGTTAGACGTCAAACTAGTCTATAACCACTTGACATATTTCATCAAACATATGTTTATATCTTCTTCTCTTTTTGATCAAATCTTCCTTTTCTTTCTTTCTTTCATTAAAAAGAAACACTGTGTAATGTTAATGATGGAAAAACTACCACAAAAAGCAACCAGTCATCAGCTCTTAGAGGTCGATGAAACCACATCCTGCAAACCAATTGAGGAAAAGTGAGTAAGTAATAATTACTGAAACATTGGTAACCCCTTGTCAGGATAATGTCTCCATGTAACAGATAATAACTATAATAACACACATACAAAACTTATACTTCATGAAGAAAATAAAAATAAAAACTTACGCATGGTCGAGACTAAGTGCAGCAGATCTCAGGCCCTTTCTACGGTGAGGGTTCAAACTGACGCTGGCAAATATTAAATCCGAAGCAAATGCGACGACACATCTGTATAACAATGTCGCTTGCCAAATGATCAGTTTGCTATGAATGATAAATCACAGAACAGCTTACCATAAATTTGGCAATGTTATTAAGAAAGTTTAAGCTTTTAACTTTTAAGAGTCTCAAGCATTATTAAAATCTATTAATATTCGGTGATCCTAAAACACTTGTCTCCAGTGAGTACTGCTTTAAAAGTTTAAAAGGGTTGTTACCAAATGAATAATCGCCATGGTTTAAATGGCTACCCTGATTTACATAATGAAGTAGATGGAGGTACTTACCGGTGCAAAGCTTGGTCATCAGAAAGCTTTCCCTTTGCTCTAAACCAATACCTCAATCTGCAATAGGACTTTGTCAGAAAACAAAATTAAATAAAAAATGACTCTTTGAAGTAAGTGATGAGTTCCATGTGTAATCACATGAACCAGGTTGACCCGTTCTGCTTGCTCTCCAGGTGGAATGTATTACATTATGGTAGTCTATAATATAAATAATTTATTCACGACTTAAAGTGAGTAGCACACCTCGGTGGAGACTTTGTCTGGTTTGTTGAATTACTGGGATCACAAAATCGAATATCTATAGGCCATGGAACAAAATTTGCAGTTGCAACTTTGTTTCGGTAACTCCTGAAAGGAAGAAACATTTGGAAAAGTGGTCTAACTTTTGCATCTTCTGAGATTATTTGGCAGACAATTGAAAACACTACCACTTACCTAGGTAGATGAGGGTCAGTTATACGACGTTCACGCAACTCCTCTAGTGATAGAAGCTGCAGCAGATAACGGTGAAAAAGGAAAACCCTTACAATTTATTGAATTTTTAAATTTGGAGGAACAATTTACCGTATCAGGATCTGGTGCAGAGGGCATGGTTGACTCCTGGTGATCAAATCCCTGTTGCTCTTTCTATGAAATCAATGAAAGAGATAATTTAAAAGCTAATGTCACAGTTTTTAAAAGGCCATTCTCTCTTGGTGCAGATAATAGAGGAGCGTATTCATTAACCATATTGAAAGAATAAAATGGAAAACCTGAAATGATGCCAACAATATGAATATGATATTTCCTTTCTGTATTGCATCCACTCTTCGGGTGGCAAAGTTGTTCCCATCACGTATGCGGTGAACTTGATATATAATGGGGACTGCAAGAGTAACAGACTACGATAGTTAGATGAGTTTAAAAGGGAAGAAACGCATAATTGCTGGCGGGCAAGAGCACACAGAAAGTATGTTCATACTATCGATATCTCCAACGAGAAGAAAATAAGAATGTAAACTGTGGACAATCTTCAGAAAATCAACAGTTTTTGATGCCGCAGCAAGTGCCTGTAAAATTTTGGTAAGAAGTGAGTTAGAAGTTATGGTTACTCTGCCTGAAATGACACAGAAGAAGCTATGTATGCAAATGAATAAGATCAGCAATTTTAATAGATTCATACTGTAACTTTACTTGAGCAAATGCCATACCTGTCCCATAAACTGTCCTCCGAAAACCTTTCCAAATTTGGGAGCATCAGGAAGAGTGATCCCCCTGAAGATATTCAACTACAAGAAAGAAGCACATAGAATAAAAGATCCACGGCAATTCAATTACCGGCAAAGCAAAAATCTGATAAACCTAGATGTCGAGATGCTGACAAGAAGAACAATGCTAAGATTATAACTTCATTCTGGGGAAATGTAAAAAAAAATGGATAGTTTAAGCTGAGAACAAGGAAAAGACAGGAGTGGGATGACCGTACTTCTAAAGGGTCCAGATGCAATATGCGTTCAACTAAAGAGCATTTCTGAACTTCTTTATCCGACTGCCAGATTGAATTTGTCTCAAGCAAACGACAATGATCACGCGGCAACACCAAACATGTAAGCTGCAATGACACAAAACGAGAGAAATTTTACACTCTTAACGTTTGCATATCTTTAAACTCAAGGACACTTGAAGCCATATATGCAAAAGTACAGATAGCTCTCAGCAAGAACCTCGGACGTAGCAATTATGTCTGCTGAATGAACATGCGCAGAAATACCTGTAGAGACAAAAAGTTGGAAGCTAAGTATATCACCCAACCAAATGTTCAGCGAAACCATTAATTAACAGATTGAAGTTGAAGAATGTGAGCAGTCAAAAAGAATCATCATCTCACCATGGCCGAAGTAATCATATTTTTTCAAGAGAAATTCGGAACGATTTTCTTCTTCGGCTGGTCCGGAAACCTGAGCCTGCAAACAAGAATCAAAATTAGATTTGATCTCAGAGTCAGATTTTCCTTTCAAAGAACCTAAACGCATCATTAGGGAAAAATATGAGCAGAACCTCTCCTGCAAAAATGAAATAGCAACCATCCCAAGCTTGGTCTTCACGAATCACATAATCCCCTTTCCCTGCAAAAGAACATAGCTAACTTTTGAGGCAACGCAGCTCTCGGGGATTTACATCGTGAAAGCCAAAATTAAAGCAGCTTCAAAGTTCAAAATGAGATTGATGTGACGGAAATTATAAAAATCGAAATTCAGAATCCTAGAGATCACGGACCGTAGCGTTTGAGCACAACAACTTGGGCGATTTTCTTAAGAGAAGAACTCGGCAACTTCTGAAGTAAGGGAACGTTTCCAAGGAACTCGAAAACTGCAAACCAAAGCAACAACATGGAATCCTTCGTTCGGAGATAAAACATATGCCGAAAATCTCAGTACATCACAACATAAATTTTCTAGATCTTCAATTTCCGATGCCGGCCAAAACACAAGTGTTACCTGATTCGGTGTTCATGGCGGATTCCATGTAGTCGGGAGAAATCGCCGGTTTAACTGTTTTGTGTAGAACGATCGCCACCCAAAAAAAAAAAAGTCGATTTCTCTAATCTGTAAATTTGATATGATCCACAATTTGGTAAATGGGCCTAATTAGACCGTTGGGCACTTATTTAACATTATTTACGTTTTATGTCTTCTTTGTTTCAGTGCAATATATGTAACTCTGAATCTCTCTCGTACTCTGTTGATCAATTAGGTGAAGAGAGTGGCGTCTCGAATGAGCCAATCCTTTCTAATCAGAAGAGAGAAAAATAATTAATTACTCTCAGTTACGTTCAAACTTTGTCGGTCCAATAAAATATTGGCTGTGAATCGTATTTTTGGGAGTAAAAGAGAGGAATAATAAAGGAAGATTGTCATATGGATGATAAAAAAAATAGGAACTAACTCAACAAACTGAATGCCAGAGATAGCTCGTTTAAGGTTTGATTTATATTTTAATCTTTCTTTTAAATATTGCATAATCTAATGTTTTTGTATGCTCAGATACTCACAATATTTAACACATACAACATTACATATGGGTATGCAATCTAATTGTTTAAAATATGTTAACTCTGGATTTCATAAATGAAAAAATCGACGATGCGAAAAAGAAGAAAAAAAAAACAACCATAAAAAAAGAAGACAAGACAAGAAAATCCACGTTCATATTTCTTTTTGTACAAATACAACGAATGCTTCTGGACATTTTGTAGCTTTCAAATAATGGCACGCACGTTTGTATCACGAACCATGCAAAAATATATTCTGGCCCCCTTACATTGATTTGATTATGTGTTATATTACAAAACTATGATCTATTTGTTATAATATTGTTTTATATATCTTGATCTGTTATAATAGTTTTGAGTTAATCGTGTAAGCTACATGGATTCAAATCTAAACCTCCCGAACATGTGATAATATTATAATACTCTAATTTAATTATATAACCCGTTGACACCAAAATTTTAAGAGTTGCTTCATTGGTGTGTTCATATATCGACCATACATTCTTCCTAATTTCGTAAATTAATAATCAAGGTCAACAAAGAATGACTGAGTAAATGGAATAAATGTAATGAGTTCGGGTTTCAAGACTGATTTAAAAAACCCTCCAAAGATTGGCTGATTGACCATACAGAGTTACATTAGTTGGTCAAGGGCCATTTTCTTGGCACCACAAAAACTTAATTGAAAGTTTGAAACCAAGGAAAAAACACTTCACTATTTTCATTTGACCAGTGAAAACGCCTATCCATCAATTTTTTTTTTTACTGAATAAGCTATTCGACGGCTGCTATGTATTCGTTTTGAAGAATTTAGTCGAGTAAATAAAAACTTCAAATCACACTTGGTTAAAAAAAAAACATTTCACAATCTCTACGGAATTAATCTTACTCCCCATCAGACGGTCCACATTGTTCAAAATTTCTCCGATCGCCGGTATATTGTGTAAAAAACTTAAAGGAGAAATAGAGAATTTTATAAACGTTATAAAGATTCAAACAATTAAAATTTTAAAGACAAAATTGCAGAAGCTTTAAAGGTAAATCAAATAAAGACCGTTGTTATTGTTTTTTCTTGCTCTTCTTCATACGTTTTTGAAATTTCAAGTCTCTGACTCTCAGTATCTGTATCTGATCGATACAAACCAAAGATTTTATAGACATATTTTATATTTAACTCACTCCTAAGATTTACGATAAAATATTGAGAAATTTACACTCTTTGGTACTTTATGAATATCTATTTACATGTTTTAGCTCTTTCATTTTAACTAGCACTTTCTTCTAACTTATAGACATAAAATGACCATAAACTCCTTATTGAGAAATGAGTTTTCAAAAATCAAAACCGGTTATATGCTTTGCAAACCAATAGTTGGTTTGTTAACAATTTTAGAAAGGAAAAAAAAGAATAAAAATATCTACCTTTCTCTGTCTCAGATCTTTCTTCTTCCTCTTCTTCATTTTGTTTTTTTTTCTTATGAACCCTAGAGACTCTTCAATCAAAATGGTTGCAGTCTTCAGAATTTGGTTTGTTCTTTATTCTTCCTCCTTACACCACATCTTATCGTGATTTCTCTCTTTCATTTTTTTTTATCATCAATTGCGGTCGCAAACTTTTTCAACCGCCACCACACCACCGCCACCCCTCTCCCCCTCAAACGACCATTGTTATCTATATTGTCGTGTCTGCTGTTGTCCATGTCGTTGTCTATGCCGTAGTCCAAAGTCTCTCCGTCGTCCGCCGTTGTGCATGCGAAAAAAGCGATGACCCCTGCAACCACGTCTTCTTCCTCCACTGATGGACGCAAAGTTTATATAGTATCCACACAAACAAATGCAATATATTTTAAACGTTTCTATCAATGTAGCTGTATCCATGTGGACATGGACAGGTTTCCATCGCGGCGGTTATGTCTCAGTGATTGTTTTTCTCTCGCGTGGACTTAACTGGACGCCATGTGGCCACAACCATACCCAAATTATAAATGTAACAAATGGAGGTTCTATATCCACCCTCGACCATGACTTAGCATCTACGGGTTTCAAGTAATATGGTCATTTGGTAACATATATCTATAAATTTGTAATGGTCATATCCATATTCGTTATGAACCCAATAAACATCCATGTCTCAGCATCTTGGAGTTCCAAGTATCATGGTCATAGTATCATTATCCACATTTGTAATGGCTATATCCATATAATGGGTATGGACATATTTCATCTTTATTTAGCATGACTCTGTATCCATAATAACAATGGATACATCCACATAGTCTCTGTCTTACTACATAGACCTCTACTAACGATTTTAGACACATTATCTATGGATGCGTCCACATTCACACTAACTCGTCTTCAAATAAAATACTTAGTCTCATCTTCCATTCTTCTATGGTTATATCCATATTTTATAAGTATAGCTTCTCATTTTCTTTTACATACACAGCGAAACTTTTTTCAAATACTTACACACCCATTATTATCAAGGCGTCCACACTCACTTTAGTTCTTTTGATATAATATACTTAGCATCTTCATCCACGCTTGTATTTAAATATAGTTACTCATATGGTTATATCTATGTTCACACTTGTATGGTTATATCCACGTTCACGGCTGCTCGCATTTGGTAACATCCACGTCACGTGGATAACACAATCGGTTTTACTGTTCAACTTCGTCATGTCCGCCAGTCGATGAAGGTGCCTCGAAGAAAACTCCAACTTGTTTTACTGTTCATCTTCGTCTTCGTAAAGGCTTAAACTGTTCAGCATCTCTCCAACTATAATCGTCTTTTGTTAACTATCGGCTACAAACACCGCCGCAAAAAACATATATCGGAAAGATCAACTGCTCCAAAAAAGTATTGACACATAACAAATATCAGAACCAGTAGACGAAGTGACAAATGGCGGTCGGAAGGGATCAGAAAACATACGTTTACGATTGAATCTGAGAAGGTAAAGAGAGAGAGCTGTTTGCATCATGGATCTAAAAAGTTGAGAGAGAGAGAGAGAATTGTCCACAAGAGTTACGAAGGAAAGAAGGAGAGAGAAGTAAGAATAGTTATGATAGTTTTCTAAACCATCAAATTCGGTTAAATCACTTAATTTAAACCGGTCTTCAAGATCAGTATATTGAAAGGAGGGACTAAATTGGGTTTTTGCATATGTAAACTAATTAAAAGTACCATCAGATTAAGAAGTACCAAATTTTGTAAATATAAACTCGAAAAGTACCTAAACGTGTAAACGCCTCTAAAATATGAGGCGTTTACATGTTTTAGTTCTTTTTAAGTTTCTATTTACAATTTTTGGTACTTTCGTTTTTGTTAGCACTTTTTCTAAATATTTGTAAGTGAAATTCCAAGGTAATCCTTACCAAGGTTTGGAGTTGAATAATCCGATTTATTTTAAGTTTGTAAACCGAAATTTTTTTATCTCTTTCTCTTTTGCAATATAAATATTTCCTTCTTTACTTTTTACTTTCTCTCCTTCACCGACCTCTCCGACCCCAACCCCCGCCTTCACCTCTCTTCGCTGAAACTCGGCCATGGCTCTATGCTCGAGTACAATGGGAGAGCACATGATTCACGAAGTAGAAGACTAGTTTTCCTCCATCGACACTGCTCCACCATCGACGCCCAGCTCAGCAAAAGCCAATTTCTCCGCCGAATTCATGGTGGCTTCTGCAGATCTAGAGTTCCAGAGATAACGGAGACGCTCAACACGGACTCTCAAGCAGCCTCGCCTCATCTGAACGCTGCAGCTTCACAAATTCTTTGTCGAGGCGGTTGCGCATCTCGGGATCAAAAACCTATCTCAAAAACTATATGGATAGTTGCAGACATTATAAACAAATTGTCCATGTCAAACTGTACATGATATGATCCAGGATTGTTCGTGTCCATGTGTTCTAGCTTCAGTGGACATTAATAATATTTGAAAGACACGACCATATGGAAAACGATTTTGGTCGGCGATGATTTTTGGGATCCTTTCGGGATAGCTTTTCGGTTGGGGCAACGAGCTACAACGCCACGACATGACTCTTGCTATGTCAGTGGACATGTCCATGGGTATATGGATATAAACATAGTTAAGCGAACACATGATGGTGACCATGTGGTATGTGGTTCGGCTAATCTGTTTAAAAAATACTCGTGGATATGTACATATCGTTTTTGGTAGTGACAATGTACGAATTGATATATGGATATGAACATAATTACGCGACCACATGAGTCCGTCCGCGTTATCTGTGATTATGACGATCTGTTAAAAGAATATTCAATTAACTTAACATGACTTGTGGATAAGTACATATCGTGTAGATTGGTAGTGACGATGGATGAAGTGATTATCACACGTACTCTTATATATATATATATATATATATATATAGGTTATGTGGACGAAGTGATATATGAACATATTTAAGGGATCACATGAAGTCGTCCACGCTATCTTTGATTATGACGATATGTAAAAAACAGCAAAAGTGGCGCGACAAGACTCTTGCATATATATGTAAGAAAGAATGTGGACATGTACATAGTTTTGTGGTTGGTAGTGGCGATTGGATACATTATATATGGATACGAACATATTTAGTGGAAAACGTGGATCCGTGTCATGATCTGTGTAAAGACTATTTTAGGAAAAAGAAACAATGGCCTTATCGTGACCTGTGGATATGTACACATCAATTTATATTGGTAGGGGCAACAGATGAATTGATAAATGAATATGTTGATATATGAATATGTACATATTTAAGCTTCAAATTAAGACGTCCACATGATCTATAAAAAAAGGCTGCAATAAACACGACATGACTCTTGCATATATATGTAAGATCATGTCTGAAACTATGTACATGTGTAAGTTCCGTACATTGTACAAGTGTAAATCGCATGTGATGATTTATTTATTGTGTACATGTCCACTAGTACGAAACTATGTACATGTCTACGAGTGGGAAGAACACAACCCCAACAACGGAATCTCAATGTCTTACTCTTGGAGAATACAAAAAGAGCCATATTTTGTAAATTTCGCATAATGTGGACACAGAAGTCTAGGTTATTGATACAGTCCTGATTCGTACCCCGAATACACCAAGAGTTTTAAGTAACTCAAAAACATATGGATCAAAGGTTAGAATAAGAGAAGATGACTGCAAAGAGAAAATTACCAAAACAATGAAATGGATGTCGCCGGTGAACTCGTACTTGATGAACTAGACTTGTTAGTGATAAAAGCGACAATTATCATTGGAATTATACAATAAAAATTGGTATCTGCGAGAATAAGCTAAAGTAAACAATCTATGATGGACAAAAATCAGGGGCTAACGTGTACGGAGGAAAGCAAAAAGGTGTTACAAATGTTGATATTATAATGTTAGTTTAGGTTGGTAAGATAAATACCGATTAAATGGCTGTTAGTGAGAAGAGAGGGTCATAATGTCTTTTTGCAAGAGAAGATATAAGGAAAGTATCATTTAAAACAAAAGTGCTAAAAACTGTAAATATAAAGTATGTAAATTTCTCCTAAAATATTGCTTTCATTTGAAATTCCTTTTTCTGCTTTGCTTTTTTGATTTTGGCACGCCTAACGGTCTCTGCTTTTGCCTTTCTTTCTTTACTTTCATCTGAAATTCTTTATAGCTCGTTTCTTCTTTACTTTACCGTTACCTGGTCCTCGAAATTTCACTATCCAAGAATCGAAAATTATTCCCGGTTCAAATTTTTGGGTTTCGATTCATATTCTAAAGTATATATATTTTTTCTGATAAATCACAACGAAAGTTCTAAGCTTCCATTACATTTTTCTTTCTTTCTCTAGAACAAGAGACCCCAAAACACAAAAACAGATCTTGGAGAAGATGGAGAATTTATCAAATCCTGAAGAAAACGACGATCTGAGTTTTCAGCAATCACCTCGTTCCATCGATCTAAACGACCAATCAGCAACTGAAACTCCGGTTTACTCGACGATGAGCACAGATTCATTTGCTTATCATCGAACATGCTCTGAAACTTCAGGCGGCTTTTCAGACCATATAGATGAAACCAGCAGCTTCTGCAGTGAGGTTTCTCCTTCTGATTGGCCTGTCTTAACCCAATCCAAGTCCGACTTTTCAAAATGTCTCCCTGCCTTGGAAATGAAACAGAGACAGAATGACTCTGGTAAGAATCTTGCAGTCCAAGAAATTTCAGAACCAGGTTTCGTGCTCTCTCTCTCTCTCTCTCTCTCTCTCTCTTACTTTATCTCTTTCTCTATTTCCACTTTATCAACAAAATCTTGAAATTGTTCCGGATTTTGTGCAGAATTCGAGACGATGAAGGAAAGATTCTCGAAGCTTCTGCTTGGGGAAGATATGTCAGGAAGCGGCAAAGGCGTTTGCACAGCAGTGACAATCTCAAACGCCATAACCAATCTTTACGGTAAGCCCTAAAACTAGGCCTGACAGTTTATTTCTTTTATTCTGAGTTTCAAAAGCCAGATCTCTTGGAGGTGCAAATAATGTCTTCTGATTATGGGGTTGCAGCTACTGTTTTTGGACAGAATCTAAGATTAGAGCCATTGGAGATAGAGAGAAAGACAATGTGGAAGAGAGAAATGAATTGCCTTCTCTCTGTATGTGACTATATATTCGAGTTTATCCCAAAGTCACAGAATCTAAGCAATGGAGCCACTGTTGAGGTAAAAGCAGGTCTAATAACAGAGAAACATTCAGCGCAAATTCATATTATCTTCATCGATTATTTGTTTGTTGTTGGTCAGGTTATGGAGAGTAGACCAAGAGCAGACATCTACGTCAATTTGCCTGCACTCAGAAAACTAGATTCCATGCTTATGGTAGTGACTCTAAAACATGAAGATATCAAATATATTTGATCGGTTTCTCATAGAGGTCGTTTCTGTCTTTTTTTTTGGTTTATATTACGTGCAGGAGGCATTGGATAGTTTTCAAAAGACAGAGTTTTGGTATGCAGAAGAAGGAAGCTTGTCAATGAAGTCAACGCGTTCTGCAACTGGATCATTCAGGAAAGTGATTGTACAGAGGAAAGAAGAGAAATGGTGGCTACCGATTCCTCTAGTTCCATCACAAGGTTTATCAGACAAAGCAAGGAAACAACTTAAGAGCAAGAGAGAGAGCACTAATCAGATCCATAAAGCTGCTATGGCAATCAACAGCAGTATCCTCGCTGAGATGGATATTCCAGATTCTTACATGGAAACTCTTCCAAAGGTACTAAGAAAAAAGGGGATGATTTTGAAAATTTGGGTTTAGGGTTTATATGTCCGGTCTTCCTTTTCTTGCTTATCTTTTTGGATCTTGCTACATTTTGCAGAGCGGAAAAGCGAGCACCGGAGATTCTATTTATCGTTACATGACGAGTTCAGGGAAGTTTTTACCAGAGAAACTACTAGATTGTCTCAAGATCGTGTCGGAGCATGAAGCACTTCAGTTAGCAGATAGAGTAGAAGCTTCAATGTATACATGGCGACGCAAAGCTTGTCTAAGCAACTCCAAGTCTTCATGGAACATGGTGAAAGATCTTATGTCAATGACAGAGAGATCAGACAAGAACTATGTTTTGGCTGAAAGAGCAGAATCTTTGCTCTTTTGTTTGAAACAACGTTACCCAGAACTCTCTCAAACATCATTAGATATATGCAAGATTCATTACAACAAGGTAAGAAACAAACAGTGACTGAATCATTTTTTTCATTTAGTTATAGCAATATATGGGTTTTTGATCTTCTTCTTCTTCTTCTTCTTCTTTTGTTTGTTGTTGGTTTGCAGGATGTTGGGAAAGCTGTGTTAGAGAGTTATTCAAGAGTTCTTGAAGGTTTGGCTTTTAACATAGTTGCTTGGATTGATGATGTAGTTTATGTAGACAAAACAATGAGAGGAGAAGAAGATATATAATTAGTTCATTACCTTTTTAAAATTTTTTTTTTGTTCTTCCTCGTTCTTCAAATCGAAGTAAAACCCAACCAAATGGCACACATCTATTTCTCATAACATCGTAGATTATGTCACCAAAGCAGAAAAACAGAAACCTCTGTTTTCCAATATAGAAATTGTCTGCCTAATGTCCATAGTGATTATTGCTACAGAAGATGACCAAAATTTGGATGTAGAAACAGATTTGTGATCATCTGATCTTCACAAGTCAAGCATGAGTTCTTCTAATAATTCCTTTAGAATCAAATCACCAGTCTCAAAGGCAATGCACTCAAGGTCACATCTAATGTCTAACCAGTTTCTGGGTTTAGCCATGTCTTCTCTAAGAATTTGGTCCAGCGAGTGAGCAGATTGCGATGAAAAGAGACGACAATAAACCTCTTTTTGAACCTCATGAACGATGCTCTCAACAGTAAATGAGAAAACAAAGGAAGCCCATTGAGGAAACCTGCAGAACTCGAAGAGAAGTTCATTGATGCAGTCAAAGAGGAGCTCATGGTCAACACAAAGCTGACTTGGATAAAATGGTATGTTGCTGATCAAAGCCGGACTAAGAATCTGGTCAGAGAATTCTGTTCTCAGATACATCTCTTCCCAGCTCGAGTCTATTGCATCCAACACCGCTTTTACGTACTTAAACACTGTTTCTTTTTCATCCCTAGGATGATTTTTTTCTTGAAATTTGTCACACAAAGGTTGTCTCTTTGCTTCACCTGAATTTTGTTGAAGATGAGTCAATGTTAGGTCACAAATCAAGAGTTCTAAAATTTTTATAAGTTTTCTTTGTCTTTTCCATACCTCTTGCTGGACTGATTTCATATTCAATGAATAGCGGCTCAAGAACTAATTTGTATTCCTCGGTTTTAGATATATCGTGAGATGGTGCGGCCACAGAGAGAAGAGACAATTGTGGTAAGCTCTCTTCATGGGAGGTCTGCTAGAAAAAAAAAAAAAGCAACAAAATAATTCTTCTCTGTTTCTCCATCACAAAATTTGCATAGAAACACCAAATCAAAAATATACTTGCCTCTTTTAGGATCTCACCCTCTTTCTCTCCATCATAAGGTTCAGTTTGTGATATCTCAAAGGTGAGGATATCAACAATGTGGTTGCTTTTGGATATGGAGGGGCTACAACCTTCACCTGATGATGCAGTTTCTATCTCTTTGATACAAGTTATGAAATCATCTGCATAGTCTCGTTACTAGTTAGTGTATTCTCAAAAATGGGAGAATATATCTAAATGAACTTAGTACCTGAAAATGTTTCAGACTTGATGAAATCATCTGATGCAGATCTCGAAAGTTCAGTTGAATTCTGGTCCCATGTTATTCCCGGGCAGCTAAAAGGAGACAGATACTCGGGAAGCGATACAATCCTTCTTTGAAACTGTTTGCTCGTTCCCAAGTTTTGATTAAAATCTCCATTGTTGGGCATCTCAGGCAGATGTTTCTCGTTGTCATGGTGAGACCTCTTCTGCGACATTGAAGTCATCCGCTCGAGAAATAAATGATCTTTGGTTGATAAACTCCTTTGGAATCTTCTCTTCTTCCCCAAAAACCTCTTGTCATGTTGCGGTTTCTCCTTTTTGAATGAATATTTCAGTTTCCCCATGATCTCAGATAGAAGCAAATACAAATTATTGGCTCTGTTTCTTCTTCTCATCAGACGCGAATCTTCAGATGATTCTTGTGGTGATCTCTTCTTCTTCCTTTTGAAAAACCCAGATATCCAGAGCCTAACTGATCTCTCTCTTATCTTTGAGCAAAGCTTTTCTTCGCCATGTTTTTCGATTGGCATTTCAGATATAAGAACGTAAGAAGGAATTGCGATATGAAATACTCATATGCTTTGGTTATATTATGTTTACATGTTTAATATTAATACTAAGGAACGTATTATATATTGGTTCTTGTACGTATCAAATTTGGTCGAAATTACTTTAAAATATTTGGATTTATTCATTCAAAACTTCTTCACTAAAAGGAAGTAATAATCTATTCAAAGAGCAATAAATAAGTTTCCAAAGAGAACACAAAGCTTTTGGTTGTTAATTGAACTACTAGAGTAGTATTTGATTCTTTGTCTTTATAGTGTAAACTTAGGAATAAAAAATCTAATTTTAGATTAGATACCCATAGATTTCTTCAGATTATAAATGACAACACCTAATTGAGTGACATTCGATTTTGACTAATCTCTGAATTTCTTAATTAATAAACACCATATTTGGCTCTTATTTCTCAATTTTTTTTTTTGGATTTTCTTTCTTTTTCCTGTTTCTAATGATGGATGTCAGATACTACCATTTACTAGTTTTTTTTTCTAGTCCAATTATTTTAGAAAAAAAAACCATCCGTGTTTCCCTAAACGAATTTATCAAGCTCCTTGAAAAATTAGTTGTGAATTTTTGCAAACGTGTGATTTTACTTTTACCCCAATCGAATGCGAAGTCTTTATACCAATATACAGGCTCATCATTTTAAATCTTTTGACTAACGGTGATTTGGTAAAATTATGTTTGCCAATAGATATTCCGATTTCTTTATCTTTCTAGAGGGACATCAGAGAAAATCTTATACTAAACAATAATAATAAGAAGATGTTTATTAATATCCAATCGTATGTCTCCATGTAATAACTTGGATAAGCAACTTTTTATAACTGTTCAATTTTTGAAGTTTACCATAATGAAAAACTATATATTATAATGAAAATTCACTAACATTTGCAATAATCTATCCAGTTAAATCATAGTATTAAACATGCTTTACATAGGAATGTAAAGCGAAGGAGCGTAGTTTTTACTTCTTATACTTACCTTAATTTCAATTAATGACTATGGGGTTACCGAACTTCCTCTTTGTCCTCCTCGCTGTCCTCAAAAGCTTTTCAGTTTCCTTCTCTGCGTCCCATTCGAAATTAGCTCCTAGGGTGACAATTCACAGTTTCATAACAGAGCTCTGTAGTTAAGAAAAACATGAACTTCTTCGTACTTCTATCTAACACAATGTGGAACATTATCATTCTTATCCATAAATCCTTTTTTGACTTCTCCATTGCTTCGAGAGGAAACAAGTTTAGAAAAAATTTCATACCTTTGGTGTTCCCGTTGAGCAAGCATGAAAAGCCTCCATCTATTTCTTCATCTGAGTCAATGACAACGCTACATTGTTCCAACTGCATGAATTGTATTGCATATTGCTCAGGTTTTTAGGAAGTTAAGACAAGTGTTCTTATTGATTCAAGCTGATCAATCAGAATATCCGACCCAATCACCTGCGTACGAGTGCCTCCAGGTTTTACTTGATTTCTTGCTGCGTTCTTCTTAAATGTCCTTTGTTCTGGTTTCACTGTCTTCCAACATCCCACATGTGTCTTTGGGGATGCAGATGTTTTTACAGCTCTCGCTGATGCCTTACATGGACTGTAAAATACAAGATAAGCATTTAGAATCCATCCGTGGTCGTTGTAAAGTAGCAAGGCAATGTATGACCTACTTTCTAGGAAGCTGCGGTTGTTTCGTTTTCTGTGTAGTACTAGAAAAGGCATTTCTCTGCAGCTAATTTTGCACATTTGTTAGTAACAGCTGAGCTTGTTAACAAAATGGAATTCCGAAGAGAGGAGATGTGTTCACTGCAATAGAGCTAGTTACCTTGGCTGCTGGACCGCTCTGCTCAGGCAAGTTTTTCTGAGCCTGTTGTTTAATAAAACCCACATTAGTGGCTAAAATGTTTGGGTAAAAGAGCAAAGAGATGGAAACCAGGTGAAAATGACCTGCACTTTTGGTGCTGTTGAAACCTGAGCTATTATTGGCTCAGGCATCTTCAAGCTAGCCAAAACCTATAATATTCGTCGTTGGAAACAAACCATTACATGTGCTCACTAATTTAAAGATTGACCGAGATTTAACGTTAGATCAATCTTATATAGACTCTGCTGAAATAGACTAATTACTTGAAAACTCTCATGTCACACCTGAATCTCTCTGGTGAACGTGTGGTAGATTTCCCGTTGTGTTTTCTGCAGAGCGGTTTCTACTTGCTCTGGGATAGCTGTCAGCATCAAAACTATTTTCTGTAACCTCTCTTGATTGGGACCTTTGCTTAGTTCCTCCAAAATAGATTTAACAGCTCCATCAAGACTAGCTTTGATATCTGCTTGTTCCTTTATCTGCTTCCCAAGTAAACACTTAAATAAGCTTAATATGTTTGCATAAGGTCGATAAATACTACATATATTTGCTTTTACCAGCAGCTGAAGTGAAGTGTCTTGGAGAATCAACTTTTGGTGTATGCGCTCAGCTGCAGTAAATACATGAAACCATTAAGTCAGCTGTATGGAGGAATTAAGAGTCGTTCTTCAAGTGAAATGCTCTTCCACAGATTGATAAATCTGTTGGAGCAGACAATCTCAATCAGTGAATTACTCTTGCCAATAGAAGAGTAAGATTAGCTTTCTAACAGCCATGCTACGAAATCATGTTTGGCCAAGCAAATGTAAATCCAAGGGGATACACTTACCTAATCCCCTTGGTCTATTGCTATCCCATTTGGTTGGCAAATACTTTGAGAAGAGAGCGTATTTGACATTTTAAAATTAGAGAATCATAGAACTCACTTTCAATAAATACTTCTTTAGTTCCTCTATTAGCTTGCATGATGTCACTTTGTATCGAATCCAACATCATTCCAAACTTGGTCAATGAAGTTTCCATCATCCCAAACCGTTGTTCGAGTTCTTCACCAATCTGAGCTACTCAGTAACAAATGAAGAAAAGAACACTCAGTGCCAAAAATGGAATGTATGTCCACGCTCGCCAAAGGAAAATAATCTCCAGAAAACATATTTGTCCATCAAGTTGTTCTGGATCTAGAAAGGGAAACACTTACATTTAGATTCTCCTACTGAAACAGAACTCCATCTTCTCGTAAGACCGCTCGAAGGTCTAGCTACAACCATCTGACTGTCATCTCGTTTATGATTGATTGGGGGCAAGAAACTATTCTTCTTCAGAGAGAGATCTCGTTCTTGAGAGCTGAATCTCTGTGCAGAGCACAAGTATGAAATCAAGCCTAACTTAATGAAATTTTCTTCATCAGAGGAAGAGACGGTCTACAGAAGATAAATAATCAAGCACCATGATGTTTCTAACCTGATCGTTTATAAGGAGGTCTTCGACGGAGCTCTGTGTCATCTGAGAAAAACAACCACGCTGAGTCTGAGACGAAGGTCCCTGCGAGAAGGACTGCTGCGATGCTTGTTGTTCAGACGGTCCAACACTCGATCTCCTTCTAAATAGAGAATCCACACAGAAAGATAAATGCGAGAAAGGAACAACATACAAAATCGCAAAACTAGAGCGAAATACAATTTAGCCTCCTCTGATAAAAACAAAAACTCTACATACAGATCACACTGAAACTCGTCTCCAGCACAAACTAAACAAAAACCGATCCGCCGAAAGAGCGGAAGAATCCCAAATAAACCCTAAACGGTGGGGATCGCTGTGTATTCAGTCTCAAAATCGAGTACGCTCATTCTCGTGAAAGAGATGATGGATAGAAGCGAAATCGTACCTCAAATTAGGAGGAAACACCGAAATTGATTTCAGATCGCAGGCTTTGTTGATATTCATCTTCATCGTAGGACCCAACCCGTAGACGAGGACGCAGCTTTTCTTCAGATTTACGACAGTGATGATCAAACGATAGTGAGCTTTAGAGACGAGAGAGAGAGAGGAAGCTCAAACCGAATTTTGAATTTTAAAAAGATGGAGAGAGAGAGAGACTGAGAGAGTAGCGTAAATTGGAACAGATGTGTTTTTCTTTTTTTTTACGGCGAACAATTTTTTTTTCTTTTTCTGGTGTATCATGTACTGGCGGGAAAGAGACGATCTTTATGGGTTGGTAAAAGCCCATGGGGCTTTTTATTTAAGACTGCAAATGAATGGCACGAAGAGTGTGTCGCATGTAAATCACTCATCAAATTGGTCCATATATTATGGACCATCCGTCCGGACATTCATTTCTGTTGAATCATTATGAATTTTTATGATCGCAGTTAAATGAGGACGAAAACTACGTCAATTTGTTTTTTTTTTTTTTCTGTTGAATCATTATGAATCTGTCAATTTGTTTTTTTTTTGTTACTCAAAAATCTCCTCAAACAAAAAAAGAGAACGGGTTGTCACAACCGGCGTCGCGGTTAAATTTTCCGTCGTTTTAGTGCAACTTCCCCCGAGCTCTCACCGGTTAGTCTAGATCTGATGTTCCTTTGTTTTTGTTTGAACTATTAGTTTTTTATTTGTTTTTTGGTAGATCTAGAAATGGCCTCAAACAGAAAGAAAAAAACTCTAGAAATGGATTTTTATTTCATTAGCAACACACAGAAAATCGGATTATTCACGAGGAAAGAGAAGATTAGGGGGACTTCGTTGTAAAACAGTGACTATAAGTATAATCATATGTATTGCACATATTCGTTTGGTAAAAAGCAAGCAACTATTATACTATATTTTCTTGTTTTTTGTTTGTTTGTTTTTAGTTAAATTACCATTATTCGTCGCCGTAAAAGTTCTTGCATTAGGCCAGTAACGCAAGAAATCAAAACAAGCCTAACTAAAATGGGGAGGGAAATGAAAAAGGGCCTTGCGTTGGGTGATAGACAACTTCTTTGAAAGGAACGATGAGATGAAGTCGGATCCCTTCTCAAGCGGCGGCTGCGAATGGTAAAATCAGAGAAAACACAACTCGACTCGCTGTTGTTGGTTGTCTTTTTAAACAAAAAAAAAATAAAAAATCTCTGAGGTTTTTTCTCTTAATTAGGTGTCTTACGGTTTATCCAAAGGGATATCTTGGTCGTGATGACTTGACTCTGTTCCTGCGAGATCCGGATGCTAAATCATTGAGACCTGGATGGAAAAGGAGACTTTGGTACTGCTTCCTGTTGTTGAATCAATCCGGCCAAGAGCACCTGGTAATGAACTTTGGTTATGTTCCATCTATGACGATGAAAATTAAGTTGATATTTTTCTATTTCACTTCATCTAACAGACAAAGGTAGATGCAAATTGTTCTGCGCCGATGTCCCAGGCTGGGGTAATGGCACGGAGTTGACTCTTACCAATCTCCAAGAAAAAGGGTTTCTGGAGAAGAATCAATTAATAATTGAAGTTTACATCAACGTACTTGAAGTTGTTCTTCAAGGAAAACCAACTGATAATGATATGTTAGATTACCATGGTGTCCAGATCATTGCTTCTCAAGTAAGTTAGTTGAGGAGCCACCGCTGATCTACTTTTCTTCTTTAATAACATCCTCTGTTTTTTTTTCTTCAACCATTGACAGTGTTATTCAGTGGACAAGATTCTCAAAGAGCACCCAGAATTTACATTAGATCTCGAACGAAAGAACCAAGGGGTGCAATTACCTCACTTTAAGCTACTCATCGGCCTCATCCAGACACTGATCATCAAGTCTCCACAAAGCTTGTCTTTGATTGAATTAAACAATGCTCAAAGCAAATTGTCTGAGCTGACGGAAGCAGGCTTAAACCTCGAATGGTTAAGGTCCAAGCTTGAGGAGATTTCCTTGGAGAGTAAGAAAGCACTTTCTGATGGATCTAGGGTCCAACAACTCGAGGAACGGGTCAAGAATGTGGAATTGGCCATGTCGGATCTCAAAGTTGAACTGGAGAAGCACAAGATCAATTCTGCTTCTGCTGCTGCTATATTTCCTTCATTTGAGTTCATAGATTTTCTTATAAAGAGATTCTTTCTCTCTTGCTTCTCAATATCAAGGCACTAAACTATGTTTTACATAATCATAGCTTGAGGAGGAATTTTTTTTAAATAAGAATAAAAAACTCGGTGGTTAGTGTTCTAATCGCTGCAAGTTTGAATCCATGGATTTTTTTAAGACAAGTGGAGGAGTGTTTTCTTAATCAGAAAAAAAAACTTATGATTAACTAAAAAATTTTGGGTCATTTCTATCTGTTTAACAGAAAAAATTTGTCTATAAAATTTTTTTTACGGGCTTTTAAAGTAACATTTTTTAAATATAGATCTTTCTAAACAAAATTTGTACAAAAAATGAACTTTAAAAAAAAAATCTTTTCAAAGATAACCATATTTTAGTAAGAAGATTTCTAAAAAAAATTAGACTTATGGACCGTCGCACATCTGTCCATTCCTATTGGACCGGGCCTACGAAGGTTGCATCTATGATAGAGGGAAAATTCAAGGATCCAACCCCTCGAGTACTGTAAAACATAACACATATATGCATATCTTAAAACAACTCGAGTTTAATGTCAAGTTTACCATACAAGACTCTTGTGGTGGTGTTTAATATCTTCCAGTGTAAGGGATTCACATTTCTTCAGTTGACATGGTTCTCTTAAAAAGGCTAAGACGGTTTGAGACAGTGTCCTACGAGGAGCCTAGACAAATATTAGAAATTGGGGAATGAGAAAAGAAACATCACATGAATCATTTACTTTTACTTGCTCAGTACGTATCATATATTCAGAGTACGTATTGAGAATCTATTTACAAATTCAAATAACGTTCACTCATATACTCTTCTTTTTTTTTAATCTACCAAACGTGTGATACCATCTTTACCGACCATCGCCAATTTTACATTCTAGAACATCACTAATGTACTCTTCTTCTTATCGTCTTTAGTCAAGCAATTTTACATTCTAGAACATTTTGGATTCTAAAAAAAAAAAAAAAAATTGATGTACTTACACCAAGATATCCCGAAAACTACCTCATTAATTTCGGCCTTATTTTCGACATTATTCTCGCAAACTTAATGTCGACGTGAAAAAAGAAAAAAGAAAAAAAGGTTGATTGACACTAATATTCCCGGAAACTTAATAAACAAGTGTAAAGCTAAACAGTTCGCTTGAATAAAATAAGCTGACCCAGCGATTGACCGAGAAATTAACACGTAAATAGTCCGAAACCTCCTTGCAGTTTAAGTTGCAAAGGGATAAAAGAGGGATACCTTGATCTCTCTCTCCCTCTCGCAAGCTAGTCGCTATATATTACGCGTTGATACTAGCTAGTTTCATAATTGGATACCTTTGTCTTGTTTATCATTAAAAAGAAAGAAAAAAAAAACAAGTAAGAATCCATGGGAGAAACTTTGCATAACGACGCCATTTATGTTGCAGTGAATCAAAATGTTCGAGAAAGTAAACTAACTTTGTTATGGACATTGAGGACTCTTCCCGTGAAGAAGCTTTGTCTTCTTCATGTTCATCTTCCATTTTCGTTGACCGCTTCTTGTAAGTATCTAATTTTGCTTTTAGATATATAGGTTCGAATGCCAAAGAAACTTTAATTAGGTGAAGCAAATGTTTCATGATTCATTCATGGGTTATATTAAAGATGACGAACTGGAAAGGCTAGTATCATTTTTACTAATTACCATGTCGTAGTTTTTGACGAATTGAGTCTATTTTGTGATTAATATTAGATAACCCTCTGGATGATGTCAATTTTTCTATGAAACGAATCAGGTTTTTGGGCTTATACGGCTATGTATTGTAGTTAAGTCACACATCATGTTTTATTATCTCACCTGATTAGGGCATCTCCAACCATGATATCCATAGTTGGGGTTCATAACAATTTTTAATTAGTTTTTTTTTTTATTAAAAAAGTAGTCATCTCCACCTTAAAAATGTCCTCCATTCATGAACCTGATAGGTCTTCGAAGACTCAAAAAAATTTTCAACGACAAATGAAAAAAAAAAGAAATAGCTTACCCTTATTAATTTCTCTCCTCCACACAACAGCCAATCTAAATTCGCCACCTATTCAGTCATATCCGAGTAAGACGGGTTCAATAAACTGACTCCACTCATACCGTCTCACTCGATTTGGGCTTCAAATATAATTAAAAAACACAAAAACGGGTCCACTTGTGAAACCATGGTGAACCTCCGTTGGAGGTGGCCTTATAATTAATTCTCCTCTTATAAAGTTTGGATTTTCTAGTGAGTAGCCACAGTTAAAGCATACAGAATATGTTTCAGGACTGTTTACTCTGTTTTGCATATGTTCGAAGAATTGGAATTTTACTCTGTTTTTGAAATAGAGTCTTGTGGTTGGTGCATTTTCAGCAAGTGGACTTGATGAAAGTGAGATCAATGCAATCCAAGAATCAGAACTGAAAACTTCTTATGATAGCCTCCACAAGTACCGTGATATCTGCACAAACAAAGGGGTAAGTTCTCTTAGCAAATCTACAATACAAACTCTGTAGCATTGATAGTGAGAACTAAGTAACACGCTATGTATAGTCTGTTTACTGTCAATTGGTTTTATAGTCTTTTAGATATCGCTCAATGAAAAACCCAAACGCATAATAGACCTACGAGTTGCTGGAGCTAGAAGGAAACGACATCTTGAAAAGACTGATTGAAATTCTATATATATATATATATATATATATATTGATGCAGGTTATTGAAGAAGATGTGGATATATCATTAATCTCCGGATATGATGTTGGTGAAGGGATTGTTGAACTCATGTATCAAAACAATATAAAGAAGCTAGTAATGGGAGCAGCAGCTGATCCTCACTATTCGAGGTAAGGATAACTCAAGAACCAATCTATGTTTTGAGAAGATGAGATTTAAAAAAATGGTTCAATCCATCTTATACAAACAAGAGAAAGACCAGGGGATAAAGCATAAATATACAATTAAGCTCTCTTTGTCTATGACAATGCAGGGGAATGTCTATCACATCAAGAAAAGCAGAGTATGTGAGTCAACATGCACCTCAGTGCTGTAAAATGTGGTTCATCTGCAAGGGGAAACTCATTGAGACAAGGTGAGTTTTGAGGGTTACACTTGTGACTTGTGTGTGTGTGTGTGTGTGTCTATAATAATTGCAGATTTTAAAAGAAAGTTGGCTTTTACACCTTTGTTTTCAATAGAGAAGGAAGTTTCGACCATGAGAATCCATCAGATTCATTCTCAGAATTCCATGATTCATTGTCAGTATCACCAAAGAAAGTAATAAAAGCAGAATTGACTCCTGAAGACTTGCCTCCTGAAGACTTTCTTTGTCCCATTTCAATGGTAAGGATTCATATCCAAGTATATGTCAAGTTTATCTTGTGTGACTTGGCTCATCATATTAAATTATGATATTTTGTAGGAGATTATGCAAGATCCCCATGTCGCAGCTGATGGTCACACCTACGAGGCAGATACAATAAGAACCTGGCTGAGACGAGGAGGTCAAAACTCGCCAAAGACAGGCGCTAGGCTCGCCAATCACAATCTTACTCCAAACTACACCCTTCGTTCTGTCATTAACGAGTGGCTCCAGCAGCACCCAAAGTATATCAATCCTTGATTAACCTCTAAGATGGAGAAAAATTTAAGATGATGTCATTTTGGGAATTTCTTTGTCAAGATAAAAAATATACAAATATGCTATAAACTTTCTCTATTTATGCGATTATGTAAGCCATCAATCGATTTTGTTTTGTGTATAAATATGTTTATTACCTAACTTCGACCCAAAAAAAAATGTTTATTACCTAACTGTCGGGAAACTAGTCGATCTAGTCAACCCTTAAATGCTAACTAGTGGTGAATTTATTTTATGGCCCCATGGCCCGTTTTTAAATGTGATATTTAGCCCACTAAAAACAGCTTTTTCACAAGCCAAGGGAGAAGATCTGACCGTTCAAACCAAAAGCTACGTGACGTGTCGTAACCTGAATCCTCGCTAATTTTACGATTAAACAACTCTTTACTTTTTTTCTTAGCTTACATGTTGACTCTTGACTTGGCTCCACTTCAGAGACAGCTTCATTCTTCTTCTTCTTCTTGAGGTCACCCTAATCGAACGCCGGCTAACGTACCGGCGCACGACACACGTCATCATGTAGCGGAGATCGATCTCAGGTAAAAAAAATTCCGAACCGATTTGTTTCTCATTACCATCCCAAACCTCCTTAAAGTATCCCGCCTTCGAATCAGATTTTTTTTAAAAAAAATTTTAGCTTCTCTGAGTTGACATTTTACTTTCCTTTTTAAATATAGTAATTCGTTTAATTTTATGCTTTAATTTAAAGTGTCGTTTTACGGTAAGAAATGGTCTGCGTATGTAGACATCCAAGAAATTCACCGATATTATCTAAGTTCCGTTCCATTTAATTTATTGTGAGCAATGGCTCCCTCTCTGATGTTATCTTTTAAGATCATATCTTTCGTTGTCATCACTTTTTTCTCAGAAAAATACATTTAATGATTCAGTATTCACTTGTATCATATAATTTCATTGACTAAGAAAATGGTCGGAAACATCTTCGAAATTAGTTGTTCAGGGACGAAAATATACTACTGATGTGTCTACATATCATATTATAATAAAATTAAATAATTGTGTTTGTGTTTTCTGTGTCTTATCGTCTTGTTTTGGAAAAGAGCGAATTTGTCTCTACGTATCTATAGAACAAAACAAAAAACAAAAAAATTAGAGAATCCATGGCAGAGGCGTTGAATGGCGATCCCGTTTATGTTGCAGTAAGCAAAGATGTTCGTGAAAGCAGATTGACTTTGATATGGGCATTGAGGAATCTCCGAGTGAAAAAGCTTTACCTTCTTCATGTTCATCAACAGATTTCGATGAACCCTACATGTAAAGCATCGCTTCTCTTAGTTTGATTCGGCATTTTTATCTATTATTTCATTTTGTGCCACGAAACTTTTATCTCGGATGTAGTAATCGAGCATATTAATTTTCTCTGTTTTGGTACTAGTTTACACTTATCAAGCATCTGATGGTTATGGATCACAAATGGTTGCAGCTGGTAGAAATTGATGTTTTTTTTTTTTTTTTTTAACCTCGGCCGGCCTCTAATTTCATTGATGATGAAGTAGTTATATCTAGCAACTTAAGATTCTTGATCGTAGGGTGTAAAGGGTTGCAGCTAGGTGTCTGTATTAGTGTTTACGTGTGGGTGATGTTCTGTCTAGCGACTGATGATCTGATTATGGAGGAAGACCAAGCTTTACTAGCTTTCTTGAATCAACTTATACCGACTGTGTGAGTTTCCTCTTTTTTTCTTCTAATGTTCGCCCTTTCGTCTGTGAATCCCAGCAAGTGGGCTAGAACAAAGCGAGATCGATGCAATCCAGGAGTCTGAACTGACAAGTACACATGCGAGCCTTCTCAAATACCGTGATATCTGTGTAGATGAAGGAGTGAGTGGTCTTGTGGTTCATTTTGTTTTACAACAACAATTATGATCAGAATGTACAAGAGTTGAACATTTTAGTATTGATGCATTGGGAATGTCATACAATTGCTTATGTTGCAGGTTAACGAACAAGATGTAGATATATTCTGGAATTTGGCTAATAATGTTGGGGAAGGGATTGTGGAACTCATCTATGAAAACAGTATCAAGAAGCTTATTATGGGAGCAGCTGCTGATTCCCACTACTCCGAGTAAGGATACATTGATAATACGCGTGAATCAAAGATGAGTCTTTAAATCAGAAAAAATGCTCACCCTGGTCTTATATTTTTGATGATGCAGGGGCATGGTTAATATCACATCTAGAAAAGCCGAGTATGTAAGTCGCCACGCGCCTCATTGCTGTAAAATATGGCTTGTCTGTAATGGGAACCTCATCCAAACGAGGTAAGTTGGAGGATTATACACTTCTGCTTGTTTTGAACAATTGTGAAGTTAACAGGATATTTTTTTTCTTTTTTATGTTTAATAGGGATGGACGGTTTGATCTTGGGAGTTCATCACACTCCTCCTCTGAATCCTTAACCAGCCTTCACGGCCTTGATTCTGCTCTGATACCATACGGGGAAGCAGGACGAGCTGACCATGACAGCGAGTCACATGCCCTGTCCTCACTTGAAGACCAATCAGTACGTAAAATACATTTTACTTAGCACAGAGAATCGGAAAAACATTTTGACTAGCGTAAAAGCCTTAAGATTTAACATCCCTCCTAGTTAGCCAAATCTGTAAAAACATAACACATATGTATGTCTAAAAACCCATATGCATGTTTGATGTCAAGTTTACGACTCTTGTGGTGGTGTTTTATATCTTGTAAGATGATTCTCATTTGTTCAATTGACATGTCCCTTTTAAACAGACTATAGGGTTTGAGACGATGTACTACGAGGAACAGAGACGGAGATTAGAGATTGAGGAACTAAAGAGAGAAAAGGAGCAACATGATAAGATGAAGCGTGAAAGAGAGGAAGCACTCTCTAGTGCCTTTGGTGTCACTCAGATACAGTACGATGAAGAAGTAAGTCGCAGGAGAGAAGGGGAGGAGGAACTAAACAGAGCGAAAGCAGAAATTGAAAAGATGAAGAGGGTCCAAAAGGAACTCGAAGAACAACTTTACATTGATTGCCCCCGTCTGTTAGAAATGTTCCAGAAAGAGCGAGACGAAGCTATCAAAACAAATGAAGAGCTTTTGAGACATCTAAACCTGGGGAAGGGTGAGTCATCGTCACATTCACCATCATCCCCGTTGCAGTGGTCTGTTTCCAACGAGCCTCCCGCATATTTCATCTGTCCCATTTCAAAGGTCAGGACTCGGCCCCTCCATCTAAAAAAAAGCATTTTTTTGGTTCGGATCTTGACTTGGCTTCTGCTCGATATCTCAACTTAGTGCACTAAGCTTACACGTTCACTTAACCATACATGTCCTAAACTAACCTTCCATTTAAATATCTGTTTGCTGGTCTGCTCTTATACTATTCTTTGCCAAATTGCACGTGAATGTAGGAGATTATGCAAAACCCCCATGTTGCAGCCGATGGTTACACTTATGAAGCAGATGAGTTCAAAAGCTGGCTCAGCCATGGAGGTGAAAAATCGCCGATGACAAACCTTAGGCTTGAGAATCATAACCTCACCCCAAATCTTGTTCTTCGTTCAGCTATTAATGAGTGGTTGCAACAGCATCCGTATTTCTTTGATTTACCTTAAGATAAATATGATGTTGATTGTGTTGTGATCCAGTTAATTTATATGGGAATAGAAATGTGAAAAAATATAATAAAAAGCTCTCTATTCACTGGGAAAAAAATCTTGGGAGAGCCGTTTAATTTATGCGTTGACTTGTGTTTTAATTTCCACCCATTGACTTTACTGGGTCCACCTTACGAAACCTGAAACGGTCAACAAGAAGAACATTGAGGGTCACCACTAACCACTGTTGGTCTCTTTCTGTTAGATGCTTCTTTCTTTCTCTATTTTCACTTTCCAGGGGGGGAAACAGACCGAATACAGACGGAGAAAAGGACATCAATGGCGGAACTCATGGCCATGGGCAATGATGTTGTTCATGTTGCTGTGAAGAATGATGTCAGAGAGAGCAAATCGACTCTGGTTTGGGCTCTGAGGAACCTCGGTGCCAAGAAAGTCTGTATCCTCCATGTTTATCAGCCAAAAACTGCTTCTCCTGCTGGTAATTTTTTATTATCTTAATGCCCAATCAACTAAATACCGAGTTTAGATCATTACAATGTTACGCCATCTGTTGATGAAGCGATGCTTCGCATTTGATACTATATTTCTTGTTGATTTTTTAGCACGCAAGCTTGAAGAATTGGAGGCAATCATGTACGAGACATTACATGATTATTTTGACCTCTGTCAACAAGAAGGGGTATTGTTCTGTTGCCTTGTTTAAGTATTTCTCTTCTTGCATTGACATTATTCTGTTTCCCCTCATTCTTGTTCCCCAATGAGAATGATTCAAATAGAAAATGCAATCAATACCTGATATTGGATTCATTGTGATCACAGGTGAATGAGGACGACATTTACATATCGTGTATAGAGATGAACGATGTCAAGCAGGGGATATTAGAACTCATCCATGAGAGCAGAATCAAGAAGCTCGTTATGGGAGCTGCGTCAGATCATCGTTATTCAGAGTACATATTGAATATCTATTAAAATTTAAGACTCTACACTCGTGTTGACTTGCTGAAATGTTGCAGGAAGATGTTCGATCTCAAGTCAAGAAAGGCAAAGTATGTGTACCAACACGCACCCAGCTCCTGCGAGGTTATGTTTACGTGTGATGGACATCTCATCTACACAAAGTGAGTTCTGAAAATTCTCATTACTTATGTTCTGTCTCTATCCATGAAGAAACACCTTATGTGTCTGTATATTCAATACTCAGGGAAGCCAATCTTGAAGACCGTGTGGATGAAACAGAAGCCGACGTTGGACAATCGAAACCGAAGCTCTATAGCTCTGCTTCACCAAAATGCTCTGCAGAATTGGTCTCTGCAATTGTAGCTTACATTGACACAAGGAGAGACAGGGACATGTTAGAGCCAACTGCATCAGAGGACCAATCTGTACGATCTAAACATTGTTGGTATTGTGAATTGAGCCAATATATCCCGTGCTGTTTCTGTGTCTGTTACTAAGTGATTGAAAGCTTCTGTCCTTTTGCAGGATAGCAACAGGAATGATCAACTGTATAGACAGCTTAAGCAAGCACTTATGGAAGTTGAGGAATCGAAAAGAGAAGCGTATGAAGAATGTGTCAGGCGGTTTAAAGCTGAAAGTACCGCCGTTGAGGCCATTCGCAGTGTAAAATACTTGCACAAATCCATAATCACAAGTTGAAAAGGTTTTTTTTTTTTTTGGCTTAGAATTGCTTCCTTTTACTTTAAAGGCAAGAGAGTATGAAGCTATGTTCAATGAGGAAGCGAGGCTAAGGAAAGAAGGTAAAGAAGCATTAGCCAAACAGAGGAAAATAGTCGAGAAGACTAAACAAGAGAGGGACGACGCGCTTATCATCATTCTGAATGGAAGAAAGCTATACAATGAGGAACTGAGACGCAGAGTTGAAGCTGAAGAGATGTTGGGGAAGGAAAAAGAAGAACACGAGAAAACTAAGAAGGAGATCGAAGAAGTGCGGGTCATTGTTCAGGACGGTACTGTCAGAAACAGAAACTTTTACAGAACTGAATGTCCTTTTTCAGATGAGTGCTTGAATTTACAATAGCATTTACAAATTAGGGATGCAGCTCTACAACGAGCAGCTGAGACAGAGGAAAGAGATGGAGGAATCATTGAAGAGACAAGAGGAAGAGCTTGAGAAGACAAAGAAGGAGAAGGAAGAAGCCTGCTTAATAAGCAAGAACTTGATGCAGCTATATGAAGACGAGGTATTGAATCTTAAGATCAAATCAGAAACTGAGAAGTTATAATCACCATATCAAAATTCATTTTGACAGGTGCGCCAGAGGAAAGAAACAGAGGAGTTAGTGAAGAGAAGAAGAGAGGAGCTTGAGAAAGTGAGGAAGGAGAAAGAAGAAGCTTGCTCTGTAGGACAAAACTTCATGAGGTTATATGAAGAAGAAGCAAGACGTAGAAAAGGAACAGAGGAAGAACTCAGCAAGGTCGCTGCTGAGAAAGACGCAGCTAGCACGGTCTGTTCGGAGATTCTGTTGCTTCTTCAAAGCTACACTCGTCGTCATGGATTACCTTCAGGATTCTCTGATGAGGATTCCGTTACCCGTCAGCCTCCGTCGTATTTTATCTGCCCCATCTCGCAGGTATGTTGAACACAACTGGAGCCAAACCGAACCTGTAAAAAAAAACTGAAATGTCTACTTCAAGATGTGTTACTTAAAATTCACATTTGTTATCATCTGCATCGTTCCTCTTTAATACCGAGCCAGGGTGGACCGTTGGGTTTGGTTTGGCTTAACTGATTGCCTTGTGATTGATGTTTCGACAGATTTGGGTTGGCCACAGCCCACAGCTAGTTTATAAATGTTTAGAAGTCAAAAATGATCGTTTCTTCGTTTTTCAGGAAGTAATGCGAGAGCCTCGTGTTGCAGCCGATGGTTTCACCTACGAAGCTGAAGCCTTGAGAGAATGGCTCGATAATGGTCACGAGACTTCACCAATGACGAACCTTAAGCTCGACCACAATAACCTTGTCCCTAATCACGCCCTTCGTTCTGCAATTCAAGAGTGGCATCAACGAAACTCTTAAAGAATCTCTGGTTAGTGTTGTGAATGTCTTAAATATATCAAGTTGGATTGTATTTGTGTGTTCGCTAAAAAGTTGTTACTTGCTGTGATGAGTGGAATTCATTTTTTATTTTTTTTAAACTGTTTGGTTGGCGCTCTGATTAACCAGCCTGAAAAAAAGGCTTAACCCATGTACAAAATGCTTGCTGTTTTCTTGCTGCTCTAACATGGGTAGACTTGTCTGTCGTCAACACCTTGAAAAAACGACCTGTAAAATCACAAGTCCCTTTCTATGGGCCAATCAAACCATACTTTTACTAAACATGGCCCAACAAGTGTCCGCGAATATGCTAGAAAGCTTTTTTTGCACACGTGAGATTTATATCAAAACGCGACGCGTGTACAAACGAACACATTGGCTTTTTTCTTAAACGTGGAAGGGTATTATTGGCCATGATATGTTGACACTGAGCTTAGTATGAGGTCGGCCACATCAGATTTTCGAATTATGATTTATCTAATGGTTTACTGTAAAATGCCGTCTTGTCGGTACGGTTCATACGGATTCGATTTAAAATAATGAATTAGATATAATTAAGACTTTTATTTTGCAAGCCGGTGATCGGTAGATTTGATGTAACATATCGCATTCATGTTCCACGCGCAGCTTCTTCCACGCACATGCAGTTAGCTCAGACTCAGATGTATTATTTCGAAAACCGGTATTTTATTTATAATGATGTCTCTCCATTTATATGATTCTATTAATTTTCTGGTGAGTAAGAGCACTTGAGTCTTGACAAATAGAGAAGATTAGGATTACTTTAAGTTGAAATCTTCAATAGTTATGGATATATTATATCATAAAATTGACATCCTCAATATTGTGGTGTATGATGTCATCATATGTACATACTATGGATAATGTTAAATAGTTTCATGGCATGCTGATATGATATACACAGCACTACAGTTAAGGTTTCTACATAATTTAACAACTTATTTTTTTGTCTGTTGTTTCTTTAAATCTTATATACTCATCATCTTATAACAAATTAAAGGGATTATCAGTCGCATCACAAGACAATATTTGATGTAAACTATAAATATATCTCAAAAAGCACATGTAAATCAAAGCATTTTTTTTCTTCCCCACAAAAATTACACCATTTAGTCTCAGCTACAAAATAAGATGTAGTAAGAAGTCAGCAATTATTTGAATATACATGGTTCGCTTAATGTTATATTTTGGTGTATTTATTTTCTGCCATTCCGTTTATTACTCCACATGTTTTTGTTCTACGCGATAGTTTTCTTAATCGACATTAAACACTTTAATTATTACTAGAGATAGAGAAGATAAATATCGTACGGATCCATAATTAAAATAAAAGGTACGAACTCTCTAAAATGCCGCGTACCACGCGCGAAAGATGAGAGAGTGGCATCAAAAAAGTCAAAACCACCGTTTAAACGCCTGCGTTTTACGCTTACTTATCTTTAAAACGACACACATTTTCTTTTTCTCTCTTTTTCATCTCTTTCTCTCTCTCCCACGAGACTTTTTTTTCCCTCTCTCTCTCTTTCTTTCGTTCCTTGTACCTTCCTCCATTTTTCTCCATCTTTCCTCTTTCTTTATCTTCAACCTGCCTTATTCATCTCCTTCGTATCCATACCTTTTTGCGAATTCGTAGAGTCAAAGTATGGTCTCGCTGAGATCTTTCAGCTGTTTCGTGCTTGTTTTCGGGTTGTTGTACAGTGCTAGTTTGGTTTCTGCTGGAGACATAGTTCACCACGATAACTCGCTTCCGCAGAGACCTGGTTGCAACAACAATTTTGTTCTGGTGAGAATACTCATCGAATCAGCGTTGGTTTTGCCCTTAACACCTCTTAGCTCGCTTCTCTTGGTGATGATTTTCAGTCGTTTAGCTTTCTGTTGGGTTTCAGATGGCTAATCAATAGGGTTTAGAAGCTTCCTCATAGTTATCTCAAACTACGGAATTAATCTTTTGATTGCTTAATTCTCGTCTATTTTTTTTTTTATGAGCTTTGGATTTTATACTTGATGTCATTCAGAGACACGTCAATCCTTAGAAAGGGTTTTTGTTTGTTCACAGCTTAGTTCAGCGATAGCCATTACACGATCGTTTTGTAGTCTCGTGGGTTTGCGTGCGTGAATACTAAAGCAAGCCCAAGTAATTGTTTCTTACTTTCTTCATGTGTTGCTAGCTATTTGTTAGATATCTCGACCGATTTGATTTGAATAGATCGGATACAGATCTGGAACTCTTACTTTCTGCATTGAAGCCAGTTTAGCTTCCCTGCCATGGGGCTTTTGAATGTGGCATATCATCTTCGAACATAATTCCATGTACAGGTCAAAGTGCCAACTCGTGTTGATGGGGTAGAACAGGTGGAATATGTTGGTGTGGGTGCTAGGTTTGGCCCAACCTTGGAATCAAAGGAGAAACATGCTACTCTCATAAAACTTGCTATTGCAGACCCTCCTGATTGTTGCAGCACACCCACAAATAAGGTTGGAATCTGTTTTGTTTGTGTGGAATATATATCCTCTTGGTATTTCCGGTTGTAATTCTGGTTCATTTTCTCTTTTGGTAGCTTACTGGAGAGGTCATTCTTGTTCACCGTGGTAACTGCAGTTTTACCACCAAAACAAAGGTAGCTGAAGCAGCTGGTGCCTCAGCTATCCTTATTATAAACAACAGCACAGGTAATCAACTGATGCTTTTCTTTACTTATTTCCTTCCAAATTCTCAGAATTCTAGTTATCCTCTTGAGTTTTGCAAGGTTGAATGTTGTTTTGCAGATCTTTTCAAGATGGTATGTGAGAAAGGTGAAAACGTTTTAGATATAACTATTCCGGTCGTTATGCTACCTGTTGACGCTGGTAGAAATCTGGAGGAGACCGTTAAGAATAACTCCATAGGTAAATCTCAGATTGAGTACAGTTTTACTTCAGCAGAGATTAGTCGTCTTCGTGAGTTACTAATATTATTAAATTGTTTTCTAGCATATCTTCTTATTCTAGTTTGTCAACTTTTTAGCCTCTCTTTTTAAATGTTGTTGTTGACTGTATTTGTTCAGTTACTTTGCAGCTCTACTCACCGAAACGTCCAGCAGTTGATGTGGCTGAGGTCTTCCTATGGCTTATGGCTGTTGGTACCATTTTGTGTGCTTCTTATTGGTCTGCGTGGACCGCCAGGGAAGAAGCTGTTGAGCAAGACAAGCTGCTAAAGGTGCTCACTAGCATAAAAAAATACCTTAACAAATTACATTGTATATCCACCGTGGTCGAACCTTTTGGCTGCCAAGGAAAATGAAGTCCTTTCTCTCAGGCTTTTTGTTATAATTATCAAACCGCAGGATGGATCAGATGAACCTTTGCAGTTATCAACCACCAGCTCCAGAGGTGTTGTTGAGATCACTGTGATATCAGCAATTTTGTTTGTTGTGGTTGCTTCTTGTTTCCTGATCATGCTCTACAAGCTTATGTCATTCTGGTTTATAGAAGTGTTGGTGGTACTCTTTTGCATAGGTGGCGTAGAGGTCAGAACGTTTATCCTATGACCAATTGAATCCATGGCAATACCTTATTGAATTCATGCCTGTTACTGAGATTGTAAGTTTTGCTGGTGCTATCAGGGGCTGCAGACCTGTTTTGTCGCTTTGCTCTCTTGGTATGTTTATTTCTTCTTATTATACTTTCTTTCGCCTTCAGGAGCATTTTCCGCCTCTGTTTTGCTTTTCTAATAGTCGTGTAGAGGAAACTTTTAGATGGACAGTACCACTGATCTCAGATATTGGCCCATTCTCATTTTCAAACTTCCTATGTTCTGCGTTGTCTGGATTTAAGGGCTTGTTTTCCATAAAATATTGAAAGTGAGAGGAACCATGAAATATATTTTTTTTAGGGCTGTTCGCTTTAATTCTCAACTTAGACATATGTATGTGCAGGCTTTCTCACTCGTTAAAAAGATAAAAAGAAAAACTGGGACTGACGTTGGATTTATTATAGTTTCAGATGGTTCCGCCGCTTCGGAGAATCATATGTCAAAGTTCCTTTTCTGGGTGCTGTCTCATACTTGACTCTGGCCGTTTGTCCCTTTTGCATAGCATTTGCTGTTACCTGGGCAGTTTGCCGCCAAAACTCTTTAGCTTGGATAGGGCAAGATATACTTGTAAGCACGCCTTTCTGTCTCTTAACTGACTTCAGTTTGTGTCCATGTATTTTTATAGGTACAGTATATATGCAAAATGTCTCGTGTTAAATTTCTCTACAAGACCACCCATGCTTATGTGTATAGAAATTGGTGTTGGGTTGACCCACAAAGGACAGAAAATAACAGCTCACTGTTGCATTTTTTCTTGCTGTGACAGGGAATCTCGCTGATAATCACAGTTCTTCAAATTGTCCGGGTACCAAATCTTAAGGTAATGTCCATTTCTTTTTGTGGACACTCAATCTCGCATTTTGGCATCTGTAGCCATCTAATACCAGCTGCATGTTGGAACCATAACTTTTCCAGTGTAATTATACGTGCCTAAAAACTTGGCACCTAAATAAATAAGCTGTAAAATCCAAACCAGTCAATAGAAGACTGAAAAATTCGTTGCTGCTGGTAGACAGTGCCAATCGATTCTGCCGATGTATAGAAGACCCATCTCCTTAAATAGCAGTATTAGTTCATTGAAATTTAATGTTAACAGGTTGGAGTTGTTCTTCTCAGCTGTGCCTTCATGTATGACATCTTCTGGGTATTTGTTTCAAAATGGTGGTTCCGTGAAAGCGTGATGATTGTGGTAAGTATTTCCTGCATTTCCATACTTCTCTGTCTGCTCCACACTGAATGCTTTTGAGAAACCATCGGCCTTTTCTGTTTTCCCACCTAAAGGTAGCCCGTGGTGACAGAAGTGGAGAAGACGGCATCCCAATGCTACTAAAGATCCCACGTATGTTTGATCCTTGGGGTGGCTACAGTATCATCGGATTTGGCGATATCATCTTACCAGGACTGCTTGTAACTTTTGCACTGAGGTTTGCACTACTAAGTCTACTATCCCCTTCCCTTGTTCCCATGTTTTTGCACATTTCTTCCCCTTATTACTGTATCAACTAAACTGGGGTATTAGAAGCATATGGTCAGCTTAATGGAATGAAATTGCTTGAGCGTGGGGAAAAATAATCTTACAGAAACACCCTCCTGTAATGGTTTTGACTTTTTTGAAGAACTAGATAGAAATATCATTGAAACGTGCAAGTGTTGTTATTGTTGCACCTAATGTGGTTCGGAGCATCATAAAAGTATCGCCATAGGAGATATAACCAACAAAATCTAGTATATAGATTTAGTTCAGGAGTTTGAATTAATCAAATGTCCCCAGAGAAATCAGGGTAAGTGTGCACTACGTAGACAAATGGAGACATTACAAGATGTTGTTTAAGAAAAGAAAAGATACTGGATCTTCTCCATCTTCTCATGTTTCAGTAGGGAGACGGAAACGTATTATTGTTATCAGTGATATTCTGGATTTTTATCTTTTCCTTTATTATGGTGCTATGAGGCAGAGGAGCTGTTCTGATCTTGATCAAATTGCAGATACGACTGGCTGGCAAACAAGAGGCTCAAGTCAGGATACTTCCTTGGGACAATGTCTGCTTATGGTCTAGGTATGATCCCTCAAATAGGGAAGATAGAGAAAGAAAGAAGAATTTCCAGAATCTAACTTTATTACTTGTTATTAATTATATCACAGGTCTTCTCGTAACATACATTGCCCTAAACTTGATGGATGGGCACGGGCAACCAGCTTTACTTTACATCGTCCCATTCATACTGGGTGAGTCTTATTAAGTAGAGGTTTTTGGGAAATCAAAAGCCAAAGCAATGGAAAGTGTTTGTATCTGAAGAATGCTTTGTGTCAAATTTCAGGTACTTTGATAGTGTTAGGTCACAAGAGAGGTGACCTGAAGACCCTATGGACAACAGGGGAACCCGAGAGGCCATGTCCTCACGTTCGCCTTCAACCTCAATCTTAAAAAAGAAAAACCATCAAATCTGATCGGATCATTCTCTCTAGTTTTATTGTTAATAGTCACACTTGTTAGGTCTATATACATATATATATGTATCTCTACCTCAGTCTTACAGAATCAAACAGACCCCTACACGCCCATTGTCTTTACTCTTTTTAACCTCCCTTATTCCCCTTTCTTACGTCTTTCTATTCAAAGAGAACACGAAAAGACTAGACTGGGTGAGATTCTGTTTTTAAAAAAATAGTTGCATCACAAAAGGTTCATCATGTCTGTAATTAGGCGGAAACATTTGCGGGGAAAGACCAAAAAAAAACTAGCACCGTTTTCTTTTCTCTTCACTAACAAGTCTGACTATATTTCCTAATCATGTTTCTCCATTTGTCTTTAAGGTTATCAGCAGTACGTGTTTCGTGGAAAACATTCTTTCCCATTTTCAGAATTTTCTTCCATGGCATGTTCTTCCTTGCTTCAGCAGCAAATTTCTCCACTCCGGCAATGAGCATATCTTCTTCTTTGGATGTCCAAAGTATTCGTCTTCTCTGATACTTCCAATCCTTGCCAACTTGCACTTGTTCCCCTTTGGATGAACAGCTATCATCCTCTTCCTCGTCCTCATCCCAACTTCTCATCTCTTGATCTTCTGGATGCATGAAGACTGCCTTTTCGCCCCCAGCGGCCATCTCTAACAATGCTAGAAAGTTGAACCAGCAGTATGGGCAGTAATATGGATTTGCAAGATCCTCCACACTACTACCCAACTCATCTTCCAAACACTCCACGTGAAATGAAACGAGACAGTCACTCCCACAACAACGGGTTACAAGCTTGTCTGAAACTTCACATACAATGCAAGCATCTGAGTTCTGCAGCGGCTCCGATCCTCCACTACAACTCTCACTCGTCACATCACAAATGGGTTCGATCTCAACAGGCATGGTCTCACCTCTTGATTTATCAGAATCCTTGCCAACTTGCACTTGTTCCCCTTTGGATGAACAGCCATCATCCTCCTCTCCTTGTAACTCTTGATCATTAACAAAGTCTGCTGAGTTCTCCTCTTGGTTTCCATTTCCATCACCGTGAACTTCACATACGATCTCAACAGGCATGGTCTCACCTCTTGATTTATCAGAATCATTGTCAACTTGCACTTGTTCCCCTTTGGATGAACAGCCATCATCCTCCTCTCCTTGTAACTCTTGATCACTAACAAAGTCTGCTGAGTGCTCCAGGTTTCCATTTCCATCACTGTGAACTTCACATACGACACAAGCATCCTGTGAGGGGAAAAGATGAACAAACACATCAACTTAAGAGCCTAGAATAGAAATTCAAATCCAGCATCTAAATTTCAAGTTCCACAACCACACATTTACACATCAAAAACCAGAGAAATTTCACTTACATCCCAATTGCAGACTTTGAGGTAAGCGATTGCGTCATCTCTAGTCGTTTCAAGAGCCGCATCTCGGAATGAACGGATGAGTTGTTCATTAAGCAATTCAGGCTGCGAATTCGGCGGCGCCTCAGCAGTTTCCTTGTCGAGCGGCAAGGTGTTTCTGAGGAAAGCCTCCATCGCCGTATCAAACTTCCACTTGAATCCCTCAAGGTAAAAGAGTGCTTCCTCTCGAGACGCATCGCAGATTTGATGAACACAAACATCACTGGTTTGTGTGGTTTGTGTGGGATTTCCACTTCCCTGAGTGTTTTGAATCTGAAAGGAAAAATGCAAAAGTAGTCTAGGCATCAACACTGGAGTTCCATTCTTTTTTCAACAAAAACCATCAAGAGGTAATGTTTTGCACTTTAGATATTATCAACCACAATTCGAGCAAGATAGTAGTAAGTAGTGCAGAGAAAGAGAAGAAGATTTACTACCTCCTCCACTTTAGATGACGCCATTAAAGGTATAGTTTGAAGCATATGTTCTTCAGAAGCTTCGTTGAGTGACTCTGGCGGGTCAACCTCCATCGCACTATACGAGAAAGATTCAAAAATCTAGAAACCACATCAACACAGAAAGCAAACAGACACTAAACCCTAAATCAAGAAATCCACCAGAAGATAAATCGAATCAGAAAGGAAACCCCAACACATTTACGAAACAAATCATTACTTGTTGGAGACAACAATCGCAAAATAAGAAAGGAAGGAAATTACCATGAAGAAGAAGAGCTCCTGATTTTGACTGATGTCAAGCTAAGTGAACCCATCCATGGAGCTATGTCCTGCATCAACGCCTTTTCAGATTCCAATCCCGTCAATGAAGATGAGTCCTGCGGATTCGATCGCCGAATCTTCACCGGCGCATTCGATCGCCCGTCCGGCGGACAATAAATCCGCCGATTCGACTTCATTTGAGAAGGCGTTGGATGGCACTCGTCTAGGAATTCGCCGACGGCTTGTTCTATATTCCAATTTTTGAGTTGGAGGTAAAGGACTGCCTCATCTAGATTCGCTTCGCAGAATGATTTGATAAGTTCAGGTCTCGATTGAGGCGGTTGCTCCTCCTGCGGACCAGGCGGCTGATTCGAGCTCCGACCTGAATCGGTCGTCAATGGCGGTATATACGGCGCCTCCGACGCGGATTTCTCGTTCCCCGGCGAAGATTTAACCGTGAGTGACGGCAGCGGCAAAGTTATGCTGCGGCAAGCCTCTATCGCTGCATCCACATCTACATTTCCTCGGAATCCGTCGAGGTAAGAGAATGCTTCTTGTCTAGAAACTGATAACTCCTTGCAGATTCGTTTTTCCCCATCATCCATCGTCGGAGAAAGGAAAGTGTTCGTCCCCAGTTTAAAATTTTGGGCGGGACTTCTATTTTTGTCAGAATCTTTCCCAAGAAGACGAGTACTTGTTAAAACGATGTCAAATCACGCAATTAGAGATATTTAGATCCACAAGACGCGAGGGGTAAAATGGTAATTAACAACAATAAACCAACCAATAAAACCTACTTAAAACCTTAACAATTGTTTACACTCACTTTTTAATTTTTACATAATTTTGTTGAGAAGAAAAGTTCCAACAATATTGTATAACATTGAAACATCAAACATCAAACTTTATTTAGAAAGATTGGATTTGATACGTTAATATACATCAGTGTTCATTTTAATTTTCAGTACTATATACTGTATATCTCTAGCTTATACAATGTCATGACGTTTTTATCTACGAATGATATGTTTGTCGTTTTATTCGAATATAGAGAAGTGTAGTAATAATTTGGAGATAGAGTTAGGCCTTTAGTATAAACCATATATGAATGTGATTAGGAATCCTGAATAGGAACAACCGGCATTTTGCCACCGTACATGTCTGGAAGAATTTAAATTTTCAGTACTAGATATCTCTTTGGCTTGTTATAATGTTTGACAATCACAATAGATATATTTTTAGTCTTATTCAAATTTAAAGAATACACGAGTAAGTAATATGGAGACACAGATGGGCCTGTAATAGAAACCAGATATGAATATGATTAGGAATCCTGAATAGGTACAAGCGGCATTTTGCCACCGTAGATGTCTGGAAGTTGGGTTTCGTCAATATCTTCAAGTAGAATGGAAGTGAGTTTCTTGTTCTCCACGAAAACAATCTGTTCCAAACCCCAAAAACAACAACAAGAATTAACAATCCATGTTTTCAAAACAAATATATAATAGATTAAAGTGCAGAGCCAAATTTACCTTTTTCTTGGTGTTGCTGTCGATAAACGGATAAATCATCTTCCACGCGGTCATAAAAATGTAGGGTGCATGAACTAAATAGAGTTTCCCTAGTCTCTCTGGGTAACAATCCTGGCAAGCAAAAAAAAAAAAAAAAAGAGTTTTACTAATCTTCTTCAATTGCATATCCATTTGTGAAATGATACTTATGTTGTCAGGACCACAATTAGATAGACGATCTTTTGGGTCTCGATCGGTCTCTGTTTTTCATTATTTATTTTTTTTGGTGGTCCGGTTTTGATTCCAAACTTAGTAAATGACATAGTAAATGACATAGTTTTGGCCTTATTTTGAGTTAATAGCAGTAATTCCCTCTCTTTTTTTTTATTTTGGTATGTTTGGTTGGTAAAAAAAAAATATATATATAATGAGAGGAAATACTATTGTAAGTAACCTGCAAAGTGGATAGAGCAGCAAGGTAGCCGCGGATGTCACAATTAGAGTATCCCCATCCTTGGAGATCTCCTATGGTTATGAACTTTTCTTCACCTCTTGGCATTCTAAACATGATATTCCATCAAAACAAAAATAATAGCATTAATTATAGATAAGAGTCATGGTTTCGTTTAATTAACCACTTGAAATTTTAAAGCTGATATTAACCTTGCACAGATCTTCTCCAACGTGTAGACCACAAAACCTGCCCAAAAAAAAAAAAAAAAAAAACAAAAGTTTGGAAGATGATGATGATAAGAAAGATTTGGATACAGAAAGGTGAAAAAGTGGTGAGAGAGAGACTGACGCTTGAACTCCTCAGGGTTGCCTTTGGCAGGGTTATGTCTGTTCCCAAAGGCAACAACGATAGGTCGACCCAACTTATCAAGCCCTTGCATACACACTTTCTTGTGTGACAGATCATTCGCAATCTCTGTTTCAGGAATGTGGCCCTTGGGGAGGACGCTTCTTTTCCAAGTCAGGTACTTGAGGAACAGCGTTGAAGCCTTTTCGATGTCGTGGTCACGCGCCCGCAGAAACCGCCTTATCATCAGGTCATCCACCTCCTGCACCACACCCATCCCAATATCTCAACTTTACGCCGAAAACAAACAAACGATAACAAAGGAGCTGCTTTTTTACTAAGTCAACCCCAAACTAACTCAGGTTTGTGCTTTTTTAGTCAGCTAAATTGACTTTTTCAACCAACAAAGAAAGAAAAAAAAAATCGAACCTTAGTGGAGGGATCTTGTCGGTCGCAAAGAGCTCTCATGATCCCGACTTTGCTCCTCTCGATCTCATCTTCGATCAACGGTCCGTTCTCTTCATGCTCAGGTGCTGCTTCTTCAGCTACTTGCTTGTTCTCCTTCGTCTCCATCCGTTTCTCCGTGCCAGATCTCGAGATTGGTGAGAGAGAGAAAGAAAGAGGTTGAATCGATCATAAATGAAGAAGACAGGCCAAGGAGGAGGAGGGAAAAAGTATCATTCAATACGGTTGGGCTCCTTTCCCCTTCAACGGCGACACCCACCTACTCTGACTCATTTATTGACTTTGTTCCTTTACATGTTGTCCTACTCCTCCTCTTTCACTTGGTGAGGAAAGAAGACGACCATCTCATTCTCGCCACTCTTAACTCACAACCATTGGGCCTCACTTCACTTGGATCCTAATCATCTCAACTAATTAACTTTTATTTCTTTGCCTTATAATGGGCCTTATAGTTGTAGCCCATGACAGAAGCTCCTTCGTGCGTTTGTGAACTGTCTGTAAATCCCCAACTTTCTCTTTACTTATAAAGCCTTAACGTCACTTTTTTGGGGTCCGGATATGTTTCTAGAATATCACCCCAGTGGCAGTGATGTTTATGTTGTTTAGTAGATGTTCCAAACAAAAAGTTGTTTAGTTAATTTGCAATATTCGTTTATATAGATTGATCTTTTGAAAATTAAAATTATTATTCTTTTGAGTTATGTCAAATGAGGTAGTTTCCTGTTATATAGATTGTTTGGTACTCATATAAATAATTACAATTCACGATGTCCAAAATATGTCGTATCTTTTTTAATATCATCCCACATGCATGTAACAAATAAACGGATCCGCTTCGTTTCCAAATATTTATGATTGCATATATGTACACCAACTAAGTACAGCTAGACAGATAATTTAATTAAATTAAGAGTCATCAAGAAACGATCAATAATGCTAATGTACTTTTACTAATCTAGACACGGTTCGGTTCTTTTTACCAACAAAAAAAACACGGTCCGGTTCAGTTCACGCCTCAAACAAAAAGATGCTACTAATATTTATCAAAGTAAATATGCAACTGTAGGATAGGTTATTCGATGAAATGTGATTTGTACAACCGGAAGCAAGCGAGGATGTCACGGATATTTGCTACTGCCAAGTGTCGAGCTTATGGTGGAAAATAAAAGTTTTCATCTCTTACCAGTTCTTTATTGTTTCCGTTAGAATGTTATTACATAGAGATTAATATAAATATTTTTAATTAATCACCTCCGAACCGGAAAATTAGTAAACGTTGACAAACCTAAAACCGAACAAAAGAAAGAAAAAAATGAATTCCAAAATTAGACTTTCAGCCTAACACAATTTTAGTCTGGTTAAATGGATTGAGGAGGAAAACAAAGTAAGTGAGAGTAGGGAAACGGACATGTGATCACAGAGAAGCAAATTACATTTCTGAGCTGTTCAATCTTTACATTGAATATGTCAATCCCTGGTAATGGAACTAAACTCCAATTGTTCTTTCTATATACTATTTCTTAGTTGATAATGTTGAAATGAAAAAAAAAGGCCTATTTCTTAGTTTTCTTTTGTATGCTTTCGAGTTCGACTTTGAACTTTCCGAAAAAAAAAAAAAGCACCCCTGTAATTTACAATTATATTATTTTGTCGTTAGTACAGGTAATATACTGTGTTAAAATAGTTATTCGGTCCAGACGATTTTGCTTTTCAAAAAGCAATCACTTTTCCACACACTTCTTCACCTTTTTTCCTCCAACGGTCGGAAGTCCATTTTCATCGCCTGCGAGTCAAAAGTTATTCCATTTTTTTTTACAGTTTGCTTTTGGCCAACATGATGTATTTTTTATTTTTTTTTAACTGTTGGACTTAGGCATATAAAAGATGGGTCGTCTTTTCCACCAAAAAAAAAAAGATGGGTCGTCTATATTCGGACCCACTTTATTTGTTGGCAAAACCTTAAGAAAAAAAAAAAAAGACAACTCACAGAACCATCATCTACCATGATTATTACTTCTATTTTAGACCTAAAACAATAATAGTAGTTATGCTTCATAATTACGATGTCTGAAAAACTAAGCTGCTTCGTTCATTATAAGAAAAATAAGGATAATATAACAATTGCCGTCATTATAAAAAAAAATGCTAAATTAGCTCAAACATGCTTTTACCCATTGGAGTTTCAGAATACAATAATAGGTAACCAACAGAATTATTAGAGTGGGTTTTTGTTACATTATTAATCCTTGTTCCAATTATTAGCGGGGAACAATAGCTTTACCAAGATCATCGTTATCCATGATTCCCTGTTTTTTTTTTTTCCATTTTTTTAAAAAAGACGTTATAGGCTTCTTTTTATTCTCTCTCTCCTCTATAAAATCACTCTTTTCTCCATAGACACTATTATCCATTAATGCAGAAAAAGAAAAGCTCGGAACTTTAACGTTTCTAGAGAGAGAGAGAGAGAGAAAGAGATGGAGGGGAAAGAAGAGGATGTGAGAGTGGGAGCGAACAAGTATCCGGAGAGGCAACCGATAGGGACATCGGCTCAGACGGACAAGGACTACAAGGAGCCACCGCCTGCGCCACTGTTCGAGCCAGGGGAGCTGAGTTCGTGGTCGTTCTGGAGAGCAGGAATCGCTGAGTTCATAGCGACATTCCTGTTTCTATACATCACAGTTCTGACAGTGATGGGAGTGAAGAGAGCTCCGAACATGTGTGCCTCTGTTGGAATCCAAGGCATTGCTTGGGCTTTCGGTGGCATGATCTTTGCCCTTGTCTACTGCACCGCTGGAATTTCTGGTATCTCATATTCCCATTTTCAATTTTCAGGATAATTTATTTTTAGTGAACAATATTTATTCTTCAGTTTTGGTTTTGGGTTATGAGGAAAGCGCAGACATTTGATTTATACAGAAAAGTTTGGTTCTTTTGATCTAAATAGTAAGGGAAAGCTCAAAAGAAACAGCTCTAATGCGTTCAATTACACAGGTGGACACATAAACCCGGCGGTGACATTCGGACTGTTGTTAGCTCGGAAACTGTCACTGAGCAGAGCAGTCTTCTACATGGTGATGCAATGCCTCGGAGCCATCTGCGGCGCCGGAGTTGTCAAAGGCTTCCAGCCCAATCCCTACCAAACCCTCGGCGGCGGAGCCAACACCGTCGCTCACGGCTACACTAAGGGCTCCGGTCTCGGCGCTGAGATCATCGGCACCTTCGTCCTTGTCTACACCGTCTTCTCCGCCACTGACGCCAAGAGAAGCGCTCGTGACTCCCACGTTCCGGTAATCTCGAAAAGAAAGAGAACAAAACTAGTCCTTGTTTGTTTTGGGGTTCATAATTTATTCGGGAGTAATTCTGTAACTCGGTGTTTTAATTTTATCGCGTTATTTTTTGTGTGTGCAGATCTTGGCTCCGCTCCCAATCGGATTCGCTGTGTTCTTGGTTCACTTGGCGACGATTCCGATCACCGGAACTGGAATTAACCCAGCTCGGAGTCTCGGAGCTGCAATCATCTACAACAAGGACCACGCTTGGGACGACCACGTGAGAGAGAGTCCATCCCTTTTAGTTATTTTTACAAATTTTCGTTGATTTCTTCTTTCTATTCTTCTTCTAATGCAGATTTTGGTCGTTTTCTTTGTTATATTGCAGTGGATATTCTGGGTGGGACCATTCATAGGTGCAGCTCTTGCGGCTCTCTACCATCAGCTTGTCATCAGAGCCATTCCATTCAAGACCCGAAGCTGATTTCCTTCTTAGATTCTTCGTCCCTTTCTTCTTTTTTTAAGTTCGCTACTGTTGTTGTTGCTTAATGAATTTTGATATCTGGTCATCTTTATTTTATGTATTTGGTTGGCCTCTCTATTTGCTCTTTCTGTGTAATTTTACTGTGGATGATCTCTTTTATCTCGTTAATGATAATTATTGGTTTGGTTTACTGTGGTTTGTAGTTACATTTGACACTAAAATTTGACTTCTACATTTCTCTGTTCTGGTCTGGTCCAATCGAATAAACCTAAACTTAAAATATAGTTTGCTCTGGGTTTAAATGTAGCCCATTTGCTGCCTATAAGCCATTTACATTGGACCTCTTTTGGGCTCCATAATTTAACGTAGTATGCCATTTATTTTTTCCTTAAACTGCAATTGTTCGACATAATCTTAAACTTAGAAACAAAAGTAATACATGTATGGGTAATTATGGGTTTGCATATCTCTATCATACAAGTTTGTATCCGCCTTCAAGTAGAATGGGGGATGGCCGTATCCTATGTATGACAGTTTTTCCCATAAATGAATGTAATGGATTTGCCGCGGGAACAAAAGAAAAAGTAATACATTTGGTGGACAAGAAAACTAATTAATACTAATTATATTCTGATATCCATTACTACGGTTGTTAACATTAAAGTTATTTGTGTCCCAAGAAAGTAAGTCAAAAAGAGTCATTGTTCCGATGGATGGCCAACCAAGCTAACAGAAAACATTCTACTCCATTTTTTTACTATTCTAGAAGGTATATATAAACCTCGTCAAAGTGGATTACCCACTGCATCATTCGAAAGCTTTTTGATTTATTTTTTAATTATGTGCGTTTAATCATTTGCAATTTGTTTTTTTTTTTAAATATAGATTATTCTAATTATTAAGTTTTGAAAATTTTCATATCTTCAAAGTGTGTAGCTATATGATTCACCTGCTTGGAAATTAAATCTATATATTGATGATATCTTAGATAACTTTGTGCAGATCAGTAGAGTATGTGATAATTTCGGATGCAGCAGAGAGCCATCGATATTTTTGTTCAGTAATTTTTGGTATAGTTTTCTATGTAAGGTTCACGTGGTGGGTTGCTGGCTGCTTACATGATCATGTATAATTTTTCATATACTGTTATACACATAATATACTCAGACTGTGTGTGCGTAAGTAACGAATCTAGAATTAAATTGTTACATATTCATAATACATTTCATTATTCAGTATTCAGTATTCAGTAAACAGTCTGATGAATGCATGGCACAAGGGCGGTCCAACTCCCAACCATCTACACCATTTTATTAATATATCATTGACCATGAAACAAGAAAACAAAATCGTATTTAATTATTATAATATAAAATAAGATGACTCAATCTCACTAAAAACACGGTTGGTCGACATTACTCAAGAAATTATGTTGACTTGTTTAGAAGCTATGTAATACTATATTACTTTTTTCCCCGACGAGAATAGCAGAGAGTTTCATGCTTTAAGATTAAGTTCTGCTTGGTAATTTGTATCGAAAAGATTCTATTTCTACGATCTCAGTTATATTTACCGATCATATTTTACTTAATCATGAATTGTGTTGAATTATTTTTGCCTTTTATCCTATCTAATAATGCAATTCTTCCATTCAATTTTGTGATTCTGCTAATTTTGTAGTGTCAAAATGTTTCAGATGGATTAACATACGGTATAACTCTAATCTACATGCTTCCTTAATTCGCAAATCATGCAATAAAAGTTAAATGCTATCAATATATATGTTATATAGCCCGAAATACACATCAGACATATTACAATCAAGTCATCTTCATCTATTAATTAACTTGCTCACGTCATGTAGATTTTAACCGTTAAAATTTAACGTTTAATGTATAGTAAAAAGTTATAGCATATATACGTATAGGTAAGCTATATAAATACACACACATCCCCAACTATTCTAAAATTCCAATATCTCCGTCAATTAATTATACAGCCTTCTATTTAGGTGAGCTACCAAGCAACTTTCTTTCAAGTCAATCAGCAAAAAATAAATAAGTTTTTTTTTTCTCTTTGGTTATAAACCGGTGACAAAAGTATATTTATTTACACCTTGATCCATCAATGATAAATATTCACAAAATTTCATTATATTACTGATGAAAATAATCTATAATTTTTTGATTTATTACAGATTGAATAGTTACTCATAGTCATATAAACTCTAATTATATTAGAAAAGAGGCGTAAGTAGAAAGCTTTGTTGTGAATCGTATAATGAGGAGTATTAAAAATTTCAATGGGAAGAAAGTGAGAATCAGGGTTGTTTTTGTTTAAAACTGATAGTTTGAGGATAAGTTTGTAAAGAGGCGACACTGATTGGAGTGAAAAAGTAAATACTATTTGTCACTAGAATGCGCATTTAAAACAAAGGACTTGTTCCCTCTCTTTCTTTCCAAAACAAGAAGATCCATTCTCTCTCTCTCTCTCTCTCTCTCTGTACCTTCTCTGTTTACTAGAACCGCCATTATCAAGAAAATGTCTCCGGGGAAGAAGAGCCGAAGCTTTCCTCCGATATCAGAGTGTAAAAGTGGAGAGCATGAGTCGATTGCTGCAGATCTCGACGGGACTCTGCTTCTCTCGCGAAGCTCTTTCCCTTATTTCATGCTCGTCGCCATTGAAGCAGGCAGTCTCTTCCGTGGATTGATCCTCCTCCTATCTCTCCCGATCGTCATCGTCGCTTACCTCTTCGTCTCCGAGGCTCTCGGAATCCAAATCCTCATTTACATCTCATTCGCCGGCATCAAGATCCGCGACATTGAACTCGTCTCTCGCGCCGTTCTTCCACGGTACGCGCGATTCTAGTTATTTTTACCCTAAACACATGAAGTTTCTCTTTCGATTTTTTTTCTGGAAATCTCAGTTTTTCTTTGGTTTCAATTAGGTTTTACGCGGCGGATGTGAGGAAGGACAGTTTTGAGGTGTTTGATAAGTGTAAGAGGAAAGTTGTGGTGACTGCGAATCCGATAGTGATGGTGGAGCCATTCATTAAGGATTATCTTGGAGGAGAGAAAGTTCTCGGCACTGAGATCGAAGTCAACCCCAAAACGATGAAAGCCACCGGTTTCGTGAAAAAACCAGGTGTTCTTGTTGGAGATTTGAAGAGATTAGCCATCTTGAAGGAGTTCGGCGACGATTCACCGGATCTTGGCCTCGGTGACCGGACCTCTGATCACGATTTCATGTCCATCTGCAAGGTACTTATACACACTGACTCACTCTTGGTATCTATCTCCTCTTGCATTATTTGATTTGCCTTATATAGGTATCCAAAAGCTTAATCTTGCGTGTCTTGAAACTTTAAAACCCCAATTTAGGTGGCTAGTTTGATTAAGCAGAGTGCATAAACTAATAAAAAGCAATTAAAGAACCAATAAATGCACTAGGACCTATATCATGCCCGCGTAGCGGATCACATGATCTAGTGGGAAATTAAAATATCTTTTTTCATACAGCCTTCACATGATCTATTTACTTTCTTTTCCTCCTTGTTTTTACTTCTAAATGTTTTTATTTACTTTGTATGTGTTTAATAAACGCATGAAAACAAATCTAGACTGATTAGTTTTATTATGGTTTAGAAGTTTTTTTTTTTATTTAACATATACAAAACTCATATGCATACGTACACATATGTGAATCTAACAGTGGCAAAAAGTAGATAATACTAGAAGAGAGTGAGAAGAAATACAAGTGGTGAGTTTTCATAAATGTGTCCAACCTATCACCAACCACCCTCCCCACATAAGTTGGACGGTCCATTTAATGAACCAACCCATATGTCAAGATTTTTCTTTTTTTTTTCTCCTAACCCTGAAACTTTCGATATTTCACCAAATGTCTTACTATAAATGTGATCAAACTTTTGGAATTATCTTGTAAGAGAATGATAAACGAGTTGTTTTCTCAACAGGAAGGTTACATGGTGCACGAGACCAAATCTGCCACAACAGTGCCCACAGAGCGCCTAAAGAAGCGCATAATCTTCCACGATGGACGCCTAGTCCAACGACCGACGCCGTTAAACGCATTGATCATATACCTTTGGCTTCCTTTCGGCTTCATGCTCTCAATCTTCCGTGTCTACTTCAATCTGCCTTTACCCGAACGCTTCGTTCGATACACATACGAGATGCTCGGGATTCACCTCACGATCCGTGGCCACCGTCCTCCACCACCTTCCCCTGGCACCCCCGGAAACCTCTACGTGCTTAACCACCGCACCGCCCTTGACCCCATTATCATCGCCATTGCTCTCGGCCGTAAGATCTCATGTGTCACTTATAGTGTCTCTCGCCTCTCCCGTATGCTCTCACCTATCCCTGCCGTTGCTTTGACCCGAGACCGTGCCGCTGATGCTGCCCGCATGAGAAAACTCCTCGAGAAAGGTATATTTTTTTTATCATCATTCATTCATATATATACCCTTCATTTGCAGAAAACACAGTATCTCTGTTTACTAAACATTAAATGGTACCTTTATTATCACGTTAACTTAACCTGATATGAAAATAAAACATAAGATTTCTAGCCCATCACGGTCACACAAACATTTATCATTTGTATATCAAACACCTTTCGTATATGCAAAAGTAGGTAACAGGAGACCTCTGTTATTCTACATTTAATCATTGTCATCATGAGTCTTTTATTATCACTGCAACAGGTGATTTGGTGATCTGCCCTGAAGGCACGACTTGTAGAGAACCATATCTACTAAGATTCAGTGCTCTATTCGCAGAGCTAAGCGACCGGATCGTGCCTGTGGCCATGAACTGTAAGCAAGGGATGTTCAACGGGACGACAGTGAGAGGTGTGAAGTTCTGGGATCCATACTTCTTCTTCATGAACCCTAGACCTAGCTACGAGGCCACTTTCTTGGACCGCCTTCCTGAAGAAATGACGGTAAATGGTGGAGGAAAGACTCCTATCGAGGTTGCTAACTACGTTCAGAAAGTGATCGGTGGAGTATTGGGATTCGAATGCACTGAACTTACAAGGAAGGATAAGTATCTGTTGCTTGGAGGAAACGACGGGAAGGTCGAGTCTATCAATAAGACCAAGTCCAAGGAATAGTAATCCAATCCAGCTAATCACTGTTTGTTGCTATTTTACTTGGGAGTGAAGTTAGGTCTTTCTGGTTTTCGCGATTACTTTTTATTCAAATGGATTGTTTGGAAAAAAAAAATTAATTGACGATGCACTGGATAGTGAATTACATTTGAATCAACGTACGTGTATCAGTATATGTAGTTTACTATTTTCCCCTACTGTTTTTGTATGAGTATGTATACTCTCAAATATCTTTTTAGAAATATAAATGAGGAAGAAATAAAATCCAATTATTACAGGTTCTATTAACTCTCACGCATCTATTGTTTTCATTTTAGGGAAAAAAAAAAAAGAAATCTATTGTCTTTCATAACTGCATCGATCTTAGAGAGTTGTGCATACGTTGTTAGCTAGCCTCTGTAGTATCCTGCTTATGATCCATTTTTTCCTCTTGATCACTGGAATCATATACCCAATTAACTGCATTCATCTCAAGCGAGATCATTAATCGTATGATGATATCAACTGGAAATGTGTTTCTGTTTCAACTAATATATATGGACTGAAAAGGTTATTAGTTACGTGACACAAAAATTTACATATTTATTCCATAGTTGATCCAGTGATCAACAAAGAGGAATTTACGCTTCATGTTCTTATTAATACCCCTATTCAATTCAACACAACGGATTTTGTCTTTGTTTAGTTGTGAAAACTTAAATCTTCTTGGTTAACGTAACACACTTGGTTTAGTAATAATTCATGCAAGTAAAATAGGACTAACTTATAAGGTAGCGACTAGCAAGTACGAAGTAAAATGTTTATATTTTGGACTATATATATATATGCTTTGGTTACAATAGTTTCAATTAAAGAAAAAATTCCATAAGTTAAAAAAATAAAAGAGAGAAAACAAATATTTGGAGTATATTTTGCTTACAATTTCATATTGGACAAAAGCCATATTGTATTTCTGTCCAAGAATGTGTATAGAGAGATATCAGAGGCGTGGTTGGCCCTTACGGCACCGTAACTCCCGTATTTAAGTAAACGGCGACGTCTTCACCAATAACGCCGTTACATGTGCCGTTAAAGCTACCGTGTCGCATCTTCACCGGTTAGACTCTTGATGATTCCTTCGAGATCCCTCTTATGCAGATTAACCAGAAGTCCGTTCTTCATAAAAAGCGTCAACGACATCTTCTGCTCCACTTTGTGTCCCGGAACCACCGTAAGCCGGTGACGGAGCAGCACCGCCGCCGCAATCGTTTTCATCTGAAGATACGCCAGATCTTTTCCCAGGCAAATCCTTGGTCCGGCGTTGAATGCCACGAATCGATATTGATCGTGATTGATAAATTTACCGTCGATCGGCGAGATCCATCTCTCCGGAACAAATTCCAGACAATCTTCTCCCCAGGTTGATTTCATCCTCCCCGCCGCGTAAATCGAGTAACTCACCGAAGATCCCGCCGGAACGAAAGTCCCGTCCGGCAAAACGTCGTCGTTCTCGACGTGCTTCGAATCTTCCGGCACCGACGGGTAAAGCCTGAGCGTCTCCGATAGCGCCGCCTTCAGGTAAACCAGTCGGTCGATTTCGTCAAACTCTAACGGCTCCTCCGTCCAAGACGCTAGGTCATCGGTACCACGTGTCTCGATCAGAACGGAGCAGATCTCGCGGACGATTTTATCCTCAACGGTTGGATGCATCGTGATAAGCCAGAAGAACCAGCTCAGCGCGACTGAGGACGTGTCACGTCCAGCTAGGATGAAATTAAGCGCCACGTGTTGGAGGAAAGTGTCGCTGTAGGATTCTTTCTTCTTCATCATGAAACGCGAGAGGAGATCGTCGTGTCGCTGGGTCCCACTTTCTTGCTGACTCATCAATTCTTGTTTCCGTGTATTAATGACCTTTGCTAAATATCCATCAATTTCTCCCAAGCTTCGGTTCAAGCTGACTTCCAAGCCGAGCCCAAGCCATTTCTTCAGCTTCCACAGAAACTCCGGCAAAATAAACCGTTGGAGCGTGGCTTCGGTGGCTTGATCGAAGGCCGAGGCAAAGCTGTTATGGGGAAGCCCTGGTGCACAGGTCCTTGTGTCCTTACCGAACGCCAATCCGCAAATGTTATCAAATGTGAGCCGTAGTATCAAATCCTGGAGATCAACCGGTTCGGCTTTGGCCTGAGCGGATTCAAGAATTGGACAGAACCGGAGCTTAATTCCTTGGTTTACCCACCGACCCATGGCTTGCCGCAACGTCCTGCATAGTTAAAATTTAAAAAATTACAATACCGAACTGATCTAAGTATGAGTTAACCGGAGCGAATTAACGACTCACTATTATCAAATTTAGTATTTAAAACCGCGAAATGTTTTTTTAAGAAAGACAAAATGCATGATGGGTTTGAGAGATCAGGATTAAACCGAGCGGTTTTGAAAAGTAGGTACCTTGTTGTGAATTCGAGGGCGGCGGTTTTGCGTTGGAAGAGCCAGGTGTCACCGTCGGAGTTGAAAATACCTTGACCGAGAAGGTCGTGGAAGACGGATTGCCACGTGGGACCTTTAGGGTAGTTATCGAACCGGGTCTTGAGCATGTGTTCGAGATTCTTAGGGTCACACGTGACAGTCACGAGACCTTGCTTCCTCGCCAAGAAAGGCACGGCACAGATACAAGTCTGGTAAGTGCCGCCGCACGCACGGAGGTTCTCGGTGATCCATTCATGCATCCTGTCACGCTGCTCTATCAGACCAGGAAGACTGCCCAATACAGGCCATACACGTGGACCCTTTAGAAACCTTGATATCCTCTTGAACCATAGCCAATACGCTGCAACGACCGCCGCAAAAAGCATCACATTGGATATTTCCATTGGAAACCAGCGGGAAGCAAAAAAGATGAAATCAATGTGGTGATTGAGAAGAGAGGTGATGAAGTTGGATGCAAACAAATGATTTTTCCGAGAAAATTTATAGGGAGGAAAATGAGTCTGATTCACAATCTGTCACTCTTAAGTCGTAACTATCAGAATCAAACCCTCATTAATGGTTCCGCGGTTCTCGTTGAGATAAATTGGTATATATATAATGAGAGATTTTTCAGATTTAGAAGTCAAGAAGTGGTAATGTGGTGTTTAACTGTTTATGCTCTGCTGGTACCTAATTTTGCAGCGAAAAGGAATACTCTCATTTAATGTGTTTCATTAATTGATCATATATATATATATATATATATATATGTGTCTGTGTATATGTAGCTGTGTGGTGAATTAAATGAGATTAGTTGAGAACATAAGGCACAAAAAATGATGGTGGGGAAGAAGAACAAAAAGTCGTCTATTTTTTAATTTAGAAGTTTAGTGCTTAAGGTTAAACACATGTTTGGTTTGGTGGTGAGATAGGTTTTATGATCTAATCTTTTCTAGGTACATCTACAAGTGATATTTCGGTTTTTGGTTTGTTTTATTCAGTTGTCTTATTTTTAGAATATTTTGTGTGTTTTGGGAAATCAAAATGAAAGTTAATATTTAAATAAATTTTCTCCGCCTGGTTGAATTTTGTTCAAGATGGATTTGGTTTATCTGGTTAAATTTTTTTTCTATCTATCGATCGATGTAAAAATTTCTGTAGTAGTATAGGTTTTAATTCTGCTTAATTCGTTTTAGTTTGGCTGAAAAAACCTCTTTTTAGGTACATCTATATACTAAATTATTAAAATAAAAATTTGTGATCAATCTATAGGTGAGAACAGAGGTTTTTTTTTTTTATTGCTTGTATTGTCCTCGAATTCTTCGTTTGTAAATAGAAACATTTTTTTCTTAAGAAAAATTCCTCGTTTTGGGTTATCGGTTTTAGGGTTCGGTAAGCAGCTCGAGACGTAGACTAGTATTTACTTTAGGAAGACACTTTTTCTCACTATGCCAACAAGAAACACTTCTCGTGTCACTATATTGACTTTTTCGTTTCTCCTTTAACGCCATTTTTTATCTTCGATTTTTACTGATGAAATCATGAAATACGCAGAGGTTAAACCCAGTCTTAAGATTGAAAAAATGAAGCGGGACATGGCAACGGAATAATTAAGTATGAAAGATATCATTGAATGCCTGAATGGGATGTAAAAGTCAAAATGGTTATGCTGACTTTTGTTACTTTATAATATTAAAGTATGAACGGTAAGTAATTTCTAAGTAGAGGTAACAACATATCAGAAAATAAACCAGAGCGTAATAGTGTAAAAATTCCTTACAATTTTATATAGTTGGGATTTTTATACTAGAAGAAAAATAAAAGTTAAAACAGATAATAAAAGAAATTAAATGTGGCATTCAGTGAAAAAAAATTCCCATATTTTTATATTTTCAATTTGGTTACCATTTAAACTCGTAAAAACGACATCATTATATATGCATATACAGGGTAAGAACAAATAATGTCTGAATATATATAGGAACTTGGGTATCTATTAGGCAGCTCTTAAGTTTTTACTGCATTAATTTTCCGTAAGCATATTTAGGTACACAACACTAAACCTGCTAATGAAATTAAATGTGCATATATAGCCGAGTTCGATTTATGTTTTGTAATCACTGAAAACAAATCGAACATAAAGGTAGGTGTACAGAGTGTATAGTAGATGGCTTGCCAACCTATAACAATTCTAGAAAAAACATTTATCACTCATGATTGAGTTTTTTTTGTTTGGTGGTCATAACCGACATTACTAAATGAGATAAACGATATCTTGAGCCAGAAAAAAAAAAAAAAAAAAAGACAAAGGATATCTTTGATTCTTTGTTATTTATGATATTGATGCAGCTTTAGATTTATATTTTGTCTCTCCGTGTAAATCTTTAGTATGTTGTTCAGCCATGAACAGATATTTTGGATATTTAAATATAGGGATAATGTTTTTTTACTGTCGTTGTGGTTGAAATGTTTCCCTACTTCTCTAATATATAAGTACATGTAGTGGTGTAGACTACACCGTGTAGTTTTCGAAAGATTGATTATCGTGGCTACGCATCTCCAACAGATCAACTTATACATATCGAGAACTGGGATTCGACTCTTGCGGGGTCGGAAATATTGCGACTCAACCCGACAAAACTAATCTTAGTTTTTACCCTGTATATGCATGTAATGTGGAGTTAATTACATTTGAGATATATTCAATTAATTAAACTATGGCATCATATAATTATTCTAAATCCACTATGTGACATATTGCTTCACCGGTTATTATTACTTATTAGTGCTTAAGAGATGAATAGATTTGTAAATAATATTTGTTATCAGGTGAAAGATGTGGATATCCTCAAACTGTATCTACTATCTAAGCCACCTAGTTAATTTGCAACCCAAACAATTGTCAAAATTCAATCTGATTAAAAAAAAATCACCAGCTGAAGCTGATAGATTCAAACTGAAGATTGTCAGCCGAACCATAGGAACAAATCTTTGCAACCTCTTGTCTCATCTTCCTCGGGCCACACACGAGAACTCCCACGCTTGAACCCTTTAAACCAACTAGAAGCTCTGCTTTGACACAATATATAGAGTGAGAACTTTGAAAAGGTAAAACTAATCTATAGTCTCACACATGTATATGGAAAATGCTATATATAATCTTAGATAGACTTACTGTTAAGATTAGGCCTTTCCCCGTAAAATATGCTGGTGGATTGCAATAGCAACTGCTGTGGCGAGCTCTCGTTCATCAGCAAAGACAAAACGTCGACGTTTTGCTCATATTTCGTATAAGACTTCTTTTTGTTGCACAATACAGCGACCGTAGACGTAGCCGCCACGCTAAAGGAGATTGCTAGAAGGTAAATGAGAGAGGTATAAGCCGACGTGTACCTTCTCGAGCTTTGATCGATTGGATAAATGTGATATCTCATGATGATTCCGATGATGATAATAAAGATCATGAATGAAGAAGAGAGGATGGTGGCAAGACAGAGCCAGGAGTTGGGTCCAAGGATTGGTGAGATGGGTTGGTCTGAGACATATGGTTTGAAACAGATGGGTTTGATGATGTTCATGTTGCGAGTTGATTCTTTCTCTCGGGTGACGAAGGCTTTGATTTGGATATCTAAAAACGAGGAGATCTCGGTGGTGAGACCAGATTTGGGTAATATTAGATCGAGCATCGAGAGGTCAGACGAGTTCTTGAACGCGCAGATTAGGGTCATTTTGGGGATTTTACAACTGTTCGTTGAGCTCATGTAGACTAGGTCACGGATTATGGAGATGAACGGTGTAATCCCACTGCCTCCACTCACCATCACTAGAGATTCATGTCTACACTTGAAAAAGAAGAGAGCAGAGTATTAATGGTAATTGTGATGCAAGAAACCGAATGTTAAACTTCTCTGTTTGGGATCTAGTTTAATCACCGTAAGAAATCAGTGGAACTAGGGCCGTATGGTCCTTCGAAGGAAACAGCAAGGCGGTAGATCTGATCAGAAGAAGAAACCATCTGATAAAGCTTAGTGGACCATTTGCCTTCGCCCCTGATCACAACACTTAGCTTCTCTGGTTCGAGTTTGCTACTTGAAGTTATCGTAAATGGATGCCATTGAAGCTTCGAAATGCTCGGTATGTTCACGAACAATATACTCGTAGGGTTATAAATCAGCGCTGTATCAACGTATTCATCATATGATTTCTGAATAGATAATCAATTGAAGAAGAAAAAAATAGAGGGATTAATTATCGGTAAAACTCACTAGGGCTTTTGGAAAAATTGAGCTCGACGGTGTCACAAGGAAGAACACGAGCAGAGACTAGCTTGACGTTGTTTCGAGACTGGAGAAATCTCAAGAAACGATCGACGATGAAGATGTAGAAACCGGGAAAAGAGATCAACGAGTAAGAGATGCCAACGTGGAAGACAAAGAAGAGCATGAAGACGATGTATAGATAATGAGTATAGAAGAAGACTTCGAAAAATCTCTTCCTTATCGCCGGAAATGTGGTGGCCCACATCAAAATTCCGGCCACCAGAGCTATCTCCCCGGCCAAGTTCGAGATACCGGTCCTGTCCCACTCCAACATCTATTCACAGCAACAATTAGGTGTGAGAAATCAAACCAAATTTTACTTATAATCAAACCGGTTCATTATTTTCCTACCGGTTTTTTTTAAAATGGCTACAATTTTTCGTAAATCCTTAAAACCAAAAATCGAAAAAACCAACCCAATAACCAAACTAAATCAACCAGAGCAACGGTACGTATAGTCGTATACCCTAACCTACAATCAATATCGATAAATAAGGTCATAAAAATGATAAATCTCTCTATTCCTACAATATATAGATAACCCCTCATATACTGACCTGAGAGACTTGATTTCTGGATATCCAATAGATAACGTAACAAAGACCGTGGCTGGTGAATAAGGTCATGACCATGTGGCCGAGCCATATATGATACTTGATGCTTGACTCTGACGTAAGCCCAATTGCAGCCAGCAACGACGAGCCACGCGCCACCGGATAAAACAAGAACCCCAAACATATGTTCCCAGCTAGACCTAACCGTACTGCTATTGAATCCAGCCTCGCTTGCCATCTTTTCAGTTTTTTGGTCATAAAACAAACACAAAGGCCAAATTGTCATATTGACTTTTCATTTTTAATTGTCATATAGCTAGTTAGCTTATAGTACGTGTCAATGTCATTTTGTTATTAAAAATATACAAAAAAATATCTCATAATTTGTTTATAAAAGGCCAAATTCTTGAAGATGTGCTATGAGTGATTCAGAGAATTTTGACTAAAGTTACACTTTAAGACCCACAGATACAGTTCCATTTTACAATTTTAATTTTAATTTTGTTTTCCATCATATCAGAATTTTAAGGAAAAAATGCAAATAACCATTCAATTAATTAATTAGCAAAAGTGGTGATTGAATCTACATGATATTATAATTAAGATATATTTGTATATGTATATTTCCGCGATATATACAAAATAATTACGTTAATCGCAGCACGAAAAAAAAAAACAATATATAAAACTTACAAGTTATCTCCATGGATTGCTGCTGATTGAGGAGTGATGGTGACAAAAGTATAGTAAAAGTAATTGGTTAAGCTCCAAAGCAGAAGAGTCATGAACATCGTCAAGAACATAACTTCAGTCACTGTAACTATTCCTAATGGTCCCTTCACTAACATTGGTCTTCTCAATGCACCAAACTTATCTCTCTTCTTCTTCCTCTCAACTCCACTTTTGTTTTACAGAAAAGAAAGAATATAGTATTGAGATAAAAATCTGTTAATTAGAGAATAATCTGTTGGTATTTTAAGTGTTCAGTTACCTATGAAAGTGGTCAACACTCGTTTGTTTCTTCAAGTGAAGGTGGATACAACCCAGAAATGCCAATAGAATCACTGGGAACATGTAGACCAGAAGGTTCACTCCTAATAAAAGAAAAACCAGCATACACAATTGATATTCGTATACACTAATTTGAAAATTAGATTAGATCTATGAATTACAAAGAAACAGATGTAAATTACCTGGTTTTCCAAAATAAATTGATTTGCCGAGCTTGGCACGCATGGATGTCAACCAGATCTTCTTGTAAGTAGAAGTTGGCATCATGATCCAAATCACAATAGTCCCCATCAGAATCGCGATCGATAAGAGCTTAGTCATCTTCATAGTCACTTCCTTATTCATTTCTTCTAATCCCTTATTACAAGAGCTAAGATTCCAAAATATAAGAAAGAAAAAACAAAGAGATATGGAGTTTGCAATGAATAACAAAACCCATATATATATATATATATATATCTATGCTTGTAATTAACATAATTTTAATTATTTTTATAATTAATTTATTTGAATTACATTTCCTATTATTACATTTTTTTTTTTGGTTTAACTATTATTACAACTTGTAAAAATGGACTTGACTTATCAAGCGTGTGGTAGGCTAGGGGCAGGCACCCTCCAGAAGGAAGTAATATGCATGAACACACTTACCTGCTTGTCCCGGAGACCCAAAGACTAGAACGTAAGCCGAACGTGTGTAAACTTTAAGCCACCCAGAAAACAAAAGAAAATTTTGACTCGGGGAAAAGAAAAACAAGTGGAAATTTTTCTGAATTCATATTGGGACATTTCTTCTATTGAATTGTAACAATTATTTCTTATAATAAAAAACCAGATTTTATGTTAGATTTAAATTAGATATTTATAATTGCTAGTCCAATAAATTATTTCGTTATAATATTTAGTTATAGATTTTTATATTAAGTTTAAATAAATAAATTTATAAGATGTCTTTTTTGACATATTTATTAGATGTCTTATGTACGAATTAATTGAAATAATGATAATAGTAAATTATATTCAATTGTATTTAAAAATATATTTATAAGAGATTTATCTAACGAAAAATATATAAATTGTAAATTCGCGCTAATGTCACATTTTTCCAGTAAATTGTATTACATCGATCACATACATATGTAAAAAATTAAAACATGAAAAAGAAAAGAGGACAAATGTGGATCACAAAAAGGTCAATAAGTGCAAAAAACTGAATTATTTTGGGCTAAGTAGTTGATAAAGGAAAGTTGGATCATTGAGCTTTTGTCCTGGAGTGTGTCTTTCTTACACGCATGAATGCGATGTCTCTTTGTGCACGAATCTTCGCGTGTCCAACAAATCCTTAATTTGTTATATATATTATTTATAAATATAGATAATTCCATTGCTTTATTTTGACTTCGATTTTATTTCTTGTAGAGAGTTTTTGAGTAGTTAATCATTGGGAAGATCTCAGTAAATTCATGAACGCAAATTTCTTTTGAAGCATCTGAAGTCAGCTTTGTTTCACATAAGCCATGAGCTTTTAATATTTTGCATATAAAACCAGAATTTTTTTTTAGTTACCCTCTAAATTATAACAGAGTTACATAAGCCTTACTAAATTGATGTATATCTGTTAATTAGGTATGTGAGGTGTCAGTTATATTTTTCTATTAATTTAATTTGTGACATGTCAATTTGAAGGGTTTTATTCTTTGCTTTTCACGGAAAGTTATCTTCTTTACGCCAGTAATTTGGTATTGGTGCTATCTGCAAGACGGCATTGACACATGAGTTTATGAGTCTTATTGAAGTATGGTTTTATGTATAATCTTGGTAAATTTGCCCTTAAATCAAATATTTAGGGTGATAAAATCTGAAAGAATTATCTGCGTATATAAAATCATAGATTCAGTATAGAATTTCGAATAAACTATCAATGTATAGCAGTATCCAACTGATTCGATAGATAGTTTGAAATGAGAAATAGAGATAAAACCATATATATCTTACGACCATAAATGACTTTAATATATTTTAGCATTTACAATTTACAAAAGCTCCATGCATTCATGACCAAATTTGTGACAGAAGGGTTACAAACAAAAGGATTGTGAAACTTGGATGGAGGGGGTAGGTGTCAGACTAAATATTCCTAGAGGAGAAAAACAAAAAGCGGAAAAATTCAATGTAACAAGCACACAAAGATAGGCCACACATCCATATTAACTTGCAACCCAAGCAACTTCGCCAACACATGAAAAACCGAGTTCTGTAAGCAATCACCAGCTGAAACTGATAGATTCAAAATGAAGATTCTCAGCCAAACCGGAGGAACATATCTTCGCAACCTCTTGTCTCATCTTCTTCGGACCACAGACAAGAACTCCCACACTCGAACCTCCCACATCAAGTAGAAGTTCTGCTCGTATAAACCAACAAGAACCTAATGAGAATAACAATATATATTTTGCTACCGAGATAGAGAAAGGTTATGTATATATTACTCTTGAGATTAGGCCGTTCTCCAAAATGAAGGTTGGTGCATTGCACGAGAGATTCTTGTGGCGAGCTTTCGATTTCTCTCAAGGAATTGGGACCCCATGAGTTAGGAGAAGATGTTGGAGACGGAACGTCCACATTTTGAACCTGTTTGTTTTCGATGTTACCGTACTTCTTCTTGTTCCACAACATTGCAGCACTAGAAGTCGCCATGATGCTCACGGAGATGACCAATATATATATGATTGTTTTTGACGTCAATGAGTAGATCTTGTTGGTGTTGTGGTCGATCGGGTAAATGTAATACCTAGTGATGATACCGATAATTATCATGAAGATCAAGAACGAAGAAGAGAGAATTGCGCCGAGCCAAAGCCATGAGTTTGGTCCGAGGATTGATGAGATGGATTGGTCTGAAAGACTTGGTTTGAACCAGAAAGTTTTGATTTTCTCCGTTGTAGCTTCGCTTCTCGCTTCTTTCTCCCGGGTTATGAAGGCTTCAATTTTGATGTTTATGTCGGAGGATAGTTCAGTCTGGAGACCGGATAATGGCAAGACAAGATCGAGCATGGAGATTTCTGAAGAGTTCTTAAACGCGCAAATCAGAGTTATTTTGGGGATTTTGCATTTTTGGTTTTGGCTTGTGGCGATCAAATCACGGATGACAGAGATAAATGGAGTAATCCCGCTTCCTCCGCTCACCATAACCAGAGCTTCATGCCTAGAACACCAAAACAAAAAAAAACACATGATATCAATTACGTTTCTTCAAACGCAATCAATCAAGTTTCTTGTTCTTTAAGAAATCAAATATCATCAAGCTAGTAGATGGGTCTTTGAATGAGAAATTATATATCACCTTAAAAAATCGGTGGAAGCAGGGCCGTAGGGTCCCTCGACAGAAACAGCGAGGCGGTCGATGGGATTAGAAGAAGAAAGCGCCTGGTAAAGCTTTGTTGACCATTTACCTTCGCTCTTGATCACAACGCTTAGCTTCTCTGGCTCGAGTTTGCTACTCGAAGTTATTGTGAATGGATGCCATTGCAGCTTCGAAATGCTCGGGATGTTCACAAATAATATGCTTGTTGGGGTATACACCAAACCTGTTCAACATATATATAATAGCTTAGAAACTATCTATTTCAAATCACAATATGTATATAAGAAGTCTAGGTCAGATATAAGAAATAATATTAATTTGGGAACTCACTAGGGTTCTTGGAGAAAGTGACCTCGATGGTGTCGGAAGGAAGAATTCGAGCACAGAGCAACCGGATATTATCACGTGACTGAAGAAACCTGAGGAAACGATCGACCATGAAGATGTAGAAACCAGGGAAAGCGATGAAGGCGAAGGTTATGCCGACGTGGAGGACGAAGAAGAGCATGAAGACGATGTAGAGGTAGTGAGTGTAGAAGAAGACTTCGAAGAATCTCCTCCTTATTGTCGGATATGTGGTGGCCCACATCGCAAGTCCGGCTACAAGAGCTATCTCTCCGGCTAGATTGGATATATCTTCTGTGCCCCACATGAGCATCTGCAATTAGTTATGTAATTAGTTAATTCCACGTCAGATTATTGTAATTACTAAAGTATATATAATTAAATGCCAAATGGAAATATGGAATACCGCTATCGACGTAAAAGTTGACAAAAAACAAATTATTATGTTCACATCCAGACGATAATTTTGAACTTTATAATTGGAGATGCTTTTTAGTTCAGCAGTTCTAAAAATAAAATACATGAAACGAAATTGAATATCAAATTGAAATTGGAGTAGAGTTGTATATGTGTTTTTCCTTGAATGAATCTTTTATCCAAAATCCTTCTTTTGAACATTTATCCAAAGATTTTCCCATCTTAAAATGGGTGATTCAGCTAATATTTTCTTTTCGGATCAACAATATTATTTTGCTTCATCTTCACATCTATGCCATGTGAAAATCTAAAATATTAGATTGACCGCGCTATTTAATTTTTTTAAAAAAGTTGCGTATTCAAGCATGGCTCGCCTGCTCCATTCATTTAACAAAAAAAGAAAGAAAGAAAGAAAAAGAACGAAGAAGCTTTTCCATCCAGAGTGCTGTGCCGTTGACCGGAAATGGTGTAGTGTAGTAATCTGGGGACGTTGACTTTATTCCTATCTAGAGAGGTAGGGCCCGATCCAAAGAATTAATTTTGCTAATTTAATATAAAAAGTACCTGGGATAGTTCATGCATAGAGGCCCAATACGTGATGTAACAAAGACCATGAACGGTGAAAATGGTCATCACCATGTGACCGAGCCAAATATGGTATTTGATGCTCGACTCCGAGGTTAGTCCCACCGCCGGTAACAACGACGAGCCACGAGCCACCGGCAAAAACAAGAACGCTAAACATATGTTTCCGATAAGCCCTAGTCTTAGCGCCGCTGAATGCAGCTTAGCTTGCCACCTGAATCATAAAGTTTAAGCTATAAGAAAATTATACGTAAGCTGTCTATATAATTATCTTAATTTATTAAGACTATTTAGTTCCACTTGAATTGGTATGCAAATATGTAAATTTTTCTTTGGACAGATGTATGAAATATCGGAAAGAATTGTTTTGTTCATTGTTTTTTTTTGTATTTTTTTTTTCTTATAATAATATAATTTTTTCATTATAGATTTCAACATAGACGAATAATTAATATCTTTGACTACTGATGGACTATTAATCTTCAAATATATAGGAAGTAGAAGTTGATCATAATTTAGAGCGACGTCACTGAATTGGATTAAATTGGATTAACATATATAACCATATAAATCAAAAATTTGTATGGTTGATTAACAAAGAAGAGAAAGATTTGCTTACAAAGATTGGCCAAGTGCGGCGGCTGATTGAGGAGTGATAGTGGCAAAGTTATTGCGCACGTAAGTGATAAAGCTCCAAAGAAGAAGAGCCACAAACATAGCCAAGAACATGATCTCAGTCACTGAGACTATCCCCAATGGTCCCTTCACTAACATTGGCTTTCTCAGTGCACTCCACACTCCTCCCTTCTTCGTCTCCCTTTATTATATACCAATAGAACAAATTTTGAAAAATAAAAAATGAGAATTATACAATTAATAATTAGTCTGTCGACATAATTCACTGGTTTAATTAATCTTTGAATTTTGTACCTATCGATATGGTGTAGAGACTTTCGTTTCTTGAAGTGAAGATAGACACATCCCAAAGATGCTACGACCATCATTGGGAACATAAACATGAAAAGTGTCGTCCCTGTCGTGTAAACAAATAAGAAGATATTAATTAAGATTTTTGGTACGTTGGTTGTTGTTTGATAAAAGATAATATATAATATTTTCTATGTTTCAAGTAATTAACGGATGAAGTCTAATTAGATCCATCTATTGGTCGATGTACAAACCTGTTGCACCAAAATAAGTCGATGCTCCAAACTTGATACGCATATGAGGCAACCACTTGTTTCGGTAGGTTAGTGTTGGCATCATGATCCAAAGCATGATAGTTCCAAGGAAGATCGCCATCATTAAGAACTTAGTCACTCCCTTAATCATATCCGTAAACTCTTCTCCCGCAGAAGGGTTCGAATCACCAGTATTGCTCTTGATGATCTCCATACTCTCTCTCTATATATATATGTATCTTTTTAAAGATCTTAAGAGTTATGATCACTTTAGCGAGAAGGATCAGCTAGTTTGTTTTGAGGGAAGGAGTGGTAGAGAGTGCTGTAATATAAAGAGAATTTTTTTGAGTGGGAATTAGATGAAGTGAGCTACTTGCATGCTCCATGCATGTGACTCTCCCCATGGATCTTGTTTTTTTGTTTTCTTTCATTATCTTAGAACTATTTGTTTTGTTTTTCCCTCGAGATGACGTAAAAAAGGGGTATGAGGGAATATACGATATTGAGTATACAATTAAAAACAGAGAAAAGGATATTGTTCTTTTCTACTGAATTCGTAATCTTTACTGCCTTTTATGTTTCCTTACAGAGATTGGAGCTGCTACTGAACAATCAGATAATTTGAACAACTCAACCGAAAGTACATATATATCCCCGCAAAAAAACACACTTCTATCACCTAAAAAAAAACTTCGTTTCTGCGTCAGAGAAATACCTACAAATTATTATCTAGTTCTGGTATATAGTGTGTTTAATATTTTTTAAAAAAAATCTGTATTAAAATATTATGTATGCATGATCAATTTAGTGATTCGTATGTACACTCTCAATGTCAAACAATATAAAATACAGCCATGGGAATATGTTTACGATTTCTGTTTTTTTTTTCTTTTTTTTTTAAAACTTATAGCTCATGGGACTATATAAAAAAATGGACTTGCGGAAGAAGCCAAGGACCATGCTACCTTTTATTGCTCATACCCTATTTGATTGTTAACTATTCATTTTAGGTATTGATCAGTTAAAACCTGTCCAAATACAATCTAAACATGACATAACATATGTTCATTTTAAGTAAGATACATACAAAGTAAATTAAATACTAAGCTACATAATAAACAAACAATAATTATATTCGCAATTATGACGCAATAAATAAAAAAGGGTAACAGAGAAGTTGCTCAAGAACGAAGAGAAGTGCGAGGATGAAAATATATGATATACCCCAAATTGGATGGTTGTAAAGAATCTGGTTCGTGTTCGGTTTTGGTAGGTTCATCGAGTTCGTGCCCGTACGTACGTGTGGAATGGACACGAGTCATATGTCGACTTATGTGTGTCACTGTCTTCGCCGTCCACGAATCTCACGCGTGTCAGCCAAAATTGTTCATTGTAATGCCAACGAGGAAAAGATGATTCAGGCCCATTCCCATTCATCTTCTTTCTTCCTCATCATCATTACATCACTTTACATCACACTAAGTTTTGACTTTCTGTATACATATATACTCTATTTTTTATTCGATTTATTTTTATATTCCTAATGCTTTTTAACGAACTTGTGAAACTAGCTATTGTGAAAGTCAGCGAAACTATCTTCTGTGAGGAGAAATCGTATTTTTTTGTTTAATGGGCTAAGCCCAAAACCCATTGCATCTTTGAGGTAAAACGAAATTCAAGTTGTCTATAATTACGGACGGTGTTCCACTAAGTCCAAGAAATCTAGGTGAATAAACGAGGATTTTTTTCTTTAAAAAAAAAAAAAAAACCTTCAAAAACATATACTGTACATAAGTTGGAAAATATTATCTTTTCTCTATAGCATGTGTGAAGTTAAAACTCCTTAAGATAGGTAGTTGAACAACACAAAAAGGATTTAAAAAATTCTATTTGACGGAGAATTCAATAAATTCATCATCTTTACATGCTCCAACATCGATTACCATCGTCCCATTCCTTTTTGTAGGCAATACCCTACAGCAATCTCTTCTCGGAGCCTAAAATTGCACCCCAAAGTAACAAAAAATAAAAAATCAATAACATCATTATATATATATATATATATATATACATCGCAACAAAAGAATTTCAATGAGAAAATAGAGTTACACCAACCTTATTTTTATCCCATCTATCCGGGTCGGGTTTTTTATAGACTATGACCCGATCGATTAGAGAAGGATCCGACATATCCCAATCACATTCAGGATCCCACATGTCATACCACCTCACGTACTCGCTCGCAGTTCTGTGTAAGGCCGAATCTGGAAGCGCGTTAGAAAGATAGTACACGCGCGGGCGTTGACACGCGCTTTTGCTGAAGGGACGCGTGTTAAAAGCATAGCTTTTATCATCGGCGCGTTTATACCAGTCGATGAAAGTGCGCGTGGGGATCACCATCTCTCTTGCTGACAACACGCCACGTGTGATCTGGACTGTGTATCCCCAGGAGACGGACACGGTCCATCGGTGAGCCGTATCGTAGCAGATTGATTGCTGCGTGAGGCTTGCCGAGTCGAGTTCGGCTGGAACCATGAAACGTCTCATCGCGTTGACTCGGCCCATGTTTGGGAATACCGGATCCACTATGTCTAGGTGATGCATCGAGACTATCGGAGCCAGCGGATGGGCCGATAATAGGCCCAGAAGTTTCCCGAATAAATCAAACTGTAACAACATTTTACTAAATCAAAAATGTTTTAACCAAAAAATACTCTGTAGTAAACGATATGCATATCGAGAAATAACGGGGGACAAATTATTCCAATTATCGATATATTTAATATTTTATGATTTGATTGAAAACTAAGATTTGGTTTAAGATGTCCTCCCTAGATCTATCATAGGAATAACAAAAAAAATCTTTCTAACTAATGAAAACAAAATCTAAAAATTAATAATGTAAATGCACCGAGGAATGTAAGGTTAACAGGTAGGTAACGAGTAACGACACATTTTGACTTTAGAGTTAAGAGATTTAGTGTCGCAATGACTTATGCGACCCTAGCGCTAGATTCTATCGTACTACTACATTTGCTATGATAGTGCCGAGATTCTCGCCATAATATTATTATGGTGATGTGAATTTTAGATAGATAGAATAGAATAAAATTAACAACAAGAAAAAATCTTATTTTTTCCTAAACAACCTTCAAAAATCATGGTATGAAATCATCTATAGTTGGAGAACCAATTAAACAGATATATTTTTTAATAAAAAACATTTTTTTTTATTTTAAAAAAAAAAGAAGGAAAAAAACAGAGGACTAACCTGATGAAAGCCAACTTCTCTAGTCAAAGGAACACCGAGCTCCGCCATACAAGCATGAATCCGATCATCGGAGCCGTACAATTCCGGGTACCTCTGGATACACCGATCTTGCATCTTCTCCAAAGCCTTAGCCAAGGGATAGCTGATGGCAAATCCTCCACCTCCATAAGCCATCCCATAAGAGAACTTCAGATTCTGGATATGACTCTCCGACGAGCTTCCGATGTAATAGAACTGACTGTGATCGTATTTTCTCAAAACCCTAACCAAGTTGTCGGGGAAAAACACGGTGTCGTCGTCTCCCATGACAATCCACCTGACGTTTTTCTCAGACTCTGTTCCGTTCAAGAGCCTCACTGTCTCGGAGACGATTCGTGTGAGTCTGATCGCCGATCGGTTACCCTTTGGGTATTTATACTTAAACCTCGCCGTGTCGGAGGAGATTCTGATAGGAGGCAATCCGGCTGAGACGGTGCCGTTTTGGTCAATGTGTTTGTCTAGCCATACTACGCCCTTCATTTCTCCGTCCGGTTTCCACCACAGCTTCACGTACTCTCTTCGGTGTTTCCACAGTTTCGCTGACGCCGCGATCCCGAAAACTACGTGCTTTATTTCGGTTTGCTCCGGCTTTTGACCCGATTCGGACCCGGGTCCGGATCCGACGGGTGAAACCGCGATTTTGATCAGAGATCGAGGCGGAGAAGTGGAGATGAAATTGAGAGGGAAGAAAACGAACTGGATAGAGAATATAATGGCGAACGTTAAGATTAGCTTCGTCAACAGCCGATAAAAAGAAGAATGTGAGTTACACGAAAAGGTTTTAGCTTTCTCGTAAGAAAAAGGCTTTTGATCTTTCTTATCGTCTCCCATGGCGGACGACGTCGTTGGCCGTGGTGGTGACTGGTGATGTTTTAGAGAGCCTAGCTCTTATAAAGGAGATGAAACGATTTTTTTTTTTTTTTGTATTTATATTCGTATTACTTTTTTGTCTTTATCCTATGAAAAGGGATGTTGTACCAAAAAAAAAAATCCTATGAAAAGGGATATTATGGAGTCCTTGTTTTTCATTCAACTAACTGACTAAGAATGAATAAAATTTTGACTATATTTATTTGGAAATATATTTATTAATTATATATTTTCTACTTCTAAAGGTGTAAGTTATAACCAAATAAATTATGGTATATTATGACTCTTTCTGACTGTAACGAATATCGAATAGCACCGGTCAAAACTGCCATATCAGAATGGTCAATGACTATTTCTGACTTTTTCGTGATTACTTAATTTCATTTCATTACGTTTGATCATAATTAATAAGTTATGTATATGCACGCATCAATTTTTTTACTATCACACTCAACTCACAAAATAATAGTTACATCTTGTATTATCAAACAAAAATACTTTTATTTTTTAAACTTTTATTCATATTCGATATTATAGGATATGTTCTACTTTTAAAATTTTTTTATATGTGATATTATAGGATATGTTATTGGAAAATGTTTTCGTTATGATCAAACAGAAAAATATTTATTAAGGGCAATATCCTCAGAAAGACCCATCTAAAACATGCAGGTAATTTTCTACAATCCGTTAACTGCTATCCACTTCCGATACGTCTTGCGACCAAAAGTGAATCCATAGCGTTGTTACCTAGTTATTTTTAACTAAATAATTCGATTGGTAAATACCAACCAATTACATCTTTTTTTTTTGTATTCATAATTAAATTGAAATAAACTATGACGATTATAAAGATATAAGAGCCTTTCAGGAAAAACAAAAAAAAAAGGCAAGAAGAAGATATAAACCCAATATATAGGAATAGGCACTAAATATTTGCTAGAATCAGTATCTACAAAAAATAAAAAAAATGCTCTAACTGTATTCACTCGTCTCGATATCCTATTGATATATCTAAATTGGTCAAGTTATAATTCAATATTACTCTAACAACTCAACCAAATAGTGGATAGGATATCTGGCGAAGAACACCGTTATAAGTTTTGCACAAAGTTTAAAACTCACCATTAAAGAAATCCTGAAAGATTGGTTTTAGCACGTTATATTCATAATCCGCCTTAACATTATCAAGGCGAGGGGCCGCTGAGAATCCATGAGACCTCCTCGAATATATATTCAAATTGCATTCCTGGAAAATGTGAAACAAAAAAATCACTTTCTTGGCATCCAATGGCTATGTACGATATAGTAAGCGTTGATAATTGTTTCAATCTTCATAGCTTCTATTTCAGGAATTTTTAATACATCATTATACGGCTTTAGAGATATGTTAATAAAACCTTTACTTATACAAATACTAGTTTCATTGCATCTCATACAATCGACCCAAATATCACAAGCACCTAATACTACATTCACGACGACCAAGATGGAACACTTATACCATCTATTCACACAAGAACATTGTATCAGAATCCTCTGTAATTTTTTCCGGCAGCCTTTTTGGGTGATGTCGCCAGTACCGTTGATGCGCCGATCGACCTGAGGTTCTCTAGTAAAGTGTCTCGCCCCGATAACAGAATCTTGAAGAAGCAATCGACCTCCTTCGAAACAAGATCTAGACCAGTCGCCAATTCTGTGACACAGTCCTTCAATGGCTGCAGAGAAATGGGATCGAGCGACCCTTGTTGGATCGCAGGGTAAAGCTTCTTCACACCCGAATCAACTGCCCCGAGCTCTTTCACAACTGTTAACCCGTCTGATAAAAATATGTTCTTGATTTCTGCGTTCATTGTGTTCTGCATTTCCATGAAGGATTGTGCCCATGGCAGCTCGTTTGAGACGGTAAGGTACAACAGATTTTGCGATGAACCTGAGAATGCTGCAGCAAAAACACCGGAAATGTATAAAGTCTTGACCTTTACACCGTATAGAGCTCGCATCAAGACTTTTCCTTTGGCCGAGTTTTTCACCTTGGGGAGATTCAAGGTTTGAACAAGGCTGCTCAAGATTGCGCGACAATTTTCCATTCTCGGGTTCTTGGAAACAATATGCTGTTTCCAGCTGTCTAGGGACGATTGGGCTTTCGACAGATTCTGAGGAGAGTTTGTCTCCAAGTTATGCAAAGCAAACTGGAGAAAGAGATGACCTTGGTTGAGACGGGTTAGCTCTGAGCTAAAGGCATTGCAGAGATCAAGGAGCTTCACACTTATGTCGAGGTACACATCGACCCATTTATCCTCCCAATCTGATACCGGAAGCTCTAGATCGGTTATAAGAGTCTTAATACCATTATGGGTCTCGCAAAGAGATTCCATTGCTTGCTTCATCCATGAAACAGTCAGGACTTCGCTCTTTTCCTTGGGGACAAGCTTTCTAATCGAAGATGCTAAGTTCACCTCGAAACTGGTCAACAGTGAGAGAAGCTTTGTGGTGAGTACTGGGTTCTTTGAAGATAGGTTCTTGAACGGGTTTCCAAAGGGGAAGAAACCGCGTGGAGGGTCTTGTGGACGAGCCATTTTGTCAAGTTTCAGCTGAAAAAAATAAAGAAAGAAGAGCAAAGATAACACATCAATTGTCGCATTCTCCATAACACAAAAAAAAATTCTTGAATCCATCACAGTTAATCCAACACAAAGATCATTTTGTTTATTGCACTTCTCTGGGATATTTTAATCTGTTGGATCTTTTTGTCAACAGATCTACCATAAACAAGGTAAAGAAACCTCCCGTATACAGCAAACACAAACAACATCAAATCAGTTCTTCCATCAAAATCGTGCACATACAAAGTCAACAACAAAATTAAAATTTCCCCAGCATCTAATATTCCCTCAAGAAAAAAAAAACATGACAACATGTAAATTAACAGATCCACGAGTCAACTCTAAAAGGCAAGAGCTAGCTCTAGCTTACGGATAAAAATCAACCTTTTCTGTGTATAAAGCAAAATTCAGATCTTAAAAATTGAATTCCGAATAACCCATTTTGAAATTCACATAGAAAAGAGATCAAAGTCATCAAATCGAACACAAGATTATCATAATAAAAAAATACAATCGCATGATTAGTCGAAGACAAACTATGAAACCGGAAGACTAATCCAAACTCACCTAAAGAGATAGATCCTTGGAGAACAAAAAAAACCGCTTACTCCAAAATATGAAACTCGGATTCGCCTGAAAGAAGTTTCTGAGCAAGAAATAAAAAGGCAAACCAAAAGATCCGTGTCAGAGGAAAAAATCTAAAGTAAAAGCAAACTGAGACAAGATGAGATCAAGGGTCGGCGTTCTTACCAAAACTCAAAACACAAATTAGGGGTCAGAAATTTCCAGGAAAGATAAGAAATTGAAACGCGTAGTTGTTCGTAAATGACAGAGTTGCCGTACTTCTACACATAAACAAGCGAAAGTAAAGAAAAGAAAAGGAAGGAAATGTTTAGGGTTTGACGTTGATTTGGTAGACGAAAGGGAGAGGAAGGGATTGGGTTTCAGTTACGGGGCTGTGACGAAATACTAAATGACAGATTAAGGCGTGTACGGTTCTCTACGATGTGTTATTATTACTTTTTTTTTTTCTCTCTCAAATTCAGCCATCTCAAGTTGCCTACTTGTTGCGTTACTCTGTACAAAAACAAGAAAAGTCAATTATAGCCAGCGGATATTCTTCCCTCTAATCCAACGGCTAGAAATTCCTCAACTTCCTTTGTGAATGCAAATCACCTTTTGTGGTATTATTTTCTTCAAACTCAAATCATTTGAGTGATTTTCTTAGATGACTTTTTCAGTAAAGATCAATTACCTAAACAGTTTTCAGGTTTTTTTTTTTAAAAAAAAAACTAACCATGCGAAGAGAATAATTTGTTAGTGGCATTCCCACATGCATGCTATCAAATTTTTGGTTTTATGACTTTTTCATTAAATTGTATTACTAATAAGAATGAGAACAAGATAAAATTGTATTATAAGAATCGTTTTTAATTTCACTTATTGTCAACAATGAAAAGATGCATGTATACACATATTGACGATTGTGTACGCAATACATACACATATTGTATTCTTTTATCCTCACACAAAAGCTTTGTTAGGATGGCTTAGCTTTCTTTAAGAAATATCAAAGTATCAGAAAATGGAATGACTTTGGGAAGTATATAGATTCGTAATGTTATTTTCTAACTTTATTTTATAGAAAATTTGTTGCCTCTTAACTCTTAAGTTTCCCTCCTACACGTGAAAAGATTCCAGTTGTCGGTCGAGGACGAATGTGGGCTTATCTTGTGTGTACAAGTTAGCTAGTTATTCAACTTTGATTATAACTTTCATAATATTAGACCAGTTTATAAATAAATACTTGCAACTTGGAAATTAACAAGATAGTAATCACAAATTCTATAGGTCCATAATCGAGATAACATATTAGTGGTCATACACGACTATAGTTGTTTGGAAACACGATCACGTGCGGTTAAAGAATCCCTTGTAGGTCCAGTTTGCCCCATACCGATTTTTTAAAAGCGGTAAGTTCGATCCAATCGACCAAAAGAGGCCGAACATAGAGTGGAGGCTGGTCCAAAGCATTACATGTTATAGTTTCTAAATGACATATTGACACGTGATCGTTGACAAAAATATTACAAAGAGAGAAAGAGGTTAATTAAACGTAAGGCAAGACTAGGAGCCAAAGAATGAAAATACTCTTGTATGTGACACATAATGTAATGTAATAAGAATCAATTGGAATAGAATGGTCGTGTGAGAAGCAAAGTCACTAAACCTATGCGACTCTTTTTTCATCTCAGCTTTTGCTGATGATGCCGTGAACCGCTCTCGCCGCTTTCACTACCCGCAGCCGCTGTTTCTTGTTTCTCGCGGCTTCCATGGTCCCTAGTTGTTCGGCGTTCCTGCAAAAAAATATCATAAATCCCACCATTAGACATTTTTCAAACTCGTAAAGGAAATGTTTAAGACAGAATGCTTTAGTTTTGTATACATCGCGATAGAGTAAGTCTTCGGCTTCAAGCATATGTATGATATGTCCCATTTTAGGTCTCTTGTTCGCATCAGGATCCACACAACGCAAAGCTACGAGCAACACTCGTTTAAGAGCCTTGGAGGATGGTGGTTCGGGTATTTTTGGATCAACTACTTCTTCTGATCTTCGATTTCCAACCATTGATTTCAGCCAATCCACTAGATTCGTCTAAAACCACAAACAAAAAGAAAAACATTTTACAAAAAAACATAGAGAGAATAGAAAACACGTAGATTAATTTCCGTTAAATACCTCTCCTTGAGGCCGGCTATAATCAACCGGGTTTCTTCCTGTGATTATCTCCATGATTAATATTCCAAAGCTATAGATATCGCTCTTCTCGTTTAACATTCCAGTGCAAGCATATTCCGGTGCTACGTAACTAAGCAAATAAAACAACCAAGTAAATAGTTATTTCCAAAGATTCAGATTCCTAAAGATTGTCCAGCTGATTGCATGAGAGAGAAAGAGAGAAAATGGGATCAAGAATATACCCAAAAGTACCCATCACACGGGTTGTCACATAACTGCTCTCGGAACCCAATAGCTTAGCGAGTCCAAAATCCGAAACCTTGGCGTTCCATTGGCGATCAAGCAAGATATTGCTTGATTTTATATCCCGATGAACAACTTTTGGTTCAAGACCCTCGTGTAGATAAGCCAATCTACAGATATAACAAATATTTACATATAAAAATGGCATACTAACAAATGAGTTCTACTATTCACTTTAAAAAAGTTCTATGATCAAGAAATACCCTTTTGCCATCCCGAGTATAATGTTCATACGGATATCCCAAGTTAGAGGGCTGACATCGCCAACATCACCGTGAATCCATTGCTCCAAATTGCCATTATCGACAAAGTCATACACGAGCATCCTGTAGTAGAGAACTCGTGATTAGATCACACCATTTCTTTCCTCTGTTTCTACCATAAAAAAAAAAACAGAACTATGAGCAGCAGCAAATTACCTGTACGCACCTTCGACGCAATACCCTAAAAGCCTAACGAGATTCTTGTGTCTTACACGCCCAATTACTTCCACTTCTACTTTAAATTCTTTCTCTGCTTGACCCCTGTAAATTAAAGACACACCAACTACAAATCTTACAGATCATGGAGATCAAAGTCCAGAATCATATGGTTTACTATTAGTACAGACGTTACACATCAAAACCACATGTGACCCATGACATAATCTATATATAGAATTCAATAATAAAGACAACTTTCAGGACCACGCTCATACGTATAGCAGTTAAATAAGCGAAGCACTCTTAATCCCACAGGCATCTTCTTCGATGGATCTAAGCACATAACAGGAACAAGTGCACAATCAAAGACGAATTTCAGTAGAGAGCAAAACCAATGCAAAACTGCAATCCCCTAATCTAGCAAAGAGTAAAGGATCAAACTTTAGAGTGGAAACAATACAGAGCAAAGCAACAAGTCCAATCAAATCCAAAAAATTGCAAAATCCCAATTGAGAATACCTAAAACCCTAATTTAGAAATGAGTCAAGGATCAATCTTGTAAAATGAAATTCAAAATCATCCAAGAACCTGTTATTAAGCAAGTTCTTGACGGCGACTTTGGTTCCATCAGTTAAAATCCCACGATACACAATCCCGTAACCACCTTCTCCGATTACATTATCTTCACAGAGCCCATTCGTCGCCGCCTCAAGCTCTCTCAGAGTATACCACCGTCCCCATCCGAGATGCGAAACCTCCGGTCCAACATTTCCACTGCCGGAAAACGAAGCCGTCTCGCTAGCACTCGCTGTTCCTCTACTCTCTCCACTCGACACTCGATCGGAAAACACCACTCGATGCTCGATCTTCCCGATATCGACCTGGATCTCCGCCGGAACAGGCTGCGTCGAGTAGTGGTGGTCCGGCGCCGGAACGATCTCCTTAATCTCCTTAGAGATTGGCGGGGTAGCGACGGCGGCGGAAGCGAAATCTGCTCGCGGCTTGCGATTTTTCCGGCGAGAGGTAAGACAGAGGGAGAGAAGGAAGAGAGCGATGACGATTAGAGATCCGAGTAAGATTCCGATTACGACCCATAGCCGGAGACCGAAGATCGATGTCGGTTTCGAAAGCTCGGTATTGAGGAAAGCAGCATCGTACACCGACATCGTACTTTACTTTCACTCCTTTTCCTTTAGATTCCGTTAATGGGCTTCTTCGCATTTCTCGCCCGGAAACACACAAACAAACTTCCCGGCGAATAAAGTACGAGAATCCGGCCAAAATCTATGCTTATCACTGCATCGAGTGTCGATTCGAAAAAGAGGAATCGAGGAAAAACAAGGAAGTAAATTTAACTAAGAAAATGAAGGGGAGCTTAAAGAAGGCTTTCAGTGATCTGTGGGAATGAGCTGTCTCTTGAGTTTCTGTCTCCGTGTAATTGCATGTGTGGTGTGACGGTGAGCCGATGGTCAGATGAAGTGACGATTTTACCCTTATCGGGAAATTGCAAGATGGTGGATTAATTGAATTCTGGTGCTATATATCGTTCCGAGGAGATAGAATCTGTGGATTACACATTAAGTTTTCATCTCTTGTTTTGACTAAATCTGGACCTTAAACGTTTGATTACATTTGTTTGCAGTTTTTAATATAGTTTGTTGTGTTTTGGAGATGGATATAATCAACATGAAAGGAATCAATACTTTCTAATAAAGTCCCTACTTTTATTATGACAGAACATTATTGTTTGTTTACTTGTGTTACACATTATTGGCTCATCAAAATTATTAGGTTATATGTTTAACAAGAAAACTTTTGTATGCCAAGCTGATAAATCGACATAGACATAATCAAATTGCGGAGTTCGGATATTATTAAAATAATCCAAAAAAATTCGGCTTTTCTATTAAAAATGATCTCAATTATGGAGTCAAGATGATGACGTGACTAAGTCACTCGATTAATATCATTCCATTTTCGAAAAGCTTTTATGAATATAATTGTTACATTCTGATTATTGGTGTATCCAATATTATATATATAGTCGAGACGATGATATCGTCAGTCAGAGGACTAGTTTCGGCTTTCCTCTAACACAAATTTAGATTTCGTGCCTTTGTGGGGAGGAAAATGTGAGATACTGAAACCTTGGGTCAAAAATTCATCATATTTGTTTTTCTCAAAATTCGGTTTCTAAACAGATGTTAATGAGAGAATAACTTAATTTGGCCTCGAATATTTTACGGTTTTTCCCAAAAAGGATATTGGTGGGGCTAAAAGAAAAATCGCATCATCGCTCTATCATATTCAATTATTCATACCAACCAAGTAATGTAAGAAATTACAAGTTTTATATGTGGAGAGTAGTATATTAACGTACCGACTATCTTCTTAAATTGTTTGGCATGATGTTATTCTCTATAAGAAATATGTAACAGACCAAAAGTTTTCCAAATTTCGTTATTATCATAAGTACAGTATATAGCATATCAAACAATCAGAATGTAACAATTTTGATTTGAACACTATAGAATTTATAATTATGAACACAACAAAACAGAATTTTATATATATCAACTCAGAGACATCAAAGCATTACAAAACCAGTAATGTCATAGTCCATTCTTTATAAGACTATAAAAAACTTGAAGTAGCGATTGAACATTACAACACAAACCCTAATAACTGTCTTTTCTACACAGACTTTAACTATCTCCTAAGATCAAAATTTCCACACTCTTGACGTGTATATACAAGTACTGGGCGCGTAACTCCACAGTTTAGGCTGATAGAGAGAGCAACGATTTGTTTTTTCCTCTCACTTCTCACTGCACTTATTCTCTAATTGGCGTTGTATGATAATATTAACCTCCGCTGCATAAAACAGAGCAATCATACCGTAAGCCCATCAACAAAGTTTGCTACTTTTAGTATTCTCAGTGCAATCAAAATCAAAACGTTACCAAGCGAAGACTAACAATTACCTGTTCTTCAAACTCGGGTCTTGTCAGGTTTACAGACAAGTTTCTCATCAACAAGAGCACCTGATGATTAAAAACATTGTTAACGACATTTACATAGATTCAACTTGAGCAGTAGACAACAGAGCGTGTTTGACATACCGTTTCTAGATTTATTGGGTCCATGTGCTTTAATCTCTGGACATGACCTGTTGTTTTTGGATCGAATACACTTCCTAAGAAGCTGTAAACTTCAGCGAAATTTGGCATCACTGTATTGCATAACCAACACCAGATTAGCTCATAATCAGTATATATCGAAAAGACCGAATATCGCGTTTGCTCTACAAAAATTTAGAGAGTTTTACCTCTGTGTGGCTTTTCACAACTTCCTTGGTCATTTATCTCTGTAACGGTTCGGGTCTTCTGCTTATCTCTACGAATACTAGTGCTGCAACTGTTCTCAGGGACTCCCAATTCCTCTACAATCCCAAAATCATTACCCCGAGATTATTAACAACTCAAACAAACATACAAAAACATAAGAGTTCAAGAAATGACATTAATCTATAGCAAATTTAAGCACATATTAGTATTACCTTTGATTACTGGATTTGACGTAATAACATCGCGACGCATTAATTCATGCTTAGGAGTACTAATGACTGGGTGTGAATCAGTGCTGTACAAGTAGTCATGTTCAAGCAATGCGTTTGAAGATGTAAGAGCAACTGCAGCAAAAAAAAAAAAAAAAAAAACACAATCATAAGAGAATCAGATGAGATAGAGACGGAACATAACAAAGCAGAGTCGGAAGAAATTTTTTTTTTTTTTTTTAAATAGTTACCACTTTTAGAAGCCTTTTGTGGATAAGGATGATTTGCTTTCCTCTTTGGTCTAGGAGGTGGGAGATGCTCGTTAGTCCCATTCTTCTGAACCTTGAGAAAGTATTTCTGTGCGTGGCTTCGTATCTGCAAAAACCAATGTTATATCAAAATGATAATCCAACAGAGAGATACAATAGCTCATACGTTCAAATTCTAGAAAAATACAAGAACAGAGCTCATAATTCATGTTTTGTTCTGTCACAATCTGATCATCATAAAAAAAAAAAATGCAACGAATGCAGCATTAAATTCCAGAAACCTAAAACATTCGATTAGTAATTTCAGGCAACTCTCGTTGATTGGAATGTATATGTTTAAGACAGATTCTTCAATTACCTGGATAACTGTTTTTGATCCAACAAACGCCTCGATTTTTTTCCAATCGCGATCAAACCTGTAAAATCAGTAGACATGATTCTTTACCACAAGAAGAAGAACGCTCAAAGATATAAATAATCAGAGGTAAAATAAAAGAAGAAACCAGAGAGAGAAGTCGAATCCGTTACATACAAATGAAGAGCTTCAAGAAACTTGTCGTGCTCCTGCTCCGTCCAGTTCTCTCTAGACTTGGTGATTGTGTAAGGCTTTCTAATCTTCTTTGTTGGATCCTCACAAAACGACATCGTATTGTTCCGTACGGAAACCGGGATCATGGTCGCCGGCGCTGCCGTGTGGGGAAGAGTATTAAAACCCGGTAAGTTCATGTTCATGGGGAAACAATGAGCTTGGCTAGGGTTTACAGACACCATGGAAACCCGAAGTTATTACCTTTCGTTTTGAAAGAGAAGTCTGTGACTTGTGACTTGTGGTGAAGGAGAAGACAAGAAGGGTAGAAGCGTAATTTAGGGAAATGGATTTTAGCCGAACACGTGTAAGGAGCTGGTTGCTCTGGTTCAGAGCGTGGGACTTTCAACTACAAGACATGTGTAATAACATTGATGTCATTCGTTATTTAAAAAAAAAAGCAAACCAAAGCCTAATGTCGTGTATCGACTATCGACGGCACAAAAAATGACACGTTGGTGACGATCCCAATCAGGTTCGGCGTGGAACAGATAACTGGTTCAAATCAAATGGAGAGGGAGACAGAGAGAGTTTATTTTGTGGTTTAGTTCAAATTTTTTACTTCAGTCTCAAAATGGTTTCTTTTTTGAACACAAACGCAGCATATACAAACAAACACATACATCTATCCTTTCAAAATACTAACATACATAATATTAATACTTTTGGGTTCATCAACACCAGACCCAAAAACAAACAACAAACGACTTTCTAAGAAAGACTCATCAGATATTTCCGCAACCGGAAAATAAAAACAAAAAAAATGTTAGAATCAGTGATTACAAATAGAAAAGAGTTGGTTGATACGAATTACACAACACAACACCATTTGGAAACACAAAAATGGATGCTCGTTTTTTTTCTTGGGTCTGCAAATCCTAGGAATGAAAAAAAAATAACCACAACAGATAAACTCACAAATGGAGACTTTCGTTTTTCTTTAACCGATCCAACGTGTGATACCATCGTCTCCTACCATCGCCAATATCTCCACACGCACCTCCAAAACCGCCTGCAAACATTGTTTTTAACATTTTACACAAACACAAATTTTGCACATAGATTCTTACTTTCCAAGAGTAAGGGTTTTACATCTTTCTGTTGATGTATTGGGACAGAGACTTACAGAGGAATTCCTGCAGTTAACAAGCCGGCATTCGTCCAAAGAACCTTCTAGACTCCAACTCTCCCACACGTCAAAACTATGGCTAGCAAACACAAACTCCATTCTTCTATTGATCTGCACACAGCCATTTTTAGTTTACTCAAAAGCATTCAGAATTTAAGGTTATAAATGCAAGTGACTGTGTACTCTAAGAGGTACCTGCAATAACTTCCCACCAGCAGCAAATGATCTCAGGCCAACAGTGTCCTGGAGAACAAGTTCGTACACCAAAACCAATTAGCCCATTCTTAAGAATCTAAATAATGGGCTATCGCTCCATCCTACTACACAAGTCTACAAGGGCTCTGAATGTAAATGAGAAGGAAAATAGCGAGAGAAAGAAAGAAAAAAGGGTTTACCTTGTTTCTATATGCGATGATGAATTGTGCTGCAGGATCTCGTTTGGATACATTGGACATCGTATCAAGGAACCAACCACCGTTTTTCGTTCTTTGTCTGGAAACATGGAGACCCGAGAGGTCTTTTGCATACAAGGCTATTACATATCCATCTTTCAGCAGATCACTTGACTTTCCGATGAACTTCTTGCTTGACATTACTTCAAGAGGTGTTTTCCTACTTCTTGAATCTTCAGGGGAAGCACATCTAGAACTAGAACTTAATACATCTTCCGTGTCACTCATAGCAGTATCATCTCTTCGTGAAGTACTTTCTTCATGTAGCCCTGAGGAACCCTCTGCTCTTTGCGTGTATTTTTGCTGTGAATGCCTCTTTTTGGCTTTCTTACCGGATCTGCTGCGTCTTACTTGAGGATTTATGGCAGTACTTTGAGGCAGAAGAGAAATCTGTTGCTGACTAGGGCTCAGAGAATCCTTCAACTCACTAGCCTCTCTACGAACGATTTCAGTGCTGGTGAGAGAACTATCTCCCTGCTGCCTACTGGTGGATTCCACTAGTGCTAACTTGTCATGTCTGATAGGTGATTGATCTTCTTCTTCTTCTTCACTTGCTTCGCTTTCCTCAATTTCCTCATCAGAAACAGTGTTGTCTGGTATTACACCATCTAAGAAAAATGATTGCAAGATCGAGATGGCCTTCTCCCTTATCTCCATCCAAACTTCCTCACTGTAATCTGCACTGCGAGGTAGGATTAACACATTCGGCATTTCCTTCACCTGCAATAAAAACAAGATCATATGAATGGCAAACCAAAACAAAAACAAAAAAGAGACGAGATGATGTATCAAGAGCATTGGCATCCAGAGATGTGAAGTTTAGGTAACGGAAAAGAAATCCATACCCATGCTTCCATCCATTGTGGACCTTCGGCGCCGTCAAGGGCGCAGCCAGCTATGGTGCCATCAATCAGAAGTTGTTTCACAGCACAGTCATCCAGCAGCTGGCAGCTTCCGGTATTTACAAGAAAAGCCCCTAACATATAAAATGAACTTATCAACCACAACTACGGAGATGTCCGTTTACATTCAGGGAGAATCAAAACCTAATTTGACTGAGCAGACAAGAAAATTCATACCAGGTTTTATATGCTGCAAGCACTCTGCATTGAGTATCTGAACCGTGTCGTTTGTTAACGCACAGTGAAGCGAAATGACATCACTTGCTGCTAGTAGATCATTCAATGTATCCATTCTTCGGGCAGCACGTGGGAATCTCGAGGGCCTGATTCGTTCTTCATCCCCCTGGACAGATGCAAACGAAACCATTAACAACAAATAAAGCACGAGGAACTCGGAAGAACAGATAGAAAAAAAAAACCATCATTTTAGGCATGTAGGAGCTAAACAACTATAATAACATAGACCATCATAATTAGCCAATGATCCAAAAAAAAACATTTCATAAGCTAAGCGAGACATTCACACAACACACATACCTCAGGGACATCAAAGTAGAGCACACTCATCTTGAAAGCCAAGCTCCTGCTAGCCAAATACCGAGCGGATACAGATCTGCCAACGATACCCAAGACCATACCACGGCACCGTCTCATTCCCCGGCAAAGCGGCTGAAGCGATCCGAGCCATCCGGAAGCCGATAGCGCGTGGCGAGAGAGCAAGTGCGTACGCCGGAGGAGTCCGAGGATGAGCGCCATGACGGTGTCCGCGATTTCCTCGGCTCGGGAAGTATCGACATGGACGAGTCGGAGACCTAGGTCGGCGGCGAGAGTGGAATCGACAGCGCGATCAGCAGAGCCAAGGCATAGAATGAGCTGGTGAGAACGGAGCCGGCGCTGAGCTGCACGTGGAAGATATGCGAGTGAATGGAGGATAACTGCGGTGGCGGACTCGATCTTACCATCGGCGATGCGGCTGAGCGGGACGTATTCGACACCAGCTACGCCGGCGAGTGAGTCCTGCTCGAGCGCACAATCCTCTACACAGTTGAGTGTGACGACGAGAGGCGAAGCCGGTGACGGCTGCTCGCGATGGGACATTGTCGCAGACGAACGGATCTTGCTCATCTTCTTCTTCTTCTCGCTACTCTCGAGGAGTAGACGGTATCTTGAAATTTTGGGAACATAATGATTTAGGGGTTCAATGTAGTAAATTCGGAACAATTCAGGGGCTAAACCGCATTTAAAATAATTTCAGGGCCTGATTTACATTTTTTTGAAAAAGTTCAAGGGAGGGCATATTTATTTGGTCCGCATCAGATGCTCGATTAGGTTGCGACGTCGTTTCAATGCCAAAACGCAAAAGAAATTATACAAGTGGAAAACATGTACACTCCCCTATGCCACATTATTTGCTGTCCAGAAGTGAAACCAAAAAACACAAACTCCAGAGTTTGGCAGCGACAACAACAACAACACGAAATCTCTTTCTACACAAAAGCAACAGCATAAACACAGACTTGAGAAAAACATAAACATTTGACTCAAGAAAAGATGGGGAACTCTCTCTCTTGTGCAACTAAAGCTATATGAACAAAGCCGACTATATACTCAGAAGAAGCACACAACCGATTAAAACGAAAAAGCTCTATACATCTATCTACCAAAATTCTATCTCCTTTTTCTTTTATAACCCACTGTGGAATTCATAGTTACCATCATTCATAGATCTCGACATGTCTCTACGCGGGTTTTTAGTTAATGGTAGGTGATGATCAGAGAAACCTCCTACGAAGATTACTAGTAGTCGCTTGATATGAACGCATAAGCAATCCAACTCCAATGCCAACACCAAGACACATCCCGAGGCCTATACCAACTCCAACTCTGACACCTGCATTGAACCATGAGAGTTGACCATCCTCATCAACGTACATCTCTTCAGGGTAGTATCTCTGTCCGATTTTCACTTCAGACTCATCGTAGTCATCAACTTCTGATTCCATGATCTGCGTAGCCCAAATGACAAACACGAAACGCGTAAACAACTCTAGAGATATCGAGAAAGTCTCTTGACCTAAATACTATATAACTCATCTATTGTGATTAGTCTAAAGTTCCATTTCAGCTGCAGAGTCACAAAAAACACTTGAGAAGAAGCTAGCTAAATTCACCAGAATCTTGCGATTGATCTTAATAACTGAATATCTACTACAACATTCATAACAAACAAAACTAGCCAATCAAACACTATAGACAATAGGGGTAACTTTGAGTTCAAAACTCAATCCCAAGTTCAGGATCGTCACTTAGGCATAAAACAGAGGATTTTAATTCTGAATCGTAGAGAATCATCAATCAGAGAAGCAGCAAATTCGAACCATACCTGTACTTTCCTTTGCCGGCACAATCCATCACCAGTGGTAACAAAGTCGTGCTCTTTGTCAACTTCCTCGTCCTCAGGGATAGCGTCGAGTGTCACGTGTCTAGCCACCTTCCTTCTTGGGCTCGCCTGAATCGTCTTGGTCAAGATCACCGGAACACCGCCACAGCAACCAGCTATGTAAACCTCCACGGACGGAGACGAAACGCCTAACTTCGGCTGGAAAAACGCAGAGGAAGAAGAACCCGACCCGTGTCCAGAGCCTGACCCGTTTCCCATTGCCATGTAACAATCCATGCCCCATCCAGTCTTAGGATCGCTCACAGTTCCGTTATTCCACGCACCTTCGATTCTATCTAAGTTTCCGCACAATACCATATCCTCGTTATCGTAAACCTCGAAATCAACGCAACCGGTGACGCGCACGGTCTCTGTGGTAACGTAAGTCACCTCCGACGATTCCCGGTCGACCCTATCACGACGGAGTTGAAGCGACGCCGTCTGAGAGGGAGGAACGCGAACGCCGTTAACCTCAAGGGAAGCGCCGGTTTCGCGGCGAGGGTGACGAAGGGTGAGAAAGTCAGGGACATTCTCAACAACGCACGGCGCGATTCGGACGTAGAACAAACGAACCTCCAGCCACGCCGATTGCGACAACGGGATTGATGCCGACGACGGCGCAACGCCGGAGGTTTTCATGTGGTATGATTTGGTTGTCCCAAGAGGATCCTGATGATGATGGTGATGCCTCGAAATCATCCAGAACAATCGATTCAAGAATAAACCGAAAATCGCAATTTGGATTCGATTCAATTGATGAGAAATTCCGCCACCGATGACGAGATTGTGAGAATTCCAGGCTCGAGGACAGAACAATGAACAGGAATCTTTTGTCTTTTTCGTTCAGGTTAGGTTTTTGGGTTTGAGATATTTTGCAAGGTAAAAAAGGTCAAAATTAAATTTGTTTGAAGACGAGGTTAAAACGGAGAGGTCAAAAGGAGAAACCGACAAGATATCAATACCATGTGACAACTATATTGACTTGCACGTGTGACAGTTTTAACTGGGCAGTTTGGGCCTATATAACAGTTTATTTGGGCCACAACGAGTTTTATCAGTTGCTCCAATCCAAGCATCTGAGCATCCGTACCCAATGTTGAAAAATAATTGATAAAAAGTACTACAATATCAGGAGGGTTTGGAAGAGCTTGGAAGGCTTTGATTTTAGATGATTTAAATAAATTAAATTTGATAAGTTGTTATGATTTATTGTTAAAAGTTTTAAGAAATTTCACCTAATATCATGAGATTTAGATTTTTCTATTTTTAACTAAGAAATTCCATTATAATATCTCGATATCATTAAAAGTCTATCTTACTACTTAAAATATTTCCAGTATCAATAAATTTGAATGTTCATTTACAAATCAATAGTTCATTGCATTCTAAAATTTTAAAACACATGTTTGAATAGCATAAGATCAGTATAGACTGTGTATCGCAGTAATAAGCTGGAGTGAAAAGAGATCGTATGGACTAATTATATTAATTAAAATATCTATTTACAACACAAAAACGTAAATATAATTTGCCGATACGTCGATACACAATATATATGTGGCACGACAAATGCTAATTACATCAACAAATGGAATTTGTAAGCGTTTTCGAAATTTTAACCAAAAAAAAAGTGTTTTCGAAAGGCACAAATCTCATAACTTTTTAAATGAATGAAGATATACTGTCGCATTCATCAAACTTGTACTGCACCAAAACATACTAAACTACAGCTTAAACTAATTATGTGTATGTGATTCTTTGCCAAAGCTACGGATATAGTTTTGTATATTTTTCTAAAGTACGTCATATTTAAATCTTGCAAGCCTAATAAATAGATAAATTATAAAGCAATATCATTTTACTCATTCGGGTCATTGACCGTACCACAATTATTTTTAATCATAGCCATTATATTCTTTTCTAGACGTACTTTTTCAATAATTTTACAATGCAAAATTATGAGCCGTTGAAACTATACCCTTGGAAGATTCACCGTTCGATATGAGATGTTGTCGGATAATCGGACCAACTTTGGATATATATTAATAGGCCGGCTATAATGTTTTCTTCTTCCACCTCTTTTAGTTAACACCGAAAAGACTGGGGCTTGTCCTTTCACAATCTAATTTGATAGGAAAATTTAATCATAAAGTAAAAGTAATATGACATCAAAACTAATTAAGTTAAGTTCAATAAAAGATTTGCAGTTCATGCGTATGTCCGTAACTCAAGATCCGTGTCGGAAGTTTACTCAGTTGATTTTATCTCACTTAATTGCATATCATGTAGTATGATTTTGACCGCGTTTAAGATTCTCCTTGTTAGTTTCGGTTGATTTAAACTAGTACATTTCGTAGTTTTTAATCAACATTAAATTCGTAATCATGTTTTACGCTGACGTTGTTTTTTTTTTAATATACTTTACAAAATTAATTGAGCGATAAAGTACAGTACAGTAAAACCTCTATAAATTAATCCTCTATAAATTAATACTCGATAAATTAATAATCACTATAAATTAATAAATTTATTTGGTTCCGAATCGGCCAGTGTAAAAAACTCATCAAATTCGATAAGATAATAAGATAATAATTTTTTTGAAATCTTTTTGTAAAAATATGGTTTCAATATAAACATAAATTAATATTTATATAAATTTATGTATATATAAGTAAGATATAATATACTAAAAATATGATTAATGTGTTATTTTTTTATTTAAATTTGAAATTTTATTAAAAATCATCTCTTTACTTGTTTACATCAATAACTTTTATATAATGTTATTTTTAATCTCTATTTTAAATTTGTGAAAACTTTAGATATGATAATTGATATTTTTTACGCATAACTATTTTGATATATTAGGTATTTAAATTTTAGCACCAACGTTAATGATAATAGTCATAATATTTTATAAATTTTGTACTAATAAACATTATATTCTTACATAGATAATTCAATCCTTAATTAACAAATAGAAATAACTATTCTATTGCGATTACTATGATTAGTAATCATAATTTAAGTCTGTGCATAACATTTTATAAGCATATGAGTTTAGATTTTTAAATATAACACCAATGAAAGATTTTTAAAAAAAAAAAATAGGCGAAAAATATTTTTTCTGTATAAATTAATATTACGATAAATTAATAAAATATCATGGTCCCAACATTATTAATTTATAAAGATTTTACTGTACTTTGTTTAGCCTTCAATCTTATAGTCTGCAATTATGTTATTAGATTAGGATAACTGATAAAATTAATTAATTATGTTATTGAATGAAGATTAGTTGAGTGATCTCTACTTTCTCTATTTTACCGAAGGTCCTCGTACCTGTTTCGACATATATATACTTCTCTTTAATTAGTAAACTAGAATATAACAAGATAGACTTCTTTGAACGTCAAAAACAAGCAAATTCATTACTAGCGGCTGGAACTACACTGTTCGGACCATCAAAATACCATTTTAATTTGGTCAAACCATAGAGTATAGATTATTAATAGAATTATTTAAGGAAACTAATTTCCGTCAAATTGTGTTTACTCTTGGGTTTTTTTAATTTTTTGGGTTCAATACTCTTGTTTAATAATCAAACAAATAGTCGGAAAAAAAAAAGTCAAACTAATATACCCAAGTCCTCCCAGGACTAGGAATCAACGATCCAGATCTGAAGCTGAGGATGGAAGAATCGACGGGATGCACAGATTAAAAAAGAAAAGAATTTAGAGCAGTGCCCTTGAATTTTAATAGAAGCCGCCTTTTAAAAATAATAAATAGATTAATGAGTAATGGGTCCCACATTCCACTCTAAGTGGCCCAAATTACAAATCTCATCACGTCTCGTTTCCAATACTCGCAGTCACTGCGTGTAGTCACGCGGGAGCCACACACAATCCAATATTTTTGGCAGATTTTTTTTTTATAAATATATACGTATATTTATTTCGTGGACGTAATAAGAAATTAAAAGGGAAAACAAATTAATCTACGTGGGCAAACACGTGGAATTTGCAGCTGTTCCCCACTACACATGTATTTTTTGTAATATTTTTTTGAATTAAATTCTTGGCTGTGGAAATATTATTTGTCCTTATTTAGAGAATCAAATTCGTGTAGAATTGGGAAACTGATGGTGGGATAGTGAGGACTCAATTATTATTAGATAATTAAAAATATATAGAACTTGAGGAAGAAAATCAATTATATAATTGTAGTTTTAGACCTAAACTCCAAAAAAAGGAATATTTGCAATTTGAATGATAAAATATATACTCTTATTAAAAGTTTATTCTTACCTAGAAAAATCAACGAAAAAAAAATTGAAAAATTAAATCAGCAACCTTATTAGATATTGCAACATGTCTCTCGGCACCATTGTATAAAAAGGACAAATAGTATAAAATTACTGTCGCCCCAAAAGAAAAAACCATGAATGAATATAGTAGAATTCGTTTATAATAAAAAACAGGGAAAATGACGTGGATAAGGTGAGAAAGAAATTTCAAAGGGTCAGAAAAAGGAAACAAACACAAACCAAAGGACGGAAAGTAAAATGACGCTGAGCACTTGAAGACGTAATCACACCACACGCGCCTTATCTCACGCGCGTGAATCACTCAAACAAAGAAGAAGATCTCTTCGTCCCTCTCGTACCATTCATTCATTCATTCATTATTATTGAGTCTGAGACTCTCTCTCTATCTCTCTCTCTCTGCATGCATCTCTCTCCCTCTCTCTCAATCTCTCCAGTATTTGTCAGGATTTGGGCTTTTTTAAAAAAACGATCAGTGACCAATCTCTCTTATCGTCTTCAAAAGTTTCCAATTATTTCATTCTTCTTCTTCATCCTCTATTTTCTCTTAAATCTTTTCCTGCATCTTCTCTCTCTCTCTCTCTCTCTCTCTCTCTCTCTCTCTCTCTCTCTCTCTCTCTCTCTCTGTGCATATTCTTACAATTAAACGGTAACCCAAAAACAAACGAATAGAGCAATGAAGGTCCATCTCTCGTTCTCTCTCTCTCTCTCTCTCTCTACACGTGTGCAAGATTTGATACCTAGGATTCGAATTTCTATAAGAGAATATGAGTTTGATTCTTGTTTTCAGAAAGTAACAAGCTTTTTTCTGTTAATCATTATTAATGAACCACTGAATCTGTTCACTTTTGCATTACTTGATTCCATTTTCCCCTCGCTGATCTGCTTCTCTTTTTTTTTTGTTAAGCTCTCCCGCTTAATTTATTCTGGTCTAATTGAAACGAACTTCCACATTTTTTCCATGAAGTTTTTTGCTTCACTTGGTTTTCTAGCTATCAATTACCGTTTTTCTCTTACTATTATTTACAAATATCAAATCAAACCAACAAAGATTCGAATCAGAATTCATAAACTGAATGATGAGCATATGCTCTGCTTTTCCCAAAGTTGGTCTGTACGTTTCTCTACTATCTTCATAAGTCAATACGCATGCATGTCACTGTATCTCTGTGTGTATGTATACCATCATTCATCAGTAATATTCTTTTTTAATATGTTCTTTAAAACCTGCAAAACCTCTGTTTTTTTTTCTTGACTCTGTGTTGTTCTTTGGTAATCCAATGTTTTTTTAGTTATTGCATGATCTGTAAGATTCCTGAGAGAATAACCCAGGAAGAAAAGATTAGATCGTCTTTGTGCTCACATCACTTTATATATTTATTTCACTGAATCTCACAGAAAATTGTTATCTTTTTGCAGAAAATTGTGTTAAAGTTGGATCTGCATGATGATAAGGCAAAACAAAAGGCCCTTAAAACAGTTTCTACTCTCCCAGGTAATCAATGAATCATCCTCATCAATAATTTATTCATTGGCATTTTCCCAGAAAATAAATTGTTAGGGTACACATCAGAGATCTCTATTTAGTTCTCACTAGTCACTTCTAATTTCTAAACCCACTATTAAACCATTGGTTTCCGGTCCAGTTGGTTCGGTTTAGTTTCTGATTTGGTTGGTAGGTATATATAAGAAAAAATTGTTTTAAATTTCTTTCAACAATCACGAGCTACACTGACAGAGGTGTCTTTTTTTGAACAGTGACAGTACGGTAAAATGTTGCGCCACATTTTCAATTATTTGTTTAGTTGTGAAATTCATTGTTTTATTTATTTGGAATAAAAATCACATCTAGGCCACTATATATATGCAGCTTCTTTGAAATACGTGCCCATCAATTTAAAAAAAAACTAAGAAAGTCAAAGATTTTGCTGTTTGTTTTTTATCCACAGTTTTTGTTTACTCTTCTTATCGGTGTTGTCTCTAAAATGTGGTGACATTTATCAATAGGGCCAAAACCTCAAATGTCTATCAAATTGATTGCATCTTACTTACTTTTTCTTATGAAGGAATCGACTCGATTGCAATGGACATGAAGGAGAAGAAACTAACGGTGATCGGAACCGTGGATCCGGTAAATGTAGTAAGCAAGCTAAGAAAGTACTGGCCGATGACGGATATCATACTAGTGGGACCAGCAAAAGAGCCGGAAAAGGAGAAGAAGGAGGAGCCGAAGAAGGAAGGCGGTGGCGAGCCGGCGAAGAAAGAAGGAGAAGCTCCAAAGGAAGGAGAAGCAAAAAAGGAAGGAGAAGCGCCAAAGAAGGAAGAAGAGAAGAAAGAAGGCGGCGATAAGAAGGAAGGAGAGAAGAAAGATCAACCGCAGCCGCAGCCGCAACCGCAGCTGCAACCGCCAGCACCAGATCATGTGTTGGAGCTTGTAAAGGCGTATAAAGCATATAATCCTCACCTAACTACGTATTACTATGCCCAAAGCATGGAAGAAAACCCTAATGCTTGCGTTATATGTTGAAAAAACATGTCTAATATATAATTTGGGGGATGTGAAAAGGATAGACCGATCTATAAATGAGGAAGACGAATAAGAATCATAAGATATATCCTAGTCTCAGATATATCGATTCGGATTGGATCGGATATGTTTTTTTTTTTTTACCTCGATAATGCGGGGTAAATCGATTTCGATGATATGTTTTTGTGTATATATCGTCGATTGTACTAGAATTTCTATTTGTATTTGTTTCATTGTTTGTTTGAACTTTGAAAGTAACTCTTGTACATAGGATGGTGTTATATGTGCGTTAGTATTGTTAATTCTTTTCAAATGTGCTAAATTGTTTTCTTGTTATTTGTGAAAAAAGGTCCGCAAATTTCACTCAAGGGTTTTAGATTAGAAGTTACAAATAACTATATATCTACTACAGAAGGTTTTTTCTTTTCATTGGAGCCAATATATTTAAAATGTCTGTGGGGGTATTGATTTTGGGTGTATAAATGTTGTTGGGCAGCTTAACTGTAACTTTATTTTTACTTCTGTTTTGCACGAAGCGAAAGGGCATGGCCTTCATGACCATCTGATGAGTCACTTTTAGGAATATAAAAAAAGGAACTCATTTTACAAATGTATTTTTATTTCATGTGATTCTAACATTACTAAAGTTAAGTTTCAAATTCTTCTCCATAATTTTAAAAATATTATTTTGCTATAGCCAATAGAAACTTCTTTATTTTGTAATTAAAATTCTTGTTAAGTTTCGCTATTTTCGACGATTATATATAAACCTTATTTGTTTTACACCTAACGATTGACTATATTTTCAATATAAAATAATCTTCAATGCATTACAAATGCTTAAATGTCTTAGATCAAGTTGTGGCTCAACTTGAAACGAAATGGAAATGTCAAAAGTATTTTGGTTGGTAGGCACCTAAAAGGAGCATGTGAGAATCAAATAAAACTTTGGCAACACTTCATTTACGATTTTGAATTTAAATATTGTGGCTATATATATTATTTCGGTTCAAAATATAATACATGACAAAGTAAATACCCTCGTTTAAAAAAAATAAATACACCCAAATAAATTCCATTCCCGTGAATCCAAAAAGAAGATTATTCACTGCCCATGTCATTTTTTTCTACCAAATAAATAAACATATTACTTCATTATATTTCGTAAAATAATGTTAATAAGGACTATGAAAATGTGGTGAACTGTGACTGGTGATGACAACGACAATATCGATGATTATAGATAAACATTTATGTATGATATACTCTATGGTTTCACTTTCATCAGCTTAATAAATTTATATCTGAATCTATAAATATCGACAACTAAATAGCTAAAGGTTTACCAAAAGAGGGCTAAATATATCATATATTATATATTTCATTGAAGCTGACGATATATCACTAACAAAAGAAAACAAAAAAGCTGACGCTTCATGAATAATGAATAATGAACAGAGATATGCGGGGTAATGTTTTTTTAATTATTTTTAAATTAAATTTATTTTTTTTGTTAAATTAAATTGGTGATAAAAATTCTTTACCAAAAAATATAAATAAATAAAATTGGTGACAATTAGATAACAATACCTATATAAATATCACACAACCGATATTTACTTATATATATTATTATGCGGTTTAATTATTAGTAACTTTTTTAAATATGAAAGTGATATGATATTAATATATATATACTTATATACATACCAACATGGATTAAAATATAATATATATATATATATTTATAAAATAAAAATTTAATTATGAATATTTTATTAGAGATCAAACTATCATTTTTAGTGAATAACTTATATAATATGTGTTAACAATGATTATATATAGGATTGTCAAAATGGAAAAACCCGTCTACTTAATATATTTCACAATTTACTAAACTATTTTTTGGCCAACCCGTTAAAAAAAATTTTAATTTTGAAAACATAATTTTATTTTTATATAAATAATTGAACTGATTTTCGAAAATGATACTAAATAATAATAAAATTACAAATGAAAAATATTGCAAAAGTTTAAATTGATTTTTTCATATATATGGATTGATTATTATTTAAAATAATAAAATATATTTTAATATTTTAATAAGTAAAGAAACTAAATATACTTTTGATTTATATCCATATATTTAATTGAGCTTTCTATATTTATAAAGTTTGTTTAAATAATATCTTCTAAGTAAAGATTTATTTATGTAATATCTTATAAATAAATGTTTATTTATGTAAAATATTCTGTAATATCTTACAAATAAAAGTTCATTTATGAAATATCTACTCAAATAATAATATAGAGATGTCATCATGTTTGATAGCTTAATATTCATAGCAAATTTGTCAAGTTGTAACAGTAATAATATGGTTTAATTTTATCATATTTGGTTCAGCTGCATTGCTGATGAAACTTTCATCATCCACCATATTATTGGCCAAGGAAAATTCCAAAAAAATGTAAAAAAATTAGCATACTAAATTAATTATATCTTTGATTCCTTTGTTTTTTTGTTGAAAAGGAATTTATCTTTAATTCTTTGTAATCGAATGTTCAATCGATAACATATTTGATCATTTTTAAAAAAAGGACAGGCACGGTGGCATGCATGCGTGACGTATTGGGCGAACAACAAAATATGGTTCTAGAAAAACCGAGTAATTAATTAGCTTAACAAATCCTCCATTGTATACATATCAACCTCCCCAACTAATGAACTCTGACGATCCAATTATAAATTATCAAAAGATAATGTTTCATTTACTACACACAAACAAATAAAGAAAAATTTAGCAAAAAAAGAAGAAAATAGAATAAAGAAAACGGTTGATTAAAAATCCTAGGCAAAAAAAAAAGAAGAAAAACAAATTCACAAACACAAATCTTAAAAGTTACCATTTGACCCCAGAAAAAAAGCTGGTCGTCAAAAACAACCCTAATGTAGTAATGTTGAAGTTAAATTACGCCAATCTTACAAAAAAAAAAGACATTCGCTTAATGCATTTCTAATTAAAATTCATAACATTTGGGATGAAACGACTAACGAGAATGAGTTAATACGATTTTGTAAGCGCCATGTCTTATGGTTTCATGCTCGAAGAAGAGGTGAATGTGGTGACATTATCCCCGGCGACGAGAGTCCATCCTCGTAAAGTCGTCGGAAACTTAGTCGGAGGTTGCTCTGCCTCCATTTCTGCTTCTTAACACTGTTGTTCTGAATTATCTCATCATTATCCGATGATTTCTCAGCCAATTTGTTTTTCTTGGATACAAAATCTTGGATTCGTCGAAGCGCCACGTCTAGAGTATCATCACCCATGTTAGCAAAGCAAACCCTAAACCATCCAGGTTCCGTGCAGTGGAATGAAGAGCCTGGCGAAACGTTAAGCTTCACTTTGTCAATGATTATATGCCAAAGCTCGATCTCAGATTCAAACGAGTTGCGATCAATTAGTAGATGTCTCAGATCCATCCACACAAATAGACCTGCGTTGCTTGTCAAGCAAGTGATCCCTGCTTTCTTGAGACCTGAGGTTAAAACTCCATGTCTTATCCCTAATCTTCTCGAGCTTTCCATAAGGAAATTTTCCACGAACTGATCATCCGACAACATCGAAGCAAGCATGAGCTGTGTTTGAGACGAAACTAGTCCGAAACTCGACATTTTTCTTGCGCATGACACAACCGAGTCGTTGTAAGAATATACAATACCGACTCTAAAACCTGGAAGTCCCATGTCTTTGGAGAGACTATAGACAATATGAATCAAGTCAACATCGATTTCAGAACTGTCCACGTTGTTGACCACTTCGGCGACGCTCACAAAATTATCTCCAGCGAAGACCGTACCGGCGTAGATCTCATCGACGACTAAGTGAATGTTCTTCCTCGTGACGAACCGGACTAAGTTCTTGAGTGTGTCCTTGTCTAAAATTGTACCAAGCGGATTTGATGGGTTGGTCAAAATTAGACCTTTGACTTTTTTGTTGGACTCTTGGGCTTTCTGGTAGGCCCATTCAACGGCCTCGACGGTTAATTTGAAACTGTTGGAACTGGAACAATGAACCGGGATTATCTCGACACCTGTACGCCACCTCAAGTCTCTATCAAATCTGCAAGAAAAAAATATAGTTAATGAATGTCTGTGAGCTACACGTTGGATTACCTTGCACGTGTGATAAAAGTAGATGAAAGAATCAAAACTTGATACTAATACTATTAACACATTTCGATTTGAAATTTGTTAACCCAAAAGTACGTGAGACGGTGAGAGTTACATTAATGAAATTATCCCTAACTCTTTCTTTCTTTTCATGATAACCTGTTCGCTGTTCACACTATCCATAATCATATACTTTTTCCTTATATTAATAAATATCATTGTAACATTTTCACTCAAATTAAGAAGTTTAAAACAAACAGATTCTTGTTTTCTTACTAGTTTCAACTTTTTGAAAAGATATACTTTATAATGAAATTCATAACAAAATATATATGTAAACAAAAAAAAATAATTTAAAATATCATTACTGTATAATATCAAAAATTTAAAATGCTTACGCGGCGTAATAAGGAGAGGGAACAAGAAACACATCGCCAGGATCGGCGAGACAGAACATGATTGTTTCATTGGCTCCGGTGGCACCACCGCTCATAACAATCCTCTCGGGATCAAACGTCACTCTTCCGCCTCTTGCTTTTCCCATGAAATGTGCAATTGCCTTTGGTTTTTTGAAAAAGAGTTTACATATAATTAATATATATTTTGATGACAATAAAGTTAAAATATATCAACCAAACTTAGTAAAACTAAATTTATCTGTCTTAAGCATTCCATAACTACTAATGTTTTAGATGCTAATAATGTGTACTATATAGATATGTGCCCACGGGTTAAAGTGATTTGCACGGACCTTATAGACTAAAACTGTAACAAGATTCAACTTTTAATCAAAGCGAAGAGAAAATAGACCGATGAAGTTTTATTTTGTTGATATCTCTAAACAAACAATGGCTAACACCAAATAAAAGCGACAAAACCTTTTACGTTGTTTCCTTAGAAACTGAATAAACTCGAACCAATCACATGGTTATATATATATCCAATGATATACCTAATTACAAGATAACAGGAATGGAATAATTAACTATATATACCTGTCTAAACTCTTTTAGGCCATGGTAGTCTTGGAAAATAGCGATGTCGCTAAACTGATGAACACCCTCAGGGGTGCAAATAGAAACTTTTGGGTTCTCTTTGATCCAATCTTTGATCAATTCTACGCAAAGCTGTAGATATGTATAGAACATGCAAACATATGTTAATTAAATGATGTATACAATGTGTCGACAAAAAAAATGATGTATACAATGTAATACTTTAATGGTTTATTTCAAGTATATAATATACCTGATTCTCTGCAAGACCCATTTGGATAATCCCATGGGGATTACGAGAATGATGAAAAGGATCTTTGTCGTAAGCTTTCCATCCATCAAAATACTCTGAGTTTTCGCCGTGTTGATTACTGGTCGCTATCCTCGACAGAATCGCACCGCCATTCTTTTTCAGAGAACCCATTTTGTTGTTTTAGTTCCCACTTCTTTGTTGTTGTTTTTTTTTTGGGGATATCAGTATTTGATTTTATAACAGCTTTTGTGGTGTTTGTACTAATTAATGCATGATTATGTGGTTTATATAGGAGGTGAAACCTTCAAAAAAGAGACCAAAGAAAGTTGATGTGAGGTCCCCCTCCCGTCTCCCCCCACCAAAAAAAATAATAATCGGATTTGATGATATATAAGCGAAAAAAGAATAAGTAAATTAAAGAAGGTTCTCCACCCAAAACAATACCCACGCTAATTTATATTTTGGAAATGTAATTTTTTTACGATGAACTAAAGTGGTTGTGTTCAGAATTCAACCACTTTAGTAATTTTGATAGCATCAATATAGAAAATGGTAGTATGTCAATATAGTTCCGTTGGTATTATTAAATTGGAAAAGTATTCCATTGGGAATTAGTGGTGGAAGTTATGTATATTGAATTGAACCCAAGCCCAAGGGGATATTTCTAAGCAGCTTCTTAAGGAAAATGTTGACGACATTGAACTAAAAACTCAGGCAACGAAAGTAAAGGAGAATTGTGTGGATCGAAGAAGAATATTTGATAGCACAATAAATAGAAGAAAACTATGAATGAAAAAATGCCTTAGATTATTCAAAAGTAGAGAACAATTTGTAGCATTCTAAATTAGTGTAATAAACATTTGGTATGTACGTAATACGCACACATGTAGATACGTCGACCATATAATCTCCAAATTTTGACTGATCGACCTACGCAAGGATAGACTCGTGGCACCACTTTCGCAGCAGTCTGCTTCATCCGATAGTTTTAAAACATTGATAATTACTACTAAATATTCATTTGACTGTTGTGGAATCTAATTTCAAAATTTTCGTTGATGAGAAAATAAATTTAAGTTATTTATTATGAAAATTTCTCAGATTAACTAACCTTTAAGGTTGATGTATTGACAAACTTAGCCTAACATATTCATCACCTCACTAAACTAACCTTAGAAAGTTGGTGTTATACCATTTTGTCCAAATAATCAATATTATTACCAGATTGCCATTCTATTTAAAAAAAAAATTTGAAAATAGACATATTAATATACATCTATATACATAATAACATTTTCATATTAAATTATATACATACGTATATACACATATATAGATGAGAATTAATAATTAAAAAAGTAATTATACATACATTTCCCTAATTCTAAAAACAGAAATTACAACATAAAAAAAACCCTAATTCTGGCGGCTACAATAGAAGGAGAAGCTCGTTTTCTCGTTAATGGAGAAAACACACAGATCGAGCCACCGGAAAGTTTCGGTTTCAGAGAAGGAGCTAATCCAAGCCATCAAAAACAAACCTTTGGTGAGACTCGACCACACAGCGACGGAGCTTGACCGGAGAAGACCTAATTATTTCAATTCGAGCTCCGACGAGTCAATAGCCTCCTCGAGCCGTACACTTCAGCTAGCGACTCGACCTAGCTGCTTCTCTTCACCTTCCTCTGCAGAAATCGAGTCTTTAGAACCAAACCCTAGCCCAGAAGAAGAGGCTCTTCTCGTAAAGCTAAAAAGCAATCAAATTTCGGAGATCGAAGAAGCTTTGAACCTCTCGCTGGAGAAATCTAACAAAGTGAAGATCGTACGGTCAGGAATCGTTACGGTGAGTCGTTGCTTCACCTGATCCGATTCGGGACCGAGTTGACTCGGCATGACTCGGCTCTTGCTCTGTATCATCTCTCTCTTGTGCAGAGCAATAGAGGGAAGCAAGTTAAGCTCGGAGCTGTTCAGATGCTTCTAAACATGGCGAAATTAGGGAACACGACGACGAATCGGGTTTTGCTGATTCTCTGTAACATGGCGTCGTGTCGGGTTAGTCGACCTGCTCTGCTTGACTCGGGAGGTGTTGAATGTATGGTTGGGATTCTGAGAGGATCGAGAGAGGTTAGCGAGTCGACTCGGGAGAGCTGTGTTGCGGTTTTGTATGGACTGAGTCACGACGGAGGATTGTGGTTTTTTTCAGGTACGTTTGGTAGATATATTTGGAAATCGATATTGTAAAGTTCATAATATGTTATTGGAGATATATTTGAAAAACGATATGTAGTTTGGTAGATTATTAGTTATGTGATGGTAGATATATTTAGAAAACGAAATATAGTTTGGTAGATTTATTTGTTATTTGATGGTAAAATTATTTTTAAAACGATGTCGTTTTGTAGATTTATTGGTCATCTACTGATAGATTTATTTGTAAAACGATGTGGTTTAGTAGATTTATTAGTCATTGAATGGTAACTTATTTGAAAAATGATTTGTGTTTAGTAGATTTATTAGTTATTTATGGTAGATTTATCAGTCGTATATATTTGAATTTTATATACGAATGACAATATTTGTTTATTTTTTTCTGGGCTTTACCATGGTGAACAAATCTTTGATGGGATATCCAGCATCGATCCGACATGTTTTACTATGAATTATAGATTTGCATTTGGTAGATTTGTTTTGAAATAATTGTAGATTTATTATTAAATTGATGGTATATCTATATTTTGAATTTGTAAAAATGATAATTAGATTTTAAATGATAATATTGTTGTTTTCAAATTATATTTGTTGTAAAACATTGACCCAGACATTTTCACATTTTTACCACATTTGCGAGTAATGTTATTATTCAATTTAATTAATTTATTTACTTTCACTATGATGTATATCATAACTGAATAAAATTTTAATCAAAACACATGACTAAAATCGTTTAACATTGTGATGTTGTAAGAGTTTATGTAAATAGAGTTAAATATAACAAATATTCAAAAAATCATAAGTTAAGAGATGGTTATTACAGATATGACATATATGTTCAAAGTTAATATTAAAAGCAAAGTTATCTTAGAGAAAAGATATATCATAGAAAAATATTCATGTTAGAAATTTTTGACCATTGATTATGGCAATTATATCGTAAAGACCAATAATCATCTGTGCTCGAATCACCGGTAACCGACATAATCTTAGCAAAACATACAAAGAAAACGTCAATGGTAATAAAACCAACTCAAATATAACCATGGAACAAGTCTACCATATGTACGAAACTTGTTTAACATAAGACACTTCAAAACAAGTCTACCACACCTCTGGTTTTTTCGTAGATAGAACAAGTCTTTCAGGACAAAAAAGTAATTTCACTCCATAAAGTCAAATGTCTGCCAAACGTTAACTACTAGATCTACCTCAAGCATGAAAAATAACTCTACCATATAAACAAGTCTACCATAAGCATGTCATATGTCTACCAGATCAAGGTTATCTTTGTAAATACCAAACTTAATTAATCTACCACATTATTATTTTAAGAAGTCTACCATACGTTCGATAACTCTACCAGATTACATAAACTCTACCAAACATTCAAACAAATCTACCAACATTTCGTAAGTCTACTTCATGTAATTATTAATCTACCACAAACCACAATGAAATTTATTTTAAATTTAAGTCTACCACAAAACAAACATATCTACCACAAAACAAATAAATCTACCAAAAGTTTTTAAGTCTACCTCATGTAACATATAATCTACCACTAACCGGAATGAATTTTAACTGAATTAAATCTACCACAAGTCAAACATATCTACCACAAAAGCGAAAACTCTACCAACTATATATAACTCTACCATAAAACAGATAAGTCTACTGCACGTATTGACAACTTTTTTCACATAAATCTACCGCTAAAGGAAATAAGTCTACCAACGCAGAAAATAAATCTACTTCATTGTCAATAAATCTACCGAAAAAGTCAACTACGCGAGCAAGTCAACGCTTTCTTTAACAAGTCTACCAACACCTTTGACAATCTACCATTCATAACAAAAAATCTACCGAAACATAATAAATCTACCTCTCATCGTCAAAACTCTACCAAGATAAGTCTACCAACATTTAAAAACTCTACCAACTCTCGAATAAATCTACCATCGACCTAATAACTCTACCAACAAAATTTCTGCGTTGACTAAAATTTTATAAGTCTACCGTCAAAGCTTGGTAGACTTATGAAATTTTTAGCGCCATAATCTGCCTATGTGGCATTAAAAAAATAATGGCATTTTCGTAATTAGGTTTTTTTCAACAAAGGCGAAAATGATGTTTTAGGTATGCTAGGTTAGTTTTGTAAAAAAAATAAAAGTGCGTCGAACAAGTAATATAGATAGTTTCTAAGGTTAGTGTAGTAATCCTTCCTTATTTATTTCTCTAACTGTGATTGAAGAGTTGTAAAAAATGTGTTTACCCATTTGAAATATATTTTTAACTGTGTGTATTCTCAAATTTCATATTTATGATACTGTATTGATATTGGGGCTTGTACTTACTGTATGAGGGATAATGATAGTTGTGCTATATGATGATTATAAGAATTGGTGGGTTTGGAGTTTGAACCCTTTAGTCGAATCCAACACATGCACTATGTGATTTTACTTGCACTTCACGCCGCAAGTTTCGCGCTACGGCCACGTGTTAGCAGACCCTCGTAGTAATTTCGAAGTCCAACTCCTTTCCTTTTTTAATCGGTTTCTTTAAAACTAAATTTATTTTTCAACCTCGGTTTATTGATGTCTTGGACTAGGGCTGGGCGTTCGGTTAACCGATCAGTTTCGGGTCGGGTTATTCGGTTTTTTGGATTTTCGGGTTTAGATTTTGAAAACCATTCGGGTATTTGAAAGATTTCAGTTCGGTTCGGTTCGGGGTTTGTCGGATTCGGGTCGGTTTGGATAATAATTTTGGAAACCAAAAATAAACCGAAAAAATTCGGTTTCGGTTTAATCGGTTTAAACCGAAAATAAACCGAAAATAAACCTGAAAAATCCGAAAAAAACCGAATTATTACAAAGAGAAACCAAAACATGTTTTAACAAAATCATAACTTCAAAGTCTTCAATTTAGAACTTGAGTGACAATCTCCCAAAATATCCATAGTACGTTCAAATTTTTAAAAATGAAAGCTTGAGAGAATATCGGGAAAGAGAATATCTGAAATTCTGAATCATCGGGTTTAAATTATGTTTTCGATCTCAAATTTTGAAGAATGGAATTTCGGTTTAATTTCGGATTTTGTTCAGTTTTTGAATTTAATCCGAACCGAACCGAAAACTGAAAGATATCAAAACTAAAATCCATTCGGTTATTTCACCTAAACCGAACCCGATCCGAACCTGAATTTTCGGTTCGGTTTCGGATAAAAAATTCGGTTACAGGTTATGTGCCCAGCCCTATCTTGGACTAAGATAGTATTAAAATCTGATTTTGGCTCTACTTATATTTAATGCCAAGTAATAATTTAATTATAAAGTCTTAAAACATTCTTTAAGCACGCATTGCTGGAAAAACTTATTACAGGGGACATGAAATCTCAATAATATAAACCAAAGATATCAACTTTTCTAGTTGGGATATTTTTTTGGGTCAATATATGGAGTTGTTACATCACTTTTCAAACGAAAACCAGGATCCCATTGTTTTTAGGGATCACGCGAATACCTTGTGGAAATAATCAAGATCGTCAAAAATCAATTGATATTTTATTGAAATGTGAAATTCTTAACTTGCGAATATATTAGCTATCTAAGAAGACTTTTTTAGATACATTGAAAAAATACATAAAAGGGTTTGAAGACATTTTTTCATGATAAATAAATGTCATTTTTTTCTTGATAAATAATTGTAAGAAATATCGAATAACTTGCTTAAAGAAATCATTATTAAATGTGAAAAAATAGGAAAACAATAATGTATACTAAAAACACGGCAATCGATCGTATTTTTCTACTAATATGCCCGACAACTACCGACACTAACATATATTGCTTTCAGCAGTTTTGATTTGGTAATAGATCATGCACACGTAGACGTGTAAAAATGATATTCTTTCTTAGCATGCCAAAATTAATAATAATATCTTTACCTAAAAAGTAATAATAATAATAATAATAATAATGACTAATTTATAATTTACAAAACAAAAAGTTACATATTTTGTATATATATATTTGTTAAGAAAATTAGTTATACTGTATAATCTGGTATGCGTAACTGAAATTGTGAAAGCCAATAGTTAATTGTCTAGTGTAAAACATGATTTAATTTGTGCGGATTTTTAGTGATAAACCTTTTTGTCACAACAAAAGTCAAGTATTCTTCGAATGGTCATTAAGTCAAATTAATTCACAAACATGCGAGGCAGAGGTTTGACTTGTCCACATAGATGCTGACTCAGCGTTTTCATTCCGCAGCTGTCGACTAATTGGACACGCTTCTACATTCTCATTCCACTAATCACCGTTAATCACGCATCGACACGTATCACGCTCGGGCTCAAAGTCAAAGCAGTGAATCATATCAGAGCTAACGGATAATAGTTGACATCACCACTCAAAATTATTTGAGCCTACTATGAATGTTCAATTCTAAAATTTTGCTGGGCTTAGGCCCATTATTTGGAACTATATTTGTCCGATTCTTTGAATTTCGAACCCAAGAGCCGGAGACCAATAAAAATTAAGGAAAATTAATACAAATCACTTTGTTTCTAATGATAAAAACATATCCCATTTTGGGTTTAGTATAGGATTTTCAATAAATTTTTTTTTTGAAAAAAAAGAAGATAAAAACAGAGATAAGTATGATCTCAACTAGGTTTAGAACAGAATATGGTTAAATCTCTTTGTATTTTTTTTTTAATAACAGGGTTTTCTTTTCTTTTGTTTCTGAGTTGATCTAAAAATCTCAATAGTTGTAAATGGTAGACATGGTTTCATAAATAAGCGATATAACTTTTCTTTTTCTTTTTCCCGGATGACTGTCTCGATAGTTGTAAATGAGTTTAACAATGAGTTTAACAACCATATCTTGAACGACAAATCTTGGAAAAGACACGTGTCACAAACCCATTGTGTATATTGTGTACCGCGATGCAGGAGAATTATACTTACAGTCCACCGACGTGCATATGAGCGGACATGGTCCAGTAATCAATTGTGCATCTGATTCGTTACGCTAATACTTTCCTACTCTTTGTAGGTAAAAAGAAAAGAAAAAAAAATTGTAATATAAATATCATGACTATATCAATAATACAACGATATATTCAGTTTAGTTATTTTAACATAACTTTTTCTCCAGTAGAAGTCATATTATTTTTTTCCGAGTTAGCTTAATCGAAATAAATCACTTTATTTTGAAAAAATTAATTGATTGATAAGAGTATGCTTTTTTTTTCTTCTCCATGTATATCTGCGATTTAAAATGTCTGTACCATGTGATTTCAAAATTTTAAATATATGTAGCATGAAGTTCCAAAAAGTAGACAAAAGTAAAAATCTGTAAACTATGAATATCTAAAACGTATGTCGGCCTAGCAAACAAAATATCTGTTCTATTATCTATTTTTTAGTTTTTTTTAGTATCGAATCAAAAATAATAATAAGTATTGTCAGTGTAACGAAAACGATCAAGGAGAAGACACGTATAACCCAGCGATCGAAAGGCCTCACACGTATACAAACCATTATAAAATGTAATGCATTCATATGGAGTATGGACGGACTTAAGAAAACCTCGTGATCCCGTCCATTTATATATACTCCAAGAATTCATATTAATTATACCACGCAAAGATTAAAACACCGATTCCGAAACAGAAAGAAAGAAAAAAAAGAAGAAGATTTAACAAGAAGGATCAATAATTCAATATGGCGAGTCTCATGGACAAAGCCAAGGGGTTCGTGGCTGATAAACTTGCCGGGGTCGCTAAACCGGAGGGTTCGGTTACGGATGTTGACCTTAAAGACGTGAACCGTGACTCCGTCGAATACTTAGCCAAAGTTTCAGTCACCAATCCTTACGATCATGCAATTCCGATCTGCGAGATCAATTTCACTTTTCACAGCGCCGGCCGGTAAAACCCTTGCTCCCTAGCTCTCCTTTGGTTCTGTTCTTTGGTTTGGTTCGGTTCCATTTAGATATTTAGTTTATTGGTTCTTTTGGAATTCATGGACGATGAAAACCAATATCTTTCATACAAAACTAAATTTTTTAAAAAAATATTTGATAAACTTCAAAACCGAGTAATTAATCTGACGATTTTAATAATGATATGAAATTGATAGGGAAATCGGAAAGGGGAAAATGCCGGACCCGGGTTCGTTGAAAGCAAAGGACATGACGGTTCTTGATATTCCTGTGGTGGTGCCGTACAATATACTGTTCAACTTGGCTCGAGACGTTGGTGTGGACTGGGACATTGACTATTTGCTCGAAATCGGCCTCACCGTTGATCTTCCTATTATCGGGAACATTACCATCCCTATTACCAGCAAGGGCGAAATCAAACTCCCTACTTTTAAAGATTTCTTCTGATCTACTTAACCTATAATACCAATATCGTTTGTAAAATTTTAAAAGACAAAAAACATCGTTTGTAATGGTGATGTTGATCATGTAATATTAATAATGTGGGTTTTGCCTAAATAATCATCAATAAATGTTATTTCGTTGTATCAACACGTGATCAAAAGAAATATTGGTGGATTCAAACTCGTTCATTTGTTTTTTCGTATTTTTTCCTGGTATGGTAATTTGTATAAGACCATCTCCAACTACTATTCATCTAAACACCAGTGAACACCAGTGTTGTAAATAGGGCAATTCATCTAAACACCAGTGTTGTGAATAGTGGCAAATTTGGTGTTTGAGTAAACAGTGTTTTTTTTTCATCTCCAACCACAATACTAAATTTCACACTAAAAAAAATAATTTTATTATTAAATTTAAAATTCTTTTTATCTTTTAATGTTTTGATAAATATTAATATATGCTTAACGAAACCAGAAATAGTAATTTTCCTGAATATTAAAATATTGTTTAAATTTATATTATGTTTTTAAAATTTATCTTGGTTTATTTAAATTTTATGTTTGTTTGATTTTATTTTGTAATTTCATGTTTTTAGTATTTTTTTAATTGAACTTTATTTAATCTTAATGATAATGTGTATTAATTTAAATATTTTATATATTTATATTAATCACAACTAAAACTCATATTAATTATACTTAAAAATTATATTATTATAAATTATATGATAAAAATACAATTTGATATATTAATTCTAGTTATGAAATTTAATTAATTAATGAATAATATAATATTAATATTATATTAAAAGTAACAATAAAATATTATTATAATTTTTAAAGTTTTGTGAATAGTGCAACACCAAATTTGGAGTTGCACTATTCACAAAACTCTAAAAATCAAAATTTGGAGTTGCATTTGGAGTCCCATTGGAGAAAGAAAAATTCTATATTTGGTGGGATGGAGTCCCATTGGAGAAGCTCTAAACACTAACAACCAAATACATGGCAGATCTTATTCAATTTGGTGTGGTCAAGTTATATTCTCATATAATAACCAAAATGGTCTGTTCTGTTCCGTTTACTTCATAATTGTTCAGTTCTTTCTGGTTGACCGAATTTAATTCATTTTTTTATGTGGTCTGTTTGGTTTGGTTATTCGGATTTAATTCTTGAAATGCTGGTCTCATTCATGACTAGAAAATGCCAAGCATCTTTTGCAAGATTTTCGAATATGTAGTTGATAAAATAATAGATATCCTATCCGAAATCATCGCTGCCAGAAAAGGGGTTTGTAGTTTTTTTTTTCTTTTTACTATTTATGGATTTTATTAATAATTAAACCTTGAGTCGCATAAAATCGGAACGGATAAAATCTTTCTGGAGATTAAAACGATGAGTCTATAGAACTTTCAGAGACTAAAGCTCTAGAATAAGAAGTTAACCAAACTTGATAACACACATAACATAATGACCAAATATTAAGCTAAACTAGGAAAACGCAACTATCCAATTTAAAAAACAGAGGAACAATAGAAAAGGACAAATGAACCATAAACATCAAATTTTGGATCCAACAGATCAACTTTGATGAATATGGTTCATTGCAATGACCGATGTGGAATCTTATAACATGTACATCTTTGGACGCCTGATCTGTCACATCTTCGGCTTGGATATTATCCTAATTCACGTCCTCTATCTCTCCATGTTTGGCTCTATGGTTCGGTATACCTTAATCGTTATGGTTCGCTGTCGCTTTCATTGTCCCTCTTTATCTATCTTTAAGTATTTGAAGAGTTACAAGACCACACTAGGGAGTTTATGAATCAACCACAAGTGACACTTGTTAATGTTAAGTTTTCTTTCTCTAATTTCTGTATATCATGAATATGATGATGGGTTGTCTTCAGAAAAAACAAAGCGGACCACCTCACAGAGATCTTCTTATTTTCCTTTTTTTAAATATCAAATAAACTTCATTAAGGGATAGCCAAGAGCCACATCAGAGATTATCAAATATGATGATGGGTTTGTATAGCCGCCATGATTGCACCTATCAAGAGATTATTTGCAGATTTATGACATGGTGAATTTTGTGAATAAACCTCATATTAGCCTCTCATATCGTTAATAAAAATCACAATATATTTCCTAGAAGATCCATAGAGAGAAAATACAGCGTTGGTAAATGCACACACTAATTCAATATGAATCAAAGAAAACGAAGATTTTCAATAACTTTTTTTCTTTCGTCCTATTTTCCAAACAAAACATGACCAAATCGGTGGCGCGCGGGTGATGAGTGGCGGATGAAGAGTAGCGGCAGGGAGTGTACTGGCAGGACGAGGAGCTTCCCGGCGACGAGGAACTTCACATGAACGGGGTACTTCACGGCGACAAGGAACTCTTGGACGAGAACTTTGAGGAAGCTCTCCCTTGCGAGGAAGTTCTCCTCGACGAGGAAGTTCGCCCTGAGGAAGTTCTCCCTGACGAGGAAGTTCTCCTCGACGAGGAAGTTCTCCTCGACGAGGAAGTTCTCCTCGACGAGGAAGTTCTCCTTGACGAGGAAGTTCTCCTCGAGGAAGTTCTCCTCGACGAGGAAGTTCTCCTCGACGAGGAAGTTCTCCACGACGAGGAAGTTCTCCACGAGGAAGTTCTCCCCGACGAGGAAGTTCTCCCCGACGAGGAAGTTCTCCACGAGGAAGTTCTCCCCGATGAGGAAGTTCTCCCAGACAAACAACTTCTCCGCGACGAGAGAGCGAACCGGTGGGAGGGAGAGAACGGGTGCGAGAATTAGTGGAAAAAAAACCCATTGGAGTGATATATGAGAGGAGTATAACGTTTACTTTGAATTTGTAGATTTAAGAGCAAATAGATCACAGAAGATTAGATATCTAATTTAAGTAGATAAGTGCTTCTATTATATAGCGAGTAAAAACATCTATTTCAAAAAGGAAAAGGTTTATAATTTGAATAAAAGTAGGAGCTAGGTGAATTAACTTAATTACATGAAGTCGATTTTCTCTGCAATATACAAAATATTAATATTATATTTGAACATGCTTTTGACATTTTTTTAAAAACATGCTTTTAACAAATTTTTGGATAGTGGTTAACAAGATAAATATATTAGGTTAAATGCATAGTATATGTGAGCGGATATTTATAGGATAGTTTAATTCAATAAGCAGTGTCCCTTTGCTTTTGTAACACACACATTTTACAAAGATTTGATTTTTTTTTTAAATATATTTTTTTTCCTATTCTTTGAAAAGGAATATTTCTTATTCTTTGAAGAAGAATAATTCTTATTCTTATTAGGATGGGTATAACCTAATCGAAAGCTTTGTTTTCTTATAAATATAGGCTTCTAGTGTTTGTAAAGAGAAACCTATCTTTGACTTGAATTAATAAAGATTTTTTTTTTCAATAAAAAATATGAGCGTTTGCAAGAATAGTATTCTTGAAATTCAACCCTAGCTTTGCTCTATAGGTGTTACGTTTAAAAAAACAAGAAGACAAAATCAAAAACCTATTGGAATTTGATTTTGGTGTGTGTATATAATTAATATAGCATTGTGTGTGAATCGCAAATAATCGTTAGCAAGAAGAGATCGAAGCCCAAAAATAAAATAAAAGAAGCCATGGTGGCCGGTTCTGTTACCGTAGAGTCTCGGTGTTCTAACTGGTGGTAAGTGACTTGATCTATACAATCAAATGGTTTTTTAGATTTTTGGATTTCACTAATATATTATATATAGGCTCTAATTGTAATATCTTTAATTTGGTACATGATGATGAAACAAACAGGATTATATATTACGATTTCTACATGAACTTTTCCATCATAGTCTTTGGTCTTGCATCGTTTTGGTACCTACGACACAACAATATCCACATCGCTCCAGGTGATGAACCTTACATATATCTGTGGCCTATCTACATCCTCGCATGCATTGCGGATTTGGTTGTGTGGATCGTCGTCGTCGTGAACATCCCTTCAGAAGATGAGCGTGCCGAATGCATGAAACGGAATTTTGTGGGACGTCTAAGTCACATCATCGGCGTCACGATACTCATCCTTCTTCTCCGTGCTATTTCTCCTATATTTGCTCTATGTTTTGGATTACCCTTTTCCCTGTGGCTCCTAATCGCCTTTCTCTATTCTCTTTGCATATGCGCATACTGAGAAAATGTGGATGAGGAACAACTTCAACGAATATACGCACAATTTATATGTTTTTACGAGCCTTGACTAGTCGTAGCTAGAATTAAGATTGTGCATATAAATTGTGTTTAGAGCTGTTACTTTTATTCGTTTCATATGTTTTTGCCTAATACATAACGATTTTAATATATCTCGGAATTTGTGTCTGGCTGAGACTTAATTAGATCGGTTTGACTGACGTGAATTTATATGAAACCAAAATAAAGAAGAAGTCCAACTTACCTGAAGATCCAAATCCTTAAAGAATTTTATAGGCTAAGATTCCTTACTCTCCAACAGCCAAATCATGTTCCGGTAACAATTTCTCACAGGATAAAGATTATGACATTGCCTTCCTAAGTTGTCTTGGACTTTATATAATGACTTTGCTGGGCTTTTTTTAAACAAAGAAAACCCTCAACTTCTCACAGTTTTACGAATAAAATAAAAGTTCAGAGCAATAAGTGGATATAATTCTTCTCACAACAATAATCTTCCCATTGGTCGAAGAAGACTGTTTGCGCAGATGAACATCTTCATTGCAGTTTACATGCTATATATACTTGGTATTTTTCTTATCATGGTCCTTATATAATCAGTTCATATTCTAGATCTGACATGGCATGATCGTGAACTTAGCCGGTGTCACCGCTGCAGAATATGCATCTCCATTTGTTGCACTTGGGAATTTGGTTGCTAATGCATATGGAAACTTAGGTTACAGTTGCTGAGTTTGAAATCGTGAGAAAGGTTTGTACCTGGTTTGATATTTATCTCTCTACTGTTACCCTATTGTTCCACTATTTTGTTTATATTTGCGCATTTTGAAATTTGGAAGGTGATAACTTGTATACTGTAACATGGCTTTTTTTTTTTTATTGAGGGTCAATAATGTAACAAGACTTGGAAGGAAATTCAGAGCTCTTTCTTTAAGATAAATATAACTTAGAATATATAAATAAAATTTAGAACATAATAAAACGTCCTTACAAACACTTAATAGTACAATCATAGAAAGACACCAAGAGCTAAAGAAACAGGAAAATACAACAAAATGTCTACTACACATAAGTTGATAAAAACTAATCAAACTAAATCATGATAAGTAATGAAGAGTTTCTCCTAGAAAGGGATGGGTTGTTCTCTACCGATGAAGTACACATTTTGATTGATAATCAAATATACATACCTTACTAGAGTGACCAAACCAAACCAAATTAGCATATAAATCGTGTATGTTTCGTCTGAGAAACTAGCACTCATGAAGGTTAATGCAAGAAAACCTATGATAATGTTTACTTCGTCGTATATCAAACGAATGACACACCAAAACCTAGTTGCCCTAGGAAATGCATAGTACATGAAGAACCCAGATATATAAGGCACAGCAACGAACTTGTAAAGCTTAACCATCTGTCGGTAGCGATCAATATCTTTTTGTGACACCTTAGAACCGGCTGCGGTTGCCTTTGTTACTCCTGCCGTCAAAAAGACCCCAGCAATTGCAGTAATGGAAATGAGTGTGGCATGGACAGTGAGTGAATACACAGTCCTATATATCAAAGATAGAAACTTTGTAAATTTTTACGCATGTACAAAAAGAGCATAACTATAGAAAGTAAGTATAACTGATGCAGCTATGAATTTCATGTACCCATAGACTATACTAAACGCCTACATAATAGGCACAGTAGAACCTCATGGATAGATTAATAAGAAATAGAGACAAAGCAAGAAGGCAAGTATAAGGGAAAAAAAAAAAAAACTATCACAGAATCGCTGCGCTTAATCACGCGAAATGTTAACTCAACTTTCTCTGATTCTAAATGTAAATTAGTTGGTGAGAAATATAAAAGTCCAACTTCGTTATAACGTGTCGATAAATTAGTTGGTGAGAAATAATGTTCACCTATAGGGGATTTCAGGGACTGTGGGAGCAACTGGATTTTGGTTAAGAGGTGGAATGAAAATTTGATAAACGCCTTGAGCATCGTTTGGTGGAACTGTGCCAGGACCGGGAAGATCGCCGGGACCAGGAAGATCGCCGGGACCGGGAAGATCGCCGGGACGAGGAAGTTCGCCGGGACCAGGAAGATCGCCGGGACCGGGAAGATCGCCGTGACCGGGAAGTTCGCCGGGACCAGGAAGTTCGCCGGGACCAGGAAGTTCGCCGGTACCAGGAGGTTCGCCGGGGCCAGGAGGTTCGCCGGGACCAGGAGGTTCGCCGGGGCCAGGAGGTTCGCCGGGGCCAGGAGGTTCGCCGGGACCAGGAGGTTCGCCGGGACCAGGAGGTACGCCGGGACCAGGCAAAGATAGAGAACCCATTTGGAAGTGAGATGAGAGGGCAGCCGAAAGCAGTTTCTGTTGTGAGTGAAATAATAAGGCAGCCGAAAGCAGTTTTGTTTTCTCGTTTGTGTATACTAAACCCTAATTGATTTTTTGAGAGCCTTTCCTTCTTTTTTTTTTTTTGCCGGCACCAGTGGTGCCCTACTTTAACGTATATTTATGTGTGTATAACACAGTTAACACTTCAAACTGTGTTTTAGAAATATCATAGATACGTGATGATGACAAAAAAAAAAAAAATATCATAGATACGTGTGACTTGTATAACTAATATTTGATTTAAATCTGGCCGTGTTACCTTGATAAAACAAAAAGATGGTGGGCAAAATATTTAGGGCAATCTAATAGTGATAGATTACTGCAAATACTTTGATACTTGGTACGGCTGCAATTATATCGAAAATCTTCATCATTGTTGAGAGATTCTAGATTATACCGAGCATATGAATTAATGTTGGTACTCATATACGTTTACCGTTAGTATAATGACGGACCCTTCCAAGTGTTCAAATCCACCATTTCTTACTACATCTTATATTCTTATCTCCGTAACTAGAAAAATTCATCCAGAAAAAATAATTTTTAATCTATAGATTTTTGTCAATTTTTTTTCTGTGATTCGCCATTAGACTGTTTATTGTTATAGACAGATAGAATCTTGGAAGTAAATGCAACATTAGTCATGGGTACTCAACATTTGTTGTGCCGTTTTTTGCTCAATTTCGGAATTTAATGTCGATCCGGATGGAATCAGCTTCGGAATATGTATTAATGGTATACAAGAACATGACGGATCTGAAACTCTCTTGCATAAAGTTATATCAAAATATCGGATAGCCTTGACAGACCAGCTCCCATGGAAAACTTACAAGAACATGTGTTTGTTTTTTTTTGTGTGTGTAAAACGTACAAGAACATTTTTCAGACAGCGTGAAAATTTTTGGGTTTAGAAAGGCATGGGATCAGACGAAAGGCTAAGAGTTTTCTATGAAGAGTGGCCCCATATTAACATTAACACTGGAACCGAAGCTTTGCAAATTGCAACTATTGACTAGCAATTTAATTAGCATTCACTTGGATATTCCCAAAAATGTCTACGAGTTTAATTCCAATGTACGTTTCTTCTTCATCCCAGTGATCAAATGACGAATAGATTCGTCCAGATTTTTAAACTGATTTTCCAAAAAGTTAAAATTTCACGTGTTTTTTTGCTGTAACTTGTTTTGTTTATCTTTCATAATCTGTAATCTGTAGAAGTCTCATCCCACTCTTATTTTGTCTTATGTTCCAAGCTTTGGGTCTTCTTTCTTGCTTCCTTTTTTTTTTTTTATCTCAACTTCTTTCTAATATATATAAATTCTCATTTTGGTTTGAAGGATCTGTTTTCTTTTTCCCCTTGAACTTTCCCGGTTCTGCTTGCTTTGAACATCGTTTAGATACGGAAATGTTTACGGCAAGTATGCAAGTCTTGGAATTGGAGACATATCAAAAGCATGTATGTAGGGCAGATATAGGGAGAAGCTTGCTTCATTGATGATAATGGTGTCAGAGTCAGACGTAGGTGCAAAAACGTTTACGGCAAATTTCTATCTCGACGATTTATTTTTCGACGTACTAATTGTTATTATTTTCAAAAAGAAATATGACGAGTATAGTAGGGCTCCTCAGTTCTACACTTCCGTTTATTGGTTTGAATCTAATAAAATATTTAAATCTAAAGAAAACATATTTTTCAGGCAGCTTCAGTCCAAAGTTCAAAAATCTCCGTTTATTGTTTTTGTTTTGACATCAACACTATTAACTCTCTCATATGTAATCTCCACAATATTATTTACTGATGAAAGCTATTTATTAATTTAAAATATGTTGAAGTGTGATCAAGGTAATCAAAACTGTGGAGAAACAAAGAGTAAGACGACTAAATTAGTTAAGTTGGAGATGATTTTTAATTTTGTTGGGGAAAATACTTATATAATGCATAATAAGAGACCGCATAATAATTGCTGTGTTTCTTTTACAAAAAAAAAAAACAAAATAAATACTACTATAGTAAGCGTTGTTTTTAATCCTTATAAGACTTTGACGAACAAATTAATTAACTTAGGTTTTTTTTTGTTTTCAAAGAAGAGTTCATCATCAAAGAGTGTGTTTGTCCAAATTGATGCTAATACAAAAAGCTATAAACCATATATTAAAAGTGGTTCTCCATTCCAAATAGTGTTATAGCTTTATATTGGCTACAGCTATTCGACGGGACTAATCATAAAAGCTTAGGTTAGTCTCATCTATCTAGACACTCAACAATCATTCTTCGCTTTTTGATGTAAGTAATTAAATATCATCTTAATTAAATCTAATTAGACATTTTTTATACACTAATACTTAACAATAATAATATATTATTTTTTTTATGAATTTTGATTTAATTTGTTTGGTATCTGGTAATTAAAACATACTTCAGTTAATTGGTATTTAATCCACACTTGGTTCATTTGTGGGTGAAAGGCATTAAGTGCTCGTTCATTGCAAATTAAATTATAAAAACTAGGGAAGATTAAAGTTTGCGGATAGAAAAAAATCACAATTTGGTTTAAACTTTCAGAAGAAAAACAAATCCTTATTGAAAACCATATCATAACATGTCTAAACGAAGTCAACATGATAAAGCCTAAAGTTGGCGAAGTCATTATGCATCAGGGAGCTCATCTTTCCCCAACGTAGCCGCTCCATATTGTGTAGTCCGCAACATATCGATCACCTCTGGTGTTGCTCCGGTCAGTGCCGAAGACATCTTGGGAGCTACAAGTAACCATCAACACTCAAAAAGCTTACTCTACATAAATAAACCAAGTAAAAATAAGAACTAGAAAAGATTTGTATACCTGCATTTGTCAAGTTGATGGTACGTTTGGTAGACTCTTCCGGAGAGATATCGACAATGAGTGTTTTGAATTTGCCATATCCATAATCATCAGAGATTTTCTGAAATGAAGTACATAAAAAAGGGGTTAGAAAAATATCAAGCGGGGATTCATTCATCTGCAATTACAAAGGTACCTCACTGAGCTTATCGTTAACCGTAACAACGAAGTCATCCTTCTTCTCAAAGAGCTCATCAAAGGTGGTGTGGGAGATGGTGGTTTTGATAACTAAAAAATGAAATCATGCATGCGTTAGATTTAGACATATACATATATATTCAAAGTATATCACAAAATGATAAATGTGCGCTCATTTACTATCAAATGCATAGTCCTTAATTAAGCTCCTTGAATCAGTGTGGACATAGAATGCCTTCTTTGGGTTATTTCCATTTTCACCATCCAATACTTGAAAATGAATTGCTGCCACGAGAATCACGAAAACATTATCCTGGAAAAATGATAAAGATCATTATTCAAATATTTTGATAGATCTAAAAAAAAAAACTTGAAACAAGCAGAATATTACTTTGGTCTTGTGATGACAAGAAACACAGATTTGCTGGATTTTCATGGAAACGGTACCAACGACACAATGACAGCAAAACCAGGGTACACAATGGTATCCTGGTTTAAGCTCTTTCTTAAACTTTCCGTTTTTTTCTTTGATTGCACAACTGTATTCCTCCACATGGAAACAACCAAAAAAATTTCCCATCTGCACATATATCCAAATATTATATTAACAAACCAAAAAAATTCCAAAAACAATAATAACAAATTCAACTTCCAAGAACATGATTTCAATTAGACAGACAAATTCATATTTATTCAGCAATATTTAGTAAATTTTCCACCTCAAACAAACCCAAACTTTTCATAACTTTTCGTAAAGCAAGCAAATTTACTTTTATAGAAACCCTAATTAAAAAACGATTTCTTTACTTTTATGGAAACCCTAATTATAAACCCACATGAGTTTCCCAAGTTTCCAGAACTTACCTGAACTCAAGACACGCGAAATCCCGGCGGCGGAATATAGCGAAAAACAAAATTTTCCGGCAGCGAAAATGTAGGAGGAAAAGATCTGATTTTTTTTTTGGTAAACCCTAAATTTTTAGAAAAAAATGATTTTGGGCTTAATTACTCAAACAGGCCTGGGCCTCCAATGCGAAAATATCAAAATGAGGCCCAGATGCGAAAATATCAAAATAAGGCCCTGATGGAAAAATATCAAAATGCAAAAATATCAAAATGAGGTCCAGATATAAACAAAGTTATTACAAGCGGCAATAATATTGAAAAATAGACCGTAAAAGCTCCAAAGCTTGACCACCGAATTCGAAAAGAATGATAAATTTCAAGCAATGCGAAAAACATGTCAAGTAATTGATACTCGACACTTATTTTGAAAACCGAAGCACTGAAAATAGAGAAAGAGGTTCCGTCATTAAGACGAAGGAGACTGAGATATCCAATGAAATTTTTTGAAATAACATCGCATCTGATGGGATTTTAACAACCCAACCTAAACCACAAACATAAAGGTAACAATTAGTTGACCAAATAATAACCGAATACATTCGGTAAGCCTCAAAACAAGGAAGAGAGATCAAATTCACTTGCTGCAACATGTCTCGTATGGGATCTTCCAGTTTTGATATCTAAATCTATTACCAATAAAAGTTAAAGTTATATGCCTTCAAGAATATCCACATGATTTAAAAGTTCAATTTTATTGGTTCACATCAACTTTTAAAATAAAAAAATTTTCCAAATTTTAAAATTATATTGTTAACAAAAAAATAATATTTATAGAAAAATAAAAGTTGAAGTTACATGCCTCTAAACACATCCACATAAGATTTAAAAGGTCAATTTTATTAGTCCACATTAATAACTGAAATTAAAAAATTTCTAAATTATAAAATTACATTGTTAATACAAAACAATATAGAAAAAAATGTTAATTAATATTATTAAATTATTAATAACAGTTAAAACTATATAATTTTCAAAGCATTCACATCAGTATTTAAAATTTTAATTTTATTCGTATATATCAACATTTTAAATTAAAAAAAATTTCCTAATCTATTATTATGGTTAAAAAAATAAATTAAAAATAAAGAAATCTCTATTAACAACAAAAAAACCAACATGATATTAAAATTTATCACTGTTTAGGTTACAAATTTAATTTGTTATCTATCAAAAAATATATGCTACTTATACAAGTTTAAGATACGTGATTTTAAAACTTTTCATGTAGAATATTAAATAAATAATAATTATGATTTATATTCATCTAAATTTTTATCACATATACAAAATATATTTCTACATAATTTTATGTAATATATTATGCAAAAATGATCAAAAAAATTATATTTTGTATACTCGACTTGGAATTGCAATAGTTTAATGTATAAATTCTTAGTTTTGAGTTATACCGGTTTTGCCTACTTCATTATAAATTCTCAATTTGTTATTTATTTTTTCTAAATTTGTATGTATTAAATTGTACAAGTTTGCCTACTTCATTATAATAAGAAGAAATAAGAATGAATATGGTGAAACTGAATATATTCATACAAAAAAATCATTAAAATAAATAAATATGATATATTCATTAAAATACATATATAACAAGAATAAAAATGAACATGATAAAACAAATATTTCATTCTTATTAGAAGAGATGACGTATAAACATTGAAAACTTATTTAAAAGTTTAGAAAACGAGTTGACAGAAATATATTTAATTCACAAATTTTGTGTAATTTTGTTCATTACATATTCAACTATCGTTTTGGTTTTAAATTTAAAGTTGTTATTAATTTCAAAGTAATTAGTAGTTTGTTTTTTAAATTAATGAATAAAAATAAAAAATTTATTGGTTAAACAAGAGAAGAAAAACTATTAAATTTTAAATTTTATTATTTTTTAATTATTTTTTAGAGAACACATAAAATTGTAATAAAAGTAAAAATGATGAAAAAAATTATCTTCTTGCTTTAAAGAAGTGAATGTATAATAATTTATCATCATGTCAATACTATGTTTAAAAAGTAGCATTTGATTAATTTGTAAAATTTTAGTTGGTTTGGATATATTAAATTATAAGTGTTTAATCAAATAATATATTTTTGAAATATAACAGACTGTATATAGATTCAAAACAAAACTATTAAAACTTCACAATTTAGATAAAAATTACTAACACCATAATATCTTTAATATATTATTAAAACACTAATATATAACTTTTATCAACAAAATACCCACACATAGCGTGAACGCAAAATCTAGTATCTATTATATAAAAGTTGAGTTGTGCCTCACAAATTTGACAACTCAGCACTCATCTTTTTGACATCTCAGCCTCCACATCAGGTTAATTAAGTAAGCCACGTTTCCTAAACTCTACAAATTCAATTCATGAAAAAAACGTTTCATATTCTAATCTTTAATTGTGACTGTATTTAATCCATAATTATTAAATTTTTAACAGTTATGGCTCGGTGATGTCTATATATTAATCAAACATCAGAAGTTCATTATTGCTCAGTATCTACTGTTCTAATATTTGATTGTTGCTTTTTAGCGGATGGAACACGAGACAAACTATCTCACTGCAAGTCTTTTTTATATTCTTACTAACAATGCTTATATAGCTAACAATTTCAAAGAGGTATGTAACCAAAAACTAGCTTTGTAATTTGGTTGTATACCTCAATGTGTCTTAGTATTCTTCCATGCAAATGTTTGGAGCTAATTTTCAAAAACTGTGAAAAGTAGCACAAGTTGTAGAGATGGACAAGTTGGTACTTCCGTACTTGGTAATATGATTCAAAATGAAAAAAAAACTATGTTTTGCAAGGTTAATTATGCTGTAACATTATTCTTGGTGATAATACATTGAGGGTCTGAGAATGAAGTGGTTCACACATCTGAAACCGTAGCTGATGTTGCGAGCTGTCAACTTCCGGACCAGCTCGGGTTAAGTAAAAAGTGAAAATATTCTATTTTTTTGTGTGATGATATGACTAAAAGAAGAAATGGATTTTCTGATTAAAGAGGAAAACAAAATCTGTAGAGAGGAGAATCTGATTTCGGAACAGTAATTGAAGATGGTCGCCTTCTTCACATCATAGCTATATAAAAACATGATAATTCTAATGAGTGAAGGAGCAACGGTTGAAGATTATAAGTAGTTTACCAAAAGGATTTGATAGGGTTTAAATGTTTAATGAGAGTGGAAAGATGCCAAAGGTTCACAAGAAAGAACTTAAAAGAATCCTTTGATAGAAATTATTTATAACTTCTTAGAACAAAAAGAAAAAATGGATATATATATATATATATATATTCATGCTAGATTCCTCTCTATTAATAATCCAAAATGACAATGAGAAAATCAAAGTAAATAAACAAGATGATAATAAAACCAAAAATTAGTTCAATTAGAATAGGTTACTTTTCTATATTTGAATAATATTTAATAATATTATTCAATTACACTACATTTAAATATTTATTTCAATTAATATATGTATATAGAAATCACATATAATAAAAAAAAACCCGCGTGTCAACGTGGGTATTTATCTAGTACAATTAAAAGTTAAAAGTTCTAGATGGAAAAATATCAAAATGAGGCCCAAATACGAAAATATCAACAGGTCTAGATTAAAAGTTAAAACCAGTTTAACTTCTTTTTACACTTTTCATGTAAATATTCAATTACATTCGAAGTAATAATTTAATAAATTAATAAATGAAATTTGAGTCTTCCAAAGAAATGTTTGACCTAATCAAATCGAAAAATAATAACTGGAGGTTACATTTGCTTCCCAGTCAACAAACAAACTTTGGCTAAGCTATATAAGTGGATATATAAAAGTAGAAATATGGAGACATGTAAGTTAATATCAATGAGAAGGATCTTCGTCTGGTAAGAAGATCTGAGAGACGAAGTCTTGGAAGCGAGAAGAGTAGATCTTGGGATGGACGGCTGAGATTGTTTTAGAGTTGTGTTGAATAGACTTGTAACAGTGTTCAATGCGTTTCCTCACACCATAGTCTTGGAAAATGTCGATAATCCCAAGATACAATATAACATCGTACCATTCCTCTCCTCCTCCTCTAACGTTCTTCCCCACCACACTCCCTGATTCTCCTCTCCCCACTCGTCGTGCTCGTCCTGGTATCTTCATCCCAAAGTTTGTGCTTGAGCTGCAAGAAAACCCATTTTCATTCAATCATACACATGTTCGTTTTTTTTCTTTTTTCTTTTTTTGGCTGTTTGGATTGAGCACAAGAGCAAGAAACTTGTCGAATTTGGTTACCTGTTTTGGAAAATGTCGGTGAGAGCTGTTCTGGAGACAATGCTTCCTTGTGGAGAATCAGAAGCGTTGGTTGGAGCTGGACTGAGGCTTATGCTTGCAACTGATTGTATATTCACTGAGTTCTCACTATCAATTGAATCTGTAAAGAAAATGAAAATGAACATCTTTCCACGTTATAGCACGACAGGATTAGATCATTTAGAGGACGGGTTTAAAATTACCTCTGCTTGGAGTGCATGAATACATTGTTGAGGATCTATCTGGAGAGTTTGAAGCTGTCTTCATAAACTTGGAGCTATTGCTGTCAACAGAGCCTGCAAGATTGAGCATAACGAATTCATATTATACTTTCTTGGTTAATTACAAATAATCACGAGAAGAATGCCAGAGAGAGGTTTTACCTCGTGATGTGAAACTGTCGTATACAGGGCTTAATCCATCAATCGAACCTGTTTTCAGCGATGGGTTTGATCAGATAACCGATACATGTTACGAAAATCACTTATAAGAATAAAGACATGAATGAGCTTAGTTTTAACTCACCTTGACATGAGCCTTTCACTTGTAAACCAAGCATTAAGCTGTAATCCATAATCCCTTCATCTTCCAAAAGTTGACAATCTAGCTTCGTTTGCCTGCACGATGACAAAATCCGGTGAGCAATCGAAGTAATGATTCTGTGGGAAAAGAATGAAGATATAATAAAAAGGAAACAGAGAAGACTCACTTGACGAGGCGGTGTCTTGCCAAGGAATCCACGTAGAAATGAAAATCAAGGTCTATATCCTTCAAAATGGTTTTATCTCGCACTTTGATCTTTTTGTTAGTTCGACCTTGTGATGAACCCTTTAGATCATAGACCTTGTTCATAAAAACATCTGACTGCAGAATGTTTGACATGACGACAAAATATGTCTGCTCACGAAGAAAAGAGAAAGAAAAACAGAACAAGTTTCATTGTAAGCAATAGTTCTATATATATATATATATCATAAGGGTATTTACTCTACGTATAGCATCGCACTTGATAGTCTCTGTTTACCTTAACACCTCCAATAGGTTTCACAGAATGAGCTCCATAATTCTTGGACAACAACGTTGACCTGTATTTATAAATATGTTGGTAGTATCCAGGAAGCATCTCTAGAATTACCTGTAGACATGGAAAGATGATTAATCAAACAAAAATGAGATGAAACTCTATCGGCATGACTAAAGGATAAACATATTATTTTTTTTATATAGCAATTGCAGTAGAAAGAAAAAAAAATTAAAACCTTGATTTCGGATTTGCGGAGAATCTTAATGAGAAAGCGGTCATCTTTGGAGAGAAGAAACATGTTACCAACTTTCCCAGAGGAAAGCTTCCTTAAAGTCTCGTCATTACAGATGGATTTCATGTATTCATCATGATTAATATCCTCAAGCTCTTGTACAAGTCTACAAACAAGCAAAAAGTAAAGATTATTATACAATCAAATGGATATGTTAAGGCAATAATTCAAGTCCTCAGACAAGAGGAGAATGATAGATGAGAATTGTACCTGAATCCTAAGGGACAATAATCCTTCCATTGAAAATCAGTAATGGTTCCTGGAGGAAGATGTTTAATGTGCTTGGAAGAGTATCGAATCCGGTTTTTCTCAGTGGCTTTCACGTCCTTAGCTGTTATCTCCCTTGTAAACATTTCCATCAAAACTCTCTCTCTCTCTCTCTCTCTCTCCCTCTCTCTCTCTCTCTCTCTCTCTCTCTCTCTCTCTCTCTCTCTCTCTCTCTCTCAAGTCTCAACTTCCACGGAGATCAATCCTCATCTAAGCCCACATGTTTGTATGCCCCTATTTACATATATGGATCCCCAAAATTTGTCAGTTTCGATCATTCCCTCGCACAACGAGAAATCGACATCAAATCCAAGCCCTAGATTTTTTTTATAATAAAAATGGAATTCCAATACGTATATATATATATATATATCCACGGAGAACCCTAATTCGATCGCCTCAACCCAGATAAAAAGCAGCCGAAAATCCCAGCCAGATAGAGATGCTCAATAATCGATTCATACAACCACAAACTATCAAATAAACAAAGAATTTCGCCAGAAAATCCCGTAGAAAGAAACCAAAAAAAAAAAAAATTCAGAGCGGCAAGAGATTGAAAAACCTGTTTCAGAAGCTGTAAACAAGAGAGGGGAAGAAGAAGAGTGCGTTGGAAATTGAAGGGCAACCAGAAATTTTATAAAGATGATTTTTCTTTCTCTCTTTTTTTTTTCTTTCAATTTTCTGTTGACAAGGAAAATAAAGTAATCAATGATTTTGCCAAATTTGGCCGTTGAAGTTCGCCGCTCGATCCAACTCATTTTCTTCTCTGTTCTGTTGTAAAAGGAAAAACAAACAATTCCCGCGTTCTGTTTCATATATTTCCGTTAACCATTTAATTATTCATTTCTTAACAACACATTTTCATCGATAACGAAAGTGAAAAAATCGTCCACATTTTCATCGTTAACGAAAGTAGTTCACTAAAAATAGAATGTAATTGTAGTATTTGATGGTTGGAGAAACAGAGTATATTGTATATACATGGTGTTGTATCTTTGACGGAGTAGTCTTGCTTGCTATATATATATATATATATATATATATATATTTTTGTTATTATCGATTTTTATTTTCCTTTTTGTTGACTTAAATGTGTCACATAATTTCAAATATTATATATTCAAAATTTAATACGGTGATTTACTCATTTGAGTCATCCCGTTGTTACATCAATACAATTTTTTTCCCTGATTCTTTTGGCTATTAAGCTAGTATTGCTGAAAAATCCATAAACCAAAGCTAAATAATCTAATATGTAAGAACTAATAACCCATCTGAAAATCATAAGTTGCAATAAGTTTCTAAAGTTTAACAATGCTGTAAAATTACTTAGGATAGGAAAATTTTAAGAAAGTAATGTTCCATCATTACTCTCATGGCTTAAAGTTTATGCATGACCTTTCGATGTACATAACATTTCTCTCTTTGTTTTTTTATTTCAAAATGACAAACATTGATTATGCCCCAGATTTTGTTATAGCATTCATTAACGGATAATTTTTATGAGATCTCAACTTTTTGGATATTAAGGACAAGTAGGAACCTACATATCTGCGGTCTAGTTCCGATATTGATGTATTAAAATAGGATAATTAAAATTTACAAAAATATTTCAAAATCAGTAAACTAACCCTTATAAAATTCAAATTTATAAACAAATACAGTAAATGAAAAACTAATTCTCTTCATTTGATTTATAAAAGATCTAATATCATTCTAACACTAGATTAATATTAACTAAACTATTATTTTAACAATTAGTTTTTTAAAAAACTTTATATACTAACCTGCATGTGCATGGATAATCAAAGATAAATATCCGAACATCCGCATGCTAGTTCCCAAATTTCTGTAGAATTTATTTATGTATTAAAGCAAGGTAACTAAAATATTTAAAATATTTCAAAATTAGTGAATTAATCACAATAAAAAAATAAATATTTTTAATAAATACAATAAATAAAGAAAATAATCTTCATCACACTATTTCTAAAGTACTTCATTGTATTCTAACTCTAGATTAATATAAACTAACTTAACCACATTTCATACTTTAAGTCCTAACCCTAAATTTTAGGCCCTAATCATTAGCCCTAACCCTTAGCCCTAACCCTAAATCCTAAATCCTTAAATTTATGTTTTATTATTTGGCATTTTAATTCTAAAGCCTATTCTTAAACCCTAAACTTAGTTTGAATGTTATTTGCTAAATATATTACTTTTTAACTAATAATTTTCAAAACTCTATATTAATCGTTAATTGGTTGGATAACTTTTATGATATTTCAAAATTTTGAATAACTAAAGATAAGTAGAAACATGAACCTCTACGTTCAGGTTCCTATATCCATATAAAACTTATATATGTATTTAAAAAGGATAATAAAAAAATTCAAAATACCTCAAAACCAGTGAACCCTAAACCCTACGAAAATTCAATTTAATGAAAAAATAAATAACGAAAAAAAAAATATTATACCCATTTTATTTTTAAAAGACCTAACATCATTCTAACACTATATTAATATTAACTAAACTAGTTTTGATTGTTATTTTGCACCAATTAAATTTTTTAAAAACTATATATACATTATGGCTAATCCGAACCTACGCATACTAGTTCCCAAATTTATGTGAAATATATTTATGTATTAAAATAAGCTAACTAAAATATTTTAAAATATTTTAAAATTAGTGAATTAATTCCAATAAAAATAAAAAAATAATCCTCATCACTCTATTTCTAAAGTACCTCATTGTATTCTTGCTCTAGTAAACCAACTTAACCACATTCCATATCTTAAGCCCTAACCCTAAGCCCTAGTCTTAAGCCCTAACCCTAAGCCCTAACCCTAAACCCTAGTCCTAAGCCCTAACCCTAAGCCCTAACCCTAACTCTAAACCCTAAATCCTTAAATTTGTATATTTTTGAATTTTATTTGGCATCTTAATTCATTCTAAACCTTAAATTTTGTAAACCTAGTTTGAATGTTATTAGTTAAAATAATTAGTTTTTAACCAATAATTTTAAAAATTCTATATTAATCGTTAATTGGTTAAATAACTTTTATGAAATATCAACATTTTGGATAACACATGACAAGTAGGAACATAAATCTCTGCGTTTTGGTTCCTATATCCATATAAAATCTATTTATGTAATTAAATTAGGATAATTAAAATTTTCAAAAATACCTCAAAATCAGTGAATTAACCCCTTTAAATATTCAATTTTATGAAAAAATATCGTAACTAAAAAAAATCAATTCTCCTCATTTTATTTCTAAAATATCTAACATCATTCTAACACTAGATTAATATTTAACTAAACAAGTTTTGAATGTTATTTTGCAATTTTATTATTTTACGTCAATTAATTTTTAAAGAATTCTATATACATTTGGCTAACCCTGATTTACATGGATAATTAAAGACAAATAGATGTCAAAAAAAAAAAATTAAAGACAAATAGAAATCCTAAATTTATGTGGAATGTATTTATGTATTAATACAAGCTAACTAATATATTTAAAAATATCCTAAAATTAGTGAACTAATCTTTTTAAAAATATTTGAAACACTTTATATGACAATCTTTATCTGGGCGTGTGGCGACATGCTAGAACCTCACATACCGACATTTGGGTTCCGACAAACGCTGCCCCCGCTGTGGGGATCCCGAGGAAACCATAAACCACCTACTGTTCTTATGTCCCCCGGCATTACAAGTCTGGGCGTTATCGGACTTTACGTCCCTTCCGGGTGTTTTCCCGAGTACTTCTATTTATCAAAATATGAGCTTCCTCTTTTGGAAAACAAAGGAGCTAGGCATGACGGATCTTATAAAGGATATTTATCCTTGGATCCTATGGTTTATTTGGAAAGCAAGGAACGAGAAGATCATCAAAGGGAAAGAAATTTCCACGGAGGATACATGGATACATGCAAAAGTGGAAGCAGAAAGTTGGAGAGTTGCGAACCAACCTAAGGACAGCGACGATTCTCAAGTTGAGGAAGTAGGCCTTCCACCGGACACCATTGCGATTCCCGAGGTACCGCAAACCCCAATATGCCGGATTGACGCCTCGTGGATCAATCACGGACAGGTTAGCGGCCTCGGTTAGAGCTTTGTGGATGGCGGAGGATTTGAACTGTTTGGACTTCAGGGATGCCGTAGAAGCCTCTCGGTCCTCCATGCCGAGATGGATTGCCTCCTCTGGGCTATGTCCTACTTGAGAGAGAGACGGATACTTTCGGTCCACTTTCAATCCGATTGTTCGGATCTGGTGCGCATGACTGAGGTTCCAACTGATTGGCCGTCCTTTCAGAGCTAGATACCTTCCGCCTACTTCAAGAGAGCTTCTCAGAGTGCACTTTATCTCATATTCCGAGGGATCTAAATGTCCGGGCGGATAGTCTTGCGAAAGGAACTCGAGCAAGAGACGCTATTTTTTCCCAAATCGATCATAACGAGCTCACCGATAGTGATCCGTATACGACGGGCGAAATGTGATTGTACTAGATGGGTAGTAGAAAAAAAAAATCTTTTTAAAAATATTTAATATTTTTAATAATTACAGCAAATAATAAAAAAAAATTTAAAGTAATCTTATTACATTTTAGCTCTAAATTAATATAAATTAACTTAACCATATTTTATGTATTAAGGTGGGCGTAATTTAAATAGCAACATACTCCGCAGTTGTTGCATGGTTAGCCAGAAGTGCAGACAAATAATAAGAGAAGGTCAAAGATACGAGCTGTATACTTTCATATACATGGTGGTCACTATCTTATAAACTAACGACCCAGTCAATATATATATATATATATATATGTCATCCAAAGACACTAATGTACAGCACAAGAAAAGCAAGCTGGGATGTAAAAACGGTGAGCAGTTTGCATTCCATAGAGCCAAACGGCACCCAAGTTAAAAGAGCAACGTGAGCACCGTTCCGGATGTTAATCAATCATTAAGGAATTTGATTCTTTCTTGTTTGAGCTGGTCGGTACGTAGAATCAGTTTTATATCATCAGTTTATATCTTAGGGAAAGAATCTTGTTTATTATAGTTAGCATTAACATAACATGGAGCAAAAGCGGCCAACCATCGCCGGCGATGAAGAACTGGCGGCGGAGAAACCGTTAAAACCGGTACTTCAGAAACCTCCGGGGTTCCGTGATCAAGAGAATCCATCAGCTCTGCCGTCTGAAACGGCGACTCTTCCACATCGCCGTCCGAGGCCTATCCATCCGGCGTCACTCTACCCGGAGAAGAAACGGCGGCGGAGCTGGTGCCGCGTTTTCTGCTGCTGCCTCTGTATCTTCGTCGCCGTGATTCTCCTCCTCCTCATCGTCGCCGTCACATTTTTCTTCCTCTGGTACAGCCCGAAACTCCCCGTGGTCCGCCTGGCCTCTTTCAAAATCAGCAAATTCAACTTTTCCAGCGGAGGTTCCGACGACGGTTGGTCGTTTCTGACGTCGGATGCGACGGCGATGCTCGATTTCAGAAACCCCAACGGAAAGCTTTGGTTTCATTACGGAGATGCTGACGTGGCTGTGATTCTCGGAGAGAAAGACTTTGAGACCAATTTAGGGTCAACGAAAGTCAAAGGCTTTATTGAGAAGCCAGGGAATCGGACGGCTGTGATCATCCCGACGAGGGTGAGGAAACGACAGGTGGATGATCCTAGGGCGAAGAGGCTACGGGCAGAGCTGAAGAGTAAGAAGCTGTTGGTGAAAGTGACAGCTAAGACGAAGGTTGGATTGGCTGTGGGCAGTCGCAGGATTGTTACTGTGGGAGTTAGTTTCAGATGCGGAGGCGTTAGATTACAAACGTTCGATTCGCAAATGGCCAAATGCACCATCAAATTGCTGAAATGGTACGTACTCATATCGAATCAAAACATTTAACTGATATTGATATCACAAAAACATAAAGTTACGTACTAATATCGAAAGCTTATGAATCATGACAAAATTTTGCGTATATGATTGGGTAATTGCAGGATCAAATTGCGCTCGTGAGAAACGGTGTTATGTATGGCGAAATGCCTCAAATGGTCGAAAGACATGTCAAAAATCATAGAGCTTATATACGAGGGCTTAATTTGTACCTACTTTTTATTTATTTATTTAACTTGTCAAATATTTTCTTCAGCCATATTTCTTATCCAGAATCATTATTATTTATTTTTTTTTTGGGATAAATTTATAAACATATATGCTACACACACACACGCATATGATCATTGTTAGTGGTTTGTGTTATGTTTTTGGCATATACAATTTTTTTCTTTTTCTTTTGTTCCGAATTGTTCTTCAATGTGATTTGTCTCGATGAGAGAAAGCTGTTCTGCGCGTTTGTTAAAAACTGATTTAAGTAAATCAAACAAATTATAAATACCAAAAATACCTCGTTAACCAATCCGTAGCCGTAGGTGTCCGTACACCTTATTTGTTCAACCAACAAGTAGAGAACTTAGAAAACGGATTCTTGTAATACGGTTCGTGTCTGAAATTCTCGAGAGGATTTGTATGAGAATTAACAATTATAATTCCAAAGGCCCCTGGGGTTAAAATCTGAAAGGGTTGCAAAATGGAGCAGTTTCGAGAGATAGGAGAGGTATTAGGAAGCATAAAATCGTTTATGGTGTTCAAGGACGACATTCAAATCAACCAGCGTCAATGCACTCTTTTACTCGACCTCTTTACCGCAGCCTACGATTCGATTTCCGAATCTATGCGATCGAATCTACGCTTCTCAGAGAAGAGCACTAAATGGAAGATTCTAGAACAACCCTTGAGGGAGCTTCTATGGGTGGTACGAGAAGGGGAGGCTTACGTTCGAATGTCTTTAGAGCCTAAACTCGGGTTTTGGGCTAAGGCTATTGTGTTACAACACAATCGAGATTGCACAGAGCTTCACATACATAACTTGCTCTCTTGTGTACCGACCATCATCGAAGCTGTTGAGATGGCGAGTGAGGTCTCAGGGTGGGATGAAGAAGAGATGAACAAGAAGAGACTGGTGCATTGTAACAAGTATATGAAGCAATGGAATGACCCTCAGATGTTTACCTGGAAGTTCGGGAGAGAGTATTTGGTGACCGCGGATTTCTGCAGTCGGTATGAGAGCGCCTGGAGAGAAGACAGGTGGATTCTGATGAAGGAGCTTGAGGAGAAAAGACGTCCCGGTACAAGCAAACACGACAGGAAGATGGCTGATTTTCTTTTGAAGAATCTAGGAGATGGAACCGAGAGTCCCAAGCTATTTCCGTCTTCTATTCTGGTTAGCAATAAAGATTACCAAGTGAAAAAGAGATTAGGGAATGGAAGTCAGTATAAGGAGATTACCTGGTTAGGCGAGAGCTTTGCGCTTAGGCACTTCTTTGGGGATATCGATGCTTTGCTTCCTCAAGTTACTCCGTTGCTCTCTCTTTCCCACCCAAATATTGTATATTACCTCTGCGGATTCGCGGATGAGGAGAAGAAAGAGTGTTTCTTGGTCATGGAACTGATGAGTAAAACCCTCGGGACGCACATCAAAGAGGTATGTGGTCCGAGGAAGAAGAACACTCTCTCCCTCCCGGTCGCGGTTGATCTGATGCTTCAGATAGCCCGGGGTATGGAATATCTTCACTCCAAGAAAATATACCACGGAGAGTTGAACCCTTCTAACATTCTTGTCCAACCAAGAAGAAATAACCAATCCGGAGATGGGTATCTGCAGGGGAAGATTTCTGGGTTCGGATTGAATTCTGTCAAGGGTTTCTCTAGTAAAAATGCTTCTTCGACGGGTCAGAGTGAGAGTTTTCCATTCATATGGTATTCCCCGGAATTGCTAGACGAGCAAGAACAGAGCGGAACTGCAGGAAGCATCAAGTATACTGAAAAATCTGATGTGTATAGTTTTGGGATGGTCTGCTTTGAGCTTCTAACAGGTAAAGTACCATTTGAGGATAGCCACCTGCAAGGAGATAAGATGAGTAGAAACATTAGGGCCGGGGAGAGACCGCTTTTCCCGTTCCATTCACCTAAATTCATAACAAACCTGACAAAAAGATGCTGGCATGCTGACCCTAATCAGCGTCCAACTTTCTCGTCGATAAGCAGAATTCTACGATACATCAAGCGGTTTCTAGCTTTGAACCCGGAATGTCACAGTATAAGCCAACAAGACCCGCCAGTTTCTCCTCCTGTGGATTACTGCGAGATCGAGACTAAGCTGTTGCAGAAGCTTTCATGGGAATCCACAGAGTTACATCAAGTGTCACAGGTTCCGTTTCAAATGTTTACATATAGAGTGGTGGAACGGGCAAAGACTTGTAAGAAAAATAATCGCCGAGACACATCTGAATCGGGCAGTGAATGGGCTTCGTGTAGCGAGGATGAGGGTGGGGCTGGATCAGATGAGCAGGTGTCATCTGAGAAGGAAAGGAGGCTTTCATGCTCAAAGAAGCCTGTTTCAAAGCTTTTGAAAAGAGCTTCTGGCCTGAAACCAATTCAAAAACCAGGTGTGAATGTGATTATCATCAGTCAATATATATATATATATATATATATGGAGGCTCTACTCTACTATGTATTTTGAACATTTTTACTTGTACTAAGGAAGTCTCTTGCACTTGTTCTCTGTCCAGGAACCCCCAGAGGAGGACGATCAAGGCATCCCCCACTGAGCCCTTGTGGGCAAAGCATGAGAACGCACTCTGAGAGTCAACTGATATTGATGAGCCCAAAGATACGGCGATCAAACTCTGGTCATGTCTCTGACTCTGAGCTTTCCTAGACTTACAGAACAAAAAAAAAGAGATTCAACATGCTGTATGAGTCAAAAAGAATACTAACATTTGTTGTGACACACACATACACACTCTCAGTGAGTATAAGTTCTCCAAAATGATAATTCTCTATCCGAGTTCCTACAGCTAATAGGCTCATATACGTTGAAGCTAAGACTTATTGATTCAGTAGCAGAAATAAAGAGACAACCAAACAAAAAAGCTTTGCTATCTTCGTCCTCTAGCAATGCAGAAGAGCATAAATTATGCTTAATTTACTTCTCTTTGCTACAAAACAAGAAGGAATGTCGTATTGAAATTTATTCAAGCTTCAGTGTGATATTGTAAAATCGACACCTAAAACGTCCTTTGAGCACCTCATTTTGCAATGGGTGGAAATAAATCAGAGATGCTCCATGGATCTAAAAGGATATGATCTCTGCCTAAAACATCCCTCAACGACAAATGGAATTATAAGAATCACTGTATCAATCTATTCTTTCGTGTTTTTTTTTTCCCTGATTTCCACCAGAAGATAACAAAAATTTACAAAACGAGTGAAGAGTGAAGACTTACACTCCACCAGCAACGACTCCGTTGGCGATTAGAGACTTGCAGATGATGGCGTGGCTCGGAGATTTGACAGCCTCTTTGCCCAATTCGATTCGATTCCTCCGCCAAATTAACGAATCGTCGAAACCGCCGCCGATTCCGTCGTCTCCACATCCTCCGACGCCATCGATAAAGCACCACCAACGGCGACTGTAGTAACGGAACAGAAAACTCTTTTACGTCAATGATTTTGATGCTAACCAGAAAGTCCCGAATCTCGAATCTTGTTTCGTTTCATCTCGTTAATTTTTATTTTTAATATCATCAATGTCTTTAGAAGGAAACTATTAAAAATTTGTTCAAGTAAATTTATGATTTTAATATCATCAGGTTTGTCAAGTCTAACCAATGCATGTAAGCAAGTGGATTACTATTTTAACTAGCTTGTATAAAATACTTTACAGCTCTAAAATTTGTCTTTGTCAACCTATATAAAACATTTTCAACAACTAAAACACAATTCCAAACTTTTAAGATGTTGATGGTGATTATAAAAGTCATTTTGAATTTTGGTAGACTATTCTAAGAATTAAATGATTTAATTAACCTCAATAAACAAAGCTCTGAGTTTTTAGATTTAGAAATCAATGGTAACAAATAACAATACCGCAAGTTATAGCACGTCTTGAAACATGGCACCATTAACATTAACAACACACTTATATTATCGTTAACTACATCTATGAATTCTTATCATTATAAACTAAACCACCCATCTCCCATGAATATATGGTGTACTACTATGGTATTGTCTATGTGTTTCGGTCCCAATTCCCAAACTCTCTACTTCATTATATATATATTTTTTTAAATAACGAATTTGCTACTTATAATTTTGTCTTTAAATTGTAAATGTTCAATGCAATCAAGTCGAAAGGATCAAACATAATAAACTAAAAATTAAGACCGAAAAAAAATCACACGTAACCTTAGTTTAATTTTTAATTTTTAAACATTATCTATGCTATATGAACTCTAGAATTTGCTTAAAAGAGTGCAAATATTTTGTTGGTCGTCACGTTATCTCTTGGTCAACTTGACCCGGTAAGACCATAGTATGATGGTTATCATTTTCTCATCATTTCCCTTTTATGTCCAGAAATTATAAATTTGAAAATTCAAATCCCTAAAATTCAAGTCGGTTTTTATTTCTTAATTTATCGTTAATGCTCCACCTCCAAGATATTTCAAACTCCATCGTCGATCTTTTCTTTCCCTGTGACCCTGTAGATTCCCGGGAAATCGAAGCAAAGCGCGAGAAAAGTAGAGCAATATATTCTCCTTTTAAGCCTCCAGCTCAAAGTCTTTTGATTATTTAAAATCCTCTGAAATTTTCAAATTCTCCTCTTTTTTTTCTTTTCCTTAAACAAATGGCTGCGTCAAAGAGATTAAAGCCATGTTAGTTGATTCACACCGGAGAAGAAATTGCAAAATTTTCCCTCTCCATTTCAACAAATCCTGCCTGGCGCCGGATAACGCTCTTCTTCGAGGTGCGTTTGATTTTTCCTCCTCTTTTATTTTATTTTTTTCTTTTGTGTGTTTTCTTTCCCATTTTGGCTGCTAAGAAATCATGGAATCTGTGAGAAAAATTCTTCCTGAAACTGTAGAAATGGTCTTCTCTTTTGGAAAGGAAAAAAAAAAGATCTTTATTTGCTCTGCAATGCTATTATCTTTGGATTTCAAATGATTCGATTGGATAGATATCTGAAGCAAGGATTATCATTTCAGTTGAAGTTAAACAATCAAAACCTTAAGAGCTAGTCGGAGAAATGAGGACAAGCGGTGACGTCTACAGAGCAGATGCTGGTTCCTCGAGAAGCGAAGAAGAAAGAGGGTTTAAGGAGGAGGACGATGATTCCCCGATTCCGATGCGGAATCGCCTAGACGATTCAAATCCGCGATCTGTGTCTCAGAGATCCGTGAAGAGCTCGAGAAAAGAGGAAGAGACTATAAACCTTCATGAGGATTCAGATTCTTCTTGTAAGAACACGGCCAGGAACAACCCGATTCAGTACTCAGATCAACAACAAGCCGAGCTTCTGAGAAAGCTTGATTCCATAAAAGGTCATCTTCTCCGTGGTGGTAGTGGTAATGTGGTTGACAAACCAAAAGGCTCAGATCAACCACCAATGGGTTTCCATGGTCGTGGACCTTCTTATTACAATAATCCATATCCTGAGCCACTTCCTTACGGAATGCATCCTTCCACGAGTAACCCGGCTCATGTTCCAGCTTATAGAGGCCATTATGGGTTCCCAATGCATCAGAATTGGTATCCTCAAGGTCATCACCCAAACCAGATGCTGCCTCGTCCTCCATATCCTCAAGGACAGTATGTAGACATTGGTCCTGATATACTTGACCCTCAGTTACAAGATCCTAGATTCTTTCCAGGTACACCAAGTAGGTACGGTGATGTCCCATATAGCCCGGCTTCTCACCATGGCGAGAAAATCGGACCTTTTGGTAGTCCACATGATGGTCATCACACGAGGTGGCCTAGTGAAATCAATTCTGAAATGGGTGGCGGTGCTTTTGCTCCTAAGTATGCTCAGAATGCTGTGTCGGATACTGATTCCCGTCGTTGCCATCCTCTAGCAGGCGGTGCGCCTTTTATAGCTTGTCACAATTGCTTTGAGCTTCTCTATTTGCCTAAGAAGAAGCTTCTTGCTCATGATATGCAACAAAAGCTGCAATGTGGTGCCTGTACTGAGGTTATCAGTTTCACAATTCTTGATAGGAAGCTTGTTTTCTCCTCTTCTGGTCTTGCGGAAACTAACCGGGCTTCCGTAGAGGTTGAAGATAGAAGCGCTACAAGCGCAGTGGTATATGATTGTCCAGTTAAGTATGATGAATCAAGAAATCAGCGGGAAGCCAAAATTGTCCAGGCTGTATCGCCTAGTGAACACTCAGATGATGAAGAAAGATCAAGCGTTTCTAGTGAACCACAAAAAGAGGTCTTCAAGTCTGTTCGCCGCAAAGTCAAAGGCACGAAAGTTCCTCCTCCTCCTCCTGAAAACTCCAATCTTCTTGAGCTCTTTGAGTATTCTAATGTCAACCGAGCTGCCATCACTTACGGGATGGCGCAGTTAGGGTACAATAAGCAAGAATCCGACACGAAACAAGACTCGCTGGAACCAGAGTCAGTAGCTACCGAGACAGATGTTTCTTATAATGACTACTATAATAACACTGAGGTGTCTGAAGATTCAAGGATCTCAAAAACCAGCAAGGAAGAGAGCAGACCAAGAAACCAAAAGGAGAGTAGTGAGTACGGTTTCTCAGATGTCACTAATAAAATCATCTCTAACGATCAAAACAACGGGCAGTTAGAGGTTTGGGTGAATGGGCATCTTATACCGGAAGATTTGGTTATCAGCGCCGAGAAACAAGCTGGGCCAGTTCAAGCTGGCAAGTACTGGTATGTTTTGGTTAATGTTTCATTTTTTTTGCGACCAAACAAAATCTGATCAGCTTGTAAGGAAATGATCTTTGTATTATGATTCTGATTAGGTATGACTACCGTGCTGGATTCTGGGGAGTGATGGGAAACCCGTGTCTCGGAATTATACCAGTAAGAGCTTTCACAATTCTTCTATTTTACTTTCAATTCCGGTTTCTCTGTTTCTTTTATCTTTCTATTGGATCTTGATGAAGAAATGAGAAACAAATTTTTGGTTGATGCAGCCATTTATCGAAGAGTTTAGTCGTCCAATGCCAGATAACTGCGGTGCAGGAAACACAAGCGTATTTGTGAACGGAAGAGAGCTTCACGAGAGAGATCTTGAGCTACTTTCACGTAGAGGTCTTCCTCGAGGCAAGAACCGTTCTTACATCGTTGATATATCAGGGAGAGTTCTTGATGGAGACTCTGGCGAAGAACTTAAGAGTCTTGGCAAATTAGCTCCAACGTAAGCGCAAGAAGTCTTTGTAATGAAGTTTAATATCAGATCTTTAGTTGATTCTGAGATTTAGTAACTCAATTGTCATTCTTTGAAATATGATGCAGGATTGAGAAGGTTAAGCATGGATTTGGCATGAGAGTTCCAAGATCCCTACATTCATGAAGCTTCCTCAGCTTGATTAAGCCTCTGGTTCCAATCTTTGTTATATAACTACATTGTAGTATTGTGCTTTATATAACACATCATTGGTTATATTCTGACCGGGAAAAAACAACTTAACTTTTCCCTTTTTTTTGGTTGGGTGTTTTTTGTTATTTAGTGTTCCATTCTATTCTTTTTTCTTGTTTTTGAAGCAAGCCAAACCGGTTTGTGATTTTCGGTCTGGTTAAAGATAACCTAACCATCTGATTTTCTTGTGATCTGGTGTATGTAAATTGATCATTGTACTGTGTGGATAATCTTTTGGGGAATGAAATAATGTTTGTTTGTTGTGAATAATCATTTTTTTAAATTGTGGATCAAGAAGTAAAGTAAAACCATTAATATTTATAAATCTGTCTGTACAGCCTGTCAGTAAAATCGTTTTCAAATTTATGAAACTGGTCCACGAGGTAAATATTTAACCCCATGGGTCCAAACATCTACGTCAAGCAAACTGATGATTTATTCCGTATGGGCCTCATAATGTACCCCACTCCATGCATAATTTCGATATCTTTTTATTTAAGAAAACAAGCAGAACAATTACTTAGTATAGTTTCTTTTTTTGGTAAAAGAATTACTTAGAATAGTTTTTTATTTTTTTTACTTAGAATAGTTAGTACAAACAACAAATTAAAATGGAAAAAAAATTGGTAAAAACTGCCATAAATATGTACCATCTATAAGACTATAACGTTATTTTTTTTTAATTCAGCACGGTTATTGGAAGACCTAAAACATTTTGTCGGCTGACTAGATGTTTAGCCATTAGATTTGTAAGCATAAACTGTATAGTAATTAAAACGAATTTTTAAGTTGGAGTTTACAACTTACAACCATCATCAGATATTCAGATCTAAGGCGTGATGTCTGTATCTTTAGTATTTTTTTTGGGTGGTCTATCTCCTATCGGTCTCTAATCTCTATCACTTGCTCCGGCTAAGTAATAAGGGCCGATAAAAAAATAAGTTACGGTCGGACCATTCGCAAATGACATTTATTCTCATCTCGTCTCCTTTCACGTTTTTTGTACTTTCCGACAAGTGTGTGTGTTTGTGTGTGTGTTAACAATTAAAAAATAAACGAAAATAAAGATACAAACTGAATTACAAAATATATCATAAAAATAGATATTCTCGATACATTTTGTTTCAGACTTACTAATGCGTTATGCCATTTTCTATGTATTTTTTAATTACTGCTGGAGATCATTAATGGTATCATGTCTCCGTATGTCAGTGGCTTAATCATGCATAAAGAGACAAAGTATATTTGCTTTACAATTGTATATTTGTATTTGTATCTTTAAAAACAATGAAAGGATGCCTAATCATTATAAATGAAAAATTGTTCCACAATTGTAAATTTGAATCTTTAAAAACAATGAAGGATGCCTAATCAAAATTGTTCCTGATTCTCTCTCTATGTAATTTGGTTCACAGTAGTATTGTCAAGTTATTTATTAAAAATTTTAAAAATGATACAAATGACTTTGAAAAGGAAAAAAAAAAAGAAAATCCACTCTGTCATTTACCAGGAAGATCCTCGCTTTCAACGACAACCAAAAACCTTCAAGAAAGCAAATAGAAACAAAATAAATTCAATCAATACCCTCCAAATCTCACTCATCTAAACACCCCAATCATGGATACATTGAGATCCATGTCTAAGAGCATGAAGATCGAAGGTAACCCATTCGGTTCTTCTCACCAACGCAATCAAATATTCCTTAGATTCGTCGCTTTCTTCCTTCTGATCGGTCTCGCTTACCGTTTCATCATCACCGATTCCACAGTCTCTCCGGTTCCCGATGTAAGAACCTCGCCGGGATCTCCACCGGCAGATCCTTCCGGTCTCACTGCCGTCGCTCAAGCTCCAGCCTCCGCTGATTCCCCAGGGAACCTCACCAATGCTTCACATAATGGTAAGAGAAGAGATCTTTTTATCAATCATCAGGGAAAGTTAGTGCAAAACTCATAATAGAGTAAGATCCAGAAATTTGGGTTTTCTTCCTTTTTTTTCATGCAATCAATATCAACATCTGTAATTCCCCTAAAACCTGAGCAATCTCTACGAAATTATATGATTGAATCTCTGTGTGTGAACAATTGTAGCTTCCACCAAGTGTGATATCTTTACCGGGAATTGGGTAGCAGACCCAACAGGCCCAGTGTACACCAATGTCTCTTGCCGTCATATCCAAGAACACCAGAACTGCTTGAAGAACGGACGGCCAGATGCGAACTACCTTCTATGGAGATGGAAGCCTCGCGACTGCGATCTCCCGAGGTTTGATCCCGAGCTCTTTCTTGATAGAATGAGTAACAAGTGGCTGGCTTTCGTCGGTGATTCCATCTCTCGTAACCACGTCCAATCTCTCATCTGCATTCTCTCTCAGGTCAATTTTTTCTCAAATTTTGAGATTCATTCTGTCGAAAATATGGAGCTTGGAATTTGATTTTTGGTTGGTTTCTGCAGGTAGAAGAGGTAGAGGAAATGTACCACGACAAGGAATACAGATCAAAGATATGGAGATTCCCTTCTCACAACTTCACACTCTCAGTCATTTGGTCTCCTTTCCTTTTGAAAGCTGAAACCTTTGAGAACACGGAAGGTGTTTCCTTCTCAGACATTCAGCTCCATCTCGACGAGCTCGACCACCAATGGACGGACCAATACATCAATTTCGACTACGTTGTCATCTCCGGTGGCAAATGGTTCCTCAAAACATCAATCTTCCATGAGAACAACACCATCACCGGATGCCATTACTGCCAAGGGAAGAACAATCTCACCGAGCTCGGTTATCAATACTCGTACCGCAAAGCCCTCCGCTTGGTTTTGAACTTCGTCGCTCAACCAAACCGTAAAGCTCAGGTTCTGTTCAGAACAACAACACCTGATCATTTCGAGAACGGAGAGTGGAACAGTGGTGGTTTCTGTAACAGAACGATGCCGTTCAACGAAAGCCAAGGAGAGATGAAGAGCGAGGATGAATCGATGCGCTCCATCGAGCTTGAGGAGTTCCGCAAGATCCAAAAAGGCTCCAATTCCGACATTGGATTACTTGACACGACTTCGATGTCGCTTCTCCGACCAGATGGGCATCCCGGACCGTACCGGTATCCAAATCCGTTCGCTGGATTGAAGAACAAGGACGAACATAATCAGAATCAGAATCAGATTCAGGTTCAGAACGATTGTCTTCACTGGTGTTTACCCGGTCCGATTGATTCATGGAATGATCTAATGGTGGAGGTAATGCTTAACCGGGAAGTGTACAGATGACCGAGTGTGAAAAGACGAGAATAGCCTCCTCTTCACGTGTAAATTATTAGTGTGTTTACTTTATTCATTATTGGGCCTACCATATGGGTCCAGAATCCAAAATACATGCACCTCGCTTTTCAATTTTTAAGGGTGGGGGAAAGAAACGCCATGTCGTTTTACTTCCTCAGCCGCCGCTATTTGTTGCCGTTTTTGGATCTTTCTGTGTACTATAGGATCCATCGATGAGATCCGATTCACGTTGGTAATCCGTAATCCATTGACCATTGGCCGTGTAAGCTGTCAAGTTTAGATCAGTTGTTACATCGCAATTCCACATGTGTGGTCATGCCATTTCCTCTCCCAAAACCATTTCCCAATCTCCTTCTCCAATAATTGAATGATTGACTATAGCAGCCTTCTATTTTTGTTTTTTTTTGTTTTTTTTCCAGTATACCATAAATATATATAGAGACCTGTCAGAAAATAACAAAAATATAAGGCTGCTATAGTCAGTCATTCAATTATTGGATAAAAAGTCCCAAAGAATCATAACCACGATCTTGCTAGTTGCTACTGTATATAAAGCCACTAGGTAGCTGCCATAGATAAAACATGCACCAATAACGAAGAAAGTAAAGAAGAAAGCAAAATTCTAGATTTGAAATTCTTGAATCTTTGCATTAATGGCGGAGGCAAACACTCCACATATAGCTATCATACCGAGTCCCGGTGTTGGTCACCTAATCCCACTCGTCGAGTTCGCAAAGCGACTCGTCGACCACCACCGTTTCACCGTCACATTCATCTTCCCCGGCGAATCTTCGCCGTCTAGTGCCCAAAGATCCGTTCTCAACTCTCTCCCTTCCTCCATTGCCTCCGTATTCCTCCCTCTCATAGATCTTTCCGACCTTCTTTCGACAGCAGGAATCGAAACTCGGATCTCCCTCACCGTGACTCGCTCGATCCCGGCGCTCCGTGAGCTTTTCGGCTCGTTGTCGGCGGAGAAACGTCTCCCGGCGGTTCTCGTCGTCGATCTATTCGGCACGGATGCGTTCGATGTGGCGGTTGAGTTCCACGTGTCACCATACATCTTCTACCCATCAAATGCAAACGTCTTGTCGTTTTTGCTTCACTTGCCGAAACTAGACAAAACGGTCTCGTGCGAGTTCAGGGACTTAACCGAACCGGTTAGGATTCCCGGTTGTGTCCCGATAACTGGTAAAGATTTCGTCGATCCGTGTCAAGACCGAAACGATGACTCATACAAATGGCTTCTCCACAACGCCAAGAGGTTCAAAGAAGCTAAAGGGATTCTAGTGAACTCCTTCGTCGATTTAGAGCCAAACGCTATAAAGGCTTTACAAGAACCGGCTCTTGATAAACCACCGGTTTACCCAATTGGACCGCTGGTTAACACATGTTCATCTTATGGTAACCGTAACGATGCGTCCGAATGTTTAAACTGGCTGGACAACCAACCACTCGGCTCGGTTCTATACGTATCGTTCGGAAGCGGGGGAACACTCACGTGTGAACAGCTCAACGAGCTCGCTTTCGGTCTAGAAGAGAGCTGCAAACGGTTTATTTGGGTCATACGAAGTCCGAGTGGGATAGCTAATTCTTCGTTTTTCAACTCACACAGCCAAACCGATTCATTGACCTTCTTGCCACCCGGGTTCTTGGACCGAACCAAGAAGCAAGGTTTAGTGGTTCCGTCTTGGGCCCCACAGGTTCAAATCCTGGCCCATCCATCCACAGGTGGGTTTCTAACACATTGTGGATGGAACTCGGTTCTTGAAAGCATCGTGAACGGTGTACCGCTCATAGCGTGGCCATTATACGCAGAGCAAAAGATGAACGCATTGCTACTTGTGGAGGATGTTGGGGCGGCTCTAAGAGCGCGGAACATTGAAGATAGGATTGTACGAAAGGAAGAAGTGGTGAGATTGGTTAAGAAGTTGATGGAAGGAGAAGAAGGGAAGACGATAAGGGATCAAATCAAAGAGCTGAAAGAAGGAGTTGTTAGAGTCTTGAGAGAAGATGGGCTCTCTACCAAGGCATTCACTCAAGTTTCCTTAAAGTGGAAAGCCCACCAACGAGAGATGGAACAAGACATTACCTATTCTAAGTAATAGTATCTTTCTATTATTTGTATTTTTCTTTCAGTTGTTCCAAAGTTCTAATTGTGCTTCATCAATATCATCTAAATTAATGATACAAATTTAGTGCCTTAGGCTTAAGTGATCTACAAATTAACGATGGTAGAAAATTGTTTTTGAGACCTAAAATACAGTTAAATATATTTTTCATTTTCCTCCTGAACGAATACTGAACTATTTAATTTACCTCTAAAATTATCGAAATTTTACTGTCTTTTGACATAATTTTTTTAAGTGTTTATTTTAATAACATACAACTCAGAAACACAAAATATGAAATCCCGAGATACATCAACTATAGACACACACGAACAAAACTGCAGAATTAACCACAAATAGAGGTATAATTTGTTTTCATTATTATATTAAAAAAAGACAGAAAGTTTGCCAATCAACGTAATTGAGATCTTCCATGATTCTTCATCACCCAAAACCTCTCAATCTCGTATGCTGTTCTTCCTGGAATCCTCCCAGCTATTAATTCCCACCTTCTCAACCAACAAAAAAAATCTTTAATTTCCCTTATTAAAAATCACATATTAAAAGCTTTTTACCAACGAATACAATTATTTTAGTCTTCCATTTTTGGCCACTACGAGTTTGCCCATTAACTAACCCAGTTATCTTTATTATAGAGTAGCTACGAGACTCAGCCCGAGTGAAATAGTACCGATTCTTGATGGACTTAAAGATGCTATTAGACCACACTGTCATATTTACCCAATAAATACAAATAAATCGAGAGGAAAAGAAAGAATGAAAAACCTTTCACCGATAAGCTTATACATTCTGCAAATCAAATCCTCTTCTTCTTGGGTCATTGCTACTTCTTCCCACTCAAGACTGCTCACTTCTGTTTCCATGTCATCATCCAAAATTCCACAATGATCAAAACTAAAAGTAATAGTGAAAGTAAAATAGAAACGCGGCTCCTTGTTTTAATTATGGAGACGCCTGGGAAATATAATATACCTTCAGAAGTAGATGCAACAATGGTGGCACTGGTCTTGGGATGCTTCGACTTACGCTGCTTATCCATTTAAAACGGCACCGTACTATACCAAGATTTTACGATCGTACCGTACGAGTTTATAAACCAATCGGTTTGGTACGGGAACGGAAGATTTGAGAGGGGAGGAGGAATTTTTGAAGGGAAGATTTGAGAGGGGAGGAGGATTTTTTGAAGGGAAGACACGAACCCTCTTCTCTATTTATAGTGTCAGGTTATAACGACCGGTTTGGTCGGTTTCCACATTAAGGATTCATGTATTGTATATTTAAATTTCCTTAAATCAGGTTTAACTAAATTATTATTAGTATATAAGAAAACAAAGAATCTTAAATGTTATTCTGTTTAGTTAATTTTCAGTATTATGCCAGTATATGTATGTAATGCTTGAGGGATTTCGTCCTGAACGAATCACATTAGAAATGTTTCATTACATCATTTACTACGTCATTTTTTGTGTAGTTGCTTTTAAAAAATGACGCTACTTGCCTTGATTTGTTGTTTTACCCGCAATAATTATATTTGCACGACAACAAATGATAATTAAGTTCCTATGTAGGTTTGTTACACACACATGTATACAGTCTTCTTTCTTTCCAATCTTTAAATGAAAAGGTTTGCGGTAGCGATTTCACCACGAACAAAAAACATTTTGTTCGATCTATGATTTTGCAGTAAATGTATTTATTTCAACCAGTTAAAAAGACTTTTGATTTTTTTTTTATGTTAAATTTAAGCACAGGGATACGTTAACAAATTGTTATCAATAAACGTCATGTAGATTAACAATGGTTCGTTGTAAACATGACAACAAAATAAATTGAAGACTCAACAACTTTGATAGTTAACTAAAAAAAAAGGCTCTGCCAATAATAATCCCATCACTTTTGCTGCTATGCAATTAGGGGAATCACTTAGTATGAATTCCAGTCTTTACATTTTTTGTTTTCATTTGAATTAAATTCCCAATTTAATGAAAAAAAATATTGTTAGAACTATCAAAAGGAGAGTTGAAAGTTTGTTAGGGTTGAATATATAACTAATTATGGCGTTTTGGATATTCTCTGTATTCCCAATATTCACATCGCAATTTTATTCCATGCTCCTTTTAATTTGGTTCGGTTCATTATTTATTTACTTTCAAAAAAGGTTGAGCAAAGTACTGAACAAACTATGCAGTTGCAACTGAACATGACACGTGTATTTTTAAATTTATATAAATTTGTTGGGACCATGGCATGATTCATGACCACTACTATAATACTGTTTTTGTATATAGAAGTATAAAATAAAGGTTAGTTTTTTCGGTCTAGATGAATTTACATTTTTTTGGTCTGCACTGAATTTTTTACGAATGCACAGAGATCATAAATTCATAATAGATGTTTGAGTTAAATGGGTGTATACTCATACATGATTCAGTAATTGAGGAAATGGGAAGCGATAGTTTAAAATTAAGTATATACAATTTTGTATAAAGATTGTAGACTAAAATACCTGAAGGTTGTGTTCTTAATCTCAGATGGTTTAGTGCCGGTTTAGGTTAACCAAGTGTACACATGTTAGTAGATGACACGTGTGTATATGGTAAACGTAGTAAGACGATTTTAGAGTCGGTATTATCTCTCTCGGTGAATAAGTTGTTAAGTCTGTTCAGCTCACCAAGATAAGGTTTGTTGCAGACGTTGAGAGAGATAGAGAGGTGATCTTGTATTGGATTGATCAAGAGCTCGTATTGAGCTGTTCTAGTGGATTTCGGAAAGTATTCCGGCGAGACGTAGGTGGCGTTTGCCCCGAACTCGTAAAACTCCGGTGTCGTCTCTTTCTAGTTTGAGATCTCGAGATTAGATCTAAGTTCTTTCATTCTTTCAATCAAACGAGTGGAGAGGAGAATGAATCTAGTTTCAAGTTTAACAAATTAGTATCAGAGCGTCAGGTCTGGTGCGGATTTGCTTCATGAAGGCAACAAGCTACTCGTTCGGTTCGAAGATGACGGGAGGAAGATTGGAGATTCCGATATTCGACGGAACCGGAGACTTCTCGCTATGGAAGCGAAGGATGTACGCTCATCTGAGCGTATCAGGCTACAAAGATGTAATTGAACAGAAATCCCCTACCGACGAGTCAACATCGACTGCGATAGTGGAAGATTCAGATCCGGAGAAGAAGAAAAAGATTCTCGCGGACGAGGAGGCTCGACAGGATCGGAGCGAAAAGGCGATGCACATGATCTGGATGTGTGTAGGAGATCGAGTTTTAAGGAAGATCGAGAACTGCAAGACTGCGGCAGAAACCTGGGAACTTCTTGAGAAACTCTATCAGCCTAAGTCGCTTCCAAATCGAGTCCACCCTCTACTCAGGCTCTACGGCTTCAAGATGCAAGATCATCGGTCAATCGATGAGAACATAGATGATTTTCTCAAAATCATCGGAGATCTGAGTCACTTAAGCATAGACGTATCGGGAGAGGTACAAGCAGTCTTACTTCTCAATGCTTTGCCTAGTAAATACGATCAGTTAAAGGAAACGCTTAAGTACAGTAGAGAAGCAATTGAGGTAGAAGACGTAGTGAGCGCAGCTAGATCTAAAGAGAAGGATATTAAAGATAACTCTAGCTCTAAGTCAAGTTCTGAGGGACACTTTGCTAGAGGAAGATCCGAAACTAGGGGTGATCATCAGAATAAAGCAGGGAAGTATAGCAAGTCTAGATCTAAGTCAAGGGATGGCAAGAAGATCTGTTGGATTTGTGGTAAAGAAGGTCACTTCAAGAAGCAATGCTATAAATGGCTGGAGAAGAATAAAGGGAAGCTACAGCCACAGAGTTCAGGTGAATTAGGTCTAGCTAAGGATGATGCTCAGGACTTAGCTGGGCTAATCGCTTGTGAAGTTAATCTATCACAGGATTCCAGTGATAGAGATGAATGGGTGATGGATACAGGGTGCTCGTTTCATATGACACCAATTCTTTATAGAACTTAAGGAGGTGTCTTCAGGAAGAGTACGAATGGCAAATAATTCTCACTCGGAGGTCAGAGGTATTGGTTCAATAAGATTCTCTAATCCTGATGGAACTACCTTTGTGTTACACGACGTAAGATACATGCCGGACATAGGCAGGAACTTAATATCGATTGGGACTTTGGAAAATAAGGGATGTGAGTTCAAAGGATCTAAGGGAGCGTTGAAAGTCATCAAAGGTTGCTCGGTTCTTATGAAGGGAGTCAGGAAGGACAATGATACTCTCTACATTCTTATGGGCTCGGCAAAGAAGTCTGAATCCTGTACAGCAGTAAAGGAATGTGGCTCAAGTCAGGAAGCTACATCAGAGGATCAAACTCGGTTATGGCACAGCAGGATGGGTCACGTGGGTCAGAAAGGTTTGGATGTGTTGGCGAAGAAGGGTTGTTTTGGCAGCGACAAGGTCTCGGAAATCAAGTTTTGCGAAGACTGTGTTATTGGCAAGACACATAAGGTCAGCTTAGGACCAGCTCAACATGTCACAAAAGAAAAGCTTGATTACGTGCACTCAGACTTATGGGGATCACCAAACGTTCCCCCAAGTCTTGGTAAGTGTCAGTATTTCGTGTCTTTCACAGATGACTGGTCGAGGAAGGTTTGGATATACTTTCTTAGAACCAAAGATGAAGCATTTGATAAGTTTATCGAATGGAAGAAGATGGTGGAAGTTCAGTCTGAAAGGAAGTTAAAGAAGCTGCGTACAGATAACGGCCTTGAGTTTTGCAATGTCAGGTTTGATCAGGTATGCAAAGAGGAAGGAATTGTGAGGCACATGACGTGCACTTACACACCTCAACAGAATGGAATCGCTGAAAGGTTAAACAGAACGGTTATGAACAAAGTGAGGAGTATGCTAAGTGAAAGCGGTTTAGGTCAACGATTTTGGGCTGAGGCAGCATCTACCTCAGTTTACTTAATCAACAGGTCACCTTCATCAGCTATTAACTTGAAATACCTGAAGAAAGGTGGACATCTGCAGTTCCGAAGCTTACAGGTTTAAAAAGGTTCGGGTGCATTGCCTACGTTCATTCAGATGAAGGCAAGCTGAATCCAAGAGCCAAGAAAGGGGTCTTCACGGGGTATCCAGAGGGAGTAAAAGGGTTTCGTGTCTGGTTACTTGAAGATCAGAAGTGTATCATCAGTCGGAACGTTGTCTTTAGAGAAGACGTGATGTACAAAGACATCAAAGGGGAACTTTGGTCAGGTAATGTTCATTCTGATATTTCAAATACTAACAGGTTTGTGAGTTTTGATGGTGTTTCAGGAGAACAGGTTGAGTCAGGGACTACAGCTCAAGGTGGAGTTGATATGCAAGAGGCTCAAGAAAAGCTAACAGTGTCAGATAGTGGGGTCAATGAAGAAAGTGTGGATCTAAGTGATTATCAACTGGCTCGAGATAGGCCAAGAAGAACCACTAAGCCTCCTCCGAGGTTGGAAGATTATCAGGTGTACGAAGACGATGAGGACATAGCGGGTTTTGCGTACTTGATGATTGAGGATGGAGGCAAACCAGAACCAGGCAGTTTTCAAGAAGCTAAATATGACCCAGACAGCAAACTGTGGCTTGAGGCAGCCGATGAGGAGATGACTTCTTTAATGAAGAACAGGACTTGGGTTTTAGTAGACAGAGACAAGAGTCAGAAACCGATAGGATGCAAGTGGGTGTTTAAAAGGAAAGCTGGGATCACAGGCGTTGAAAGTCCGAGGTTTAAAGCGAGATTAGTGGCCAAAGGATACTCTCAGAAGGATGGCGTTGATTACCAGGAGATTTTCTCTCCGGTAGTTAAACACGTGTCTATCAGGCTTCTTCTCTCTGCGGTTGTTCATTTTGACATGGAGCTTCAGCAAATGGATGTTAAAACGGCATTCTTGCACGGGTACTTGGAGGAAAGAATTTTCATGGAGCAACCTGAGGGTTACATCGATAAGAAACATCCTGAGAAAGTTTGTCTTCTGAAGAGGTCGCTTTATGGGCTGAAGCAGTCGCTTAGACAATGGAACAACAGGTTCGATGAGTTTATGCAAGTTAATGGTTATGCTAGGAGCGAATATGACAGCTGTGTGTACTACAAGGAGCTTCAGAACAAAGATTTTGTATATCTGTTGCTGTATGTAGATGATATACTCATAGCCTCAAGAAACAAGAAGCATGTTCAGGAGTTGAAGAGTCTATTGAGGTCAGAATTCGAGATGAAGGATCTGGGTGAAGCTAAAAAGATTTTGGGGATGGAGATCAGCAGGGATAGAGAAAAGAAAACTTTAACCATTTCCCAAGAAGGTTACCTGATGAAAGTGTTGGGAAATTTTGGTATGGATCAGTCGAAGCCGGTCTCTACTCCGATGGGCGTACACTTCAAGCTTAGGTCAGGTACAGATAAAGAGGTGGAGCTTCAAGCAGAAGCAATGAAAAATGTCCCGTATCAGAGTGCAGTGGGAAGCGTTATGTACTCAATGATCGGTACAAGACCAGACTTGGCCTATTCAGTGGGCTTAGTTTGCAGATTTATGAGTAAACCCTTGAAGGAGCACTGGCAAGCGGTAAAATGGCTCCTTAGATACATAAAGGGGTCAAAAAGGACAAAGTTGTGCTACAGAAAGGAGGGGGACTTCGTTATAACTGGGTATTGCGATGCAGATTATGCAGCTGACTTGGACAAGAGAAGGTCGATTTCGGGTATGGTGTTTACTGCAGGAGGAAAAACCATTAGTTGGAGATCGAGTTTACAAAAGGTGGTGGCCTTGTCAACCACAGAGGCGGAATATATGGCGTTGTCCGAAGCAGCTAAAGAAGCGGTATGGCTTAAAGGGTTCATGAATGAGTTAGGCTTCGAACAGGGACCAGTTACAGTGCATTGTGATTCCCAGAGTGCAATCTCTTTGGCCAAGAATGCAGTGTTCCACGAGAGAACAAAGCACGTGGCGGTAAAGTTCCACTTCATTAGGGACTTAATCAGCTTCGGGTTTATTGAGGTGGTGAAGATTGCAACGATGTACAATCCCGCAGATATCTTCACTAAGGTACTTCCAGTCAGCAAGGTTCAAGATGCTTTGAAGTTGCTGAGGATTACCGAAGATTGAAGTATAAAGTGGACCTAAGTTATTTGGCTGGATAGTTTAATCCCGGAAGATATGAAGCTGGGGATTTATTCTCAGGAAGATATGAAGATGAGTGAGTTTTGCTCATGACCGGAAAGGAATCCAAGAAGGCTAGAACAAGTTGACCAGAGATTGACGAACAAGGTGGAGATTTGAAGGTTGTGTTCTTAATCTCAGATGGTTTAGTGCCGGTTTAGGTTAACCAAGTGTACACATGTTAGTAGATGACACGTGTGTATATGGTAAACGCAGTAAGACGACTTTAGAGTCGGTATTATCTCTCTCGGTGAATAAGTTGTTAAGTCTGTTCAGCTCACCAAGATAAGGTTTGTTGCAGACGTTGAGAGAGATAGAGAGGTGATCTTGTATTGGATTGATCAAGAGCTCGTATTGAGCTGTTCTAGTGGATTCCGGAAAGTATTCCGGCGAGACGTAGGTGGCGTTTGCCCCGAACTCGTAAAACTCCGGTGTCGTCTCTTTCTAGTTTGAGATCTCGAGATTAGATCTAAGTTCTTTCATTCTTTCAATCAAACGAGTGGAGAGGAGAGTGAATCTAGTTTCAAGTTTAACAATACCCCTACATTTACGAGAGAAAATCTCTGCAGACATCTTTTATTGTATTTTTGATTTCTCAACAAAAAATAAAAATATATAATATCTTCTAAGCAAATTCATCGCCACCTAGAGTTTTAATCTCGTTTGTTATTAAACAAAATAATATCTTACAATTATCTGTTAATTATTTCTGTTAACATAAAAAGGTATACACCCATAGAATATTATTTTCTATATTAATGGAGATACTTATGTTGTCTGAATAAGCAGAAGTGTTATTTTCTAAACACAGATAAAACGGGCTTTACTATTCTTTCTGGAAGGTGGATATGAGATATATAAGAAATTATTAGGTAATATACCTCTCGAATATGTGTTTCTGTAGGCGTGGATAATATTTGTATTCTTGGAAAATTAACTGATATTTTTATGTTGTTGTTATTAGGTAAATGCAACTCTTAATGTTAGCTGTCAACCCCATAAACAGATGGGTGAGGCTCCAATATTTGTAGCAACCTGAATTGCATTACCTGATTAAGAATGGAAACACATGCCTGTTTTGTTTTATAAAATGTATATAATGAGGTGTAAAAATATTTTGTATTGAAGATAACCTGAATTGTTATCCCGATGTTAGCTGGTAATTTGGATAACGAGCTAACTGCAAATGTTAACTGTGAACTAAAACAACATGTGAGTATCTAAAAATAAATTATTTATAAAGTGTATGTAATAAGGTATGAAATAAAGTGTATGTAATAAGGTATGAAAATGTTTTGTATTGAAGATAAGCTGAACTATTTTTCCGATGTTAGCAGGTAACTTGGATAACGAACTAACTGCAAATGTTAACTGTCAATTAAAACAACAGATGGATGAGTATCTAAAATTAAATTACAACATTTGTATATAATGTTACTAACAAACTCTAGTGAACTCTGTTAACGAAATGTTGAAAGTAAATGATTGTTTTGTATCTTGAATTAGAGAGACTAACTCAGATAACATATAACAACGAGGTTTTAAGCAACACTAAATCTAATTTATTCCCCGATGAGAAATTTACATTTTAGATATTACTGTCGGTAAATTTGACACACACAAGTTTCTGTGGGTTCCAAATTTGTAATTATACACAAAATTGGTGTAGGGATTTATTAGTCTTTTGGTGATGAACAGAAATGAGTGCACAATATAAAATTGTGTTAGTTAATTTCATAAGTTTTCGTTGGTTGGCATTCTATGCAATTACTATATATATTTTACCATGTTTTACAAAGAAGAGACGGATGAGAAATATAAAAGTTGGCAAAAAAGTTACATAATGAGTTGACAATGGAATAAATATAACCAGATTCGAAATCCGAGCTTTTTCTTTTATATGACACAGTAACACAAAGTCGGACAATGATGAATAACTTAGGTGTTTTATGACAACACTATGAAATCACAAATGTTTTATGCGAATAATCATAAAATCAAAATATGAATTAGAAAATTTGAAGTGCGACGGATATCTCAAACTTTTTTTATATGCCTTGAAAAGTCGAAATTAGGGAATCCATTAGCGAGGATGCCAGAAAGTATTTCCTACTAAACCCTCTCTACACATATGTTTTTTCAAATCCGCCTCTTAATTTTCTTTTCTTTTCTTTCAGTCACACCTCTCTTAAGACTGAGGCTTCGAGTGATATATTTGGAACTTGGAAACAGAAAAAAAAAAAAGAGAGAAATAAGTTATACAACCTAGATACTGAATGAAATTTAATTTGGGTTTGCAGTTATGTTTAAGTGTTGGTCAGATAATGATAGTCAGAGAAAAAGAAGAGGACATCCATAACAAGACAAAAAAGAGTAAAGAATAATCTTGATACAACCTGCGATACATTTTGCGGCTACCTAGTCGATCCTCACTTACAATGTAAGAGATGTGAATAGTGGGTGAGTTTCTATCACCATGGTCTGCCTTTTCCTCCAAGCCGGCGTGCAAGCTCAAAATCTTTTCTCACTGGATATGAACAGAACACAGATATGGATGAGCATATTTATTAGAGAAGTGAGAAAACAAATAACAAATGCATCTACTTCCACCTACAGGAGTATGTCGTAGCTCTAAACACTTGAACTTGTCTGTCTTATGCAATCAAGGCCTTATATATGAATTTTCAAGCAAGTACTGGACCAAAAGGATAAATACAGAAGTATGCGTGTGATTCCTATATTAAGACTGAAAATCTCTTCTTTTGGAGTACATACTTAGAGTAACACGTCTTGCATGGATAGCACAGAGCATTGAATCTGAGAACAAACCAACCAAGTAATCTTCTGCAGCCTGCCCAAAGAATTCGCGATTAGGTTAATTAGCCATCAGGGGAAACGACCATTATTCCTACAATTTCATATCAAGAAAAACAAAAAAGTTGAAGGATTAGAACCTCTTGAAGAGCCACAAGAGCTTCAGCTGTCCAACGAGTAACTTCCGGCGGAGCCAACCTATGGGTTATGCTTCTCACCTGGTAGAACAATGTACATTAGTTTTCATTGAACACAAATTGGCACTGTTGATTCACGTTAAGCATAATACGGGAATAAGAAGAATCTTGGGATGTAGCTTAGACTGAAGGATTCAACAGATATAGACAAACAGATGTAGTATTGCAGTTACAGATATCATATGGTTCTGAATCTATGAGCCAATAACCTCAGAGACAAATCAGATTACGAGCACTTTAATGCAGCTAATGATTGCTCTGAATTGTAGTCAATAGGTTATATCAGTATGTTAGCTGCATTAATGTTCAGAAAGTATCCATGTTGAAAACAAGGAAACAAATACCAGAACTATGAATAATCAAGTTCGTTGCATTTTATGAAGTTTCAAAAAAAAAAAGAATTTTATTTGGTAAAGGGTCTGATTTAGATTCAAAACGACCAAAAATGGCCAAAATGCTAAGAATGGGCTCCGATTTTCCTCTAATTACGGCTGGAAAGCAAAAGAAAAGAGAGAAAACGAGAAACTTACTTCTCTAATAAAACTAGCAGCTGGAATAAGAAGCTTTGTGCTCTTCTGGAATTGGCGAATCTCTCTGAGAGCAACAGTTCCTGGCTTGTATCGGTAAGGCTTCTTTGTTGAACCTAGAAGTAGAAGAAAAACAGAAAGATTAGATCAAATGCAAATAGATGTCCTGCGTCCTGATGGGATCTCTATCAGAAAAAGAACTCACTTTGTGGCATAGCCTGGTTGGTTCTCTTAGCCCCTTTCTTCACAAACAAAAAAAAGAGAGAAAATCTTATAACGAAATCCAAATGATATAAGCAGTTCAAAAGCAATGGTGAAATCTTACTTTTCTACCCGTAGCCGGTGAAGTTGTTGTAGGAGCTGCTGTAATGTCACAGCTCACACAGAGCGCATGAGAGATGAGATTAGGAGAGAAACAAAAAAAAAAAGTGACTCAATCAAAGTGTTTATGGATCTCACAAAAAACGTTAATGACCCAGAAAAACTCACATTGTTGAGCATTTTCTCCACCTTCTCCTACATTGCCTCTTCTCGTCGGGGTCTAGCATTTCGGTAGGTGGAAAAATTTGTCAAAAACCATAACGAGATAAAGGAAAATTTGAATAAAAAAATTGGAAAAGATGCCGTACCGTACTCGGACCTGCCGCCGCCGAGGATGAAGCAGTGGCATCTACAATTTTCAGATGCGAAAACTAGGGTTAAACAGCCGACAAAAAAACCAAAAAAAAAAACCTAAAATCAAAGGTAAAATCGAAAGTAATTGGAAGAGAAAGCAGGTAGATACAGTATAATACCAGTTCGATTCCGATCTCGTGTCCTGGAAGCGAAATGCTTGGTTCTGGCCATTAATTGATTACTGCTAGGAGAAATCGCGCAATGAGAGGAATCGTAAGAAAACGAAAGAGGGAATGTAGAAACGAAGAAGAAAGTTGCGGTTAAGAAACTCACCTGATAAGAGAGATTACAAGACATGAGAAAACTTGAAGGCGGGATGGGATTTTGGTTTCCCGCTCAGACCTGAAATTTTGATTTTAAATTCGATCCATCTCCTTCACAAACAAATTGCTGTTTAGTCAAAATACTCTCGAGTCAAAAGAGGAATCAGGGATGCTCATACACTTATATTTTGCGCTAACCTGCCTTTCACACAGAGGGTTAGCGCTAACCTTATTGCTTTTATATATATTTTTTTTTGTTCAAGCAGTGAAATGAAAAATAATAAATAACTGATACGATAAAACTACGCCGTTTATTTGTGGCCTACTGCTAGTCATTCTTTATAATTTGCCCCTGGATTTTGCACAATCTTACATTCAAGACCCCAAAAACAAAATATCTCCCTTTGTCTCTCGCTCACTCTCCCCTTTTGTGTGTTTTTCTTCTGAATTTGGTGAAATTTACGTTTTCAAACAAGGATCAGAATCTTTTGGTAAACAATAACACAAACAGAGGAAAACGAGAGGGAAACTATAACCTTATTGCTTTTCTATGTAAACATTTTCAATACCACATCTTTGTATATAAAAACATTCACATTTACATTAACATTAACAAGAATATCTACAAATCTATCAAAGGTCACACAACCACCAGAAGACCTTTTTTTACATCAAAACTTCACCATTGGCAAAATACATCTTCTAAGGAGTTGATGATCATTACCACACACACACACACATATGTAACCCTGGAAAGTCTCTATATGCATACAGACCAAACCAACAAAAAGTTTCATGGTGATGAATATATTATATCACACGCTGGAATGATTATGTTCAGATCATGATGTCCTGAGAAGCCAATCTTTCAGAAACATCTGCCAACGATTTGAGGTTACATCTTATGAGTGCTTCGACGAAGAAGCAAGTCTCATCCTTTGTGTTTCCTTCAGGTACATCGACTACAAACGATTCAATCACCATTGTTCCTGCTCTTCCCTCTATTATCTCTGGGTGAACAGTCACGATCGAAGAGTAATTCTGCACAACCAAAACCATCCCAAGAAAGAAAAAATGACATTTTAAGGAATTCTCTCGTTTCTAAACACCGAGAATGCTCTGTGAGATCGATTATCGTTTTACCTTGAGTCTGTGATCACCACCGATGATTTTGATACCGAGTATGTGTTCGTCATCGTCGAGAAGTTCTAATCTCTCGGTACTTGTTGTCGCTGGAAGGCCAGATTTGACATTCACTTCTCTGAGACTGCCGATTTCAGGATCACCGATCACCGTGCATCTGCTCACGAATGGTTTGTATTTCTGCGGCTGATCAAATCTCCTCACGAGTGACCAAACCTGGTCAAGTTTCAACCCAAAACATTAGCTGGAAATTAAGCAATCGAGCAGAGATTTCGAAACCCTAGCTCAGTGGTTCGGGTGGAAATCCGACGAATCGAAACTTGAAATTAAAGGGAATTAGATCGGAGAAATCGAGAGGCGTACGAGATGAACAGGAGCCTTGATGTGTTTGACAAGAGCAGAGGTACACTGGTTTTCTCTGCAGTGATGCTGATGATGCGTCCGTACATACTGCACCGTCTCAAGTCCACCGTACATCGCCGTGCCTCCTCCTCCGCCGTCCATATCCTCTTCCATATACAAATCTCCTCTTTCTCTATTTTCTCCTTCGCTATTCTCTCTCTCACTCTCTCTCTCTCACTCTCTCTCTCTCGGAATCTGTCAAGTGGATAAATAGAAGAAAATCTGTATAAGAAAAAAAAAAGGAGAAGATGCTTCGCTATGCCAAAAAAAATAAAAAATTTAATTTTATATTTTTCCCCAATGAACCTACCGACATAATAACTTTTTTATTACTCCTTCCGTTTCACAAAAAATATCGTTTTAAAATTTTATTTTTGTTTTACAAAGAGTGTTGTTTTATATTTTCAATGCAAAATTTTAAACAATATTCTTGTTATAACCCTATAAATTTAATGTATTTATTAGATAAAACAAATTATTTAATGTATTAATAAGGGACAAAGTTATATTTTTAATAAATTTCTTAATATATGTGAAAAATATTAGAATAATACTTTTTATAAAACGAAGGGAATACGTGCCTAAACTCTTTTTTTAGCTTCTTCTCCTTCACACATTTTAAACTTTTCAACAAGAAAAAGAATATAAATAATATAATTTTCGTTTTTTTAAGCGTAACAACATAACAACAAAAGAGGAATCAACTGTTGTTCTCTATGACTTTGTGAGACCTAATTCGAATAAAACAAACCAATGCCTAGACAGATATTTGTTGACAAAATTGAGAAGTAGACGGTAGCATTCGTGTTTATTTTCTATTGAATTGTTATTTTTCTAAATATACTTGCGTATAACCAACCAACCAACCATAAGTGCTTTGTTAAATGCACAACTTTTTAAAAAAATATACTACTCGTTAGTATACCGAAAATTTTCAAATCGAATATCGATGGGTTTGTAAATTGTTTGGTATTCAAGTTAGTAGAATATTTATATTCTGAAGTTATATACCAAAGGGAGACGATAGGTTCACACTGGTGAGTTTGGAGATTTTCAGTGTATCGGCTCCCATATGTCTTGTTTGCTCCATAAATATAGTTATTGTTAGTGTACTGTAGATACTTAATTCAAGCTAATCTGAAAATATTAAGTAATTTAGTCATATAATAAAAACTTAGATTCGATTTTTTTCATCCAAAAGTAGGCGTTGATTTTTATTTAGTATACCATTCATTGCATTTTTAAAATATGTTTAGCGAGATCTTTTGTACAAATACTCTAAAGCCGTCGAAAACTAGATTACCTGCAAGCGAATTATATTACACTGCAAAATAGTAACTTTTTACTCGAGATCAAGCACCAAAGAACGTGGCCTATGTCGTTGCCTCTTAAGAGGGATCTTTTTTTTCTTTCTTCCCAGTTCATTTCGAATAAACGTGTTGTATAAAATCGTACTAACTCAGAAAGACAGAAAGTGTCGCCTCAAAAAAAAAAAAAATCGATAGTAAAATATCAAACAAAAATCCAAACCTACTAAGAAAAAGGGAGACCTAAGAATTAAGGAAGCCAATAACGCACTTTTTGTTGTTAAAATCATCGACGTTAATTACGCTTTCAAACCATTATAAATTATGCACAACTATTATAATTAGTGAGGACGGCTTTTCTTTTCTCAAAAGACCCATATTTACTACTATTTTTGTTTCTTTCAAACAAAAAAAGATAATCACGTCTTAGATAACTCTGGTTAAATGATTACCTTATCTTCTAAGATATGAATAATGGTTTAAGGTTTCAAGCATAAGTTAACAGCAAAAAAAGTTTCAAACATGACAATCTTTCGATCTTGTAACCATTTTACCCATTATAAGCTTAGAACTGGAGGTTTTGCTGTATTTGACTATTGTTCATGCTTACAAATCTCATTACCTCAAAGTGACGAGATGGTTAAAATAATTTCTATACTTTGGATTTTGCTTATATATCTATATTCTGCAAGTATTTAACATTTCATATTTGTCTGTTTTAATGCTAAGTGATAATAGTCGATGATAATTACAGTAACCTTATCGGATAGGATAGGATCAGCTTTTGGCATCAGGCATGCAAATTTACGCAAAAAGATTACTTTAACGTAAATACTAACGGCCACATAGTCTTTTTAGTAGCAGCGACATTACAACTAAACATGGTCAGATAATAAGAAACTTGTTTACGTGTAGTCTCCTTATTGGTTTATTGTCTGCCTTTTATGTGTTCACTTATTGTGTCGCATCTCGTGAAATTGATACGGTTGTAAATCTACTGTTTACTTGCTTGGATTCTACAATCTGTGCGAAAATCAAAGAATAAATGTTAAAACCGATTGAAGTGAAAAGACAATTAAAAAGAGCACACAAATATTGTAGGAAAAAAAAACGATTCTACTGGTCATGCAGGAAGAAAAATGACGGACGATGAACTTTATCAGTGTAAATGTAGGAAGCTGAATCCAAATTTTGATTCAGTTTTTCTTTCTCGAAATATAAGCTACCGGTTTCTCCATACTTCAGTTAAATACAACCATTTGCACTGGTCTTATCTTACGTTGACTACGACATTTTTTTTACTTCAAATTTTTGTCTATAAATCAAATGATCGAAGTTAACAATCCTATTAAGAACACACAAAAAGACGAAGGAAACTCAGCTATCCTTAGATGTGTCAAACAAGGCCCGATCGGCCCAGTCTGTAAAGACCATCACTAACAAACAAAAAGCTTTCATCAAGCTAGAAAAGTAGTTTTTGCCTTTTTGGTTTTGGCTTGTGAAAGAAAAACTTCATAATCCTTCAGCTTTTCTCCGTTCTTCAGCCATCCTCTTCTTGATCTCATGTGCTGCATTGAAAATCCCCAGAGTTGGTTGGTTACACACAAAGCACTTCTTGTTCTTCGTGTGATGCTGCATCATTAAATATAAACAAACTCTTAGTTTCACAAACCATATATAAGGAATCATTATTATGACTTAAATCAATCAAATTAATCATCATACCTTTAAAGCACAATGCTCGCAGAAGTAGTGTTTGCATTTGGTGACAACTGGATCGACGAAAGGCTCTCTGCAAATGAAGCAAGCAAAGGGCAATGCATCTTCGTCTTCGTCGCTGTTGTTGTCAGCGTCATCATCATCTTCATCTTCAACTCCCATAGCTTTGTTTCTCTTCCTAACTTTCTCTGCTTCTTCCCACTCTTTCTCGATCTGCCATCCCGGTTTGTAATCCCCACGGTCATGCAAGAACTTACAAGAATCTCCATATCCACAGTATCCGGTTTCTTTGTAATCCTTGCATATATCTGGCTGGTAATCGAACCTAGCCGATACTCTGATATGAGCAGAAGCTCTTAATGGCCCGTGCGAACCTCCTGCTTTCTCGCTAGAGATCGTTTGCTCTCTTCTAAACCCAGCTTTGTGATCTGTATATCCATGGATTCCGGTATACAGCTTCTCATCCGAAGCATTCTTTTTGTTCCCTTTCAATGCTTCATCTGCTCGCTTAAGAACTCTCTCACGGATAGCTCGTGCATCTTGATTGAAGTCGGTCTCGGTTTCAAGAGTTGCCGTGGCTCTACTGTCGTTTTGAACCTGGATCTCCTTGGATGAATCGTAGTGAAAGACGGCTTTCTCTGGAGCCTCACTCGTAGTAGCAGCAGAGCTCTTGGATGGTCCAGAGGAGAAGAATAACTTGCTGTCGGGTTTAGCAAATTTCTTTAGGTTGTGTAATATAGAGCTTTCGCTTTTAGAATCTCCGTCTTCTTCATCATCTGCGTCAGCCGTTCTTTTCCTTATGTTTTTAGCTTTTGATGGCTTCTTAAAGAAAGTGCAAACTGTAAAAAAAAGAACAATGATAAGATTTTGGTCAGTGTCTCCAGTTTCCTTAATGGAAGTTAGTTAGCTAACAACGAAGAACAAGGAAAACCCGTGAAACAAGTTGAAAGCATATGTACCTTGCTGAGATTGAGATTCTTCTTGCTCAGATCTTTTGGGTTCACCAGAATCTGACATTGTTAGATAAGGTTATGTAAACACACAATCACCCACTTGAAAGTTTGCCACTTTTGGGTTTTTGTTACCTGCAGAATCCCAGATATTCCGATTAAAGTTAGTTCTCACTGAAATAACAACAATTTCTCGATTTTTTTTCTCTAGATTCGATCTTATTAGCGACAATGAAACAGAAAATTGACCACCCGGAATCGAAATTCGAGTCCATAATAGTTCTACGAAATAATCAGTACTACACATTGAGAAAACCGGATCCAAATCACATTAAAAGAGTTGTCAAACCTCGAGTAAATAGAACTAGTATTCGATTCTTTACCACTTCCAAATAGCTACTCTGGTGGAGAAAAACAAAAATTTGAACATACCTCCAGAGAACGGAAACCGAGCGGATGATGGTGATAGAAGTGGCGATACTTGGAGATGTGCCCTCTTCGACGGAGATGCTGCCGGAGATGATGTACATTAGACGAGGCGATGGGAAGATTGGAGAGGATGATTTGATTTTAAAAAAGAAAATCAGCCGAGGGTTAAGTGTCACCGCACCGGAATCGCAGATCGATTACGCAGCGTTTTAAATATGAGATGAGGCGGTTAATTGAATATGGGTCATGGATCTAAATAAGCCCATTGTTCTTAATGGGCCCAATACTTTTCTTACTAAAATGAAATGTGGAGGAACGTTGAAAGGCAGAGAGAATACACCATTGGACAATATCCCAAAGATACGGTGTCACAATTCTAGATGCTTAAAACAGTGACAAGTAACAAGGCCAAACGCCAATTTTATAGTTCTAAAGCTAACTTAGATAATAGTACTATTCAAGTTGGTTAGTAATACTAAAACGAGTAAATAACCAATCTAGTGATAACTTCTCCGCTGACAGAAGCAAGTTACCCGCTATTAGTATCAGAAAAAGAAAATCGATATTATCTGTTTTTTCAAAAGTCCTTATGCATGCATACATATGCGTTATGACTGGATCAGCTTACATCTCAACATTTTTCTTCGGCCGTAAAATTCTCTAGTCCTGATTGGTGACTATAGTTTGGTGTAGTCAAATAAGTAAAATAGTAATCATTCTTTTGTATATATGTAATTTTGTTAAAAGCTCTCCTTCATAGGTTACGAGGAGAGAGTGCTGGGTTGATGGCACACCGTCTCTCTTTCTCTCCTTTTTTTTTTGTTCTCTTGTTGTGGTTGATATATATTTTTGGTTTTACCGTCATTGATATATATTAACATTGACCCACGTTGAGACATACTGTATCATTTGACAAACCTTAATATATATGTTATTAGTTTTGCTAAGAATATTAAAAATTCTACAGCTAACTTAGTTCATCAAGCTCATGGTTGACACCTCTATCTTAAGTTCCATGTTTTGTTACGTAAATATTCATTAATTTTATGGTTAAACAAATTATAATTATGACATTTAGTTTGATGCTAAAATAATTTTAAAAATGTTATTTTCAAGCGGATGATGGTTACAGAATACGCAAACGCAATATCGATAATACATTATATTACAAAAAAATGACGAGTGTAAAGATAAATACGTTATTTTGGGGGAAAAAAAGAATTACGGAAACTTCTCTACAAATTGGCCATTTCGTTTGGTTATGTCTGGATTATGATAATGGGCAGAGCCAGCTCTACGTGGTCCATCTTGCACCGTCCGATTAAGGAATTTGAGCGATCGTGATTCGTTGAAGCACCCATTTTACGTGGGACCCATGTAGACGATGGTCCCGCTTCTTGTTTCTTCTTTCCACTTGTGACCTGCCATTGCCAACATTACTGGACGACAAATTTGCCTGCGTTTTCTTCACACATAAAAAATCTTTATTATTTCTACAAAATGATAAAAATTCTAGCTTAATCATATTTTGCTTACAAAAACGTATTAACCTGGTAAAAAGGGCTTAATGATAAACGTCAAAAAAATAATCATCAGAACTTGTGTTTGTTTGAATTAGCTTTATATGCAAACATACACAAATATACATGTCGGATTTATTACTTTGTTTGTTCGAATAGGATTTATTACTATATCATGATAGTTTAGGGATTATCATTCTTGTTGATTATCTTTTACAAAGTTTTAAACTGAAAAAAAACTACTTAGATTTTAATTGGTCAATATTCAATATTTTTTTTTTGAAATCAGCGATTTTTCAAATTAGAGTTGAAAAAGGAGCTTGAATCAGTGTTGGTGAACCATACACATATTAACTAACTTGATTTCTTAGTATACTGAATGAAGACAGTTTAATCGTTAAACAATAAAAAATACGTCTAAATATTTTCTCTTTTGCTGTAAAATAACATAATAGCTGGGAAAAATAAAAATTATGTGCAAGTAAAAATTGGAAAAAATCAAAAGTGGAAGCATGAAAAAAAAGGAATGATCAAAACAGAAGGGGCACAAATGGAATAATCCAAAAAGGAATGATAAAAATAGCTTAGAAATAAGACAATTCCCTCAAGGCCCATTAACGGCTAAAAGGCCCTATAAGGTAAGAAATAATTCCAAATGAAGCAAATTTCAATAAAGATGAAAAGGCAAAAATGCCTTTGAAAAGAGAAGATAATTACAGAAAATTGCCACGAACGTCCATAAAAAGCCATTCTACCCATCTGACTATTGAATCTCCGCCCTTCCTTCCTTATCACTCACAAACTTTTACTATCTCTCTCTCACACCGTTTCTCCATGAAAGCTTACAGCTTCAGCTTTTCTTCGAACCACTAAACTCTCTTATAACTCTTTGTTATTATTATTACTTATTATTATCCTCCTTTTTAAAAAAAACAATTTCATATTTCTCTACTGGAAGCTTAAGCTATACTAGCTCCTACTCTTCCTCTCACTCGGTAACTATCGAAATTTGAATTTTAAGTTTGTGTAGCAAACATATATTTTAATTAATGGTATTTCAGAAAACCCGTATTTATTCAGTTTGATAGCTTTTGGATAATAATTTCTACTCGACTGCATAATTTTTATAAGCTCTACACTTTGTTTAATTATGGGTTCTTCATGAGGTTTGAGTGGTTATAGACTTATAATTTGCCATTTGTATCTATGTTGACAATGTTATTGATTAAACTAACCAATTTCATTTATTTGCAGCTATTTATTTGGTTTTCATTCAATAAAACAAAAGAAAAAAAGCTCGAGAAATGGCTCCCAAGAACAGCCGTGGAAAGACAAAAGGAGACAAGAAGAAGAAGGAAGAGAAAAGTACCAATAGCGAAAACCTTAAGCTATTTGAATTTCAATAGAAATTAGCTGTTAATTAACTTGCTTTGATAATTATTTTCTGAATTTTACGGTTTATATGCAGTTCTTCCGGTTATCGTGGATGTCATTGTAAACCTTCCGGATGAAACGGAGGCTATTTTGAAGGTTTGTGTCTTTATTTTCCTCGCATCATTTATGAACTATGTCAATTTTCATAACTCTTGCGTGTTTACAACTGTTTTTTGGTAGCGATTTCTTTGTGAAATTTGTTATAACTTGTAACCCCTTTTCTATTTCTCTGTTTTAAATATTTTATGCACATAACTGATTTCTATTACATTAGTTTCTGTACTGTCTACTTACAACATATACATATGAAACTTTATCTTAATTATTTTGAATTATGTTTTTGAGATATAAAGTCCCAATATGCATATTCGAATTTTGTGCTGGCTTCTTTATTTTGTTGGATAAGGTAAGAATACACGTTACCATAAAAAAAAAAACTGATAGTTATACATGTTGTATTTTTGGTTTTTTTTTTTTGTAAACAAAAAATCATTTTCAATTTGACTTAGAATTATCTTTTGAACTTTTTTTATCATTATTTGAACGTGTATATAAATACAAAACGGTGTGTAACACACAAATTCAAAATTTAAATAATTCAATTATCTCATAATTTTGGTCAATATAATTACGTAGACGTTATATAGACAGTGAAATATGTATTAAAAACATGTATATCAAGTATATTTTCTCGTCAGAAAATATGTATATCTATGATTCTAAATTAATTATTTTTTTCGAATATTTCTCAAAAATAATTTTTTGTATGAAATAATATTAGTATATTTTAGGCCGTATTTTAGGCAAAGTTTTCCACATGTTTATTACTATTTTAGAAGCTATTTTAAGAGAAACACGTATGTCTGAAAAACAGGGGATATCTACGGACAGGATCATCGATGTTCGGCGGCTATTATCGGTTAACTTCGAGACTTGCCACATCACCAATTATTCTCTCTCCCATGAGGTAAATAATTTTGAGTGGAAGTAATTCTAAATCATTTGAATTATTTTCCTAAAGCATGTTTCTCGTTAATGTTGTTGGTTACTTGTCAATTTTCGATGGTCCAAAAATATTTATATTGATTGCGGAATTTTATAGGATCCTAATACTAAAGTGAGCAAAAAGTAAAGGAAAATGACTTTTTTTTTTTTATGTACGTCTGAGAAGAATGTTAGTGTCACTGTGCCTAAGATTTTGCTAGGCAGACTTTCCTTTCCCATTTCTGCAATTAGATATGTTACCAGAATAAGGTTTTTTTTTAAAAGATTACAGAAAAATATAAAAATAACAATAATGGCATAAAAAGGGTAGTAATAAGAATTTACTGTGGTAAAGCAGTCAATTCATTTCTGACTAGAAGAAACTGTCGTCACAGGTGAGAGGATCGCGGTTAAAAAACACAGTGGATGTTTCGGCGCTTAAACCGTGCATTCTCACGTTAACGGAAGGTAAAGTTCTCTCCATTCGACGCCGTTAACGCGCCGTAACGGTCAATTAACGGATTATAAAATCATTTGAAGTCATTAAATATTTAAAACGGGGCCGTTTTTGGTTATGTCTCAAAACGACGTCACCTTCGATTCCGCGGGCTTCTAATTTGTAATTTATAAAACCTTTGCAGAGGATTACAACGAGGGAACACAAGTGGCGCATGTTAGACGACTGCTTGACATCGTGGCATGCACGACTTGCTTCGGTCCGTCGCCGGAGAAATCTGAATCGATGAAAAGTGCGCAGGTTAAGGGAGGTGGAAAGAATACCAAACAGACGGCGGAAACGTCGCCGAAGGATCATGCGGTGGTTGATGAAGCCGGAGAGACTAGCCATTCTTTCCCTAAGCTTGGAAGTTTCTACGAGTTTTTCTCTCTCGCTCACCTCACTCCTCCTCTTCAACGTATGATCCTCTCTCTCTCTCTCTCTCCTCTCTAACCCTAATTCTGATATTTTTGTCCCAACCTTACGGTATTTAGGGTTTTATAGATATACGACTTGTGACGAAGCGGGAAACCGAAGATATCGCGACGGAGGATCATCTACTCTCCATCGATGTAAGACATAAAATTTCTCAATTTATACTCTCAATTGGTTGCATCTCGATGTAGCAATTGATTGGCCTTTGATGATACCGTTTTTGCGTTTCAAAATTTTATATTAGGTGAAGCTTTGTAACGGGAAGCTCATTCAAATTGAAGGTTGCAGAAAAGGGTTTTACAGCGTTGGGAAACAAAGAATCATATGTCACAATCTTGTTGATTTGCTTAGACAAATTAGTAGAGCCTTCGATAATGTAAGTTTCTTTTTTTTTCCCTGGCTGTCTTATATTATGATCGAACCATCTACATTTTAGTAAATTCCGCGTTTAGTTGATCTTGTAAATTTTATCATGTTTTAGGCTTACAGTGATCTCCTGAAAGCATTTTCGGAGCGCAACAAGGTATGTTTGTTTCTTTTATATATCTCAAAGAGGATTTATAAGTCGATGTTGCAGTTACTGAGGATTTTAATATCTAATAATGTGCAGTTTGGGAATCTTCCATATGGGTTTAGAGCTAACACATGGCTCATCCCGCCAACTGCGGCGCAGTCACCAGCAGCATTTCCGCCTCTCCCTGTCGAGGACGAGAGATGGGGAGGTGATGGTGGTGGTCAAGGAAGAGATGGCAGCTACGATTTGGTTCCATGGGCCGACGAGTTTGCCTTCATCGCATCTATGCCTTGCAAAACAGCAGAGGACAGACAAGTCAGAGACAGGAAAGTGTTCCTTCTTCACAACCTCTTCGTCGATGTCGCCACTTTCAGAGCCATCAAGGCTGTTCAGAAAGTAATGTCTGAAGATCAAAAAGACTCTTCTGACCTTCTATACTCCGAGACAGTCGGTGACTTGAGTGTTACGGTTACGAGGGATACTTGTAATGCAAGTAGTAAAGTGGATACAAAAATCGATGGGATTCAAGCCACTGGTTTGGATAAAATGAAGCTGATGGAACGGAACCTTCTCAAGGGACTTACTGCTGATGAAAATACTGCTGCTCATGTGAGTTTTTTCTTTTCTAACAATTCTCCACTCTTTTCCATGTTTGTACTCATCTGTGTTCTTTAACAATTGTTTATGGGTGCAGGATGTTGATACTCTAGGAACTATTAGCCTTAAGTATTGTGGTTACATTTCTGTTGTGAAAATAGAGAAGGAGAGTGAGAAGTTAAACCCACCTTCTCAGATTGTTGACCTCCTTGAACAGCCTGAAGGCGGTGCTAATGCTCTAAATATCAACAGTTTGAGATTGCTTCTCCATAAATCGTCTCCTGAGCAGAACAAGAGAACACATCAGCAACAGGATGATGAGCTTACATCTTCACGAGAATTTGTAAGCAAAATGCTGGAGGAAAGCCTTGTTAAGCTTGAGGAAGAAAAGATAGACAGGGACAGTATCATGAGGTGGGAGCTTGGAGCTTGTTGGATACAGCATTTACAAGACCAAAAGAATACGGAAAAGGACAAGAAACAAACCAACGAAAAGACTAAGAATGAGTTGAAGGTTGAAGGTCTTGGGAAACCGCTCAAGTCCCTCAATAGCAGCAAGAAGAAAACAGATGTAAGCAGCCCTAAGGCGATGCAAACTGCAGTATCGTCTCAGGTTGATGCGGTTTCTTTAGAGGCTGATAATGCTGCAACAACTACATCTTTGCAATCTGACACCGAGAAGAATTCTGAAGAAAATGTGCTTGTCTTAAAGAACCTGCTGTCTGATGCAGCCTTCACTCGCCTAAAAGAGTCAGATACTGGACTTCATCACAAGGTTTTTAGCACTAAAACTCTGGTTTTTGCTCTTGTTCATTCACTTATTGTGTTCTAACTACGAATATTTGCTTCAGTCTTTGCAAGAACTTGTCGACTTGGCACAGAAGTACTATACTGAAGTCGCTATTCCGAAACTGGTAAATGAGTCTAACTTTCATTTTTAGTCTTTTCTATTGCCAAATATGAAGATAGAAACACATCATATATTTGGTATTTTATCGCTCAATACAGGTTGCAGATTTTGGTTCGTTGGAGCTCTCCCCAGTCGATGGCCGGACTCTAACTGATTTTATGCACACAAGAGGTCTTCGGATGCGCTCTCTAGGATATGTTGTAAGTTCATGGTTCTCATAAGATTTTTTTTGACTTCGAGGTTCTTAGAATCTACGAACGATGAATGATCAAATTTGATCATCCACGTCTTTTCTATGGTGACAACAGGTGAAGCTCTCAGATAAGTTGTCACATGTACAATCTTTGTGTGTTCATGAGATGATAGTTAGAGCCCTTAAGCATATCCTACAGGCGGTGATTTCTGCTGTTGCTGCTGACACTGACAAAATAGCTGCTAAAGTAGCTGCTGCTCTGAACATGATGCTTGGGATTCCTAATAACACTGTAGCAGCAACACCCCAAAACTCTTGGAATGTACATCCTCTTATCTTCCAGTGGTTGGAGAAGTTCTTGAAGAAGCGATATGACTATGATCTTAATGCCTTCAGTTACAAGGATCTACGAAAGTTTGCCATTCTCCGTGGATTATGCCATAAGGTAACTTATTTAGATGCCATAAGGTAACTTATTTAGAGATGCTTTAACCAGAAAATTCGATTTGAGTTATAGCTAGTCGCTAATCACTATTAGATTGAATATTATTATATGTCCTCAGGTTGGTATTGAGTTGATTCCTAGGGACTTTGACATGGATTCTCCAGAACCGTTCCGGAAAACAGATGTGGTCAGTCTGGTCCCAGTGCATAAGGTAATGGACAAAAGATATATGAAAAAATGTTCGATCTGAATCTCTGTATACATTCTAGTATTTTTCAAAAAAAGATATTCTATTCTAAATTTCTGCAGCAAGCAGCATGTTCATCTGCTGATGGAAGACAACTTCTGGAGTCATCTAAAACAGCTTTAGACAAAGGAAAGCTTGAAGATGCAGTTACATATGGAACAAAGGTACATGTCCAGGAAAATTTCTTTTTCTACTTGCTGTTCCTCTGTACAGCGTCATGATTTGTTTTTTTTTTTCTTTTCCTCCCTTTAGGCACTTGCTAAACTTGTAGCAGTTTGCGGTCCTTATCACAGAATGACGGCCGGAGCTTACAGTTTACTTGCTGTGGTTCTGTATCACACCGGTGACTTTAACCAGGTCTGTATATATATGTAAAGAGTTAGGCTGTGATATTTCTCCTCGATATGGAAAGTTGCAAACCTAAAAGATTTTGTTGAAACAGGCTACAATATATCAGCAAAAGGCTTTAGATATCAACGAGAGGGAACTTGGACTTGATCATCCGGATACAATGAAGAGTTATGGTGATCTTGCTGTCTTCTATTATAGGCTTCAGCATACAGAGCTGGCTCTCAAGTAAGTTTTGCAATCAAAAAAGAAGTGCGAGGTTCAATGGTTTGGATGTCTATTTCTACCATCTAAACTTAGGATGTTTTTTCTTTAATTTGTTAGATATGTGAAGCGTGCGTTGTATCTCTTACATCTGACGTGCGGTCCATCTCATCCAAACACTGCTGCCACATACATTAATGTAGCCATGATGGAGGAAGGTCTAGGAAATGTACATGTTGCCTTGAGGTATCTTCACAAAGCTCTCAAGTGTAATCAAAGGTTGCTTGGTCCTGACCATATCCAGGTTCTTTCCCCGATGCTCTCTGTGTTTTTTTGGAACATCACTCTGTCAGAAATTTGATGCTAATATGTTGGTGCTAATTTTTGTCAAATTTCAGACTGCTGCAAGCTACCATGCCATAGCAATTGCGCTCTCTTTGATGGAAGCATACCATCTAAGTGTTCAGCATGAGCAAACAACCTTAAGAATCCTCCGAGCAAAGCTGGGGCCAGATGATTTGCGTACTCAGGTAATATATTACCCATCAGCCAAATCAGTCATCTTTCTGAAAACTGTATGCATTATTAAATCTGATTATGTACTTCAGGATGCTGCTGCTTGGTTAGAATACTTCGAGTCCAAGGCTTTCGAACAACAGGAAGCTGCACGAAATGGTACTCCTAAGCCTGATGCGTCTATAGCCAGCAAAGGCCACCTAAGGTCAAATAAGTTCTTTACTTACTCATTTAGTGTTTATAAGTCTTTCTATAGATGTTGTTTGAATGTATCAATCTCCTTGGTCTGATCCTTAGATTGCTAATTTTTTTCAGTGTATCCGATCTACTCGACTATATCAACCCAAGCCAAAACGCAAAAGGGAAACAGAGTGTGGCCGCAAAGAGGAAGAGCTATATCATGAAGGTTTGTGTTCTATTTTCTTTTGGCATTTCTCCACTTTGATTAATTAATGGTTGTAAATGCTTACATGGTTGGGACCTGTGTTATGTGTAGCTGAAGGAAAAATCCAATCAGAACAATGTCTCTGAACACTTGGCAGAAACTCCGAGAGAAAACCAAAAGGAAATGTCAGAAGAAGAGACAGAAGGAACTGGATCAGAAGAAGGTCAATCAAGCGATGCGAATCAGGAGACTGTTGTTGCAACAGCTGAAGAGCCAGCTTCTCCTCCAGTCATTGAGGAGGCCATCATGGTGGATAACAGTACATCTACTGAAGTTTCAAATGAGACACAAGAGCCGGATGGTAGTGAAGATGGATGGCAACCGGTGCAAAGACCGAGATCTGCTGGATCATATGGTCGCAGGCTGAAGCAACGACGAGCATCCATTGGGAAGGTATACACATATCAGAAGAAGAATGTTGAAGCTGATATCGACAACCCTCTTTTCCAGAATGCTGCTACTCAGCAGAACACCAAATACTACATTCTGAAGAAGCGAACAGCCTCATATGCAAACTATGCAGATCATCATTCTCCAACTCAAGGCACCAAATTTGGCAGGAAGATAGTCAAAACCTTGGCGTATCGTGTTAAGTCGATGCAGCCGTCTTCTGATAACACCAAGGCTGAAGCTGAAACATCAGAAGAAGATGGTTTGAAGACAGATGCTTCTTCTGCTGTGCTGTCTAGTAACGTGCAAAATGAGGTCTACCACGCGAAAAACTCTGTTGTAAGTCTTGGAAAATCTCCATCCTACAAGGAAGTAGCCTTGGCACCACCTGGTTCCATCGCCAAATATCAAGTCTGGGCTCCACAAGCCGAAAAGCAAGAGGAGAAGGACGTGGAGAAGAAATCTGAACAGGGTACATCGACAAGGGATGAGCAGATGATTACAGTAGTGTCAGAGGAGGAAGAAGTAAAAAATGAAATTTCTGCAGACACAGATTCTAGCAAAACTCAAGGCCAAGAAGAGATCAAAGTATCTGATGTAGAATTGAAAGGGAACAATTTGAATGAGTATGAAGAACCTGTTCAGGTGGAAGAACAAGTGCTTGAAGCTGAATTGACAAACGACGATATGATTCATTCCACCACAGAGCAACAAGTGACAGATCAGTTGGTTGCTGATTCCGATGATCTCAAGGAGAAACTGGGAATATCTGCCACAGAAGATTCAACGCGAGGATTATTATTACCTAACAAGAAGCTATCAGCTTCAGCTGCTCCATTCAACCCATCATCACCACCGAGTATAATACGTCCTACTCCAATAGGCATGAACATTGGACCGTCCTGGCCAGTGAACATGACTCTGCATCACGGACCTCCTCCTCCTCCTTACCCTTCACCTCCTACAACTCCAAACTTGATGCAACCAATGTCCTTTGTGTACCCTCCTCCTTACACTCAATCAGTGCCCACAAGTACTTATCCTGTAACCAGTGGTCCTTTTCATCACAACCAGTTCCCATGGCAACTCAATGTGTCGGATTTTGTGCCAAGAACGGTTTGGCCCGGATGCCATCCTGCTGAGTTTTCTCCTCCACACATGATCGCTGCCGAGCCAATCGCTGCAACTGTGCTAGAGCCAACCGTGATTCTGCCAACTGATATTGACACTTCAGGTGTAGAGGAAGAAAAAGAACAAGGCAAGCAAGATGTGGCAACTTCGGATGAAGTTGTAAATCATGTGAATAATGCAGTGGCTAGCACTGAAATGGAGAATGGAAACAGGAAATTTGAGGGTGGCGAGAAAACTTTTAGCATTTTGTTAAGAGGAAGGAGAAACAGGAAACAAACACTGAGAATGCCCATCAGTTTGCTTAACCGGCCTTATGATTCTCAACCGTTCAAGATTGGTTATAGCAGAGTGATCAGAGACAGCGAGGCTCCAAAGTCCGTTGCTTAAAACTCTCCTAAAGATTCAGCCATCATCGATCGATAAAAATGCAAAACTCACACAGATCTCTCTCTCTCTCTCTGATCCTAATTGCTGTTTCTTAGGAACAGTACAAAGGTTAGCTTCTATATAAACTCTTTTGGTTGAATTTGTATATATGTATGTATAATCAATATATTGTAACTTGTTGATGCCATCATTTGCAGGTAGTTTCGTTATCAGTCATCGGAAGCTGGGGCTTGTGATAGTCTCAAAATGTTTTGGATTCTTACAGTTACAGAAGAGAGGTTGCACAAGGGGATAAAGCATAGCCATTCTTTCTTTTTTTTACCATGTGAGGTGATGATGTATCATTTTTCTCGGTTTTTATTTTAATTCAGCCAATAAAAAAGTAGGAAATTTTGGACATAATTATTTTAGTTCACCTTATGGCCATGTTTTAAAAACTTTTGTTATTTCTCCCATTTTGTTTTCTCTTATCTATTTACGTATTTGTCATCACTCACATCAAATTGTTACGGCTCATTATGAAATTTGGAATATAAACTTATTTATTGAATCAGTAATGAAAAGTAAGTTAATTCTCCCAAAAAAAGGTTGAGTAAAAGTAAATCACAACTAAAATTTTTGATTTTTCTCCTCTGCTCTGATGCCATATCGTCAAAATGGTTAAACGATCGTTGCTGCCGGTGGATCTTGTCGGAGAAGACCAATTTGGTCTTGATAACTTCCAAACGGGTTTTCACCTTCGTAATTTCCCAGTGGGTTATAAACACAAATTGCATAAATGCCACCATTTGAGCAATCCACACGTGCGCACCCAACCTTGGTGCTATCTCTCCACACAATCTGCGTGTAATGTCCACACATCTGCCCCGACTCACACGTGTTAGCTTTCACGTCGTAAAACTTATTCTCATCCGCCCACACTTTAACGATATCCATGGGCCTCCAATTATTCTGTCCGGCCCAGAATATGTTCTCTCCAAAAGGACCGTTAGAGTGAACAAGCCTACAATCTCCCACGCGCTGGTTCGCCCACACCCGCGCATACGCCGCTAATCTTCCGTCCCATTCTAACGGTGGTTCTCCCACGCGCGCACGTACGAGGTTGTGTGCGAATAGAAACTCCATGCTCGCTCTGTTTACTTTGTTACGACGTCGTCTTCTCCTCCACCTGGACCTGAACGAGAACAGTTTTCTGGTTGACGACGGAGATGATGACGACAGATATCGTGTACTCGTAGCGGAGGGAGAATTATTGGAGGATTGTGTAGAAGACTCGTTGTGAGTAATTTGGGCCATCACAGCCCAAAACTGAAGGAGGAATAATGTAATGGCGACGAACATCGGAAACAGAGCTTTGGTTTTACGTTTTCGGAGGAAGAGCTCCATTTTTTTTTATAAAAAAAAAAGTAAATGGGAGAGTTAATTACTCAATTGTATGTGTAAAGTGGAATTAACTCTAGAATGGAATTTGTGAGAGGGAACGAATTAATACGTAGTTGTTTCTATTTTTTGTTTTTTTTTTTATTTACATCGGGCAGTTGTTTCTATTTATGAATGTTGAATTTAAGGTCTTCATTGTTTGTGTTTTTTAGTTTGGTTTTGAGTTTTGTTTTCGAAAAATCTATGTTTTCGTCCAATCAAATTTTTTAGAAAAATACATTCTCTAAAAATTAGGGAAACTATGTTTTTGAAGTTTTCATCAGGTTTTGATGAAATACCAAAAACCATATTTGGAGTCTCACCTAAAAAAACACCCCTCTTTTTTTCAAACGTGACTTTGTTTTCCTATTTGTAACTTTTTTGGTTTGCAAATATTGTTAAAAGTATTCAAAATCTAAAAATTGAAAAATCTAAAATTTTTAAAATCTATAATTAGTATCACTCTAAAAAAATGACGTTGGTATTTGTAGGTTTTGAGTTTATAAAGTGCCGAATAATTAGTATAACTCTAAAAAAATAACGTTGGTATTTTAAAAAGTTTCTCAAATCTCTTGTAACAGATATTTTTCCTGGATATTAAGGTATATATACAAAAACGCTCTTATTCAGGTTATTATGGTGATAAAGTAGATAAAACCAAAATTAAATTAAACAAGGAAAGACGAACGTAATCATTAATCAACACAGTAAAATATAAAGATCGGACCACTGTTTCTAACTTCGCGCTGGAACTTCGATTTTGTCTGATTAAAGAAATACCAAAACGGATTTTCTTTTTGGGTTAAATTACTAACACGAATTTTCATGTGTCCTATACACACGTACACGGTACACCGTCCTTTCCCAAAATTTAATATAAAATATCAAGTAGTATCTTGGACGTACTACTCTACCTTCTTCGATTTAGATTTATAATTATGGTAGTAACGCTATCTTGAAATTTGTTTCTAATAGTTCGATCAAACTAATATCCGTAGTTGACTATTTGTCATATTTGTTGGTTCAGTAAAAGTAAATTGGAGCTTCTGGCTTAGTTCAAAAACAAAAACAAATCATACAGGCTCTCTTTTGTTCCAACAAATAAAAATATATAAAGACGATACTAATACAGCCGAGCCGACACCACGTGAAGCTTTGTATCAACACGTATTTAACCCCACCGCTAAAAGATTCACTTGTCCGAAAAATACAAGCCTAAGCATAAAATTGCGAAAGAAAAAAACTTTAAAGAAAGGAAACAAAGTACTAACATCCGTACCGACACGGGTCGGGTCAAAATTAAGCGCATCCTCGTGGAGCAAACCCGACCCGGGAACCCGTTAAGTCGTAAACGACCCGGAAACCCTGCTGCTGGATGTTCCCGATAATGGATAGTCCGCTCATCGTACCGGCGAAGGCAAAACAGAACTTGCCGTTAGAATCCACTGGAATCAGGTAATTCGTCGCCGGAAGTGACACGTCAGCTCCACGGAAGTGTAGAACCACTGTCGGGACCTTAACCTCGTTTTGATTGGAGAGATCGAAACAGGTGTCGAAGAGAGAGAAATCCGGTGCTCGTTTCAGGGTCTTGGCTCCGACCCGGAACGCGTCTCTCATAGCAATGTAAGCGGGTCGGATCAACCGGGTCACAGACGTACCCGAATCGATAATGACTCCACCGTTACCGATCTGGTCGAGTTTGAAAAGAGAAGCGGTTACGCCGGGGACACGTGTCCCTCCGACGCTAATTCCTAAAAGCTCGACGTAGTAGAAAGTGTCGAGCTTCGGGTTCGATAAAAGCGGCGTGAATCTCGCGGTTCGTGAAACGGCGGCGTTTCCGAAGACGACGGAAGAAGGCTTAGAAGAAGCGGATCTGTCGACTAAACAGTAAGAGAATTTCTGGTTAAACCGGTGACCGGTTTGACCCGGAAACGATAATCTTCCTTTTCCGAGACCTAACAAACCAGCGGCTCCGACGAAGAGACCTTCGTTGTCGTGACCGCATCCGAGAGCCACGCCTTTAACGCGATTTCGACGGAAAGTTAGTGTTTCGGTGGAAAAGTCGCCGACGGTGAAAGAACCATCGCCGTATGAGACTTGGTAGAGGCAAGTCCGACGACGAGTGTTGCATCCGGCGGAATCTAATCGCCGGCAGAGAGGCGAAGAACAGGGGATCGTGGAGTAGGTCCTGGATTTTCTCGGGTCGAAAATCGGATCGGATTGAGAATAACATTTCCGACAAGGAGCGCACTGGAGCCAGACGATGTCGCTGCCGGTGTCGAGAACCATGTAAACGTATCTCGCCGGAGTTCCGACACCGAGGCGCGTGAAGTATTCTCCACTGCCCTGAGAGAGACCAGAGACCACCGAGCTGCTGAATCCGACGGTTCTTGGTGCGTGAGTCGCATTTCTCCTGGGGATTCGGGCGGCGAGTGTGGCGATTGATTCCACGCGCCGGGAATCGCGTTGGAGACGGAAGCTGAAGAGCTCTTGTGGTGTTCTGTTGGTGGAGAGAGCGTCGATGTGGTCGAGGTTTAGCGTAATCGACGACTCGGAGTCGGATCCGTATTCAGATTCGGATCCTCCAAGCAACGACTCCGAATCGGGTTCGGATTCGGGTTGGAAGGAGGTGGGAGAAGCGGAAGGAAGAGAATGAGAACTGGGGATTAGAGTTTGGAAAGTAGGAAGGGAAGAGAAGGTAGGGAGAGAGATGAAGAAGAAACAGAGAGTAAAGAGGAGAGCTTTTCTTCTTCCTTCCATTTTTTTTTTCTCTGGAAAAATGGCAGTGAGAATGGTCTCTGTATAAATAATTGCACTAGTCTTCTTGAACAACACAATGAGAAAAAGAAGCAGCGATGTCTTTTTCTTTTCCTTTTTTTTATTCTTTTTCTATGTCTATAATAAATGTGCGAACTATGATTTTCTTTGCGAATGAATATCTATCATTTTATCATTAGATTGTGGCGATGCAAAAGCGACATTATAGATTCGGTGGATAACAAACACTAATGTGGTGTGGGGGAACAATATGAAACAATTAGCTTATTTAAGGAGATCAATAACTACGTTGATTATTTATGAAAAGGGTGAAGCTTATTAAGTTATTTTATAACCCCCACAATTGGTGCCATATTTCGCTCTTGAGTTGGCAAAAAATCAAACATTCCACATGGGTGAAAAAAATATATGCAAATATTCATGTTCATTGAGATTTATTTAATTATTAAATGGTTTTTTCTTTTAACATTAGATGGTCACGATCTTGTTAGATTGTTGATATCATCAACCACTCTTTTCATACATTCCCCCACAAGAATTCGAAATAATGACATCCAAGGTTTGGAACTTTCATATACAATGCTTTCGATATATGTTAATACTCCTAAATCATAATGACGTTCTTCTTGAATCGGATACAACAAAATAAAAAAGATAATCCAATTTAATAGAGTGATATTGGGATGTGTGACCGCCAATTAAATGCTGTGACCAATCTATTCTCACCGTATAAAGAATGTGAACATTATATGAATGTGTGTGAACAATGAATAATGACTTATCACAGTTGAAAGCATTGATTTTCTATCAAACAGTTTCACTCTCATAAATTGCTTCTGATAGGGTTTAGGTGAAGTTCTCAAATCCCATATCAAATGCTTACCAAAGTACCAAACTTTTTAAAGAGTTATCAGTTATCACACAAGAAAGCCCAAGCCGTACTTGACCAGTTTATTCATCAACCACATATTTTTGAGAATTAAGCCGGTTTTACTGGTCCGGGCAAGCGATGTCTCTACTCGTATGTTCCAATCTGATGAAGATATAATTCACATTAGGAGAAAATCATAACTAGAGATCTCATAAATGGAGAAAAGAACATATCGATTAAAGGGCCAAATGTAAAAGAGACAAGAAAGTAAAGCCACTACAAGAAACACTTTTTGCTTTCTCTGCTTTCCATATGTTAAGTGCTCATTCTTCATCATTACAAGGTCGTGGAATGAACAATTTGCATACAAAAAGACTAAAAATTCGACATGATAATCAAATAAACATTGCATGATGCTCTACTAAATAAGTAATACTTGTATATACACATTATGATATTTGATCCTCCTAATTGTGTTGTACTGAATCTACTGATTTCATGAGAGATATAATGTGTGTTCTTATCAGAGCCCATCAAATGAGTCGTCAATAGTCAAAAGATTCCATCTTTCCATATGCGATTTATCTATCACCCAAGCAACAAAATAGTTGGATCACAACAAATCGTTCCAAGATAAAGAAAGCTAACCTCCATGGCTACGGAGACAAATGTTATATGTGTTCACTCGCCTCTAGACCAATACCCGCTCTTTCCACCAGCTTTACGCTCGAGTCTCACATCTGTAATGCTGATATCTTTCGAAGCAGCCTTGCACATATCGTAAACAGTTAAGCCAGCAACTGATACAGCAGTCATAGCTTCCATCTCAACACCGGTTTTTCCGGTGCAAGAAGCTTCTCCTTCGATGTCAACACTAAAATCCTCAGGGTTTAGTCTCAAGTCTACACGAACATGCGTAAGAGCAATGTTATGACACAATGGGATTAAACTGCTGGTTTGCTTTGCTCCGTTAATGCCAGCGATTTTCGCCACTCCAAGAACGTCTCCTTTCCCCATCTGGTTCGCTAAGACCAAATCGAAAACTCTTTTCCCTAGAATCACTTTACAGCAAGCCAATGCGCTTCTCTTAGTATTGTCCTTGGAAGAAACATCCACCATTTGAGCTTCCCCCGAGATCCCAACATGGGTTAGCCTAGACATTTCACTAGCCACTTTTTCAGGTCGTTCATATTGCGTAGAATTATCCTGGTTTGTAGATTTCGGAGATTCAATCTTGGATTTCAGTTCAGAGTAATCCATTGTCGCAGGACCGGAAAATCCATCGGGAGAGGGCTCTGCTCCAAAGATTGATTGCATTTCCTGAAACACAAGATGATCGGCTAAAAACCAACGAAGATGAAGTAATCAATGGAGAGAAGCAACGAACTTTTTAATCGTTTGTTTCGTATAATCGTGAAACCGAGATCACCAGATTTTCGTTCGTTTTACTCACCATTCTATCATCGGAAGTACGAACTGTAAACCATTTTGACTGAATCTACTTAATTTCTCAACATGATAGAAAAAAAATCCAAACTTTCAAGAATTTGATTGATGCTAAGCTAACTACAGATACAGAGAGTGAGAAAACCTGATTCAGCTCGTTCACAATTTGGGGATCGATTTCATCGGAAATTTTACTGCTGAAAGCCCTTTTCGTGGGAAAAATCACAGCCCGAGATCGACGGAGAAACATGGCGTGACGAAGCGTAGAAAACATTTTATTTCACCACAAGAGAAGAAACAATTGAAGAAGAAGAAGAAGAAGAAGGTGAAGAAAATCTGATGAAGAAGAAGAAAGTAGAACGACTTAACAGAACAGGTAGGGTTCTCCTAAACCGGAAAGACAAAACTAGCAAATCATCCTCTTTAAACCGAAATTTGTCTTCACCACTTAAACCGAAAATCATAAATCCTGTGCCCAACTCACACGAATCACACCCATTTTTAGCTTGCTTCGCCCATTTTTTAGTTACTTCTATGCTATTAGGATTTATAAGATTGTCAAACCTCGTTATGTAATTTCAAAAGGATTATTATTGAAATCGACATACCGTATAACCCTTATTATCTAATTGAGACAAAGTTAGAATCATTGTACTAAATTAAGTGTACGAATGAGCAGCCAATCTTGGCCTAGCAATAGCCCACAAAGGTTTAGCCTTAGGCATAGTCATACCGTAAACTTCCACCGTATCAATATTTACCGGGGAAGACCAGTCAAAGCAATGGAAGAGTCGAGCCAAAGCCATTAGCACCATCGTCACACCTAGCGGAGCACCGGGACACTTCCTCTTCCCGGCGCTAAACGGCAATATCTTAAAATCCGGCCCGTGGCTTATCTCGACCCGCCCGCTACCGTCGACGGGCCAATGACGTTCGGGCCTGAAGTCTTCCACGTCGTCCCATATCTTAGTGTTTCGACCCAACCCATGTGTATTGATGAAGACACGTGTCTTTGCAGGGATGTAGTAGCCGTTGATCGTCGTTGCTCGGACGGACTCGTGAGGGATCAAGAAGGGCCCGGCCGGATGCATTCGGAACGTCTCTCGTACCACACAGCGTAGATAGTTTAAATTGATCAGATCCGATTCGTCGACCATCCGGTTCGATCCTACGACATTGTCGAGCTCTTCTTGAATTTTACGCATCACTCGCGGTTGCTTAATCACCTCGGCCATTGCCCATTCGTTCGTCACCGCTGACGTGTCCGTCGCTGCCGCTATCATGTCCTACCCAATTTTTTTTTAACAAGAATTGTTATTAACATATAAAAAAAAATAATCAAATATAAACACGATAAATAACTAGCAATAATAAAACCTGAATTAGAGCTTTAATTTCAACGTCGTCCATGTGTTCTTTCCCGTTATCACCAGGGAGAGAGAGTAAAACGTCAACAAAATCCATGTCTCCTTTGTTATCTTCTTTTTCCCGTTTTGCCCTTCTGTGCTCCTCGATGATCTTCGTGTGAAACTTGTCCACGCGCTTCTCCACGTCCCTCATTTCCTTCTCGCATCCGTACGGATCGACCCATCTCCAAAACGGCAAGTAGTCTCCCAAGTAAATAACACCCAACAGCCAAAACAATTTATGAGTTATATGCATAAACTCTTGGGCTTCTTTTGCGCCTACTACGGATCCTGGCCCAAAGAACTGTTTCCCTAGTAGCATCCGGGTCACATTGTTCATAGAGAACGCACCCAATACTTCCCTAACGTTTATGGGCTTTCCAAATTCTGCCTTTTGGAAGACATCTCGTATTAGGTACCGGGCTTCCTCTGCTCGCTGAACCGTAAAGGATTCAAGCCTTTTGGTTGTAAGTAGGTGTTCCATGCATATCCTCCTCATTCTTTTCCAATGCGGGCCCATTGGCGCTAATGCGACATCCCCACACCCATATGCCAGGTGAACCGCGGCAAGTGTTTTAGGCCTGGATGCGAAAACATCATCTTGCCGAAATAGAATCTCTCGGATAGTTTCGGGATCGTTAGTGGTGATGGCATCGATGTTTCCGAGTCGAAGGTAGACTAGTGGGCCGTACTTGTCACAAAGAGCAGCTAAATCTCGGTGAGGTAAAGGGCCTAGTTGGAGAAGGTTACCCAAAACAGGCCACCTTGGTGGACCTGGAGGAAGTTTTTGGGCTTTACATGCTGAAGCCTTTAGCCATCTCCATAAAAGAACATTAAGAAAGAGAATGACAAAGAGAAAAGCTAACACCAAAATCATTTTAATCTTAGATTTTGTGTTCGGCAGATCTTTTCATTATCCCATATTATCTTTGTTGTCACAATATATATAACAAATAATGGAAGACTAGTAGCTATGTTTTTGTTAGAACTATTAGTTACCAGTTTTTTCAAAATTTTAGATACAAACCATAGATCTCTTTCTTTGTGTGACATTTTTACAAAGTACATGCTTTGTTCATGTTCTTGAGACGGTATATTAGGAGAGAATTAGCTTAGGAAAGACTTATGAGGATATCGCATCATGATCAAAACACATGTAATATTATAAATAATGGATATGCTAGCACAGATGGAAAATCATTCTAACATCTCAACATAAGAAACTATCTATTATATTAAAACAGAAACACATTTAGTACTTGTTTCCAAACACACATAACTATTTTTTAAGTGTTTAAAAATAATTTTAATAATTATTTATATTTAATTTCGAAAATTAGTTATTAATTTAAATATTTTTAGAGTTCCTTAAATATAGGTAATTTAGATTTGATTTGATTTGATTAAAAATAATAAATCAGATATTAATTTAGATTTGATTTAAAGATTCTAATTTAAATCATTTCTATACTATTAAACATTTTTATCAAAAATATCTAGAATTTTTGAAAAAAAAAATTCACATATGAAAAATAATGGTCATATTTGAAATATAAAATATTTATACAGATGTAAATGATATGATATTTATGTTGCTTATATAATATATTACGATTATGATTTATTTATAAATTAATAATAAAATAATAGGTAAAAATCAAATGTATAATTTAAATATTAAAAATATTTTTTTTTAAAATTCATAGAACTAAAAATATATAAAAAACCGGGTTAAAAATATTTTAGTAACTAATATCCTTAATTTTGAATTATACATGTATATCGAAAATATATTTTTCATACAAAATCAAAACATAAAAAATTAAAAATTATTTCATACATTATAATGTGGTTTGAAAAACCAGTTGTACACTCCCTTCGTTGATTAAATTTTAGAAAACTATAATGCTAAATAATACTGTTAATACATCTCAAACTTTTAACAAATATTTATATTATACGGTAATATAAACAGAAAAATAGAATTATGTTTTTATAATAGTTCATTTCGAATTGATATTAGCGGGCGGGTTAAAATTATATTTTTATAATCATAATTAATTTTAATACTATAAAATATATCTAAACACAAAAATCAATATTTTTACTAATATATTTATAAAAATAATTATATCTAAACTCAAAAACACAAAATATATTACAAAATTCGTTAAACAATAAAAAATATTCCCGTGCAGATGCACGGGGTTAGAATCTAGTTATGTTTTAATAGTGACGACCGAAATTATGCAAACAAACATTAGACTCTGAATCCAGTAACCCTAGTTGGGACTTGGGACTACACATTTTTTGACCAATTTCGAATTTCCCACCAATAAAAGAGTGTTATTTTCATCAGTTCTTTTGTTCTTAACACTATTCGGTGAGCAGATCACAAATTTTGGCTCAAAGTTGATTTACCAGTGCCATAAATCACTTGTTGAACTACTCTTCCACTTTCAGGGTTTTGCTTCCAGCTTTTGGGCACTGACCTATTGTAAAGCGAGTAAATTCCATGTACTGAGATGAGAATGTCTAATTTGTCAATAGAACTACTAAAAAGCCTAGTTTGGAGGATTCTTTTACAGGTATACAACCGGAAAAAACAAAAACAAAAGAAACCTAGAAGAAAAAAGAACCATTCAAAACCGGTTCTTCATCACAAACTTACTTCCACCTTCTTCTGTCTCTCAAAAGGCTATCTACCTGATGATGTTCTTGACTGAACTGAACTAGATTGCTCTCTAGAGAAGGCCGAGATAAGCTTCTCTTTCGTTAACTCTTCAGATCTGATCACAAAGGCATGCAACACTGTGTCCTGAGAGAATTCCATGTTCGAGTTAATCACCTCTACTTTAGCCTCTTCAAACGCATGGAAGATTCTTGAAGCCGGATGAGAATCCAACGGACAGTTTACTCTCACTGTAACATCTTCACCTGAGGTTTGAACATTAATCTCCGGTTCCAAGCTGATCGGTGGGTTTGAGCTATACCCTAACCTCTCTCTCTCCGCTTCCATGACCTTGAGCTTGGCATGCAGCTCGTTTATGTAAGAAACCGCGTCTCCCAACAAGGATGCTTTGTCCATCTTGGAAATGTTGGGAACAACCGACCTCAGGGCGTAAAACCTCTGGTTAAGCTTCTCACGCCGTTGTCTCTCTGCTTCTACGTGGTTCAAAGCTTCTGCTCTCCCGTTAGCAGGTCTCCTTCCTCGTTTTCTCGGCTTGTTGTTACCAGATTCATCACCACCCACCACATCTGCCCATTCCGCTCCTCCTTCTCCATCTGAATTATTCTCAGGCGCTCTTGAGCTCGCACCAGAGAAATCAATCTGCATTTGAGCAGGTGGAAGAAGCCTCTGCGACGATTGCTGCAGAGGGAGAAACTTGAAATCCTCCGTGTTCGGAACTTCCTTCACACTGTTCGCCCTCGTGTACATCTCCGGTTGGACCCATGTAGGACTCAGAAGAGTGCTGTTGTTGTTGTTGTTGTTGGTGCTCGGGTTCGAGAACACATACCTGTTCCCATTATTCGGATAAGTATCTAATCTCTTTGGAACTCTATCATCCATCTTTCTAACCGTAAGTTTCTCTCTGAATTGTCTATGTTGTTGTTGTTGTTGCTGTGGCTGTTGTTGATGATGACGAAGAAAACCCGAGTTTTGAAGATCCTTGCCGAATATCTTTGAGGAATTAACCGTTCTGTTATCATCATTCTTATCGGCTACAACAACGGGTAAAGCAGCAGGCGTCACAACTCTAACCGGAGGAGGCAAATAACTCGAGAACAAGGATCTTATAGACAACATCGACTCCTGACTTTCAGGCAAACTTCTCGTAGAGCCTAACTCAACGACACCAATATCAGTAGGAACCAAAACAATGGTCTGGATTCCAGCAGATTTAGCAAGAAACGATCTAACGCAATAATCAGAACCCGAGTTCACCACATCCGGTAACCAAACCGGTTTTCCCGAGTCGAAACACTTCCCTGGACCGCCTTCACCTCGAGGGAAAGAAAAATACATGGAAGCAAGAAGAAACATCTCAGTGTCCGTAACTCTATCTAGTCCTAAAGCACAGTTGTCTTCCTCTAATCCACCGAACAAAGCATGAAGCTTCTGCAACACTCTCTTCCTCATAGTCTGATGCGTTTCTTCTTCTCTTCCCATACTTAGAATCCTCACGATCTCTGATTTCTCTCCTTCTTTAGGCTCTCTGCAAGATCCGTCTCCCCAGCAGAGTACCAAATCTCCGGCCTTTGACCTCGAAATCTGCCAGAAGATGGCGTAGTTCCATGAGAAATTCGAAGCGTTGGGTCTCTCCACGAGATCCGAGAGCTTGTTCTGTAGATTCTCGTCGCTTCCTACAGTCATCAGGAGATTTGCATTTGGTACCGAATTCGAAAGCAAATAATCGAGAGCTCGTTTCCCCAGTAATGAAGCAACAATCGCTTTATCATCCTCGTTCCACGCTACGCCACCGATATTCATCTCTCTGTTTGATTGATTTCCCAGAAAGAAAGAAAAAATCCAAGCTTTCAAGAAACTCAGATCTTCAGAAACCGAGTCTTGGTCAAATTCTAGGGTTTATAAGTGTCCCAGATGCGAAAATACGGCGGAGCACAACAGGTTTGCATGGAACACCAGAGATCTCAGATCTTGCCCTATTTTAGCATAACAAATCAAACAATATCAAAAAACCGATGGAAAATCTTCTTCACAGAATCGACTGATGAAAATATGAAAAATTAACAAGCTATATTTACCAGTATATCGGATTCAAGAAAGTTTCACCACCGATTTTTTCTCCAGAAAATCGGAAATTTCATATAAAAAACTCTCTTTTTCATACGACCAAAAAAAAACTCTCTCCTCCAACCCGAAATGAACAAACCGAACTTCCCAATAAAAAAAAACTAAGAATCGAAGAAAGTGCAGAAAATGGGTAAAAGATTAAAACAAAAACAAAAAAATTAGTTTGATTTTTCAGTTTCCTCTATCGCTCCCTCTTTTGTCGCCGTGGCCAATTGAATGAATTCAAGGAAGAGAGAGAAACTCCGACGCATGTTCTTCGTGCTCTTTTTTATTAAAAACAATTTAAAAAAAAAAAAAAAAAAAGAATTTCACTTAACCAAGGTTACCTATTTAACTACAGAGTTGAGTTTAGAAACATAAGCTAAACTAAAACGGGTGGGGTCGGGTCGGTTGAGTCTCTGATACACGAAAATGTAAACGCTATATTTTTTGTTCTCTTTTTTCTTCAGACAAACAAAGATGTAAACACTAGATTATGTCATGTTTTGTAGGAAATATATTTTTTAATCAATAATGAAACAAATTTCGACTAAGGTTATTCAATTCAATTTGTATCAGATCTATCTCAACTGTATAGATCTAAACCAGTATCTGACAACTTGAATAGATTCTCTTGTACAGCACATATTCTAAAGATTATAGTTTAATTACGAAACGGCTGAATACAGAAGTGGAAACTGGAAACCAACCCCAAAATTAGTAATTCACTTTCAGTTTTTTTTAAATTATTTATTGACATAAATTCAAAGTATGCTAAGTCCGGTGGTCAAGCACCACAAACTTTGACCAAAATATATTCACGTTTAGGCTTAATTAACTAGTTTTGTTGTAAACGATATCATATCAAGTTCTGGCAATGATCGGGAACCAATAAACTGTGGAGAATTAGTCACAGGTTCTAGAGTCAAGTAAGAATCAATTAAATTTTAAATTTGTAAATGTAAAGTTCTTTATTTAGACAAAAAGAAAATCTGAAAGAAGAAAATTACATTTGCAAATCTTGGTTTTTATTTTACCCAAAAAACTATCTATTTATCAATAAAAAAATCTATTTAACAAAAAAAAAAAGAATCTATAACCCCTTTTCCACGTTTATTATATACAGAAGGTTGCGTAGGTTATGCAAGAGACGTGAGGAGGCAACTGGAGCAACTAATCTAAAGTGAGCTTATAGAATTCTGACGTCTTCTCCGTTTTTAATTTGGAGAAGAGGTTTTTTTTTTTTTTGAAGCCAACTCGATATAGAGGGTTTAAAAAGTCGGCAAGAGGCGTGAAAAGCACGTGATATTCACGTGGATCGAGGAGATGACCAGAATGAGAAGAACGTGAGATGCATTTAATTTTCTTGGATCTTTATTTTCAAATGCGCCTGCACAGCTACACTTTCTTTCTGTATTGTTTCTTATTTATTCTTCTCACAACAATAATTTATAAAACGTATAGGTTTCACTACGAACATTATCATCAAAATCTAATCAATTTTGGCTCATCAAATCCTCGTATGCAATGGAAAAGTGAATATAATATTCTCTAAGTTTCATTATAGAAGATACTTTTGAGAAGAGCAAATATTTTCTTTGACTTTTTCAAAATTTTATGCAAAATTTAATTTAAGGAGTGTATTTGTGATTAATTGTGTGTTGCATTGTTTTTTACTGATTAGTTTTTTAATTAGATATTATATAATTTTTTTAAGAGAATTTTTTAAAAATAGAGAAAAATAATTTCATATTTCGAATATTTATTTTATTTAATTTTACCCCTTTTGACAAATGTTTTTTATATATAATACTACTAGATACTAGTTATGGAAAATAAGACGTTAAATAAAAGTGATGGAAAATGGAGTCACGAGTGGGTATAATATATGGCGGTGAGAAACACACAGCAAAAAAGTGGGGACCGCGTGATTCACATGTGTAAAGAATCCTTTTAATCGATACATGGGTCCCATGTCTCCTAAGTCAACAACGACAACAATCTCAAAGTCAAGAAGCCACTTCATATTAATGGGCCGGTGTTACGGCCCTTGTTTTGATGAAACTATCCTATTAATGGGCCAGATATGGGCTTAGATAAACGTGGGAGTTTGGCATTTATCCCTAATGCCCCATCTAGCAATCTACGAAAATGGGCTGGTTGGTGTACGGACTGGATCTTAAGGAAATCATATATTTATCGTTAATAGTTGTCGAAATATTACCATCCTATATCAATTACTAACGAACTTTTATTTAAAAACAATCCAAATTGGTTAGACCTTTTTATTGTGATTGTAAACTGTAGCTTTGGAAATTTACTTGTATTGTAACTTATAATATGTAGATGTACTGTTGTAGTCTTATAGATAAGGCATATCCGTATATATATTCCAAACCGAAATCTAAACTGATTCTCCAAAATTTATAAAATTTCACTTTTGTTTTGGAAATATGTGTATTAGGGATCCCACCTATATATATATATATATATTTATATATATATATATATATATATCTCCGTTTTGGTAACTACCAAAACATAATCATAAGATACTACTTTACATCTAACAAAAACTCACGGAAAGGAAAAAGCACCGACCAAAACTTAATGCTCATATCGTATGAAAATAGGACCCAAAAAGTACTTAAAACTCATCCGAAAAAAAAAAGACGTCACACAGTGTTATAATGTCAGTTACTTCAGGTATAAAACGAACAAGTGTTGAAATTGATACAAGAAAGCACCCGGTGACAAACTGATATCTCTAACTGATACTAATTAAAGCCGTAAATGGTCTGATGTAAGAAGAAAGCGTGTTTCGTAACTCCTCTTGCTAGCTATTTCCCACTTGAGAGTATACTCAGTCTATATATATTTTAAAAAAATTAATCGCAAAATTACGTAAGAGTAAAATTTAATAATTAATTTCTTGTTATATGTGTGGGAATTTATTGTCTATATTTTAGTGTCGTGACGGGTTAAAAAGTGGAAGCCATACTTCAGGTGATATTTATCAAGTGCCCCTAGCTCTGATGTTAATATACAAAATCACCGTAAGAAGACGTGGTTTTTCTTGTGATATAGTGATACCCTTCTTTCTTGAAACATTATCCATTTTTTTTTAACAAAAAACAACAAAAATACTATATGTTTTTATTTGTATAATTATATTGTATATTCGTGACATGGCTTACTGATATAATAATCGTAAGTACCATGGTGTAATTTTATGCTTTTGTTGCATTAGTTTTGATTGCAAGTAAAATAAAAAAAATTAAAAAAATTAAGTAGTGTTGATTTCGGAGTGGTATAGACTAGAGTTTAGATTATGGCCCATTCGAAAAATATTCAATGCCATCTTAAAAAAGCAACCTCTGTGGACCTGCGTTGCCCAGATATATGAGCTAACATAAAATTAATAAGTTAAAAATTATGAAAGAAAAAAAAAGTTCTACTTTGTAGATATATTTTCACGATAATGGCATGCATGCACACACAAAATTACACCTAATAAAGCGATTTTTATTAAAATAAGTTTGTCTGAATTTTTTGGAGTAAATATTACGATATATTCACATGTTTACCTGCGAAACGTTGATAATATAAATGTAATGTGTGTATGTCAAGAGATACTGTATGTAGTTACTATGGTATTAACCGGTTTGGATTGATGTAATTCAAATATGCAGTTATAAGATGAGACAAATGGGTCCAATCGAGTCGTCTAAATCGATAGACTTCTTTACAAGTATGAGCTAGGTTACGTACTTTATAACCATTGTTAGTATTCAAATCGTTTTTAATCGTAATTACTGTTTAACATTTATAGTTTTAACAAAACCGTTTTCTATTTTACTTTGTTAGATAAGATCTCTACCAAAAAAAAAAAAAAAAAAGATTACCAATTTGTTGAAAATCTTGTTGAATACTTGAGCTATGTATTGAAAACATTTTCCCACCTCTCCTGATTGCTGGGAGACAAAGATTTGACATATATATAAACTTTTTGGTATAATTTGACATATAAACTTTATCATTGGGACAGCAATACACCATGATCAAATTTTGTTTTTATGCAAGATTTATAATCACTTTTGCTACTAATACGTACTATACATAACCGGTTTAATTTGATTCAGCCAATTATTGTACTACCAATCTATGGGCAGAGTCAGACCATAATCATATATACGAACCAAGATCATGCTCGCTGATTTTAAAGTTATTTATAACAATATTCTACAATATCACCAATTCATGTTTCATCAACTAAAACTTCACTAGCTAGTTTACTATCCAACTAAAATAATCGGCGGTAGTTGGAGTTCTGTTTTTTTTTTTCGGAAAAAGTAAAATAAAAATGAAGTTCGATCAACTAAATTTTATAATATCGGGGGCATTTATGAAAATTCGTATAGGAAACAGTAACGCATTTGGTTGGAACATGGGATTGGATGAGATTATAAATGTTGATGACAGTGTGTGACTAACCACATAACAAACTCCTTTTAATGTTACCCAAAAAAAAAAAAAAAAAAAGAATGAAGCTATCACCACCACCGCTAACCAACAACGAATCAACCGCCGCCGCTTCCGCCGTTAAATCTTGCGGCGGAGGAGGCCGTAGAGAAACTTCCTCGACGACTAGGCATCCAGTGTACCACGGAGTTCGCAAACGGCGATGGGGAAAATGGGTTTCCGAGATCAGAGAGCCCCGGAAAAAATCTCGGATATGGCTCGGATCTTTTCCGGTGCCGGAGATGGCGGCTAAAGCTTACGACGTGGCGGCGCTTTGTCTGAAAGGAAGAAAAGCTCAGCTCAATTTCCCCGAAGAAATCGACGATCTACCTCGACCGTCCACGTGTACGGCCAGAGATATCCAAGTCGCAGCGGCCAAAGCGGCCAACGCCGTCAAGATCATTAAAACGGGAGATGATGACGTGGCAGATATAGACAACGGAGATGATTTTTGGGAAGGCATTGAGCTGCCGGAGCTTATGATGACCGGAGGTGGGTGGTCACCGGAGCCTTTTGTGGCCGGAGAAGATCCCACGTGGATGGTAGACGGAGACTCGTATCAGTACCAGTTCATGGCGTGTCTGTGAGTGTAGTTGTCCATTGTGTCGTATTCGTTATACGTGTGCGTTGGATCGTTACTGTGTTGGCTAGATCGATTTAATGCATGTATATTTTTAATGCATTTTTATTTTATTTATTCCTAGTTTATTGTTTTACGTGATTAATAAATAGAAGATACCCCCCCCCTTGTTTCTTATTTGTACCATCTTCAAAATTATATACACATAAAATTGTATGCAGACGTATTGACATTATATATAAACTTCTAGGTTTAAAAAAATAATAATTTATGTATCTAATTAACTATTGATTTCTTAGACATTAGAGCTTGATTTTAATTTTCTTACGACAAAAACTATGAAATATAAATTTTCCTTTCGTTTTTTTTTTGTTATGGAAAGTAATTTGCTACCTAGCAATTTCCATTTTGGTAGAATATCGATCTATCGTTGTTCATGCAATAGTTTCCGGGACCCATATCCATATTAATATCAAAATATCATTTTCAAATTATTACTGATATTTGTCCAAAAAAAAAAATATTTACTAGTGACACTATCATATTTATTTAGTTTTTTTCTTTCATAAAAATGGAACTACCTAAATGAAGTATGGGATTCGAGATTGATATTCTCTTGGTGTGTGTGGGATTTGCATTATATAGCAGTGTTCAAAATGTTAATTATATAAAAATCACAATCTAATAGTAATAATGAATTAAATAGTAATTTGTCAGTGATACCTGTTAGAAGTAAAAGGTTGACAAAAAGTGAACAATTCTAACAGTTTTGTTTTCTCAACATTTAATTTACTTGTAACATTTTTTTGGTTTTTAAAGGATATTCAATTAAAATGGAGTTACGAACTTTTTATTAACACTCATTTATTATTCATTTATTGAAAGTTTGTGATTTAATATATAGTTTAACAATAATCAGTATTTTCATATAGAATAATTCTTTTCATACGATGAATCTTTTTAACTTTCACTGAGATTTTTGAATTGAGTCTGATCACTGATGAATAAATAAGTACAAGTTTTCAATTATCCCCTATCTTTTTCATTGATATCTCAACGAACAAAAGTAAAGAGTAACCAACGGGAAGATTTTCGGCATTCACAAATCACTACGAGGAGAAGTGAAAGACGGTTGTGTCCTCTTGAAGCTTCAGTATATATCTTCTCCCCGAGTCAGGGGCGGAAAACGGGCGGCCCATAACTATATCATGCCGTTTATCCAACATATAAACGACAATATGTGTTACGTCCTATTTATAATCCGGCACTCAGTTTCGTGAATGCCAAAAAAGTAACGCAAACCAGCAATAATTTGAAATTTTGGGAACTGTCGGAATTATGTCCATATTATTTTAACCGTAGAGCGAGGCAGGTTTAGGATTATTAATCAAAAAATGAACGCTAGATTTTCTTCATAATCGTCTCCTAAAGCATTTTCATTTCGGCTTATAACTTAAGACACTGCTAAATCAAAATCACGCAGAACCATGAAAATTGTAATTCATTTGTTTTTAGAATATATGATCGAAATAGATATACGTGTTAAAAACTGGACCAAATATTATCGGCAAATATACCACGTTTTATTTTTGAAGAAATACCATCGGAAAATATAACCAGCCCGACGCTTAAGGCCTAAGCTGGACATTTTAATTATGAGATTTAAACTAGTAATTATTTTACTTGATACGAGTATTTAGACATGTGCATATTAAGTTTTAGTACTGTAGCCTGTAGGAGTAATACTTATGTTCGTGTAGGACACACGACAAGACGAGAACGCGGAAATTGTACCCGCATGGAACCAAGAGCTGTCTGGGTGGTGAAATTTGAAATTATTAATATTTGTCCTTGCATCTTCATAATACGATTTTGCACCACATATTAGGATATTTAAATACAACACGTGTTAAATAATCACGTCTAAAACGACACTCGGATTTATTATTTCAGACAAGAATTTGTTGGACTTGATTTCAACTACGTACACTCTATAGCTATTTGGTGGTTTAGTAGTGGAGACCGTATATAAGTCCTAGAAAATCGAATATTTGGTTTTATTATAAAATGAGAAAAAATGTTGTTTCACTGTGAACCGTTGCAGTACGCTATGATTAATTAAACATCCTTCTGTTGGAAATTCATTATAGCATCTTGCAACTATATATATTATTGAGAATCAATAGGTATACCGGTGAAATAATATCAAATTTGGATACATAATAAATGGTCATCCATATGAACAAACAGAGATATGCAATTCAAATAATTGTTTGTAATGTTTTTCTATATATCTTTTAAGCTCAACACATGGATCAATGGTTGGACTGATAACTCGTTAATTAAGAAAGCAAAATTTCCCAGATAACTCAGTGATTTGGACTCACTCGATTGAAAATGATCAAGGAGGTTATGTTTTAAAGTCACTTAAGTGAATCAGAAGTGAAAAAAAATATGCGCGAGTTATCATATAAGTAGGTTTCCAGGACAAACGGGCCTTGGTAAATTCGGTAAAATATGGGTTTTAATTCGTAAATTGGATGATATATGGGTCTTAATTCGTAAATTGGGTAATATATGGGTCTTACTTCGTAAATTGGGTAATCTATGGGTCTTAATTCGTAAATTGGGTAAAATATGGGTCTTAATCGTAATTTGGGTAAAATATGTGTACTAATTCGTAAATTGGATAAAATATGGGTCTTAATTCATAAATTGGATAAAATATGGGTCTTAATTCGTTAATTGGGTAAACTATGGGTTATTCGTAAATTGGGTAAAATATGAGTCTTAATTCGTAAATTGCGTAAAATATGGGTCTAAATTCGTAAATTGGGTCTTCATAGACGGTCCTTAATTAGTAATAGGGTCTCACACTAAGAAGATTCCTTGTCTAAATCTCTTTTCGTTCTCAGTTTTGTATAGAAGACAAATCTTTTTTTTTTGGTCGTAGAAGAGAAATCTAAACCAAAATAAACTTCTCTAGAGGAAATATTACACATACATACACGAAGACAACATACATACACACATTTCTAGAGGCAAAGTGAAAAGTTATAAACACTAAAATTCTTGTAAGGATCAGTGATCAAACAAAAGACATTTTCAAGATTCTAGAAGGGAAACAACCAGCCAACAGTCCAACCTAAGAGCAGACCAGCACCAATGAGACTAAACCCTAATGCAAAAGCCATTATATATCTCCCAATCTCACCCACTTTCTTCTTCTTCCCTCTCTGCTTCCTCTTCTTCAGATTCATTCCTTTGATCTGCTCTTGTTCTTGTTCTTGTTCTTGTTCTTCTTCAGCATCCTTCTTCTTCATCTGCAGATAGAAAGCTTCCATTTCAAGAAGCTTTAACCATTGCTTATAAGCTAACATCTGACTCGCTTGTGTCAACAAGATTGTTATCACACGGTCTTTCTCAGCGCAAGCTTCTCTGGCCGCTTTCTCTGCTTCTCTTGCTCTGGTTTGAGAATGCCTTAGTGCTTCTAGAAGCTGCGCTTTGCTTAAATCATTTCTCCTAGGAGAAGTATTTGGACTCGTGTTCTTGCTCTCAGTGCTACTGATGCTGTAACTCAAAGATCTCTCAAACCGATCGTTCCAATCACCTTGTTTCCATGGCGATTTAACCGCTGTTTTAAACCCTTTCTCGCCACTGGTGCAGTGAATCCTCTTGTGTAGTTTCTGGGGAGGAGGAAGATCACAGTTTTGAATATTATGATCAACCGATCTAGCCGCCACCAAGAGAGCTAATTCATCTTTATCAGTAGTGGTTCTCCACCATGGCGTTGTAGCTACATCTTTCTTGCTAATAAAGCTATAGTCTTGTTCTTCTTCTCTCATCCCAATCAAGTCGACGAATTCTTGCAATTTCTTGCATTTGGTATCTTCAAAGAAAGAGTTTGTAATCTCCTCATCAAATCCAGTTGTTCCTTTAAGCCACCATTTGGTATCACAAGAGAAATCAGAGGAATCTCCAAAACTTCCTGAAGAAAAGCTGCTTTTTTCGGTGTTGCCCGAAGAAGAATGTTTTTGATGGCAACAAGCTAACCTCGGAGCCATTTTAGCATCTTCATGAATAACAAAGCACCGAGTTGCTGTTCTTTGCCACACGGCTCTTGCTTCAGCTGCTCCCATTATTACATCAATGTTAAGACACAAGAACCCTATAAAATCAAGAGAAAAGGGAAAGGAAAAAAAACACACACAAAATCAAAAGACAAATCTTCGATTCATGAACCAAAAGCAGAATATGTTGTTTCCTCCCCTAGATCCCGCACTTGAAACATAAAACAAAAGTAAAGGAGCTGTTTTTTTTTTTTGTTTTCTTGCTACTCCCGAGATTGCTTCTAAGCAAATGATTATTTCATATAAAAGCAATTGATATAAGGAATTTAATGAAACAATACACGCAAGTCTTGGGATTAAGCATCTTCACAACTCACAAGAGATTTTAACAGTCAATTATTAGTAATATCTCTGCTAAAATCAAAATCCATTCAGCATAAATGAAACTTTGAGAAGTTTCCACGGATCCAGACATAAGAAGATAAACCTCATTGCAAAAGTAAACAAAAAAGCTCAACTTGTCCTGTGTAGAAAAAATAAAAAGTCTTGGACAAACAAAGGAAATTTACCACCGGAATCGAGGAATTTACCAACTTTCTCAGGAAATTCCAAAATCAGAAACAGACCCATAAAACAGAACCATGATAAATCAGCGCTGATCGAAGAGAAAACAAACAGATCGAACAAACCAGAAGAAGTAAGAATTTTATGTAAATCAGAAACGAAAAAAGAAGCAGAGAGTAAGATTTGTCTAATAATAATAGATCAGAAAAACAGAGTCATAACTGAAGATACCATTTTTATTAGTCCAAAGATTCCATGAATCTCTAATAAACAATGAAGTGATCTTGCAACCGAAGATTTTGGCTTTTCTGCTTTTCTAATTTCCCCTTCTTTCTTCCTTCGCACTCTGGCCCTGGCCCCATGGATTGGAACGGATTTTACAGTTTTTTTTTGTTTCGAATAGCTTCTGAGTTACGAGGCCTAAACCGACATAAATTCAATGACTTGTTGGCTTGGTAAGCATCTGCAACAGCTGGATTGACTGCACGTGTCGAGTAGAGAAAAAATCGACGGTTAATATTATATGGACCCCACTTTGATTTAATGGATAAGGCGTTTCTTTTTCATTTTCTTAAATGGACCACAACAACAAAAATAAAAATCATTAGTCTTATTCCATCTTTAATTTTATTAATTGCTCCTTTCGTTTTGTCGGTTTTAATTTTGCAACGATACCATTTTTGTCAAATTAACAATCTTGAATCATGTTAACTGTTTTTTTTTTCAGTGCTTTATAAATTAAACGAGGGGTTTAATGGATAAAATGCACATACTATATACGTTACATGATGATTATCATATTCATCCAGGTGTACTTCAATTAGGACACGTGTCATTAACCAGCTATTAGTCAGCCACGTGTTCTTTAATTCCCGCTGAATCATTACGCGCAATCAAATACATTCTCGTGTCGTGATAAGTCATGATTCACGAATATGCATTCAGCATTTGTGCCAAACTTAATCCCAATTATTTTTCAAGGGCCATATTGTATCTTAAGCCCAGAAACTATAACATAAAAAGCCCAAAAGTATTCCAACGAAAAAAAGATTATGAATTTCGTGCCATAATAGAAAAGAAGAAGATAAGGCTTCAAAATTAGTTACTTACAAATTCCCAACAAACATAACTCTCGAATTAAACCAATTCATATGAACATTTATACAAATATGTGTTTGCTTATATCCCCTTTTCTTCCTCTTTCTTTCTCCTCTCTTACCATAAAAGAAATGGAAATAAGCTTAAAGAAAGCTTATTTATCACCATTGATGCCGAAGATGCGTACCTTGTGCATATTAGGGAACTTGGCAACAACTAGAACCATCACAGCAAGCGTGTTGAGGAACAGCCATGGATGCCTGTAATCTGTTGTATGTGATGCTATCAAATACCTGTAGAAAACAATGTCAATGAAACTCATCTATAATGTCAAATACCAGTAACGGAAGATAAAGAGCTCACTAGAAGGAAATTGAGTTCTCTAGAACAAGGCTGATACACATTAACGGTTTTAGATTGCATGAGTTTGAGTATTAAGATTTAAGCACTAGGATAAATGCAGCTCTTGCACTCAAAAGAGATTAAATTGCTAAGATGCAGATTGGAAATGAGAAAAGAGTATTGAGATTCTTAGGCGCGGTTGGTACTTACAGGACAACAGGAACAACGGTAAGAAACTTGCGGTTGCGTGTAAGTTGCTGACCGTTGTCCATTTGTTCCCACCAAGTCAAACCATTGTAGATTCCTTGGTCTTCTGCAAAAGGGGTTCCTTTCATCCAGTGAAAGCAGTGATAAGTTACCTGATTAATTAATAGTTAGACCATATGAGAATTCCAATGAATCCAAACATCAATATTTAATTGATACCATAAGAATTTTTAGTTTCTGATACCAAAACAGATCAATGCATTAATTCAGAAGGTAATTGCATCTTAATTCGAAGCCTGATCAACTTACAAAAATCTGATAACAAAACTGATCAATTCCAATATCGGGAATGTATCTTAATTCAAAGTCTGATCAACTCAACATTGCTGATAGTTACCAAACGTATCAATTCAAATTTGGTGACACCAAAACTGATCAATTAGCCTGATCCAACTCAAAAAATTATCTGATCAATTCACGATCAGATGGAAATAATTACAACTTAATCCAAAGCCTCATCAATTCAAGGCAATTGCAGATAAGTTCGAAGCCTGATCAAATCAAATATGTATGATAACCAAACTGATCGACTCAAAATACCAAATTGATCAACTTCTTGCCAGTTTCAAATCCAGATCTCAAAAACAAAGCAATCTAACAATATTAATCAATCGTCTAATTCCGAGTCCCGACTCTATTGTAGGGCGTAAATAATCGCACTATAGAGCACCGAGCCATCGATTATTCAAAGGTAGAAGAAGAACTTACAACGAAGTGAGCGAGATTAACAACAGTCCAGGCCATTCCAGGGGAACAACCAGAGACGGAGAGAACAACGAGCCAACCGAAGAAGAGAATGAGTATATAAGTTGTCCACACTCCTGGATACATGAACCACTCCGTATTCCTGTTCATATCCGGCGGTGGAACCGCTTTCACATACAGATTCGCCATTTTTTCTGTTCGACCGGATCGAATCTAGAAGAAATCGATTGATCGTCGTGTTTCTGTGATGGGTACCGCACGAAAATCTTTCTAGTTTTCACCTGAATTGTAAACCCAGATTCACAAAATTCTCTCTTTCGGTGAGGAAGGATTTTTCCAGATGAGATGGGTTGGTTTATTTTTGTGTGCCCGTGAAAGACGACTGCTTTTTAGCATCTACTGTGGAATAAAAAAAAATTGGCTTATTCAAGATATTTTACAGACGCATTTATGAATCTGCAATATAACTGATTAAAACGGTTGCGTTTTGCTGCCCGGCACTTGGGTTCTTAACAAACAAAACGATTATTGCTTAATGCTTGCACTTAAAAATGTTCAATTTATTGGATTTTCCGTTACTTTCTCTAGTCTTTGCCAAAAGTCTCTAACTTTTTCATGACAAACATTCAAAGAAGACACTCAATAACATGAGGATTCTAGCTGAATATTTCATTTGTATATACATCGAAATTGGCACAAGTGATGAGAGTACAAGATCATATAATTATGTTAGTCACCTAACAAAGTCGGTGTCAGAATCTTCTTCTTCTTCTTCTTCCTCTTCTTCGGCTTGCTCAATGGTCTTCAAGTCAAGGTTAGCAGCCAAATCCTCAACGGAAACCTTAACCACATCGGTTCTAACGCCAATATCAGTAGCATACCGACTCATACAATACATTCCAGCAGTGACTGTTGCCACACCAATGGGATTTGGAATCAGCAATTTGAAAGGAGAAGAGAGGAGAGCAGCCAAAGGAGCACCAACGATTGAAGAAGCTTGACCGCTTCTCCCAACACCGAGCTTATCCATTATAAGCAAACCCGTCTTGCAATAGAGCGCAAAGTCCTCACAGTTGTTCTTGAAAATGTCGTAGTTTCCAAATCCGTTTTGGAGAAGGTACATTGCCCTGTGGATGACTGAATCAGTTTGGTCGGATTGCGCGGTTGTGCAAGTGCCTCCGCGGACTTTGGTGAGGAAAACCGATGGACTGACTCCATACTCGAAGCAGTAGAGTGAGCCATCCTTGAGGAAACAGTCTAAACAAGACAGGACCACTCCACTGTTTGGTTGTCTGAAACCACAATCAGGAAATGTTGGGCAGGTATCTTCAGAGGAAGAAGAAGCTGATGAGAGTGGCTCCATGGGAGAAGAAGAATTCAGGTTGTGCTCAGGTCTGAAATGAACAACCTTGGATCCACCGACAAAGATTCCTGCAGAAGTGTTTTTCTTTCCAACAATCAAATCGAAGCTCACCCAATTTAGAACAGTATCTAATCCAATCATCAACAGAGGAAATGAAGACAAAAAAAATGTTTCAATGTTGGGGCTTATGTTGAAAATGTCAAATAAACATCAAAATAGTGGGGAAGGGTGAAAATGAGGTCATGACATTTCAAACTAAGCAAAGATTACAATCAGATAATAGTTAAACAAAAGTAAAGACCTTTTTCCTCGTAAGATCTGTCTAAGATAAAGTCATCATCAACTTTGAGAATTTACAGTTTCACGAACACAGAAGAAAAGGAACAAACTTGGGAAGAATGAATCTAAAGTTACCGTGGTGAGAATAAGCGAAAACTGCTCTGTAAGTGTAGATGTGATCTCCTGCCTTTAACCCTTCTCTATCCATCTTGTTCGTAAGCAAACCCATTCTTCGTCTTCTCTCTCTCTGCACAAAGCTTTTCTCTTTGCTTTGTGGAAAATGCAGGAAACGGCGTTACAACTTACAAGTGTGAGCTCTAGCGGTGGGATCTGACGTCAGCGAGATAGGTAAAGTAGCCTTTTCTTAGAGGAAGATGATTGGGTGAGCGAACTGGAGCTAACTAACCCGTTACGGAATCTTTTGACGGCGTTATCTCCAAATCCAAATGCGACCAACGAGGTCCCAAGTGTTGATGACGAATCGCTGATTTTCCGGGGACTTTTTGAGTTTTTGACCTTGATTCTAGGCGAGAGGGTAATATGGTAATTCCAGCGTGCATGATGTTCGTGATTGAACAAACAAGCAAGAACAGAGAAGAGAAGTAGAGAACGACTTCGTCGAGTAGGTGAAGCAAAGGATTTTGTACTTCGTCGACACGACGTCGTTTAGATTCCCCCCTGCATTCGATTTCTTCTACCTTATTATCTGAGTGACTAGGGGATTTTCCGCGCTACGCGCGGTTTGTTTTCATATATATTTCCACTATTTTGATATATCGAAAAAATTTATTAAAATATATATACATACGCTCAAAATACATTTTCCTCTATGTATTTTCTAATACAATATCATCAAATCTTAATAAGTTTTTGCAAAGGAATGTAAAAATACTCAAAGTTTACCTCTAAAATTGGATAACTGGCTAATGGGTAGTTTGATTCGAAATCACAAGATGCTCAACTAATATTTGAAGATTGATTTAAAATCAGATTGGACAACGCATTTGGGATTGGTAAAATGATTTTGGGGATTTAAGTTTGAAATCGTAATGAAAAAGAAGATTGTAACTAATCAAACTCTTGATGTTCATCACTTTGGTGGATCTAGAATGGCTTGATCGATTGAAACTTAGTGAACTATTTGGCAAGTGATAATTTGAAGTTTTATGTTGGCGAATTGTGGAAGACTTGAGATTTTAAAGTTTTTGTAAATAAAATGCAGGTAGGTGTTTTTTAAAGAGAACTATATATTAATGCATCTAATTTTGAAAATGTTAGGAATAAAAAGCAGAACACACAGTTAAAGATTCTGCATCCCAACTTGTTTATATAAATTCATTCACATGGTCTATTATGAACACTTAATGCAGATGTGTAGTAATTAGTTAAAAATATGAGCTTATACAAGCGCATATATATTTTTTGTTTGATCTACTGAGTGGCTATGCTAGTTTGCTCATGTTCTCTTTAATTCATCACACTCAGTTCTACTTTGCTTTATAGATGCTAATACTCTTAGTGGTCCATCATTAACTCTACATGTCACTTGATTAATGTAAACTATTTTTATATAAACGTATGCAACTATGGAGCCCCGCAAAAGCTAGCAGTTCTAAACACAGACCAAAGAGTGAAACCACAAATATATAAGTATATTTGCTTGCTAAGCTTCGATTCAATACGAATTTAACTTTATAACTTACATCTTAATGGTAATACATCATATTCCCACTGACCTTACACATTTTTTGACTTAAGAATGAAAAATCCATCAAAGGATAACTTGAATAAATCAATATTAGAAAGAACTAACATGAGTCATCAACTATTTGTATACTTGGTAAGAAAATTTGATCTAACTTTAAAATACATGATTTATAGAAAACATGTACGTTATATGCAAACAATTAAAGTTTATATTGCTTGCATTAACCATGCTTATCAACCATTAATCTTAATATTGGTTGCATCAACCATGCTCACTAATTTTCAATCCTCTATCTAGCTTAAGACTGATTTTTTTTGGTTCACTATGCAAACTCTGTTGTTGCTTTAGGCTTATCCTTCAGAAGCATATCCACTACTTCCCTTTGACAGCATCAACTACCTCCTTTATTTTCCTTCTCCCTTTTCACCGTAATTTAGAACCGGATGAACTTCTCTTTTGTCCTTTCTCAGCGACGTCTTCCCTTCTTCTTAGACCATTTAAGCAGATAGATGTTAGATGATGCATTTATTTAGTTTAGTCTCCAAAGAATTAACATTGGCTGCAGCTTCCAGAGACAACAAAGCACGTTTTACCAGGGGAAATCAGAGCATGGGGTGTTCCCTACCCAAACCTTATCGGACTATCTAGATATTACAGATACTACATCGGACCCGCCGGCAAACTTGTTCTCTGATGAAAATGAAAAAATCTTCAATCTATTTACTAATGAAACTGCATCCTGAACGAATACACCAACATGCATTCTGAACGCTGGACAAATAGACTTGGGAACAACTTGATGATCTCGATCTGCAAGCATGGAAAGCAACACTCAATCCTCCTAACTCTTACAAAGCTTTAGAATCAATTTTGTTCATCGAAACCTTAGCAACATTTTTTCATACAATACAAAATCATAATAATATTAATAACCTATAATTTGATTTGGTTTCGGAAGCTTCTACAAACCATCTTAGATTGTGGAAGATGAAGCAAGCGAGAAAAATACAGATACAACTTCAGCATATGAAAATTTGAAAACATAACCTCACTTGGATTCTCAGAGCTTGTCCCTTGCAATCTTCATAGGTATTCATCATGTTTTCATTGAGTCGTTCCAAAAATCGCTTTTATTTTCTTACCTAGAAACCAATTCCAGCTTTTCTAAGACGGGCCGGAGAAGATGCTTAGATAGGAATATTGGAAACGAATTGTTATACAAAGATATTCATATAAAGTCATTGTTCTCTATTAGCATCTGAAGTTGTTAACTATATATTCTTCTTACAAAAACGTGAAACACGCTACTCAAACATACCATTAACTGCATGATTCTCCCGGGTTCACATCTTCCCTGGATCCGTGACTACCACTCGACTGCTCCATCAACACACTGATCCCATAAATATGTTTTCTCTTTTGCGATTAGATAAGAAAGACAAAATTAACTGAAGAGAACTATAATATTCCTATGGCATTAAAAAGAAACACAGAAAAATACTTGTACATCTTTTGATGCCATGATTGGATTTCGGAGGCTGTTTGAAAAGAATTTTTATTTATCGATAAGATTGTTAAAGGGAAAGTTTTATAAGCTTCTGAAAGAGAGGTGATCAATATGAGGCAAGTGGCCATTTAAATCATTGAGTTAAGATGAGAAGTCGGTAACGTTAGCTGCTTTTTGAGGCAAGGGAATTCGATTTTATTATCGGAGTGAATACGGTTACAGATAGAAGAAGACGACTGTCGAGTTTCTCATAACTCAGGAGGTCTAAATCATTTCTTATGGGCTGTATTTTATTTGGGTTATTTCTTATTTTACACATAATTAATACAGCCCAAAAATTACTTACGGCGAAGCTTCTTTATAGAGCATTGTAATTGTAAGATATTAAGATTGCTGACGTGTCATTAGAGTTGTTGTTTTTGGCTTGAATGCTGTAATTACAAATGAATGGGAACGACGTAAAATTAAACAGTTGTTAATGTTATTCATCAATCGTTGTGGACTTTTGATGTGCCAAACGTAAAATGGATTCCTAGCCTTTAGATCAACATGATTTATGAAAAAATTTATACTTCATAATAGTCTTTACTTATTACATATGTGCCAAACGTAAATGGAGTACTTAATAATCTTTATTTATTACATATAGTGCTGATGTGGCATGATTTTAGGCTGGTTTTCTCTTGCTGATGTGGACACCATGAGGAGCCTCAAACTTGTACTTTTATTAGAGTAGATTCCTTTCCCCAAACTCGATTTCCTTTGAATATTATTTCTTGTATAATTTTCTTTTATTCTTTCCAAAGATTCGAAAAATCAATTACAACGCTTTATAAAGGAAAAAACCAAACAAAGATTACACTGTTAGAGACTGATGCTCCAGTTATAAACTTTGACATCAAACTCTGGATGTTCTTCCAATCTCTGTCTTAACTCCTTCGCTTTCTCTGTGTCCTTAGCCAATATAAGAGAGAATCCTCCACCACCCGCACCTACAAGCTTGAAACCTGAGCAATAAGGTTGCGAAAACGCGAAAAGCTTGTCCACAAACTCATTGCTGCAGTATGGGTCGAGCTCTTGATGTAATCTCCAAGCTTCTGACATTATCTCGCCGAGCTCATCAACTTCACAGTTCATCAACGCTTCTCTCCCGGATTTCGCCAGCTCCGTCAAACGCTTGATGCTTGAAACCAAGAGATTATCTCTTTGCAGATACCTTGTTACAACCTTGTGTAGGACTTGGTGAGCAAGCCTGACCTGTTACAAAATGCATCAATGAATGAGACAGTATTTGCGCGGTTTATGTTGTAGCTAACAAAAATTCTTCTTATCTTCTCAGTTGTTGTTGTTGTTGTTACTTACTTGACCCGTGAAAACAACGAGGAGGCGATGCTGCAACTCTGAGATTAGCTGTGGCGAGGCGATCAAAGGAACAACTTGAAGACGCAGAGGAACTCCTGGAAAACTTGAAGTGAATTTGATTCCTGGGTATAATCCACCGATCTGATCTTGCCAGCCACCTCCTGTACCCATGAGTTGCTCCAGAACCAAGACGAGCCTCGCGACGTTATCATTGCTTTCATCTCCATTAGATATCTGAAGAAGTCCTTTCACAACAGCTGCAGCAAGAATGCTAGAGGTTCCTAGACCGCTGCCACGAGGAACATTGGCCCATGTCTTTATCGCTAATCCTATGGAGTGGACAAAGTTTTCTTGGACAATGCCGGTTACCAGTAGAGCAGATTTTACCAGCCTGAATGGATCGTTGATTTCAAATGGTGTCTTGATGCTTATTGGATCTTCAATGTGTAGCTCGTTTCCAGCATCGTCTTGGATTGAGATTCCACTTTTCTCATCTGTTGTCTCGATGATTGTGCCAATGGGAAGTGAACCTTCTAGGGTTATAGCCATATTCAGGACGTAACCCGCACGCTCTAAACTCCATGGAGGTGTATCACTCCAGCCTCCTACAAAATCTACCCGAACCGGTAGTTCAACTTTTGTCCTTCTTCGTTGGAAAACTCTATCCAGAGGAGAAATATGATTCTCGGAATGGGGCTTGCCACTTGATTCCAAGAGATGTTCTAAAGAACAAATAAAAGAGTTATCCAGGTTTACCCGTAAAAGAAAAGCATATAATCTCCGATACCGTTAGCTAAAAATGTTACCTCTAAAACCATATCTCACAGCTGAAGCAGTTTCCTCTGCAACTGCTCCCCAGACTTTATGCTCCAAGTCTATAGCTTTTGCATCATCCCCACATGCTCGTAGAAGATCAACTTCTACCTGATATGCACGACTCTTTGGAAGAATTTTGGAGTTTTGTTCCTGAAATCTGGGACATTGATCCAGAAATTTCTTGCATATCTCCAATCCTAATGACTCTTTCTGTAAAATCTCATGGCACAGCTGAGACAGATTTCTCCCAAGCATACCATAGTTCATACATGCTTTAGCGATTCCAGCCGCAAGATCAGCTTGATGATTGCTCGAACCATTGCACATCTCAGGAAAGTTTATTGATCCGTGCAACTCCTCTAAGCTTACACGTTGAGAGCTCCTCCACAAGATAACCATCTCCTTGCTTCCACTATCATCCAAACCCATCAACCATGAAGCTGACTTCAGCATTTCACTATAAGTGAGAATAGGGAACAGTTTTGCATTCCACAAACATCTGTCTTGTGCAGCATTCGAGTCCCAGAGGTCACTTTCCTCAATGCCAAGATCAAACAGAACTTTCTCTAAGGGTTTACCGCAAAAAGTTCCATCTTTGTGAATTGAGTTCTTTGGATTATCATGGAGACCACAATACACAATCACTCTCCCTTTGTGTCCCACCAATGGGACCTCCCAAATACAATGCCTATCTGGAAGCATGAACCTGAAACTCTCTGGAGTTCCAAGATTTTCACTTGGGATGTGAATACCAACAACTATGGACTGAGAACCAATTTGTACAGCACCAGATACTGTTGAATCATATATAAGTGAATCTTCACCAATGGAGACCCCAGGTGCAATTTCACTAGACAAAATAACAGAAGACGCTGCAATATCAGAAACTGTAGTTGCAGGGATGGAACATAAGTGTCTACGACCTACAATTCCTGAAGCATCTCCGCTTAAGTGATCTAATACCTCACTTGATGTTCCAAAATGCAAAAACTGCAAATCATCTGACACAAGATTATAAAAAAGGGATTAAAAAAGTAACCAAATGCAATTGATTTCTAGTTTGCTAGTCTTGGGTACAAACATACAGGTGCAGTAGCTGTACATCTTTTGCCTCCCCAGACTGTTGACAAGAAGTTCGCCCAAAGGTCGGGTTCGCAGCCAGTCATGCCTTGAGGGAACCCAAGCAGCCACCAAATCTTCATACAAACTCATCTGCAAGTAAAGAAAAAAAACATTCCATGACAAAACATCTGTAAGGGGGCCAATGTCTGATGAAGAACTACAACGGTCATTCTTTAGGAACAAACTCCATAAATATGAGAAACCTAACCTCTTTTTTACTGACTAGAAGCTCTGAGATCATTGGTTGGCACGAGTATCCAAGAGCAACCAGGTCCAACCATGCTCTGCCCCTTGCAGATATGATCCCAGTGTCAAGGAGCGTCCGTCCATCATGCAAGATTGCATTTTTCTTGACAAGCTCTTCCACTGTAGGCTTCTGCAGAAGATTGTCTACTAAACTGACAGTATAGTCTTCGGCAAAGGACTCAGATTTGGATGTGACAATCACACCATGGTTGGAAGCAATATCTAGAGTGATAGGCACAGTAACTATGGAGGCTGCATCTTCAGGGAGGGTCATTTTGAATGCATCAAAACATGGAAGGACATCTCCAGTCATAATGAATAACCCACCTTCACATGTTATAAGTTAAAAGTTAAAATCAGCATCCAGACACTCTTGAAAATAATAGGTAATCAAATCACACAATGACACAGACTCTTCTCTGTTTACATCTAAGCCTAAACAGCAAGCTGCAGAACAGACAACGAGAACATTTGAAAATGGCGCTTTCACACTGCAATAAAGTACCCAAAAAAAGAAGGGAAACTCACCTTCATCTCTGAAAGCCTGTCTTGCACATGAAGCGATTGCAAGTATATGATCAAAAAGGAGAGGAACAGGACCATCAGGATCATCAGCTGCAAGATAAGGAAGTGGGAGGAATACCTTCCCCATAGGATTTGCCCAGGGAACCCTTTTGGAGTCACCTCCAGCATGAAGCATCAGTACATGCTTTTCAGAGACGAATCTAACCCAAGACATTGAAGAGTGTTTCATATTCTCAGGACAAATGTCTGGTACAGAGGACTGCGTACAACTACCATTTGCAACTTCCACCTGATGATCATGAACAGAACCATCAGATAACAACAATGCTAAACAATGTTAATAAAACAAACAGATCAGATGTAGTGGGTTTTGACACTTGATTATCCAGATCACCAAACCTAGAGAGTTCACTTCACAATGCTAAACCCCAGATTCAATGATTAACTAGATTCCTGTACCAAATCAACTAGTGATCATTCAAATATCAACAAGTCAAGTGAGAAGATTGTTTGCCCAGAATTTTTCAAAGAAGAGCTATGAATTATCTAATCTGTCAACAGAATCTACCTCGGGGCCAGGATCGAAACCCAATTTCTGATAATGCCGAGCGAGAGCATAAATGGCGTTAAGAGTGGCAGCGCCAGAACCGATCCGCTTGCCATCTGGATCAGGAACGGCCAAAGTGACGGTGGAGGTAGCAATCCGCCCGATCCGCTTCGCTCGCCGGAGCTGCCATTCGTAGAGCTCCGCCTGTTCAGGACTAGCCGCAGTGAGAACGATGGCATCCCAGGTGGGGACCCTAGTCGGATGGCGCACCGACAGCCTCAAATGGTACCACGACTTGCGTAGGACAGTGGCTAGGTCAGCCTTCTTCCTCTGCTGGTTTCTCGACATTCTTGTTTCTCCTGATGATGAATGATGAATGATGAGGTGAGGAAATGAAATCTGGAGGTTTAGTGGACACAGGAAGAAGAAGAAGACGAGGGAAGTTTTTAACAGCTGGTCAAGTCAAAGACCAAGGCACATGACATACGTCGTCGTTTTCAAAACTGAATCTCTCTTTAACTTTTCAAAAATGAAAACTTCGCAAAAGATTCATAATCGAAACACTCGAGAATCCTTGCTGAATTCCATTCAGATGAGTATGTTCCTGTTGTTGATTAGAAAATGGAAACTAAACATTCCAGAAAATCAAAAATTGCTTGAATTACAGAGAAACTCATGAACTGAGGAACATCCCAAGTTGCCAGTTGAACCAAAAGACAGACGGGCAGAGATAACTCTGAAAGCTATCAAACATTGCCAAATGGTCGAAAAAAGAGAAAACTCAAAAGACTAAATGGAAGCATACGCCTAGTCAAAGAGCGACATTAATGTTTAGATAGATCTGAGCTTCTACTGACAAAATCATTTCATCATTCCTCGCGCCAAGTAAGCTCGCACTTCAAGCATCTATAAAATCTGGATTCTGGCTCATCGGCTGAACGAATCTGCATTGATCTGAAGTATGCCTTGTCGTGGCCGCATCTTGGGCACGGAGCTGATAATAAAAACAACAAATAATCCCAAATATATCAGTAAGATCACAAACTTAGGAGGATGAGAAACAATTAGATCAATTCCAGCAAACCATGTATACTTGTTACTCTCATGTTCTAATTAAAATGAAAACTTGTTTAGAATAGCCATATGATATCAAGAATACCTTCAGTTTCAGGTCCTGTTGGTATATCCTCTTTCGTCACGACAGGTTCTATGGATTTCTTAACCAGCAGTTGCTTCTTCTTTATCTCCACCTGTAAAGATTTCCGCAGCAGGAACAACGATCACGATTTACTGGATAAAAATAAAACCTCAAAAGTGGGGTTTTTTACATTAGTTTTAAGTAAAAACCTGTCTCTCGATGCAGGCGATGTACGGACATGTCGAGCAGAAGAATCTCGAACGGTCGTAACGCAGCAAGTTCCCACACGTGGGACAGAACTCCATCTTCCACACCAATCAAATTCGCTGATTGATATAAAAAAAAATCCCCTCAAAATCTGCTTCATCAATTCCAACAGTTTTCGCCAAACAATGAACAAAACTAAGAGATAGATTGATATATAGAGACAGAAAAAGGTTTCGAACATTGTACTCCTGAGTCTGCTCTGGAAAAAAAAGAATCGCCGTCGTCGAGCCGCCGCTTTTCGTTCCCTGGTTTGTCGCCGTTCTTCAGAATTTGACGGGGACGAAGTTTTTACTTTTTATTTCTCCACGGAGACAAATTAAAGGGAAATTTTCGATTGTAACCCCAAACGTTCTGATTGTTGAGCATTCTGCCCCTTTTTTGTTATTCAGAAGTACTATAAGTGTCCTAGTTTTAGCCCAATTTCGCTTACAAATTTCCTCTTTTATTGGGTCTAAATGCTCTCGATTTAAGCCCAACTCATGCGAGAAAAATGATCCCAACAGATCAGCTTGATTTCTTTTAGTCTTTAGTCTACTTTACAGATATTAATCTTCAATTCTAACGAAGAAGACTTTATTATCATATTTCGTCTATGTACAGAGATATTTATTCCTTAAGAGATGTTTTCTATATTAAAAATCATAAATAACGGTTACAATCAATTGATTAATTATTGTCTTGTTATATACAATCAATAGATTTAATTACAAGCAAACAACAAAGAAAAGAAAAGAAAAGGACCAAAAAAAGCAATAAATTCATACATGAGGGAGGAGTAGACAACAACCAACAATTGATGGAGCATAAGAGCTTTTTTAGGTGGTCTCCAGACAAAATGTGGGTTTCATGTTGAATCAATAAATTTGTTTTAGCAAATAATAACGTTTCTTTAATTATGTCGGTTCATGCCCATATCTGTATTTTAACATTGTATATTCATTTAACACTTTGAGATATTTAAAATATTGCACAGAGCATCGTTGCTGGCTTCATAAAACACTTTGGAACATTTGATATAAATTTCGGTTTGGGTTATTTCGATGACTAACAAAAAACCCAATTTTGGTTTGTAACAGTTTCGGATTGTTAAAACTCAACAATATATATAAACAAACAAAAAAAAAAGTTACTCAAATCGTTTTCTTTCCCTTCCTCTGTTTCACTGACTCCCACTTACTCTGAAAAAGACTCAAACTTTTGTCTTCATCAAAACCCAATTCCACAATAATGAACGAAGAGATGAGCGGGGAGTCACCGGAGAATAAATACGTAAGTAAACCGACGATGCCCGAAAAGATCGATTACGTGTTCAAAGTGGTAGTCATCGGAGATTCTGCAGTCGGCAAAACGCAGCTCCTTTCACGTTTTACACAGAACGAGTTCTGTTATGATTCAAAATCCACCATTGGTGTCGAGTTTCAGACACGTACGATCACTCTACATGGCAAACTCGTCAAAGCTCAGATCTGGGATACCGCCGGTCAAGAAAGGTAACATACATTGATAATTCTGTATAAAGCTGAACAATCTCAGTTTTGGGATTCAAATATATTTGTTGTTTAAATGTATATTTTTGACCCCAAAAAAAAAAAAAGTATATTAAAAGTATAGTCTCGTTAATTAGATATGTCAGTCTTTGATTTGATTTTCGATCTAAAATAATCATTATTTAATACATGGAATCGAAGAATTATTGGTTTTCTTGATTTGGTGACAGAATTTGCATCTGTGGTGTTTTTTTGGTGTGATTTTGATGCAAATTAAATGGTAAATAACACTTTATATTTTTGCATTTGATGACTTGAAAGGTAAAAAAAAAAAAAAAAAAGTAGAAGAAGAAGTAAGTAACACACTATATTTTTTTTACCCATGCGAAATTTATATCTAATATTATCCTTTTGAGGTAAAAAAATTGCAGTATAATTCTTCATAGCTGAATCTCAGATTTGTTAGATCGCGATATTTAATTGATTGATTTGTATATTCATTGACTTTCTTGATTTGGTCTTTAATGTCTGATTTTTGTAATAAGTTACGACTGACAAATCGTTTTTTTACTGTGGTTTTAGATACAGAGCGGTGACGAGCGCGTATTACAGAGGCGCGTTAGGTGCGATGGTCGTTTACGACATAACCAAACGCGCCTCATTCGACCACGTGGCACGTTGGGTTGAAGAATTACGTGCTCACGCCGATGATTCCGCCGTGATCATGCTCGTCGGTAACAAAGCCGATCTCGCCGCCGATCAACGCGCCGTTCCGACGGAGGACGCCGTCGAATTCGCCGAGGCCCAACGGCTTTATTTCTCGGAAGTCTCGGCTCTCAGCGGCGGAAACGTCGACGACGCTTTTTTCCGTTTACTCGAGGAGATATTCAGTCGCGTTGTTGTTTCGAGAAAAGCTATGGAATCTGACGGTGGAACTACCGTGAAGCTTGACGGTTCGAGAATCGATGTGATCTCTGGTTCGGATCTTGATATTAGTAAGCCGAATCAACAATCTCCATGTTCTTGTTGATTTTTGATTTTTGAGTGATGGGTCGAGTATGGGCCAAATACATGAAAGCCAATTAATGGGCTTTATCGAGGCTCATACATAACCCGAATCTTCGTTTATGGGGTTTTCATATTTCTGGTGGTAGTAGGAAAGCAGCCAATGGATACTTTGATTTTTTGAAATTCCTACTTATAGAATTATGGCCATTCTTTGTAGCCAAGACTTACTTTGATCGGTCAAACCGTGATACATATGTATTATCATATGTTATTTCAGTGCCATCAGTTAATTTTTTGCTTTTATAGATCCAACCTATTAGATCTAATACGTCCGGAGAGAAAAAGTAATAGAAGAATGATTTACGTTATACAATATGTTATAAGAAAATAGTATTCCATCTATCCAAAACCATAGGTCGAAAATACCGAATTATTATAAAAGGGAGCTTTCTAATTGTTAGAAAGTTTTGTTTCTCAATTTTATTATGTTCTTTTAAACGTTAATGGGTTAATTATCGGATCACAATATGTTTAGCAGTTTTTGTATGAGATTATGATGAACTTATCAGAATAAAAAATAATATCACTAAGCAGATGTTTCATAATATTTTTCGTGACATCAACTCTGAGTGTCACTTAGAATCTGGAATATAATCCAAATCCAACAGAAGATATGATTCTATTTATTTTGTTCATGCAACCGAATAATTTGAAGTGCTCCAATCGCAAACTCGCTTTTTCACTCAAGACCTAAAAGATGGCTCTTATTATATAAGAAATACGTCGCATATTAATAATATATATACAATATGTGCACATATATGATTAATCGGCCATCAAAGTGCTTTCTGATCACTTAGTTACTTATTTATATGCTGATACCTCTGTATTATGTGTAAAGTTACTGATTAAGTTAATGATTTTAATCAAAAGAAAGATTCTTATAGTAAAAATGTAAATCATACTACTTCTTTGGTTTTTCTTATATATTTCAATAAACGATATGATCTCATCAAGGTTAGGATTGTATGTATTAACTAAATCAAACAAATACATACATGCTTTTAGTTATACATACATGGAATACAGCAGCAGCTAACTAAGACCAGTTTGAGCAGAAAAGAATGGAATCAGGGTCTGCTAGTATAAGACTAAATTTGTGTAAAGAGTTCTTTTTGGTCAAAAAATATAAACAGTCAAATTCTTCCTTATAAAAGAGGTGACAATTTTTTTGGAGAGCTCAAGGCCATTCGAAATTAAGTGTTGACCTTCATATTAAGCTAGTTACATGCTTATAATTCTGGTAAAATTAACAATTTATTTTAAATAATGCATATTCACAATGTAGAAACTATAAATAAAAAGAGATGATACCTTGATCCACGCCAAGGTTGAAGCAGAAAGTTGGAAGATTGCAAACCAACCAGAAGAAGTAGAGGACGAACCAGATGAGACGCCACTCACTACTTTGCTCCGGAGTCCTTTACCCGATGTCGAGAGGTTACCGCTGTGTCAGGTCGATGCTTCCTGGATAAGTAACGGCCTGGTAAGTGGGCTCGGGTGGAGTCTAAAGGATGAGAAGGGTGGTGAGATCTTTGGCCTACAGGGCTGCCGTAGAAGCCTATCGGCCCTCCATGCCGAATTGGAGAGTCTGTTATGGGCTATGTCTTGTGTGATAGAGAGACAAATCTTATCCGTTCACTTTCAGACCGATTGTTCGGATTTGGTAAGCATGTATGAATCTCCATCGGATTGGCCATCTTTTTCATCAGAGCTGGAAGCCCTTCGTATTCTTCGGGAAAGCTTTTTGGATTTCAATCTATCACATATCACCAAAAGTTTAAATGTCCGAGCAGATAGTCTTGCAAAAGGAGCTCGAGCAAGAGACAGTATTTTCTCCCAAATCATTCATAATGAGCCAGTTGAGAATAGTTTTCGGACCAATTCCTTAACGAGCCAAATGTGATGTAATAGTTGGGTTGTGGAAAAAAAAAATAAAAAAAAAAAATTAATAAAAAGAGATGATTAAACGGAAAGGTCGTTGACTAGAAAAGGAAGAAAAAAGTCAAATGGAGAACTATTTGCAGGAGAAAAGTAGTACGTTCCCAACTTGTAAGGAGAACATAAAAAAGGCATCTTTGAACATATTATTTTTTACGTAACATTTTATTTTATATTGTTTGGGTTGTTAACTAAGCACAAGGTTTAGATATGCATTTTACTTTTCAAGATGCATATATACTCTCACTTGTACTACACATTTTCATTTTAAAATTCATGATCTGTAAACCATAATATTATAAATGCAAAATTGCCTACGTATGCGACTATGCGTTTCCAATTAAAAAATTACTATAAATAGAATACTATATAAAATACAAAAAATAACTCTAATAAATCTAAAAGCGGACTGCTTAATCAATTATTTTCAAAAAAATAGGACAGATGTAAATATAATTACTACAAAAATTGTATATTACATCATTTATTATATAAACTAAGAAAATGATGATATACATTGCATCAGTTAAAAATTATTTACGTAAAAGTCGATACTAATATGAATCGGTTGTAAAAAACGATGTTAAAATTTACATCAGTTAATAATGCTAATATTTGTTCGTTATAATAAATAATATAAATATTTGTATCAGTTATAATTAATCTTAATTAGTGTTACTATTATCATGGTAAGAAATTCGTAATTATTAATTTTAATAAAATATTTTAAAATTGTATGATATAATTTAAAATAATAATAATTAATTAATTTAAATTGTAAAAAATTTCTTAAGGCAATTAAAACGTTGCCAAAAATTCTGAATTTTGTTAACTGCATATAAGTTTAGTTATTTATAAGACTATTCTCCTACGCCCTTTTTTTGAGCGATGTGGGATTAAAAGTGCAAGAGTAATTAAAGCAATTAATTAATTGAAAATTTATTAGCATCAGTTTTTACTTTTGTAACTTTTCTATCAATTTATTAAGTGATGCTAACAAACCATAGTTAAATACATCAAATATTTGATTGATGTAAATTTATATATTTGTATCAATCTTATTAAAATGGTGTAAATTAATAAAAATTTGTATCAGTTTTATTGAACTGATGTTAGATTAATCAATAACAATATCAATTATTATTAGTGATGCTAAACCAATATTTTATATCATTTATTAATAAAAATAATATTATTTCATTTTATGATGCTATAAAGTGATGTAATACAATTTTTTTAAAAGTGAATCTTCAATATTTTTATTTATTTAGACTAAAAATACATCAAATATTTAATTGAATTGATGTTAGACTAATCAATAAACAATATCAATTATTATAAGTGATGTTAAACCAATATCTTATATCATTTATTAAAAAGTGATTTAAAATAATATTATTTAATTTTATGGTGCTATTTAAGGTGATGTAATACAATCTTTTTTAAGTGAATCTTCAATATTTGTTTTTATTTAGATTAAAAATCTATAGAGGGATATGGTAAGATTTGGGTTATTATAGCATATACCTATTTGCGCACCACAAATAACTTTGAATTAATTATTTAAAATTTCAAGTACTTTTGATTTGTGATTGGCTAGCTAGGATCTTCACATTTCGTACGTCTATATAAAGCTTCACAAAGACCCAAGCTTAAATCACAAACCCAAAAACGGAAAATATCACCCCCCAAAAAAAAATTATCCACATGTTTTCTCTGAATATGAGCACCGAAATAGAAAATTTGTGGGTCTTTGCTCTTGCATCAAAATTCAGTTTTTTCATGCAAGAACATTTTGTTTCCTGTCTTGTCGCCATAGCCATCACTTGGTTTACGTTAGCCATCGTATTTTGGTCTGCGCCCGGTGGACCGGCTTGGGGAAGATACTTCTTCACTCACCGGTTTACTTTCGGTTGTAACCGGAAAATCATACCCGGTCCGAGAGGGTTTCCAGTAGTGGGAAGCATGAGCCTAAGAGCAAGCCGTGTGGCTCATCAGCGCATAGCGGCAGTGGCAACGATGACGAACGCCAAGCGACTCATGGCGTTCAGCCTCGGCGATACTAAGGTGGTGGTTACGTGTCATCCTGACGTGGCAAAGGAAATATTGAACAGTTCTGTTTTTGCAGACCGGCCTGTTGACGAAACCGCTTACGGTCTGATGTTTAACCGAGCGATGGGGTTCGCTCCTAATGGTACATATTGGCGTACTCTGCGTCGGTTAGGCTCAAACCATCTATTCAATCCGAAGCAAATCAAACAATCAGAGGAGCAGAGACGAGTGATCGCGACTCAAATGGTGAATGCGTTTGCACATAACGGTGAAACTGCCTTTGGAGTGCGTGATGTTCTCAAAAGGGCGTCGTTGTGTAACATGATGGGTTTAGTTTTTGGGAGAGAGTATGAATTGGAGGCTAAGAACGACATCGAATCGGAGTGCTTGAAGGGTTTGGTTGAAGAAGGGTACGACCTTCTCGGTACGCTTAATTGGACCGATCATCTTCCCTGGCTAGGCGGTTTAGATTTCCAACAAATCCGGTTCAGGTGTTCTCAGCTCGTACCAAAAGTAAACCAGATATTGAGCCGGATCATTCAAGAGCACCGTGATGCCAAGAGTGATTTTCTCGGGGTGTTACGTTCTCTTCAAGGTTCCGAAAAATTATCAGAATCCGATATGATCGCTGTTCTTTGGGTAAATAAGAAAAAAAAAAACATTATTTCTTCTAATTCAATTCGTATAGAGATATTGAAAATTTAACATTTTCAAAATTTTATCCCGTTATTAGGAAATGATATTTAGGGGAACGGACACAGTGGCGGTTTTGATCGAGTGGGTGTTAGCGAGGATTGTGATGCGTCCGAAGGTTCAATCAACGGTCCACGATGAGCTTGACCGAGTCGTTGGCAAAAGCAGAGCCGTTGATGAGTCTGACCTTCCATCGCTCAGGTATCTGACGGCTATGATCAAAGAAGTGTTGAGGATGCATCCACCGGGCCCACTTCTCTCTTGGGCGCGTCTCTCAATAACAGACACCACCGTAGACGGATATCACGTGCCGGCTGGAACCACCGCGATGGTCAACATGTGGGCTATAGCACGTGACCCGAACGTGTGGGAGAATCCTTTGGAGTTTAATCCTGAGAGGTTTGTGACTAAACAAGGTGAAGCTGAGTTCTCTGTTTTCGGGTCGGATCTGAGGCTGGCACCGTTTGGTTCGGGTAAGAGGGTTTGCCCGGGAAAGCATTTGGGGCTTACGACGGTGTCGTTTTGGGTTGCGACGCTCTTGCATGAGTTTGAGTGGCTTCCTAGAGTCGATGCTAACCCTCCAGATATGTCGGAGGTTTTGAGGCTGTCTTGCGAGATGGCTAATCCTCTCGTCGTTAACGTACGCCCAAGGCGTAAGATAGCATAAGCTTCAGTTTGGTCAGTGCATCGATGCTTCATAGTCATTGATTGGCAATTAAGAAACCACCTATATTTAAATAAATAATCATTGAAAACAAAGAAGCAAATATTTGTATTCTAAGAGCGAAGATTCGCCTATCTTTATTAATCATTAAGAGAATATTATAATGTATTTATATTATATGAAGTAATTAAAGTATCATATCTGGATTTACTTATTGATGAATATGCAATGTTATTAATTAATAACTCAAGTAGCTGTAGTGGTACGGTTGTCTCGGCTCTAAAAACCCAAATATGTTTAATGACTTGCGCTTCGACTCGGATGATTTTATCTGTGATGAACTAGTGAGAAATTTCTTAGCAAAGTGTTTGTGCTTATCTTATCTTAATTAATATAAATTAACTAGGAATCATTCCACTTAATATAAATATATAATACTTGACGATTCACTGAATTAAGTTCTCCAAATTTAATTATATCTTAATCAGTTCTGAATTGTTTAGATATCCTTAATTTGCTATGAAATTTCTCATCAAGATGTCAGTCAAGAGACATAAAGATTTTATTTAATAGAAAGAAGCACTTGTTTGAAGTTGTGTACTTGTGTGTACATAGAATTTACACCTAATATATATAATAGCCGTCATCGTCGAGTGTTATAGTGTTTCTGACTGTTCATTAACATGATGTCACTAACTTCTATAAATTACAATTTCAATAATATGATGTCTTTGACTTAAACATTTTTATTTTGTTGATGACCAATTCATTCGCGTTCTTGAATGAAACAGTTTTTGTTGTTTTTAACATTCAGAAATTACATATGTTTGGGATATTATTGAAAATGCATTTTTTTTCAAGAATTTCAACGTATTGAGAGTGAAATTCAATTCTAAATCAAGTCATGGCTGAATGATTCACTATGAATATATTGAAACTCAAATTCTCAACCAAGTCGTGGTTGAGTGATTTCACTTCGTGTTACGAAACCGAAGTTTGAATCATTCCACGGCAGTTTTAATAATGATTCAGTTTGGTATTTTCTTGTTATTATATATAATATATATATACAAGAAAAGGTTAGGCTCTCCACTTTGGTGTTGTGTGATTTTAATTTTCTTTTTACCATGCTGTGTTCTTCATGTAGTTAAAACAGGTTTGACGAATACTGGCGATGTAGAGTATTAGAAAAACGAAATTATTTTTCCGTAAGTATCATATTTAACATATTTAACCATTAAATATGAAAAGGGCGCTAGAAATATAAACATATTAAACGATATAATTTAGCCATATATATTTTATACAAAGAAAGTCTCCTCGTAACTTTATTCATCACGTAATATGATAATAAGGGAGTATCGTCTGTCAGAGTTACCTATCTCATTGTCCCTTATCCACATTCAAATTTCAGAATTGTTAATAAAAAATGTTAAAGATGGTGATATGATAATTTGTGTTCGTTTTTTCTTAGTCTACAACATCACCATATCGCATTTTATCAACCAGAAAAAAGAAACGGAAATTTGAATGCGACATACGAGACAGTAAAATAGATAACAGTGAAAGATAATACTCGCGCCTAATATGAAATTAACAACCTAAAAAAAAAAGTATGAAACAACCTAATACGCGAAGCTACTTGCAATAGTTTCATTTGAACAGTTACTCGTTTGAATAAAATTGCCATTGACTCATTGACGAAAATCATGAAGAATGCAGTAAATAACCTTTGTATGCTTCCACAAATTGTGTAATACAACTGTTGGTCAAACTGTCCAGTCATAAGAACTATCGAAAAGTCTAATCAAAATACGATTTCCCGTGATGTGAAATCTACATAGTGAGTCTATGTGCTATAGAAGTTTAAGTGATCATTTTATTTCTTCTTAATTTCCAGCAAGATTATCCGTTTTATTCTCTTATACAATATAACATTTATAAATTAATACTCAATAATTTTAATACCTCGATAAATTAATACATTTTTTAAATTCCAAATTAGTTTTTCGGACTGATTTTTATATCAATAAATTAATAACTCGATAAATTAATAAAATATTGTAGTCCCAATATTATTAATTTATAGAAATTTTAATGTATATTTACAAAATAAAAAAAGAATAAAATTTATGCATTTAGAACACTGTATTGTTTTTTTATTGTAGGTCACAATTAGTATACGAGAGGGATCAGATGTATGAAAGAAAATAAATTAAAATTTGAAAAATATATATCAGCAAAATGCATAGTCGAGAACACGGATTCAATACTTGATTTTCCTTAAAAATAATTTTATTTTGCTCAAGTGCGTTATTGGAATATTACATAAAATTAATAATCTTGGGCACTGCAAGTATTAATATATATATAGTTATTTAAAATAAAATATGGATGTCATGACAGTATAGTTATAGATAGATGGGGGAAGAGCTACGAGACAAACATGCCTCAAAACTTGACACTGCCCTTTATATTTATTACGTTCCTAATTACAATGCTACACTACATATATAGATGAAGTGGTAGCCAGACCTGTATCTCTATAACATAATAATGTCTCGCAGCATATATATGACTTAAAGAACAATAAATTTAAATGTAAGGACTATTAAATATTTAAAAGAAGAATGAAAAAATCCGAACCAAGTATTGTTGAGTTATTTTGATTGGGGTTTTCTTCATAGGAGTAAATTCTGATAGTCTATGATTTATTTTCTTGAGACCAAAACCGGAAAACGTTTTGTTTAGGATCGAGCAATCGCGGATTGATTGTAAATTTTTATATGTAATACATATGGAGTGTAACTACATAAACAAATATTTCATATATTGGAGGATATCAGTGACGCAATGGAGAGACGAGAGTAAGAATAACGTCCCAATACTGAGCAAAGGAGGAAGCAAAGCATCGTCCTCTCCGTTCATTAATCACAATATTTATGCTTTATTATTATATTTAATTCGCTATTCACAATGTGATTTTAAACCTAAGGGTAACTAATGGATTTGTGGTTCAAGTGGTATGTTCGAATAAACTAATCAGATTGGAGAATATAATAATCTAACAAGTGAAAAATATACTCCACGCCATAAAGAAACAACAGCATGCCTTCACGTTGTAAACAACTCCCCGAAAACTTCCAACTAGCTTAAACCTGATTCTACTTATTATAATACAAAAAATTGTGAGCATAACTATCGATATTTTAAATGTAATATACAGTTTTGAGAGAAGAAATGTTTATCATTAATGAAGTTGGTAGGATACCTAAAAAAGTGATGAAAATTAAATTGTAAATATTTTGTTTCCTAACTGGTCATCCTCAATTTACCCAACCACTCTTCTGACTAACTTCTCCTGCCTTCTTTATTTCGCAATTCAATAATATAATCTCGTCGATATATATGCACGCATACCATTTTGAATTATTGTTTCAAAATTCTGGTTTCGAATATAGTTATAATTCGAGTTAAAGGTCACATGTTACAAATTTTAGTTAGCTAGTCGAATCTAAGAAAACTATGGACTATATGTGGAACTCATGATTAGAGAGAACAAAAAAAGACATTACACTCAGCAGCTGTAAAACCGTATAAAGGAATATTTTGTTCTTAAAAATTTTGTCATCGAAACAACTGGACATGATCTCTAATTTTGTGTATAATTATTAAAAATTATATAATCACGAAACCATTCATTATAATCTTATACCGAATCAAAGTTCATTTATTTCGTGGCAAGAAAAATATGTGACGTGTCATTTAATTCAAAAATGTATGCATTAATTGCATCGGTATTAAATAAAATAATATATTTTTTAAAAAAGCTAGGGTTTAGGAATGACGACCTGTTTCTGTTGTGTCTTATTAAAAGGCCCATCTTCTCCTCCGCCACTCATCATTCCCTCATCATAACACCATCATCACCAATTCACCCACCCTTCTCTCTCATTCTTTTTCTTTCTCTCTCTCGAACAAAAATGTGAGAGATTCTGCTAACTATTGTGATTATTATCATGAGAATTAAGCTATTTCAGTTGAGGGGAATGTTGTCTGGATCGAGGATATTATATATATAGCCATACATGTATATAACTGATCGTAATACGTATATAGAGAGTATCCTCGGACCAGGCTTCATCCCCCCCAACATGTTATTGCCTCTGATCACCATATATTATTTAAGTCTTTGTTAATCACTTGCAAAAATCGCTAAACTTATTCTTTTAGGCACTTAACATCTCTTTCCTGCATGCTTTCGTGAGAGTGGATTTACACATTTGCTAGTCCGTTTTTTTTGTACCCTTTTGTTTCGTATCTTTATATCGTTATACATATGTATTTTCAAAGTAACGAAATATTTTTATAAGATGTTGTATATGAATATTTTAATGATCAAAGAATACACTCTCAACGATCTAAGTAGATAGCTGTTTTTGTGTAATATTCTTTGCTAATAACTTTTTTTTTGTCCGGTACCCAACTAATCCGGGAATGAACTTACTCCTTGGCAGAAAATTTTCTACAAGAACACCTCTCGTAAAGCACCATGCCGAAGCACAAAAATTCAAGTGGTCACACTTACAGCGACTTTGTTCGATACTTCTAAGGTTTTATGTTAGGTTTGGATACTCAACTCAACAATCTCAACATCAGACGGCGGTTTCTAGGTTAAAATCTAATGAAATCTTTTTACTTTATCTAAGATCGTATGTATCAAGTCAGATTTTTAGAGGTGTCTTAGAACAATGTTTTTCTAATATTTTTTGGTTGACAAATAAAAGCAATTTTTTTTTAGTTTTAATGAAAATTTTAAAATTTACTTCGAATCTTCGATTATGTTAGTTTTAACTTGACCAAACGGTGGAAAGTATATTGAGCTTAAATCATCAAATAACCAAGATGTATCAAAAATACATATCTAAAACGTCTATAAAACACACAGAATAACAATAATTTAAAGTACAGCAAACACCCAAAAAAATTAAAAACCGGACTCATCAAAAGGCGTCACCGAAATTTTATTGATGGGACATTTTAACCGAGTACCAATGAAATGCAGCCTTGTCTTAGTTTTTAAAATTTGTCGAAACAAAACGCCATGTTTGAACTCACCAATAAAACGATGCGTTTGAAGGGATTTTGCATTACAATTTCATAAGCAAGGAAAATTCTAAGAAGGTAATAACGGCAGCACATGGCCTTCAAATGTAAGCTCGTTTGTGATTGGGCTGATAGTTTTCTATATGGCCCGAAACAAAGTATGTTTCATGTTCTGTATGTGGTGTTCATTTTTTTCAGTATCCCATATATCTGATGTTGTAAGAAATATCTGATGATGTATATATTTGGGTAAAAAACAATGTATTTGACAAACTAGCATCTTAAAATAAAGTAAAAAAATTGAAACTATGAATTTGTGACAAGTGTTCAAAGAAAATATCTTTTCTTTCTAAAAATGATTGATTTAGCTACAGCTGGTAAACGTAAGCTTTTCTTTAAATAATGTACATAAATGAATAATACTCATTTTCGACTATTCACGAATAATTTGTACTAGAATCCGACTAGGCCACTTTTGTAATGGTAGATTTTAAATTTAATTGCCAAAAAAAAATCTACTAATTAATCAATGCAATGAAAACTTCAAACTTGTTTATTAAATGAGTAGTAGTAGACTTGTAGTATACTACATGGAAATTCTAATTCTGCTTTTTTTTTGCTGTATAGAAAAAGAAAAAGGGGATATCAGATTAAATTAATAGAATCGATAACCCAATGTTGACCATCGGTTTTGACTTTTAACCGGTTGATCTCTGCGAACAAATTCACTGCCCTTCTCACTCCTCTATTATCCGCCGCCGTGAAATAATCGTGACCGAATAAAACTCCGCCGGGTCGGAGTATCCGAACCGCTCGATTTATATCAGCCCATGCCGAATTGAAATCGTGACCCGCGTCTATCTCCACCAGATCAGCCGTCACGCCCCACTCGCACAGCTTCTCCAAACCCGAACCGGTCGAGAATGGAACCGGCAAAATCGAACCGGAAAATCCGGAGCTGACCACGTTTTGCATAAACTGGTACATGAGCAAAACGTCGCCGTTGACCAAAGCTACGTCCTTAAACCGATCTCGAAAACCAGGCCAGCCACGGAAATCGTCGACGCAGAGAATCTGAGTCTCCTCGAGCCCGAGGCGGCGCGTGAGGTTCGCCATGTGAATCGCCGACGCGCCAAGAAAAGTCCCGATTTCGACGATCGTCCGAGGTTTGACCCGGCGGATTAGATTCTCGAAGACGAGTCCGTACGATCCCCAGCCTTTGATTCTTTTTCGCCGGAGGAATTTGCCGGCGTGTGGTGGCGGGAAATCGGTGTACGGAGAAGTACCGTTGAAGATCCTGTCGATAACTGTTCGCCGGATGAGTTCAGGCGGAAGAAGATCGCCGCAGCGAGTCGTTATCCGGAAGTTGTCAATTGAGCAGTCGTGAGTTTTAGTCGTATCGTCGGATGTCCTTAACGCCGTCGTTGCCGGTGAAGGCGGTTGAAGATAGTAGTAAGCGGAGAAGTAACCAAAGGCATAGGTTAGCACTACGAAGATAACGTACGCCGTCTTGGTTTTCAAGAATTGGAGGCCATCGCGTTTGTGAGGAAGACGCCGCTCTTCCCTCATGATCAAGCTTTCTAATGACGTAAAAATGATTAAGGAATAATGGTGGTCGTAATTAAGTTTAACTAATTCGAATCATGGGATTTAATATTATTTTGGGCGGGTCAGCTTGCTAAGACGTGTTATATAATCGGTAAAGAAAATGCTAATTAAGCCTGTGTGTGAGATCTAATCTATTTGACTTTACGTGTCTAGAAAGTTACATGTGATGTAGTCATTTACAATAAAGATATTTAGCTTTATCCTAATTGACCAAATTAATACGAATACAAAAAAAAAAAAAAGCAGGTGCCCATTTTAGCCTTTACATACGCAAGCAAAAAACGACTCTTGTCGTAGCTGTGCCCATTTTAGTAATTACCTAACACACTCTGTCCCATTTTAATCAAAGTTTTAAAGATAAGATCACAAGAGACGATGGAGTTGAACTCGATCTGATCGTTTTCCACCGTTTAATTCTTCTGGAATACCACCACTAGTTTAGAGTGTTTTGAGCTTCACTGTCTCTGTATCAACAAAGGTAACTTCTGATGTAATTAGAACGATTCTACTTACAAACCTTAAACTGAAGCTACAAAAGCTAAAACTCCAAATATCTCTAATCCGCTAACTCACCGATTAGATTTGTAAGTTACTTCTTCAGAGTTCAGACCTTCCTCTGGAATTTGGTTGCGTTTTCATTGATTGTGTAATAAGTAAAGCTTATTGATTTTTCCCCTCGTCTTCGATTAAAGGCTATTCAAAACGATCAATTTCCTAGTCTTTGTTTACTAACAAAGTTAATCTGTTAAAGAATTTTCTTTGGCCTTAAATATTTGAATCTTTATTGAATTAGGTTGCTTCTTCTTCTCTGGTGTGTTGTTACGACTTACGTGTGTTAAGTGTTTTAATGATTCTGATGTTTCAAGGTCAGATTTACAAGGAAAATGGCAACATCAGCAGCAGGTCAAGCCAAGTACATAATCGGCGCTCTCATCGGCTCATTCGGAATCTCATATGTATTCGACAAACTTATCTCTGATAACAAGATCTTCGGAGGCAAGATTTCACTTTTTTGTCGTCTTCTTCTTCAAACTCTCATCCTAATTTAGGGACGATCTTAATGAACTTTATATAAAAACCTCTGGTGGAAAACCAGGGACGACTCCAGGAACCGTATCTAACAAGGAATGGTGGAAGGCTACGGATGAGAAGTTCCAAGCATGGCCGAGAACAGCTGGTCCTCCCGTCGTTATGAATCCCATTAGCCGTCAGAATTTCATCGTCAAGTCGCGTCCAGAGTAAAAAATAAGATCAATGCTCTTTGATAAGATGAATGAATAATGATATGTTTCTAAACCAAGCCGTACTTGTACTAAATAAGACAAATACATTACAACACGGTTTTTTTGTGGAACTACTATTCCACAGTCTATCTTTCTGTTAAAACTCATGAAAACTAATGCCAACGCCTTAGTAGTGAGACTCAGAAGAAAGCAGGAGTCCTAAATATCAACAAAAACAAAGCTTCTTTGGATCCTTTTCATTTGCCATCATCTTTTCCTTGTCCATCTGCTCCATCTTGCTTGCCTCCTCTATGCCCCACTGTAAAGTAAAGAAAGAAAGGAAATGAACAAACATTATAGGAAGCCAAAGAAAGGATACACCAACCAAGCAACTCGCTTCTACTACTACTACAGTCAAGGAAGAGTTAGAATTGCGTAGAGTTTTACCGTTTGCACCGCTTCCTCCAAGAGCGGTTTCTGGTTGTTGCATCGGATGCTGCATCTGCATCCCGTTGTTGTTGATACCCATTGGTCTAATCCCCATGTGTCCTTGCATAGCTTGCTGATGTATATGCTGCTGTTGCGGATCCTGAAGCTGGTGGGTGCTACCAAATTGCAAAGGACCTCTTGGAGGGAAAATACCGGCGGGTGATGCTTGTTGAGCCATAGCTGAAGCTTGTGGGTGTTGCATAAAGTAGCTTGGCGGTTGCATCGCAGGATGCGGTGTCGTCATCTATAACAGAAATCACACCCAAAAGTAAGAAAATCCGACATATATGTTAAGTGTTGCGATTGGTCCCAGTCGACTTTATCATCACAAACAACCTGGGAAGCCATAGCTGGTGCTGGTGCAGCTCCTGGTGTAGGTGGAGGAGGTTGCGCATCAGCAATTGCAGCGAGGTACATTAAGTTCTTCTGGAGAAGAGCTTGGTACCTGAAAATATGACGAGCAAAACATTACAATTCTCAGATTCCATAAATGTTCGAGAGATAGAAGATGGATATATACAAAGGAGACACTTACTGTGCACATTCTGCAAGTTTTCCGAGATTCTGATTTTCCATGATTGCCATTATCAGCTTTTTGTTTTCGTCAAGGTACTGAATTTAAGCACATGTAAAAACGGAATGAAAGAAGCGAGAATGAGATGAAGTAAAAACCAAAAAAAAAAAACCATCAAGTATCTATCTTCAATGTCCAAAATCTGATTCTAAGTTCAATTAACAAAACCAAAGCAGGAAAATCACCGAGAACAGACCCAACTTTTGTATCACATAACCACAACTGTTGAATGCCATCAGAGAAGAAGAGTAAGAGTAAAAACACTTTTGAGATTTCTATCTGATTAAAAATTAACCAGGAAAGTTACAAAGATAGACACTTTCGAACCAATTGCCCCCAAATTACAGCCAATAACTTCACTCAAATCACAAATACTCCATTGTATGTCGGCACAGATAGTTCAATAAGACTCTTAAACAAAGTGTTCAACAATTTTAGTCTGTGACTTTGACTACTATAAAGAGAGAAATGCTCTAAAACAGATAGAAATTGAAGAAAAGAAGGAACCTTTTGGATCTGTTCTGTGGTGATGTTAGTAGGCGGCATCGAAGGAACCATCGGAAACATTTGCGGAGACTGCTGCATCTCGTCGCCGAAAAACCAAAACCCTAGTTTCGTCTCCCCCTCAGAAACCCTCGAAATTTCACCAAACCAAGACTGATCAAGCCGGGAAATTGATATACCCCATGCGCAAACGAAATGATTGCAAGATTCTAACAAATATTTATTGATTATCCTACAATTTATTACTTGGATTCGACGAGGTCTTCTCTTGAGATTTTAGGACCAGAAATGTGTCCAATTTTTTTCTAAAGAAAAACAATAAAAAATAAATAAACTAATATAGCCTCTAAGCGAAACAGAAGTTTTGGGCCCTTGAATTCACCCAATTCGACGAGACTATACGGTTTATGGGTCACTAAAGCAGTTAACCAGACCGATGTACTGGTTTTTACTCCGGTTAAACCAATCCAATAACCGACACAATCCTGCAATCATGGGAACTATCTCAATAGAGAAAATGATAGCAAGGGAAAAATCAGTGGCGATTATAAATGGATATAATTTTAATGGTTTGGTATTGACTATTGAGTAATTGTTATATACTTCATCGGGTTCAAAAGAGTGTCATTTTGAATATTACTATTTTTTCTTGTTATATAGCGAGTGCTGTTTTAAGAAATTTGATACAAAGTAACAAAAATATTAGTTTTATTATCCATTTTCTTAATCGAAATCTTGCATCCATCTTTTTATTGTTTACGGCAAACTTTTTTATTATTTTTTTGTTTGTTATCTATATTCATTTTAATTTTTTTCCGAGTCGATGTTACTCTTAATTTTATAGATGACATTTCACTGTTAGTAATATTATCTTGATAAATGTATACATTTCTAGATTTGAAATTATCTGTATTTCACTGTTTTCGTAATAAAATATATTAAAAAATTTAATCCCTGATTAATCCCTATTTTTTGGCTAGGAATATTGAATTTAACTACTATTGTTCTTTTATATTTGTATTCTCTTTTTCAATTGTTTTGAGTTCTAATTAATTGTGCTACCTCAAAATCAAAATGCTCCAGTTTACGTATTATATATGCTGCAGGGAGCCACAAATAATAAACTGTTATTTGAACTTGATAAAGAAATTATAAACTTTTGTTACGGTTGGGAGGGGAAATTTAGTAGACACTATATACCTGACCATTTTCTTTTTAGTTATGAGATACAAATAACTCGAGTAATTGAACGGGAAAAGAAAGTTGATACTGAGAGGGAAATTTCCCCCTTACATTTCTTAAGTTGGAAACTTACCACCTGTTTTCATCAAAAGTAGAGTAATCTGATCAGATTAACAGAAAACTTATTTGCAAATTCGCTATCTTTAGAGTTTTCGCTTTTGAATTAGAAGATATCCAAGCGCAATCTGATCCATATATCTAAGAAAATTATTTTATTTTTCCAAATTATATTGCATACCTCTACCATATATACATACAAAGGAGAAATATAATTCGTCATAAAACTGGTTTAACACTATCAAGGTTTATTGGTTAAGTTCTATTTTAGGTCATTCGTCTTGACCGGTTTAGGGGAAGGCGAATAAATGCGAAATCGGTTCATATCAGTCAACTTAGTCAACAAAATGGATCACGGAACCTTTCGCCGTTATCGTTTCTGTTAGATATATATATATAGTTTGATATATATATATATATATATATTCGTTAACGGCCCGACTATAAAACTATAAAAGTTTCCTTTTCTTTGAAACATATGGTTTCCCTCTTCTCTCTTGGAGAGTTTGGTTCAGCGAGCTTCGCCATTGTCTCGAATCAGAGAACAATTTTTTAGCTACTCAAGTTTCCAGGTAAGCGAACTCAATGTATGCTCTGATTTCAAGCTTCGGATGCTGATCTTGGTGATTGAATCAAATATTTCAGTTCTCAATCTGTTTTTTTTGTTCTTCTGTTTTTGTTCTTCAATCGCTATCGATTTTTCTTTCTTCATGCCGTGATGATGCATGTTAAAACGTTGAATCTTGGATAGAGATTGTGTGATATCATCTTCGTCGTCCATCAATTTTGGCGGGAGTTGTTCTTGCGAGACTTGATTCTTGTTTGTACGTGATGGTGTCTGTTCCAGTTTTCAATTTTGGCGGGATTTGTTCTTGCGAGACTTGATTCTTGTTTGTACGTGATGATTTCCATTTTTGGCCGGAAATGTTAGAAGTCTTTGCGTTATCTTTCACGAGTCTAAGTGTGGAGATGTGATTATGTTGCAACAGAGATTTACGCCAAAGATCAGCAATGGAAAACGAAGTAACCTCCCCTCTCCTTGGTGGCTCACCGGAAAATCAACCGGAAAATCAAGCAAACACCGTTAATGACAGTGACATTGTTCCCGAAGTCTCAACGGAAATTGGTTCAGAGGAAACGGAAATCCTCACAAAGGTGACAAAATCGTCCACGGCCGAAGGGAGCGCCGCCGGAAATGTCTCTGACAGTATCGAAGAAGCCTCCGCCGATGACTCTCTCCTCCAAACCCCAAATGAAGCCGACGACTCTCTCACCGGGGGAATCCCCGCCACTGGCTTCACCGGAGTGAAATTGATGATAATACTCTCTTGTCACTTCCTAGTGGGAGTTGTCATGTACTGGGTCTTAGAAGACCAATATTCTGGGACAAAGACACACCCGCTCGTAGATGCAATGTATTACTACGTTGTGACAATCACCACCGTGGGTTATGGCGACATTGTGCCGTCAACTGTGGCGACGAAGATTGTTACCGTCATCATGGCACTAAGCGGCGTTGTATGCTTGGATGTATTCCTCGGTTTTACTGTGAGTGCCCTAGTCAATTATCAGGAAAAGATGACGGGAGGAACTCGCTTTACTAATCTCGTTGCATCAGTGTTCTGCGTCTTCTTCTGTATAACCCTAGGTTCCTCATTTCTATATGCTTTTGAGGGTCTCGGATTCTGGGATTCGGTCTACTTGTCTGTCGTGTCGGCCACAACAGTTGGCTATAGAGACGTGTTCTTCACAACTCTTGTAGGTAGATTGTTCGGATTCTTCTGGATACCCACAACGACAATAGCTATGGCCGCGTTAGTTTCCCGGTTGGAAGAGATAAGGATGGAAACTGTCCCGCCGCGGACTGATGAGATGAAGATGCTTTCGACTGATGAGATTGAGATGTTTGTGACGACATTCTTGAAAGAAACCGGCAAGCTCGACGATGAAGATATGGAGCGATTCCACAAGAAGTTCCAGGATCTACGTTTGATGACCAACTCGGCTTGAACAGCTCAACCATTAACTTTCCAGGTAAAGATCTTCACTAGTTTTTTATTCCAAACGAGTTTTGCAATATTTCCCAACTTTCTTTAGCATTAGTAAATCATTGAATAAGTCTGAACTGATTTATATCCACGGAACTGAAAATATGCTGAAACCTCAAAGTGCTATTGAGTTGAATCTGAAACTCATGTTTTCTTCAGCTGTCCATTCTGATTTTGGTTTCAAAATCCATGTAGTTCGTATAGGAAGCTCTCAACCTGCATCCTCGTCAATTCCCACTTATATTAGCCATCATTTAGAATTTCGTAAACCATAGTTTTCTGCATATAGCAAGAGTTTCTATTTTTGCACAGCAACAAGTTGTGTTTCCATCTGCTCTCCTGAATTACCTCTGCTACTATTTCTTGAAAATAGCAAATCCTATTTGTATAGAACATCCTTGCTCTCTCTATCTCTCTCTCTCAATGAGAACAAACATACGTTTATGCTTATCTAATTCTTGGAGGTAGTCGTCTCAGATTTGGTCCACGTAACTTCCTTTTCTTGTTAGCACCTTGAATACTGAAAATTGTAATTTTTGTCCTTCTGCAGGCGTCTATGCTCCTTGCAAAATGCTTCTTTTCAACTCTTCTGTACATGAAGCCCATTGCTTCCACATTCTCACCCTCGCTGGTTCAAATTCAGTCAACCAGTTCTTACACAGATAATGTAGAATATACCAACTCTTTGCTCTCAAATTTTTCTTAGTTTTTTAACTGCAACAAGCTTCTACTTGATTCAGTCCTCTCCCTGTCTGAAGCTCTTCTGTACATGAAGCCCATTGCTTCCACATTCTCACCCTAAATTCAGTCAACCAGTTCTTACACAGATGATGTAGAATATACCAACTCTTTGCTCTCAAATTTTCTTAGTTTTGTAACTGCAACAAGCTTCTACTTGATTCAGTCTTCTCCCTGTCTGAATTAACCCTTGAATAAAAAAGAATGCTTATCAGATGAACCAACTTTCCCCCTGCCTGATTTAACCCATCTTGTTTGTGATTCTTCCCATTAAGCAACCACCTTTCTCCGCCTGCTTTAGTGACACACAAAATCAATATCCAAAAGATTGCGGAATCATCACATCATTTGATAAAAATTAGCATCTAACGTTTTTAGAGGGCCAGTTTCAGTATTGCAAGCCGATATCATATCAGAGGAATACAAAGGCCCAAAAATTAGAATGAGCAGTAAACAAATTAAAGGATCATCGAACTCCGAGATGATGTCGCCGTTGACAAGACTGGAAATTCATCAAAGATGACACAACCGCAGACGGAACCGGAGAAGAAGCCCTTGTCGAATTTTGCACAACGATTATAATTCAATCTGGAATCACAGAGACCAAGAACAGTGGTGATTTTAGGGATTTAAGCGAAGAAGAAGACTAGGCAGAGGCAATATATTATAAACCCAGCTGGTTAACACATGGTTTAATGTCTTATTAAACCAAACCAGCTTGAAGGGTTAAAATCAAACCATCTTTGGCAACGATTAATGAACCAATTTTGACTCTTCTTCATCAAGATACCCCATTTTTTTTTTCTCTCCAAATTCGTAAATTTAAGTCAGTTTCACTTTCATCTTTGAGAGAGAAAGAGTTTCATAGTTCTTTCTATTGTATATATCCAATCAACTCGGATCTGGATTCCGATTTTTCGGATGTTGGTTCCGACTAAGTTCGGATCTGTTGTGTGTTTAATTTTTCTTTTTCTTGTTCTCTTTCTCTTTAGTGTTCGCCCTTTTGCATGTTTTAAATCAATTTTCCAGTTTCGATTGGGAGGTTGATAAATTCCGGGAGTTGGGCGGATCGTTGTTTCATCGAATGCCTGATTATAGAGGACAGTTTATCCTTGGATGAATTATAATAATCGGAGTTTCTCGCCGTCTTTGGTGGTCCTCGGAAGAATATATCGGCTCTTGCTCATCTGAATTTTATCTTCCACGATGGATTCATCTAGATCCAGTCAGTTGATCATCAAAAAATGTTTTTTTTCCTTTTTCTAATTTAGACAATTTGTGTGTGTTTCTTGTTGCAAGACAAACATATCTATTGGTTTTGGATTGTTGAAAAGTTTGGTGTTGGAAACAGGGAATGTTTTCCTTTGATATGTTATTCTTAATCCTTTCACTTATTATCATGTGGTTGTGGTGTTGACGAAGGTTGTGTTACGCATCTTTGTTGTACACATTACGAAACATCTTACTTTTCCATTATGATATCTAAAACACGGCATGGCTTTGAATGAAATGGTGAACTTGATGATTCCTATCAAGCTGTATCCTTGACCAAGAAGCTATAGAGTAGTGAGTTTTCTCTTTCGGTATATTTGTATTTCTGTATCTTGTATGGAAGCAGAGATTGAAAATTGTTCCCTTCTCGTTTTTTTTTTATTTTTCTGTCCAATTCGAAATTTTAAACATGACACAAAACTGTTCATGCACAAAATCTGTTAATAAACACAAACATCATTAGCATCATTTTCATATAAAATAATATATAAGATAATATAGCGTAATTTAGCACCATATATAGCATTGAACTTGGGAAAGCATGTTTATGATAATCGATTTAACAGTCGGTCATTCTTCTTCACCACTGATCACTAAAATAAATTGTTTTGGATTACAACTCAAATATAATTATCCAATATAACATTCGCACGTAAATATTAGAAAAGACTGTCCACCTTTATGCCTTTGCTTTAGTTTATTCACCGTTTGTGATTTCAGTAAATTTTTGACTTCTCCATACTCCGAGTAATATATCCCATGTATGTTAAGCCCTCCGGAGAAAAATACTAGACATGAAGTGTTTTTATTTTATTTGTCAATGAAAAATCCTCAAGCTATGATTATGTAAATCATAGTTCAGTGCTTTGAGATTGAGAAGCAAGAGATAAAGAACCTCTTTATAAGAGAATCTATGAACTCAAACGAAGAAAATATAGCAGCAGCAGCAGCAAATTTGATCTTCTGCTTCTCCAATTCAACTTTGAGATCCGACAAAGCCAATTCCACATTGTTGACCCGTTCCTCGAGCTGTTGGACCCGAGATCCATCAGAAAGTGCTCTCTCCCTCTCCAAGGAAACCTCCTCAAGCTTTGACTTCAACCAGTCGAGCTTGAAGCCTGCTGCCGACAGCTCAGTCAATTCGCTTTGAGCATTGCTTAGTTCAGTCATAGATAGCATCTGTGGAGACTTGCTCAGTGTATTGACGAGGCCGAGGAGGAGATTCGTGTATGCCCCTCGGTTCTTTGGTATGACAGCATTTGCAAAGCCTGGGTGCTCTTTGAATATCTTGTTCACTGAAGCAGACTGCCAATAATTCAAGGGAAAAAAAGAAAGAAGACAGAGGATATTATTATGCAAACCAGATCCAAAATCCAGACTCTATTTTGTTTTCTGGTGGTTATTAATGGGATTTAAAGACTCATTATACTTACTTGGGAAGCAATGATCTGGAAACCATTGAAATCTAACATTTCATTTGCAGTTGACTTTCCTTGATGAACAACTTCAACTACTTTGATGTATACTTGAATGATTAGTTTGTTCTTCTCCAGAAACCCTTGTTCCTGTAGCTTGGCAAGAGTCAAATTCGTTCTGAAACCCCAGCCTGGGTCCTCAGCGCAGAACAAGCTGCATATGTTTTGGCCTGTAAAATAAACAAACAAAAGTAGAGATATCAACATTTCATCTTTCAGTACTTGGAACATATTCAAGTTCATTACCATACCAGGTGACCTGTAGAGATGTTTGCCGGATTGATTCAACAAATATAAACGAAAGTGAGCTCTCCTTTTCCATCCAGGGCTCAATGACTTCCAATTCGCATCGTGCAAGAACATAGACAAGTCATGATTACCATCGTGTCCCTTGGGAAAAAACATAACACACCTAAGAGAAAATCAAAATATTAGACAAGAACTCGCCCGCCAAAGAGAGCAAATGATCTGAATTTAGTTTCAAATGTATTTGATTTATACCACTTGCAGCCGCCGCTTGAGAAGGGATCCGATGTCATCACACCCTTCCTTTCGGAGAAGTTGTCAATCTCCCAAGTCAAAGCCTTGTCCATCTGCTTAAAACACACAATTGTTTTACCTCATTTCTGCATCATCATTACAGACAATCTTCTATTACAAAGCAATCATGTTTATATCACACGCATAAAACTCATCTTCCCCTTCCTCCGCGAATCCCCTCCCCTCCGGTCTAATAATCATCATCGGAACTTTGATTTTCTGTGAATAAATAATTTTATACCCAACAAGAAAAACCTAATTCAATCTAAAAAAAAACAAAAAGGCAAATCCGAGTTTAATCCGACTCAACAATTTGGATCCACACAACAACAACAACAACAACAACAACAAGAAATTTAAAAATCACCGGAGAGAGCTCGGAGGAAGCAGCAGCCATAACGACGGAATCACCGGTGGCGAGGGATTCCTTTGCTCCAGATTTGGGTGTAAAAGCTGGTAATAAATTACGTCTATTTACTGATAAGAATTAAAAAGTGAAAATAAAAACTATTTAAAAAGGAGTTGGAAACCCACAAAAAGAAAGAGCAAATTGAAAAGGAATACGTATTAATAATGGAACCATTCAACCGGACCAATGGATCGGCTTTTACTCCGGTTAAACAAACTCAATTACCTCGATCTCACAGTTAACCGAAATAATCCCGCGATCATGGGAATCGCTTTTGATTGCGAGGTAGCTATAAATGGAGCTTTACATGTTTTCTAAATTCAATCAAATGATAAAATTGGCCCAAATAAATTGATGAATCTACCGGCCCCAAGCCCAAGTTTGATCTACTTTTTGTCGAGCTCGGCTGTGACTAAATATATAAAGTGTGTAAAAAAAATTAAAAAAAAATTCAACAAATGCCATTGCTTTCATGTGATGAGGGCGTGATATTCTTGTACCGATTTCGAGAAAAAAAAATGTATAACAGGCTCAATTATTGAATGAGTGGTTCAATCTGCATTTTTTTCCATTTTTTATTCGTTAAAATATTTTTAGAAATTATTGTATTGGTATTATTAATTATGCAACAAGCCAATAACTCGCTAACACCGTCTGTCTGCCACTCTTTTCTACGTTTTGGCAATATATAATATCAAAAGATCAGATGAAAAATAATAGAAATAAATAAAAGAAAGAAGAGAAAATGTTGTGAAAACAGAAGAAAAAGAAGAAGAAAAATACTAAAACCATTATCACATTCTGTGTCATCTGAGTTTATCAAGAAGGATTTCTGGGGCCCTCAGTTACCTTTACTCACATGGAAAGATCAAGTATTTCAATCATCTTTTAATTTTTCATCTCAAATTTGAAACCGTTACGTAAGTGGGAAAGAACAAACATGTATATAAATCATATAGAGGGGTATTGAACAGAATATTTTTTAAAAATTTGAGTTTTAATGAGTTTTTAGTATTTCAATAAGAGTTGGTGAAAAACATTAAAAAAAAAAATCATCAATCTACCACCATATAGCTATTACTATTGACTAGTATAGTTTTATAACTTCAAACTAGCTACAATTTGATGATCTTGATATAGTAAAAATGATAGGACCACACAATTTAATGAAATAAATCTAGACATTATACTTGTTCAAAAAAAAAATATCTAGACATTATATAAAACATGTAGCTTTGAAAATCAGAATGGTATGAAACAATTAATAAAACAAAGAAAGGAGAAAAGAACATCAATTACTTTACATAAAATAAAATCAGATCCACATACATAATGAAAAGAGACGCAAGATCCATTTCCATATGTAATCCAAAATACTGAAACTGAAAACTAGATTGGACTGTATATACATCATCTACCACACACACTGACAGACAAAAAAAAAAAAAAAGAGGATAAGGAAGTTTATATGGAGGAGACGAAATACTGAATGTACGTACAACAGGTACACGTACACGGGACGGACGCGGAACAGAAAATAATGTTTTGCCGTTAAGTGGCCCGTGGGACCCAGATGCCGCGCGTGAATCCCACGCTCCCTATGATATCTCTCGCTCGTCCGCTTTCTCTCGCTCGCCTTATATTCTCTCTCATTCAGCCACTAGAATAAACAGAGAGAATCTCTCGCTCGTTGAGATTTGCCGCCGATCGAGCCCGTTAAACGTCGATTGGATTTTTGTAATATTCATATATAATCATCGACGGTGATCTTTATCGTCTAGAAAGAAGAAGAAGAATGAGTGGGAGCAGAAAGAGGACGACGCCGGCGAGTAGCAGGACGCGAGTGGGGAACTACGAGATGGGAAGAACCCTAGGCGAAGGAAGCTTCGCTAAGGTTAAATACGCAAGGAACACCGTCACCGGAGATCTAGCCGCTATCAAGATCCTCGACCGAGATAAGGTTCTCCGCCACAAAATGGTCGAACAGGTTCGTATTTCCGAATTTTTTTTTTTTAAGTTTTAATCTATTATTACAATTGTTTGATTAGGGACCCACTTGTCCGAGGTTTGATTTAAGGTTAATGATTACTTTAAACTTTAAATAATGGATTAAGGAGTATGAATATATATTTATTTATTTTTTAAAAAATTAAGATTCCAGTAATCACGGATTAGAATGTATATGAATGTTCCGTATATTCGGATTTGAAGATCCTGGAATCTGTCATCTATACTATGCTGATCCTAGGACGGATTTAATCATGACAACGATGACATGGATATTGGTTCGAATCTGAGGAAAACTTAGTTTTGTAGACATTTTGATTACAAGTCAAAAGCAAGATATTGAAGATGCTCTGAGCATGCGTTATGTTTTTTAATTTTTTATTGTTCTGTGCAGCTTAAAAGAGAAATATCGACAATGAAACTGATTAAACATCCAAATGTGGTTGAAATCATCGAGGTATATACGAAGCTAATGGATTTTTAATTTTCAGCCTTAAAAAAATTCTAATCAGCTTTGAATTGCGTGTAAAAAATAAAATAACTTGGTGTATATACAGGTTATGGCGAGCAAAACAAAGATCTATATCGTTCTTGAGCTTGTCAATGGAGGTGAACTCTTTGATAAAATCGTAAGAAACCTCCTATCCATACTCTGTTACTCTTACCTACGCTTTGACCCTCTTTGCTCTTTGTAGCTGAATGAATCTTCACGTTTTTTAATAATGTTTTTCTTTTAAATTAACATATGTCTTGAGCTTGTTAATGGAGGTGAACTCATTGATATGATCGTGAGAGTACTAGTCCATAAGATTTTTTTTTTTTTTTTTTGTCAGTACATAAGGTCCGAGTCAAAGACATAACTTAAAGTTTCTACCATTCTCTGTTTTCATCTGTTCTTACTAATGTCATTCTTGAATATATATAGGCACAACAAGGGAGACTTAAGGAGGATGAAGCTCGGAGATATTTTCAGCAGCTCATCAATGGCGTTGATTACTGCCACAGCCGAGGGGTCTACCACAGAGATCTCAAGGTCTTTTTTTTCTTTCTTTTCTTGTTGGGCTCTTCTTATTTCCTGCTATATGATGTTCTCATCATGTCCAAGTTTGTCAACCAATATGTTGCTTGTTTCAGCCTGAGAATCTTATCCTTGATGCAAATGGGGTTTTAAAAGTTTCTGATTTTGGGTTAAGCGCCTTCTCACGACAAGTTCGGGTAAGTCGTTTGATTTATCAATTGGATAGCATGGCAAACTTGGCAATTAATTTCTAAAATGGCAGCATCTCAGTTTGTTTTTTTTTAATTTCCCCGTCACACATATTGATTGTTGTGAGCACCATTCTATTTGATGCAGGAAGATGGTTTGCTTCACACAGCTTGTGGAACGCCCAACTACGTTGCTCCTGAGGTAGATACTAAGTTTCAACGAAAAATAAGATTTTGAGAATTTCAAGAACTGCTAATCCGTTTTTTAAATTAAAAAAAAAAAAAAAAAACGAAAAGAAGATGTAGCAAATGAGATAGAATCTTATATTTATGATGTATATCAAATACATGACTCTAGTTTCTACTGCCTCTTACTATTTGGTGGGCAGGTTCTCTCGGACAAAGGCTATGACGGTGCAGCAGCAGATGTCTGGTCCTGTGGTGTTATTCTATTTGTGCTCATGGCTGGTTACTTGCCTTTTGATGAGCCAAATCTCATGACTTTATACAAACGTGTACGTATAAATAAATATAAAAAAATTCTCTTCTTCTTCTGCTGGTTAGTAACATGACATTATACAAACGTGTACTTTTCGAATCTCATATCTGGTGCTCAAAAAATAATTCAGATATGCAAGGCTGAGTTCAGCTGCCCACCATGGTTCTCTCCAGGTGCCAAGAGTGTCATTAAGCGTATTCTTGATCCGAGTCCTATAACCGTAAGTGCCTACTTAGTTGTTATTTTTTTAACATGAAACCCTGCAAACTGAAGATCCAAATGCTCTAAACTACAAAAAAAAAAAAAAAAAAAAAAAATGGTCTAAACTGTTCAAGAGCTTAACAAACATGGGTTTCCCCAACTGCAGAGAATAAGTATTGCAGAGTTACTAGAAGATGAATGGTTCAAGCAAGGGTACAAGCCGCCATCGTTTGAGCAAGATGATGAAGACATTAACATTGATGATGTTGATGCTGCTTTCAGTAACTCCAAGGTAAAAACTAAAAACCGCCATTTCCCAACCTTTCCCACATCTTGATCTGATTCTATTTACTAACTACTATACTCTTTTGTGTTGCTCCTGCTATAGGAATGTCTGGTAACAGAGAAGAAGGAGAAACCGGAATCCATGAACGCTTTCGAACTTATCTCTAGTTCAAGAGAGTTCAGCCTTGAAAACTTGTTCGAGAAACAAGCAGTAAGGAGCCTTTTTTTTCTACTTATAGATTTGTGGATTATTTGTTTCGATTGTATAGAATCAAGCATAGGTTTGTCTAATTGTTTTGGTTGTGGCAATTGCAGCAACTTGTGAAGAAAGAGACGCGGTTTACCTCCCAACGATCTGCGAGTGAAATAATGTCGAAAATGGAAGAAACCGCAAAGCCATTAGGCTTCAATGTCCGTAAAGACAAGTACAAGGTTTGTTCAGTCTTCTTGATTTTGTCTGTGGCTAGTCAAGTAATGTCTTTGTGGCCTCATTAAAGATAAAATCGCAGATAAAAATGAAAGGAGACAAAAGTGGTCGTAAAGGTCAGCTCTCCGTAGCTACAGAGGTAACAAACTAATACAATAGAGGATGATAATTTGCCGGCTAAGTTCGGTTTTCAGATTTATTATATCAATACCGGTATACAATTATTTTGGTTTGGTTATCGGTTTAACAGGTGTTTGAAGTGGCACCATCGTTGCATGTGGTAGAGCTTAGGAAAACCGGCGGCGACACCCTTGAGTTTCACAAGGTATGTTTTCGGTTTAATCTTCATGAAACGGTTAGCATCTCAAATTGGTCTGTTCTTAATTAATTTGGGTTTATGTAAATTCTGTTTTTCAGTTCTACAAAAACT